CAAAAAAAAAAAAAAAATAAAACGGAAAAAAAAGAAACGAAGAAAAAAGCAAGACAGCAGTGAGACAAACAACAGCAATTGAAACCCGGTGGCGCGGGTAAAAATAGAGAAAAGACCCACTTACTGATAGGCCTCGACTCCACTACACTAATCTCTGCCGGACGGTCCTTACATATGACATGGCCGACGATCTCATACTCATCTATACCGCTCGGCGCTTTATCACAGCATCATTTCCCGAATTTAGCACCTGCTTGTGAGCTGGATACGCTTCATTGTCGGATTTCACCATGGTGTCCTTTTTCTCCCGCTGTTTTCCGAAGAGGAGAAAAGGGCAGCAGCAACAACAACATTGGAAGGAGATTGAGGGTTAGCTCCCCCACTATGTACTTCACGAAATCATCGTATGATTGTTTACATACTCTAATGCGTATTGGATACACACAGAAGCAGCTAGGGATCTGGAATCACGCCCATCATGGAATGCCCCCGACAACACCTTGCTTCTGGAAGCATTTGAATGGCACGTACCAGACGACACATGCCACTGGCGACGTCTGCAGCATGCTCTGCCGGGGTTGAAAGAGATCGGGATCGATAATATCTGGATTCCGCCGGGCTGCAAAGCTATGAACCCCTCGGGCAGTGGTTACGATATATATGACCTGTATGATCTCGGTGAGTTCGATCAGAAAGGATCACGAACCACCAAATGGGGCTCTCGGAGGGAGCTCGAAAACCTCGTGGAAGAAGCAAAGTCGCTGGGCGTTGGTGTGTACTGGGATGCGGTGCTCAATCATAAAGCCGGGGCGGATTATCCCGAACGGTTCCAGGCTGTTAAAGTAGATCCTAATCGTATGACCTTTTCTTTCTTTTTCTCTTCGTCTTCTCTCTAGTCTCGGATCAGTGGTTGATTCAAGTTTCTTGCTGGCGCAGGACGGAATGTCGAGATATCCAAGCCCACTGAAATTGAGGGCTGGGTCGGGTTCGACTTCGCTGGCCGCGGCGACCAGTACAGCTCGATGAAATATAATTGGCAGCATTTCAATGGTGTGGACTGGGACGAATCGCGAAGAGAAAATGCCATCTTCAAGATCCATGCGCCAGGCAAGGATTGGGCCCAAGACGTTGGCAAGGACAATGGCAACTACGATTATTTGATGTTCGCCAATCTGGACTACTCCAATCCAGAGGTTCGGGAAGACGTCTTACATTGGGGAAGCTGGATAACGAATGAACTATCTCTGAGTGGCATGCGACTGGACGCCGCGAAGCATTTTTCTGCTGGATTTCAGAAGGAGTTTATTGAACATGTTCGCAAGACTGCTAACAAGGATCTGTTTGTCATTGGTGAATACTGGTCAGGAGAATTGAAAGATCTCCTGAGATATCTTCAGCAGATGGATCATTCGGTGACAGCGGTTGATGTGCCTCTCGTTGTGAACCTGTGCAGGACATCGTACACGAAGGGAGGCGATCTTCGCAAGATATTCAAGGGTACTTTGGTGCAAAGCAAACCAGAGAACGCTTTGGTGAGTGGCTATAGCAGAGGCGGCAAGGAATTACCATACTGACAATACTTCCATATAGACATTTGTTTCGAATCATGACACGGTAAGTGGACTTTTATTCTCCTCTAGGATGGATTGTACTGACAACATTAAGGTACCCGGGCAAATGCTTGAAGTGAGTATCCTACATTACTCCGGAACCCTACCAATCGACTAATAAATCGAAGAACCCAGTTGCACAATACTTCAAACCGCTGGCATATGCCTTGGTGCTTCTGCGTAAAGATGGACATCCGTGCGTCTTCTACGGAGACCTCTATGGTACTCGGGGAGAAAAGCCATTGAAGCGAGCCTGCAAGGGCAAACTCCCGATTCTCACGCGGGCTCGCAAGCTCTACGCCTATGGAGAACAGCAGGATTACTTTGAACAAGCCAACTGTATAGGTGAGCACTTGCGTTTTCCTTTTACTCTTTTTCATCTTTCTTTCAGTTTTGATTATCTTTGAAATTTTGACCATAAATATGCTCCACGTTTCATTCAAACGCAGCATCTAACCAAGTAAACAGGATTTGTCCGTTACGGAAACGCGCGCCACCCTTCCGGGATGGCCTGCATTATGAGCAACGGCGCGGCAGCAGAAAAGCGCATGTACGTCGGACCGACGCACGCCAATGAAGAGTGGACAGATATCATGCTGGGCCACGAGGGCGTTGTCACCATCGATGCGTCAGGGTATGGGGTATTCCCCGTGAATGGCATGAGTGTCAGTGTCTGGGTCAGCTCAACGGCACCTGGCCGAAACAGTCTCCAACAACCGTTGTAAGTGGCAGCCCCGTTTTTTCCTTGTTTTTCCCCCCTCTCTCTTCTCTGCCAGTGGCTAACAGCGATTGATCCAGTGATGACAAAATCTATGAATAATAATCCACCTAGTGAGCAATCTCTCGATTGTATAATACTTAGAAACTCTCTAATTTAGGTAATCGTAGTTAGCAATTCTTATGCCAATGCAGCGAGCAAGCTCATGTCAATTAAATCTAAATTACTATAAGACATCTCGTCCAACAAACCAGATACATATCCAATCAGTTATCAGATTAATCAATACAACCAAGTCATGGCCACGCTAAAATGGCTCGTATTAATCTATGAGTCTCGGTGGACCAGGAGAAGGATCGCATCCCAAAGCGGTCATTTAAGGGCTTTTCACGTCCAGCGACGGCAGTGGTTAGGTGAAACGAACAAAATTCGATAGTAGTCCAGTGTCTCAGGACTAAGACTCACTAGTGTTCCAAACCAGAGAGGTTTTATTTTATTTTATTTTATTTATTTATTTATTTTTTTTTTTCATAAAGAAAAGAAGAAAAGTTGCATGACCCGTATTTACCATACAGCGATCAAGTTCGGTACCCGATGTGGGTCATTTCTTTTTTTTTTTTTTTTCGCGCTTCCACTCTCTCTTTTCTTTGCGATCAGACTCCTCCAATATGGAGTATGGAATGAGACATTGGTCTTACTTGCTCGGCTATCATTTTGGGTAACAAAAACCCTCTTTGCCTATTCTTTGAGACGAGTCACTTGTCTCGGATTTGACCAGCCGTCGGCTATATCGGATTTTTATTGAATAATCTGGATCCCCTACGTCATGCACTAACCCAGTAATCTTGACGGATCACCCACTCGCTCGGTCGACTATCGGAGATGTCAAGATCAGGCAAGGGTCCTCGGACTGGGGTCGTTGTCCTGCACAGTAGTGGGGACTTAGGGTTCAAGTTGTTACCCATCCCATCTGCCATCGCCGTTGTGGCGGCAGTTATGCACCAGGGTATTCTTAGCCCGGTGATACAGCCCTGCTCGCTATCATTCCCATCGAACAAAAAGCATAGTCATCTATTCATCGTACAAGTATGTGTAGACGCCAAATAGCCCAGTGGCGACAAAATGACAACCATGCAGTTCCTGACCCACAAAGGACGGTAGATCAGCAGTCAATCCGGCAGTTCGCCGAGAACATGATCAGCGAAGTCTGGGAAAGCCGTGGCTGCAGAGTACTTGTCTAAAATGATTTATTATGTACCCTTGCATTTCACTATTGGTTAAAGGATTGACAAAGTAAGGAGCATTCTATAGACAAGATGCTGTTAGACTCATTGAATACAATATACATTCTATCTTTCCGTTCACCATCAACCGCCCTCGACGGCCATTACATCGTGTATCGGAGTAACCCTGATTCGCATGTACCGTATCTCCCACATTCGCGTTCCTGCATATCGTTGTGATCCCGCTGGATCTTGTCGTCGGCTGGTTTACCGAATTTACAGGTTGAGGGCCAAGACACCCATCAGGAGGCCGGCGGCAGCGGAGACGGGCGCGGCGAGAGAGACACCAGCACCGGTGGCGACGGGGGTGCTGCCGGAGGAGGTACTGTTGGCGGAACCGCTGGCCGAAGCAGAGGCACGGGCGGAGGAGGAAACTGCCGTCGACAGAGTGTTAGTGCTCACACCGGTCGAAGTCTGGGTGCCGGTGGAGGTAATGGTAGTGAGGCCAGTGGAGGAGACGGTCTCAGTGGTCTCAGAGGAAGAGGTCTTAGTGGAGGAGGCAGTACCAGTAGTAGCGGTGGAAGTGCCAGTAGCGGAGGCGGTGGTCTTGGAATCACTAGCGGTGGTGGTCGAGGTGGACTCAGAAGAGCCCTCGACGTTGAACTGCTGGGACTGAGCGAGGATACCGCTGTTCTTGGCGGAGTTAGAGAGGAAGTTGATCTGGTAGCCCTTGCTGTACCCAATTGTTAGTGGATTCCGGCTGCTACTCTCGGTCGGGGATGGAACTGTACCCGTTGGTCAGGTCGGAGAGGCCAGAGACATCGTAGGAGCCCTTGGAGGCGTCAATGTCGGAAGCGATCTTCTGCTCAACGCTGGGGTAGACGGCGTTGTTGACAATGTAGAGATCGAAAGAAGAGGGGTCGGTACTGGTACGTCAGTCAGTATGCGTGGCGGTAGCTACAGTAGTTGATAAAGAAACGAAACATAGACATACTCGACGGAATCCCACTTCACGGTGAAGGATTTGGAGAGGTCAACATCCTCACCCTTCTTGGGGGAAGTGACCTGGAGAGCTAGCTGGAGTCAGTTCCAGCGTCCCGATATCACCATGGTTCCGGAAAGACAAACCTCCAACGGAAGCAGCCAGAGGCAAGAGAGAGACGGCGTAGGAGAGACGCATGTTGACTGATTATAGATCCGAAAGGATAAAAGTATTAAATATGCTTAAGAACGAGGGAATCTAAAAGTTGAACGAGTGTAGTAAGGAAGAAGAGAAAGAGAAAGGAGGACAGAGAGGAAGAGGGTATATTTAAATAGCGGGATGCGTGAATCACTTTGTCTCAAACCTTTGGAAAATCTATATAATGGTATATTGACGGGGCGATCGGCCTGCCAGAAAAAAGGGAAAGAAAAGCTTCGAAAGATCCACCGACAACGTTACTATAATTGTACATGGGCATACAATTAATACACAGACTGAGGTTCTACGTAGTAAATCGACTAAATATAGAATACACTGGAGAGCAACAAAGGCGTGTCTGGGATGGCGAGGTTTCTGATGACAGCATTCCTTGGGCATGACAACCATGGTCTCAGAAGTGGGATTGGGCTAGTTTCAGAGACATAACCCGATATAGCGCAGAGTCTTCCAGCAGACGAGTGTCGTTGTTTAGGGCTCTTTTGCTGTAGAGAGCGCCACTAGTGCTGTCTTGGCAGGGCCCGGAGTCGATAGAGGTATCACGAGGCTGCCTCATTGATAAACTGGCTACTGGATTCTTTACCGATTGCTGAGGGATCTCGCGATAAGGTACGACCAGGACTTCCGGGTATTTTTGGCACTTTCCAGCCAACCACGCCGCACGGATAAGTTGATGCCATGTTCACTGCCTATGGTGTGTCGGAAGAGAATGCCTCAATCACCGGCCACTTCGTATTCCCCTCCTGCCGCCAATTTTCCTTCCAATGCGACCCTGCTCTTTTCTGGAACTGGGTTGTTATCAGTGTCCGTGCTTATATTGTCTCTTCAGCCCGCACCACGCCAACAGCCGGACCCTATTGAGGAGCACTGCGTAGTTTGAGGCTGAGATAGACGTCCGGCGTGGCCACCATTCATTGGCTTGGTGTGGGTTGGCCACGAATGGAGCAACCTTGTTCGCAACTGGGCGGAAAAGGCTCTACTCTTATCTCTAAAAGGTTCTTATTATACCTCGCCGTCTAAGAAATAAGTTTGATTGTTGGTATGGATGGATGGATCCAACAGCCAGCATTTTCTTGATGGGACAATGACGGAGCAAGTATTGATCCGAGGACGGTTGAGATAAGGGCTGCAACCCTTATCAACCATCTAGCCCTGATGTCATCTACCCAGCCTCTCTGAAAGACAGTTTACAGCGCGATTTTCAACGAGTCGTTCGGATTTTCGCTCCCCCTAGCCTTTGCCTTGAAAATAGAGCATTTACAGGAACATGATAAGCTGTGAATCAACCGAGACAGTGTGCAGTTCGTCATGTTAGCGTCATGGCATATCAACGGCGCTGGGCATCATCACCATCATCATATTCACGTCATGGAACAGGATAACGAGCAGGCAAAGTCACTGGCCGAATGCAAGGTCAGCATTATAGACCTCATAGACATATGCCAGCATGTCACTCCATTCTATTGCTAACATATTTTCGCGTCAAGGCCCCCATCTGCACCACCGAAACCTATCCACACGAACATCCCTCGCTATGAAGATCGCAATCACCGGTGCTCGCGGCACTGTCGGACGGGCTGTGGTGAAGGCTGCATCGGAAGCTGGTCATGCAACGGTCCAGGTCGACCGTACCGATACCGAATACGATGGCACACCGAATTCAGAGATGAAAACCGCGGACACCGCGAATGACTACAAGGCCACGCTCGAGGCCTTCAAGGGCTGCGCTGCCGTTATTCATCTAGCAGCCATTCCGAACCCCCTGGACAAAGGCGATGATCTGGTACACAATAACAATGTGAACTCGGCATTCAACGGCTTCCGAGCTGCGGCCGAGCTCGGCATTAAGAAGTTCTGCTATGCTTCGTCGGTGAATGCGATCGGCCTCGAATACGCCACGCGACCACTGAAGTTCGACTACTTCCCCATCGATGAAGAAGCGCCGGAGCGGCCGACAGATTCGTATGCCCTGGCGAAGGATGAAGCGGAGATGCAGGGGAAGGCCTTCGCGCGGTGGTACCCCGGAATGAACATCGCGTGTATGCGCATCCACGCGGTCGCATCGCGCTCAGAGGCGCAGAAAGGACACGCAGAGAACTGGGATAGCTCCGCAGTGAAGAGTTTGTGGGGATGGGTTAGTGCTCAGGCGACAGCGAGCGCATGTTTGTTGGCGGTAGAAAAGAGCGAGAAGTTGAACGGATGTGAGGTCTTCAATATTGTCGCACCGACAACGACTCAGGATACGCCCTCCCAAGACCTTGCGAAGAAGTATTATCCCGATGCAGAGATCCGTGGCGACCTGTCGAGTAATCAGTCGTTCTTCACAACAGAGAAGGCAGAGAGAATCCTGGGATGGGTTCATGAGGAGAAAGAGTAATTACATCACGCCGCAAACTGTCATCGAGAACCATATTCTAAGTTCATTCATAATCATACAGGAAACCTGAATCAAGAGCATCCGTACTTTGATAATCCACAACCCTATGAAACATGTGCATCTATATTCCAGATCATTCAATACGCTCCGATACCTCAACGAGGAGTAGGCAGCTAAAGATGTACAATGTTCCTTCGCTGGTCTCATATATACCGTAACTGTTGATGCCTACTTGCATATCCCTATTTTGAGAAGAATCGCCAACCTTGCACCATGCTCCAGAGGCTGCAGCGGGTGAGAAGAAAGCACTGGTTATCCCTTAAGGAGCCAACGTCTGTTACATGAAACACGTATATCATGCTGGGCGTACTCAAATAGGTTGCTTCATATTTCTCACTTTCTGATCACGATCACCACTTCCTCCATACCGAACAAGACATATCTTGATGCGAAGGTGTTGCTGTGAGCTCATCAAGACCAGTCCTATCAAACGCGACCATCCGTGAATATTGGAACTTGTTGCAAGCCTGTGGCAATAAGATCATCAACAAGATGCTCGAAGTTGAAGTGCACGTCCACATGGAAGGGACCAGAATAGCGGAATTTCGACGGTCGCTCGCACTATGAGATGTAATGGCCATACCAAATTCCTGAATGGGAAGCCTTGCAGTGACTTCTCAAGAGTGGAAGGCTTGTATCACCTCCTCCGTGGTCAGGGAAAGGAAGAGATGCTCCGACTTTGGAGCTCCAGTATGGTGGCTTCGACATCATTTTACGACGAGGACTGTATCGCCTTACGTTTTGCGAGCCTTTTTTTCACCCCGAGGGGCATACTCGGAGAACCCTCTGAAGGGTTTCGGTGGGTTCAGCTGGAGGTAGCGCAAAGCTCGAATGCATGTTCAGAGATGAGCATCTTTGAAGGTTTCAGGCAGGCTAATGTATGGGAACAGTCTCAATCTCAGCAGATCATGTATTTTCTAGGAGACATGACCTCAAAATCTGCGATGTCTCAATACATCGATGCTCTTACCTATCGCACCATGATCGTGGGGATTGGCCTGGATTCTCTGAAAACGTATCACCCACCTTTCCCGTTCGAAGATGTGTTTCATCAAGCGAGAGAAGATGGCTTCACGATCAGCTGTCATTACGACGTCCACGCGAAGGATTTCCTACGCCACATTGCCCAGGCAATCGACCAGCTGTGTCGTACGGGATCGGGTGGGATTGACCACGGGCTGCATGCTACGGATAGCTTTTCATTTCTGTTTAGATGGAATAAAAGGGCCAGTGGTGACCGTCTGTCCATGGGACCACTTATGCTACTTCGGCCAGAGTCAGATTCTGGAACGTATCCATTACCCACGACGCGGATATAAAAAGTGCGATTGGACGTGACAACCTGGCTTCTATGAAGGACATCTGGTTGGGTAATAGTCTCTACATCTGCGTGAACTATGCCAATTCACCGGTGGTAATTTCTAGCGCTTCCAAGGTATGCGGTCGATATATGCTAGGCTTCTGCTAGCCTCAAAACGCAAATCCTGGCTGAACTACAGGAAAACCAGAAGTAAGAGTTGTAAAGCCACGGCAGCTTATCTGGCGATTGGATTGAACTCTTATATCGCTAGGAATGCTAGGCGATAGGTCAGTCGTATGGTGTGATGATCCTACATGAGCTCAGTGAGGATATGAAAGTGCTGGATGGTTCAGGGCTTCTGTGTGCATGGTCTATCTATATAGTTAATGCTCAGGAAGTAAAAAGATACATGGTCCTGGTCTTTAACTTCGCATTTGGCTTGCGCAGGTAGGGCTCCAATAATATAGGTGTACCTGTGTCTTTGTATTCCCAGCCGAATGGTGATGATTTAATACCAATTTATCGAATAGAATTAGCGAGATCTAGACAGGTTCTCCGACAATCCGAGACAAGGTAACAGATCGACATGCAATGATTCTTGTGTTCGTTTTAATGGTATGCTGTATGTGACCCAAAAGCGAACTTGAATATTGCCTTCCATTAGTTCCTACATCCAATAAGTTTGCCTTTCCTAGTGTTAAAATGTCCGTTAGGTAGTATTACTTTGACCACAGAGGATATCAAGTATAGCTGCGCCAGAACGTCCTTCACATAGGTACGTCTTTTGGACAAGATTTTGTGAAAGATTATAACATTTGATATATCGACATTAGAAACGAAGCTTGCCTTCAACTCCTATATCACCCTTCCGCCAATTCCGCCTTCCCCGGAGGTACACATAATGCAATTCCCTCTATGATGCTCACTAACAGTCTACTATATAGAATCTACGCTGCCTTTGACCCCCCAACCTCACCTTCGTGCCCGTAGCCGAGGTGATTGATAGTTCCCCACTAGAATAGATTGTTGTCCGGGTCGGCGACCTCTTCTCCAATAATCATCCGTGGAGGGTGTGGAGATGGTCAAAAATTTAGGTAATGCTCGGCTGAGATCGAACGGCAAACGCGCTCTTGGCAAATCGTCATTCCTCTTCTGCAGATCTAAACGAGGTGGCGGGATCTCGAAACATCGATGCATCCCCACGATAGTATAATGTTGGGTCTTGTCGTTGACAAACTGTAGAGGCCTAGCTTAACAATAATTCATAATCAGAACATTCTGGCATGTCCACCATATAAGAGAAAAACAATCACAAGACACATTCATCTGTACGTTCCTACCCAGCGACCATACGGCCTGGTGATATCATTCGTCTGCCGAAATGGAGGAAGCTCAAGTTTTTGTCCGAAATGACGCGGTGGATGTGTGTGTTCGCCAGGTGGCCATCCCCAAACCCGGAGCCGGTCAGATACTGATCAAAGTTGTCACGACTGGCACCAACCCTAAAGACTGGAAGTTCCCAGCATGGATGGAAAACTTCAATGGCGCCAACACGGGAGATGATATCACAGGATACGTCCATGAGATCGGCGATGGTGTCTCGGGATTTCAAGTCGGAGATCGGGTCGCGGCTTATCACGATTACACAGCTCCACATGGCAGCTACGCTGAATATGCCATCGGGGCAGCCTACGCCACATTCCACATCCCCGAGAATATCTCCTTTGAGCAAGCCGCGACCGTCCCCCTGGCCGCTATGACCGCGTCGCTAGCACTCTTCTCTCGCCTGGGGTTGCCGGAACCGTGGTTCAAAGAGAAGACATGGGCTCAAAAGCCAGAGGGTGGAGTGCTAGTCTATGGTGCTGCGAGTGCCGTGGGAACATTCGCTATCAAGCTGCTACAGAAAGCTGATATTCATCCGATTATCTGTGTCGCTGGACGGGGAAAAGATTTCGTCCGCAGTCATCTGGACGAGAGCAAGGGTGATGTGGTCATCGACTATCGCGAAGGTGAATCGGCCGTCGTCGCTGCCATTCGGAAGGCCACCAAGCAGCTACGGTATGCTCTGGACGCTGTCAGTGAGAAGGCCAGTTTCAGTGTTGTCACTCAGGTGCTGGATCCGGACTGCGGCGCTATGTCTGTTGTCAGTCCCGTGGGGCCGGAGGAGTGTCCTGAGCAGATTCGGGTGGAATTCACTGATGTCGGAAGGGCCCATAAAGATGAGCAGGAATTTGCTTACATCTGGTCGAGGTTCTTCACGCTTGGGCTTAGGGAAGGCTGGCTCACGCCTCATCCGCATGAGCTCGTCCCTGGTGGTCTGCAGGGTGTCCAGACAGCATTAACCAACCTCAAGGAGGGAAAGGCCAGTGCGCTCAAGTATGTTGTGAAGATCAAGGAGAATTGATTCAGTGCGAGCTATTCTTTCAAAATATAACACATGTGTGCATACCTGCGCAGGCGAGAAGAATGAACATTGGCATTGATTGAATTGACTATCTAGAATCTACCAGTAAGACGTTGAAAGCCTTGGTAGAGACAAGCTCATACAAAGGTTTTTCTGGGCTTCACAGCACTCTTCAATACAAAGATTCTTGAAACAAAGTGATAATGAAATAGTGTCGAGATCAGGTAGCTTACGAAATACCTAACGCTTACAGGTCCATCCTTACAGGCCACGCAAACCATGAACGTGAATGTATACTGGAATTCACTCTTGGGGCTAAAGTCTGTGTCGATATCATAGAGGTTTAATGTTCGTGATTTCCAAGTGGACCATTCGAGATAGGAGATTATTTTATATTACCATTACATACCCTGTTCAGCACTCCAGCTTCCGCTACCTTTCGCTCCGATCATATATACAATATGCCTTTCACTTGCGGACAGCATTAGGCCGCTTTATCCAGGGCCTGCCCCAGACACATCTCATAGTAGATCCCCCGCCGCTGGAGCAGCTCCTGATGAGTCCCTTGCTCCCGAACGCTACCTCCAACCAACACGAAGATCCGGTCTGAGTGCTTGATAGTTGACAAGCGGTGTGCGATCGCAATCGTTGTCCGACCATCTTTGGCCTGATCTAAGGCCTCCTGCACAATCCTCTCACTCTCGGTATCCAACGCAGACGTAGCCTCATCCAGCAACAGCAGACGAGGTCGCCGGATAAGCGCTCTTGCGATTGCAATACGCTGCCGTTGACCACCAGAGAAAAGACTTCCTCGCGAACCGCATGACGTTGCTAATCCATCTGGCAGGGAGGAAACGAAGTCAAAGATATTCGCCTGGTGGCAGGCCTCGTAGATCCGTTCCTCGGTCGCCTCTTCTTCAAGGCCTAATGCGATATTTTCGCGGATGGTTCCTTGGTAGAGGACCGGTTCCTGTTGGACAAGGGATAAGTGGCTGCGGTACGACGCGAGCGACATATCACGGATATTTGAACCGTCTAGTTGGATACTTCCGGACGTTGGATTGTAATACCGCTCCAGGAGCGAGATGAGGCTGGACTTTCCATGGCCCGAGGGTCCGACAAATGCCACGAATTGGCCAGGGTTAATCTAATAAATTCCATCAGTATATAATGGTCCAGACCTTTATGCCCAAGCTGGGCCGTACCTCAATGTTGATATCATTTAATACGGGCCGAGTGGGCCGAGTAGGGTACCGGAATGCTACGTCCTGCAACGCCACATGGGCCGCCGTATTCTTTGCTCCTCCGGACACGTTGTCGGACGATCCGTCTTGGACATCAGGCTGTAGGGAACGGAGCCAGAAAATGTAGTTGCATGCTGCCTGTGATTTGGTAAAGCCTGTTCACTGTGAGTGGAAGCAAAGAAGATTACCCTTTGGAGACCTACTGGTGGTAAACATGAAGAATGACGCCGCCCCTTCGCCAGATAGGATAGCTCCGATGACAACGATGTATAATTGGGTACTGGAGTACTCTCCTGTCGATAATAGGCGACCTCCATACCTACACACAACTTAGACATAGGAAACAGAGTATAACAGCAATGTAGATACATACCAAAAGCTTAATGCCATCGAAAGTAATGAGAGGGACTGTGTGAGAGCTAGCCAGAACATTGTCCAGATTGACGATTTGATGGACTTTCGCTCAATGCCCGCCAACTTATCACTGTACTTTTCTAAAATCACTTGTTCAATTGCTAAAGATGCAACAGTGCGAATCGCAGACACTGCCTCACCAGCTAAAGCTGCACTTTCAGAGAATCGGTGCGAGGTGGCATCATCCAGTCGGAACTCCAGGCGAATTCTGAGGTACCCACAGAATACCATTGGAACCATAGCCCCTGCGAGGACAGCCAACCCCAGTTTCCATCCAACTGAGATAGATAGCACAGAGCTTGCGATGATATTCACTAGGGCAATGACGATAACTGCCACGTTGAAGCCTAGCAGCTCTTGCAAGCTAGTGGGCTTCGCAGCGAGTTCAGAGACCAAGGAGCCGGTCGTATGTTGAGGTTGGTCATAAAAGGTCATATCTTGCCGGATATAACTGCGGAACATTTCAAGACGGTACGTATACACAACGCACTGCGTGGTGGTGAGCAGAGCTACTGGCCATGGCAGCTGGGGGACACTTACATGGGCCATTATAGTTGTAACCCAGCCCAGAATTCCATAGACAAGCAAGATGACAAGAGCAACCACAAAAAACATAAGGGCATAGAAATCCCCCCTTTCCACCATCTTGCCCGTGGATTCTATTTGGAAGACATCCAAAACTTTCGCGAATAGAAACGCAAGGATCGGGTAAGTGGCTCCTAGATTCTTCATTAGAACGGCAAGCACGCCACATCACGAGAGAGGAGTGCGCGTACCTCCTACAGTGCTGGTAACTAACATAACAATGAATTCAAACCATAGCTCGCGGCGCTCCTGGAGAAGAACGGCCAGACACCGAATCAGACTATAGCCACGTCCAGAAGGAGCCTGCAATCTTTCTACAAGCCTTGCTTCTTTGCTATGGCCATGCTGCCCTGAAGTGACCGGGACGATGCCTGTAGGTACTTCATTCTCTCCCTTCTCTGGCTGAGTCCCATCATTTTTGACCGTACCAAGATCCTGTGTCTTGATGAGCCGATAGTAAGTTCCGCCTGCGGCCTTGAGTTCATCATGAGTTCCCTTCTCAATGATCTGCCCTTGCGATAGGACCACTATTTGGTCTGCCTTCCTAATCGTAGACAGCTTGTGTGCGATCGTGATGGTCGTTCGTGAGGCAGAAACGTTGTCCAACGCCTCTTGCACGATCTTTTCAGCCTGTGGATCCAATGCACTGGTAGCTTCGTCGAGGATTAACACCTTTGGATTTGAAACGATACTCCGGGCAATCGCGATACGCTGCTTCTGGCCTCCGGACAACATTGTGGCGCGCTCTCCGACCTGCGTATCATACTTCTGCAGAGGGTGTCAGTATTTGTGTAGTCAATCCGTACCCTCTATTTACTCAAAAACATACTTCAGGCAAGGTCTCTATAAAATCATGAGCGTAGGCAGCTTTGCAGGCGGTAATGACCCGCTCGAACTGGTCCTGCTTTGAGGCATTGGCATAATCCGTTCCTGCCAGGCCGTATGCCACATTTTCGAAGATCGTGGCATTGAACAGTGTAGGTTCCTAAGTGAGAGTCAGATAACAAGACAAATGACAGAGATATGGGCGCAGAATGATGCTTCGAACCTGTTGAACAATGCGAATGTTGGTCCTCAGCCATTGGATGTTGAGTTGCCTGATGTCTACGCCGTCAAGTGTGATGGCGCCGTCCTGCGTATTATACCATCTCTCGAGCAACCCAGTCACTGTGCTTTTACCCGACCCACTGGGCCCAACCAAAGCCGTTGTCTTATTGGCGGGGATTGACAATGTGAAATCATGGAGAACCGTGACCTGGGACCGGGTCGGATATGAAAAAGAGACGTTTGAGAATTCGATATTCCCCTCACACTTGTCCGGCCGTTCGCCGTCCAGAGACAGTCCGTCAATTGGAGATTCACGATCGATCACTTCCCACAGACTTTGTGCGGCCGACGCTGCCTTGGTGACTTGCATAATCTGCGGTGCGATCTGTGTCATTGCCGTCGCAGCCACGATGACAGCAAAGATCACACTAGCGAAACATCCGAGAGGATAGCAGTCAGCAAAGGGTATCAAAGAGGCTAACGAAGCTCCCAACACCTACGTGATGATTTTCCCCGGCTCATCAATCTCACCCCTCGCATACATACGAACTCCCTGCCAGAAGGCCAGGCCATATCCAGCATAAACACAGAAAAACTCCGCTGAGTATAGTATCGCCATGTTCAGACACTGTGAAAGGCCCAGGCGCTTCGCTTCCTTGGCCTGGTCATCATATTTGGTGGTCAACTTAGAAAAGGCGGAAAAAGCGTGCACGGTCTTCATGCTGGCAAGGACTTCCTCGGCCAGAGACCCAGCGATAGAGTTCACATGAAGAATTCGGTTCTCCTGCTTGACGAGGATGGCGGCACAGATGGACGTCACAATCAGGATTGCAGGAGCTATACAGATTGTAATTAGAGTTAGTTTCCACTGCACGACGAAGGCTACAACGAATGCCGCCACAAAGGTGGCTGTGCCCTGCACCGCGAAGCCCAGCTTCTCTGAGATCCCTTGGTTGACTAGGTTGGCATTTGTCGTCAGTTGCACAACGGAAGAGCCACTCTCGTTGGAATCGAAGTAGCCAATATCTTGCCGCAGTAGGTGTGTCAAGAAGGATATTCGTAGCGATTTGGTAGTTCGCACCGCGGAGACAGATAACGACAACTACGTGTGGGAAGTAACTCTATTAATACGGATCAAGCGTAGAAGAAGGTAGGAGACATACTGTCCAGGCATAAACTAGCACAAATTTGCCGATAAAGAGATAAACAAAGTACAGTCTATGGAAGGGTATCGACATTAATAATTGGCTTAGAAATGTGCCACTCAACTGTACAACACTTACGTGAACTTATTCAGTGTCGAGCGAAACTTATCTGGGGAATCTGAACCGGTGGCGAGGCTATTGAAGTTCGTGATCATCTTCCCAAACAGTATATCCATCAAGGGCAGAGCGCTGCCTGCGCCAATGGCTCCGATCAAGGCGAGAACATTGAGAACCCAGCCCACCGTGTCGGTATATGAAAAGATTCTGAAATAGCTTCTCAGCCCACCCGCCTGTTCTGGTGTACCGGTGGTTTCATCGCTGTCTGCCTTTGGAGGCTTTTCCACGGATGAACGTGATGTTCCATCCCTTGTTGGCGCTGGAGAATCCACATGGGCTGTCATAATAATACTATGTTGAGTGTTCTCGGGAACATTTTCATGAGATGTTAAACCTACAACTTCTGGAGACGGAGATATAGGTTTATATAGGGGCGTGATCAGCCACAGAAGCTCTCCACTTTTGCAGTTTTGGTTACACCAAAGACTTCAATAGCTGTAAGGAAGAAGTATTGTACTGAACGGTAGATTACTTTGGTTGGATCAGTTATCCACCGCCTTCTGTAAATGGAAAGGGGTTGCTAGTATGACGTTCCATGAGAAAAGATATGTAAGGAACCAAGTACTCTATACAGAGTAGATCTGCAGTTACTATGACGGGTCTAATAGGGAGTTATCATTTTGGAATTGAATTTCCCAGTGGCTGTACGGTAGACCACCGCGTTTATCAACAAGTCCCCGGTATCGCAGTTTGATATGAATTGGTAGATGTTAACTGACAGAGTGTTGCAAATACCAGCTGTGTAACTGACAGGGTTTTTTTCACTATCCACCTGCTTTCAGCGCCGAATAAGCAGCTCACATGCAATACAAAATATATCGATACGCAGCCAGAAGAGACAGACTAGAATCTAGGCAGAAATTTCTTCACTGCAATCTGTGGTCGTTCAACAAAGTATGGACGTGAATAGAGTGCTCGCGGTCCGCGGACTCCGACACCAAACCCTCTTCGGGTGCCCGACGAGCACAGTCCACGCTGATTATCTTCCCCTGTTTACTCCCATTCGTCAGTTTGAGATCCAGATTCACGGTGAAGTCATGGTCTAACTGAGGAGAGCTCTAGAGCTGTCTCACAAGCTCTCAACCGTCGAGCGATGACTCAAGCCAAGCCTCGGCGCTCAGACCGAACGGCGAGAACCAAAGAACCCTGACTTCCTCCATTGAACTTGAGTATCGATCAATCATGCAGAGGGACTATGTAGCACCCCTATCCAGCGAAGCATCCGACAGCATGGAGGGCCTTCGGTCTCCTGTGTCTTATCAGAGAGCTCATTGTCTAGAGATACGTAAGCCGTCATATACATATACCTTATTTATGTACTTAATCTATACATCGCCCCCGAGAATCTCAGGAGAATAGGTCTATTTCCTGGTCAGGTATAGAATATGTCAGTGCAAGATATATAGCCTACCAATCCAGGATAACCTAAGCTGTTTGGCAATGAATTGGTCGAGGTCGGATCCTGCAAGATCCTGAGTCCAATGAGACAATATCCTGGCCCACACCCAAAACTTGCAGAGAACACAATTCGAAGCTTGGTTTAACCGGCTATGCTCTACAGTTTCAGGTTCAAGCATTTGACATAATCCGCACAAGCAGGGGAGAGGAAGAGGAACAGAAAAAGACCTGGGAAAACATCCTGGTCGGCCCAGTCATGTGACGCGAGGATCAAGGTATCTGACGTATACCCTAAATCTGGCCACATCGTACTTAAATTACGCCAATAGAGCGGCATAATGAACTCTGATTACCTTATCCGACATACGCACGGCATATAATGTTCACTTCCTACTCGAGGGGTCTCGCCCTAACGCAAATTGCAGCAAAGGTTGACCGTAGCTACTACCGCGTATCAGAAGCAACACAATGTGAAGGTCTACACTACACTCGTCACATAAGAGCTAAATGTTCACGTTACAGTTTAGGGAATGACATACACTGCCAGTACCAGCTCATGCTGTCTGCCACTCATGATGCCATGCACGTATTGTTTCACGTCCAACCACAGGCTCCTTAATCCACGGCCAGACTACCCACTTACAAAGAGGGCCCCTATAGGTTGGCATCTATACAGCCTCATCATCTTGCATCGAAAGGGGAAAGAGGGTAGAAGTTATGGGCCCGGAATATGGGGAAAGAAAGCACACACCGAGCAAGACCAATACAAGGCAAGACTTGATGCGACGAGCGTGCCACGCTACCGGCACGGTGCTCCTTGCATATTAGCCAAGATACGTCATTAACCACATAGTAATCCGACTTCTAGAAGGGTTCTTGTGGGTACGATACTAACTGAGGCTATTTCCTATTTCGGACGATAATAGGATTTAGATAGTATAACAATCTCCCCGCCTCACATATAAAAGCTGAGTATCAGAGACAGTCTTCGAGAGGAAGGGCAAGTAGAATTCCCACCATGGCTAAACAAGAGCTTTCAGAATCGGAAAGCCAAGAAAAGATCACCGTGGTGGCTGGCAAGCCTACCAGGCCTCAGATTGTGTTTCCACACGGGTGGAGACTGTGCTTTATTATACTTGGGTATGCTATACTCGCGATTCCCGGGCCATTTAATACTTCGTTGGCTAAACACAAATATTGGTCCTAGGCTGGTGATTAGCCTTTTTTTGGTCAACTTGGAAGTGACTATCGTCAGCACTTCACTGATCGCTATCACGAGTGACCTAGATGGTTTCAACAAAACAAGCTGGATCGTTACCGGGTTTCTTATTACATTCACTGGTCGGAAGTCCATGTTACTTTCTCTGTCTGGTTCTGCTAACCTTGGCGCAGGTTTCATGTCCATCTGGACCAGGGTCAGCGACATCATTGGTAGAAAGAAAACCTTGCTTGCAGCCAAAGTCATCTTCTTGGCATTTTCACTTGGATGCGGGCTATCCCCGTCGGTCAACACGCTGTAGGTTTATTTGAATCGATGGAAATACCGGGCCGCCCTATACTAAACACGTATCAGCATTATATGTCGATCATTTCAAGGCATTGGCGGTGCTGGGGTTTATCCGCTCACCATCTTGTGCTCCTATGAGATTGTTCCTAAGACGAAGGTGCCCCTATTAGGCGGCATATTGGCGGTAGCCATTGCATGCGCAGCTTTAACAGGGCCTCTCATTGGCGGCGTACTGGCGCAGAATTCGGAGTGGAGATGGGTTTTTTACGTGAAGTGCGTTCCTTCTATATGTCCCTCAATCTTCGGGGTATGGTGATTAATGATTGTATCGAGCAATAGCCTCCCACCTGGAGCAGTAGCCGTAGTGATGCTCCTTATCGCCATGCCCGAGAACCTTGGGTCGGTGTCATCAAAATCTATCGCCCATTTGAGACCGAGCATCACACTCTTCCGAGAGCTGGATCTCGTGGGTGTTGTTCTACTGCTCAGTGCCTCTTTACTGCCCATCGCGGTGTTGAATGAAACTAATCTGGCATTTGAATGGGCGTCCGGGACTGCAATTGGGCTCCTCGTTGCCGGTGGTGTATCATGGATGGCCTTCTTTGCCTGGGAATGGATGATCGATGGACGTCCTGCCTATCACCCGATATTCCCAAAACGATTACTATTCAACCGAGCTTGGATGGCGATGCTTATGTGAGTCGTTAAGACTGTGGGGTTTCCCTTTGATCTCGAATCCAACCGTGCTTATTTTGTCACCACAGAATTACTTTCGCTAGTGGCTGTCCTTGGAACGTGGTAATTGTCTACCTGGCACAGCGCTTTCAAGTCCTAGAAAGGTTGTCGCCTGTAGATGCTGGAGTCCGGCTGATCCCATACGCGGCTCTTGCAACTGTGAGCACCGCCGCTGCTAATCTTGCATGTCTTCGAGGCCGTGTCCCCTTTGTATATCTCATCCTCTTGGGCTCCGTGCTAAGTACGGTGGGAATGGCTCTCTTTTCCATTCTACCTCAGTCAGACGTGTTTCCTAGTGCTGGGTATGGATATGAAGTTATCGCAGGCATCGGCATTGGCAGCACTATCGGAGTGTGTATTCTAGCGATACCTTACGTTGTCGAGACGCAGGACCTAGGTATGGTACCGAATCCACTAGTTTCACTTGGTTCAAACATACTTACGCTCTAACAGCAACAGCGACGGGTGCACTTAATCAGTGCCGTTTTCTCGGAGGCGCAATCGGCCTCGCCATTGCGGCTAACATCCAGTATGGGAACTTGAAGAGCGAACTAGCAGATACACTTTCATCTGAGCAGTTACAGCAATTGTTGGAGAACAGCAGTATGGTGGAGACCTTTCCTGTTAAGCTCCAGACTGCAATTGGGGATGTATTTACGACGAGCTATACCCGTCAATATCAGGCGATGATTGCCTTTGCGGCTGTGCAGATTCCAGTATCCCTGCTAATGCTCCGGCGCGGTGGACAGTACGTGGTAAAGGAGGATGAAATAACTGATTCGGATAATGGATCAGGGACGAGTGTATAATCATTGCACTAAAAGTATGTGGGCGCTACAGCATGATACTGAGGAATTTACGATTTTCAGTCACGGATACCCTTGCATTATGATCCATGGCTTGTCTGTAGATAGCCTTCTGACTCGATATTACTTGCATTTACTTTTTCTCTTCTCATTCATGTTGCTTTCTTCTGTCTTAACCCCCTTTTCCGATACGTCGAGTGTTTAGATACATATGTCATAGCCCTGAGCAGATTGATATTCTTGATCTGACAAGCGGCTACCGTAGCCTGGTTGTCAAACGCGCTCGTATTTTCTCCGCCTTGTCGACAATCAGGTCGCTGGATGAGTGCACGGATTCCCAGCTGTAAATAACCCAGTTGAGCTTTTGTCGCTCGCGCGACCATATAGAAGCTTCCCAAATGCTACCCGTGTAAGCCCTTTGGACCCAGATATCCTCGATTCACCCGGTCGGTCATCCTTTCGGCGATATCCAGCCCGCAACCATTACTACGAGCTTCGCATGAGCATGAGCCTGATTATCATAAATTATTCGCCAGCGAAAAGTCCTTTAACTACCTGCACAGCACATATACACTTTGTGCCCAGTCATCCGGCGTGTCTAAGACGCGCATATCATATCGCGTCGGCCACTCATGCTTGTACGGTCACCGAAGACATCCTGGACAGAGTCGCGCGTCTCGTATGTGGACGCTGCCTGCCAACAACTATTGTATTTCCATCGCATAGAAAGATACACGCAGATTATACTCTAGTTGACGCGAGACAATTCCAGGGAAATAATAAGATCAAGGAAATGCAAGTATATGACGCAAAGCAAAAGGTACCATGGATGACGCCAGGTTCTTATGTGGTTTCTTCTAAGTTCCATTCATATCTCTACGAAACTAACAGACTAAATGCAAGGAAGAACGAGCCTGGTTGGAATCATAGAGCACGCCATGGATCTGTCCTACGCAGAAATGACACGACTGGTCGAAGTCGAGATCCATCGCTCCCGTAATTTCTTCTTGACTTAAGCAGAAACTTGGTCGATGGTTGCTGCAAGAGGTCGCATCTTCGATACCCGATTGATGGCCCAGTCTCGATACCAAGGTTCGAGACGTCTGCCATAGATAGCTACGCGTTGAGCTCCGCCGCGACGAAGGATGCGACCGTGGAAAGCCCTAGAAGGTTCGAAGTCAAGAGCATCACGGCTGCCGGAGATAACCCTTTCACGGAAATGGAGCATGATGGTATAATATAATCCTTCGTCATGCCGAGATCATGACAGGAGCATCATGTCCCAGGGCTATCAAGCACGAAGACTTCGACTGTTGTGTTCGCTATCAGGATCTAATAGTCGAAGACCGATCGGGGCGTCGCTTCATTACTGTATCCAAGCCGGCCAACCAATGCAGGATCGACGGCTGGCCGCAACGGACTCCGAGCAAATGATGCGATTGTCAAAGAGGGAGAACCGGTCCATCCCCCCATGTATTAGCGATGGCATCAGTCGGTATCACGGAGCTTCCTGTGCTGCCCAAGCTAAGGATAGCCGTCTTCCCAACCAGCTGTGAGCTATTGCCTGCAAAACAGGTCTATGTTAAACTTCATGGGACTAGCGACAGCAACCGTCTGTATCTGGCTGCAATGGCGGGGGACTGGGGTGCTATCAACGACTTTTTGGGAGTTATCCTCGATCATCCTGAAGACATGGAGCAGGCCCTGTTGCGCGGTCTTCAGGGGCCCAAATCGTAGGCAACAATCTGCCAAGTAGCCTAGGGATCAAAGCGATGGGTGGCTAGGGAGCCGCCTGCTGAGCCCAGATTTTCATCTGTGTCGAGGGCATCAGCGCTCGGTCATAGATTACCTGTACCAGTGTAGAGGAGTCATCAAAGTCTACGGAGAGCATGTCCTGCTGAAGGACATTCCACCAACTCGAGCAAACTAGAAAAGAATTTTTGTCCTAGAGTCAACCTGGAAATAAAATTTCTCTCACACAAAGGGACGGCTGGCTTAAACAAAGAGAAATCTATTCAACTAAAAACTCTACGACGCGTTGGGCGTTGGGCAGAGTTAGGGTTGGCTTTAACACGGGGTCCTCAATGCTAATAAAATTGCCCTTGACCATTACAGGCTATGGAGTAAACCACACTCTAGAAGCAGATACTTAGTTAGTTATCACCCGTTTGTAAGCACAGTCCAACATTCAAGTTCTAAGTGATCTTTCCGTCAAAATCTTTAGTTGATGGCTGCAATCGGGAGGGACCGCGAAGAACTAAAGTCGCACCAGGCTCAGTCACCAACCACAGGAAGACAATTGGGGCTTTTATCGAGAGACAGGGCAGCGCGACTTGAATCTTAACGAGAACAGCAATTTCTCCAAATATGACCTTGATTTTAACGGGCTCTCGCGACGCTGATGGCGCTGGAGTGGATATAATTATAGACAGAAGCTCCGACAATGCTCCGAACGTTCTCCGACTCACCAAACATTGCCACATTCGCCACACCTCGGTTGGTTTGGAAGACAACTAAGCGATATCGCAAATAAAGCTCTTGACCAGATTGTTGCATATACTATTATTAGGTACGAAGTTTCACCACATGGCGTTCTACCAATACTGGACTGGTCCTCTCCAAAAACAGTAAAAAAAACATAGATCCGTCTAATGTGAAGGTGCAATGCAATGGTGTAGTATCGGATCAATCGCTGGGTTTCATTATGTATTCGTCAAGATAAAAAGGCAGATGGTCTATATCTATAGTGCTTGACGCTAATAAAGACAAGAAGTTGAGAATCAGCAACGGGCCCAGTGCTAACGCCGGATAAACTCCAAAGAATGGACAAAGAAGCGATGCAAAAGTCGAAATCAGGTAGTGAAGCTGTGGTGGTATCATATGGTTGAATTCATTTCCCGCAAAAATCCCTGGAGGGTTGCCACATTAGCTCTCTCCTCAATATACGGCGACTCCATATAGTCCAAGGGTCAAGACTCACCTCGCAGTCAAAACATAGCAATAACATCCTGTAGATCTCCGCAAAGGCTTAGTCGCGACCCCATTTCATCGCTGCGGCTGGAGTTTGGCCAGTGCTATTGTTGTAGCGGCTTGCAAGCTGTTCGCAAACGCCCCAGACGCGTCTGCGGTTGGCAACACCCATCAAGTTCAAGTCGTCCATGCCGTACCGCGGAGTGGTCATTTTGTTCAGCCACAGGTAAAGCGATTTATAGTTGACGTCCTTCTGAGTCTGGAGCGTCTGGAATTCCCAGAGCCACGGCATGTCCCACTGCATAAAACGTTTCCAGAACGAGTTATCCTGAGTGATCATTTGGACGCTGAGAGAAGCTTGAGCAAGAGCTTTCAGCGAATCCCCGGGCAAAAACATGCAAATCTGCTGTGCAATCTCCAGGGGTAGTTGGCCGAATGGATCGGTGGGGCGTCGTTCTCGGAGTTCAATCTCCAGCGAAGGACGCTTGAATTTACTATCCGTGCTCAGGTTTTGGAAAAGCTCATCGACCATGGGGGTATCTGTTGGGTTCTTGGCACAGTACTGTTGAGGGCAGAAATTGGCAATACGTTAGGCACATTACAGTCTAACCTCTGGGGCGGCCACGCTTACCTCTGCCCCAGGAATGCATTCCCAATAACGGCCCTGCGACCGTAAAATGTCGTCTCCATAGCTCAAATGCAAGGAGGAATGGTTGGTTAAAGCAGACATGACACTGTAAAGAGCGTTGAGGTTGACATTGTTGATTTCGGTGGAACCCGTGAGTACTCGGGTCAAGATTTCGAAACAGCTCCAATGGAAGGGGAGGACTGGGCCGGCTGCGTCTTCGGTTCCCTCGTCGTAACTGCAAGAACGTTAGCGATGGAGTGTTTATGGTTCTCCCTTCGAGGGATCGGATCGGAGAGGTCAAAACCGACCACATAAAGGTTTTCCGGGCCGAGGGCTGATATTGATCTTGAGATAAGATTAGCCACGCTCATGCAGTTCATCAGCATCGTGTAACACATACCACTGCCGGGTTTCACCACTAGTTCTCCCTGTGACAGTAGCGTGTAAGCTTCTCGAACGGTGGCTTGCTTCAAAGTATGTTCAGATGTCGCCTACAATATCCGCATAATATCCCGGACCAGAAATAAACGCTCTGTAACCGTGTCAGACGCAAATTGACTCGCTGCTGGCATCTATAGGCACGCACTTGTTCGTTTTCGAAGTACCGGAGGGAGGAGGATTCGACCCCAGGCAGTAAGCCTTGTAGAGCCAGGAGATGTTATCGGTGTCGACCAAACGAGGATCGTAACTGCGCACGGGGGCATCACTTTCTTCGGTGGGAATCTGGGTGATGTCTTGGCCTGCCTCGAGCGCCCGGCATCTCTTTTCAATCCACCGTCTTCGTCGTTCGATCGCGGTCTCCGACGGGGACTCAATGTGCATGCCGGTGAAGCTGACACCGCAGATCGCGCAGTAACAATCGTACGCCATGGTGAAGGGAGGGTTGAATCTGACTTCTGGGAATTGTCCGTTACACGGAGGGGCGTTTGAATAGATAAAAGAGAAAGAAGGGAAAAGTTCAGTGCCTGGATTCCAGAATAAATGGTTCAGGGGGTCCACAGTGGAGAAGAGGATGGGGCAATAAATAGACAACCATGATAGGAGAGTGCCAGAAAACTCTTAGCGATGATCATCTTGACCGCCATGTCCTCGAAAGTTGCCAGGTCATCCCCCTCATCAATGCAAAATAGCGTTGCGAGCGGGTCTGGTCGACTGTCCTGGTTGAATGTAGCTAATTCTGTTACATTTCACAATCCTGATTTGTACTGTAGCTCTCTAAAACCCTCCCTCACCGCCCGGAGATCGCGTCCCATGGCTCCCCGACTCACCAAACTCACGATGCTCATAAGGGGGCTTATTAATAATTTAATGCTCCAGGGGTAGCTTTCGTTTCCTTTCTGAGATCGTCTCTGCCAAATCTTGAGATCCATTATTAAGGTTTTCCCAGTCAATGACTCGGGATTTCCAGTTCAATGCAACAGAGCTAAAATCCGGGGTTCTCCAGTATAGGGTTAACTACTAGTAATGTGACCGCCTCGGACAATTGACACGTCTACACTTCCAAGCACAGATTGGGTGATGTCCTCAAAACCACACCACTCGAGCTATGGGCCTTCTCTGTCGCTGCCCAGGGTGGAACAAGTGTCAGCAATTCCTTTGTTGCCAACCACCGTCAAGGGTCATCTGACCCAATCCGGGTTCCAGACCTCCCGTGTTGAGAAATTCATATCCTTGGGAGGCGCACGCCATCTGTCCCACTAACAATCTTAGCGCGACGGCGATGCGCCACTAATTGTTGGTTGCAGCTTCTGGAAGACACTCATGACCTCGAAGGATGAGCTGAGCTGATACGGCGCGGGTAGATTTCTGTTCATTTTTTTTTTTGGTTTTTTGGTGGCAAACCGCGGCTGCGAACCAAATCATAGCTGGAGTGCCGACCGAACGTGGCAGCATTGATCGGCCAAAGCCAGATAATCCAGTTAAACGCTCGAAATCGACCAACAGCCACCCTGATCGTATCCATGCGTCCCACGGTCGGGGCTGGGCGGAGTTGTGCCGCGGCAACGAATGCGTCCTTCCTCCGTCTAGCGGAGCGGAAACTTTTTCACCCCCTCCATTTAGCATTGACTCTCCGGATATGGCGCCGGTACTTTTGTACATAATTCTGGTTCCTGGCAAAAGTTGCTTATCAACGCCACCCGGAACTCCGGCACGATCGTTGACCGAGTTTGCGACCTGTTGATGATAATTTATTTGCCTTGCGGTGCCCTTACCCAGGCATAAACGTTGAGGGAACCCAGGTACGACGCGTATGGTGTCTGCAAGTTGCTGAAATAGGAATCAATCTCGATTATATAGAAACCTAATTACTGGCCAGTTCTGAGTGACGATCTGGTGCGTGTAGCTCCAACGTTATCATCACACCAATTTGCCAATCACGCGTTTCTCTTCGATCCAGCGTCATCACCAATTGTAAATATGCGTTGGCGAGTAGCATTGTCCTACCAAATGCAAGGGATATGTAACCGATACTCCCATGTCTGGCGCGTTAGATGATCCACGAGGACATAGGTATGACCGCGAACAGGCCCAAGGGTCTGAGGTTACATGGAAGTTGAGGCCGCATGCAGTGATCTTTCAAGAACATACTGACCATCATGTATACTTAAGCCTCAAATTGTACTAATTTTACGGCTACTTGGGCTTGTAACTCAGGGGTAGAGTGCTCGCTTCGCATGCGAGAAGTCAGGGGTTCAATTCCCCTCAAGTCCATTTCTTTTTTTCCCCTCATTTTTCTGGCATTGCTTTCGACTGTCTGTTTGTTCTCTTTTCCTATCATAAGAACTCGAGACTTACATTCTACGTTTATATTTTCTTTCCGTATTAGCTTATCACGTTTCCTCCCATCTCTGATTATGCACTAGTCCCAGGCGCGACAGGCCCAGCTACCCCATGGCGCATGGGTCACGGTCCATCCATGATCGTTTCCCCATATCGACGATACTAAACTTTTATAAATGGGAAACCGAAATAATACTTGTAGAGTATAGTAATCAATCAATATTAATTCAAGGTTTACATTAAACATTTGAGATGAACTGGAGTATGTCAGTCTGTTACAACACTATCATGGGAGCCGATATATATAATGGCAGAACAGTGACCCCAATCAGGCGATCTTCGCCTAGCCTAAAAGGAAATAACCTCGTTTATGTTACAAAAACATGCAAAAGTATTTCATTTCCACACTGATCGTAAAGTGGTAGATATCATTCCTTGTTCACAATTCTGTTGTCGAAGTTATCGTTACGTTAGAGTCGTATCCTCATCTTAAACTCAATGCTTAAGTATATTATGAAATTTTCCGAATCTTTTACCATCCATCTTAATCCCAAGATATATATCGAGAATGTGTATGAGGATAGCTCACATTTATCAGAGCAGACCCCAAACAATACTCACTATATTGAGAGATAATCCATATATACTGTTGGATGTCATGCTTCAGTTCATGAAGCTCAAGTACATGATCCAAGTTGAACCAGTCATTCCACCAAGCAATACCCCCCCCGCCCACCTAAAAAAAAAGTAAACGAAGACCCAGCAAGAGGCTGAGCTAGATCAAGATATGAGAGTCAGCTTTGTCTTGTTATTTGTGCTATGATGGAAGTGTTCAAGAGTATAGACTGATGCCTATCTACTATCTACTGCACAAGGGATATATCAGAGATGCTCGCAGAGCCTGGCCGCGCTAACGGTCGTTCGAAAGACCCCCTGTGATATCTTTGGTTTACTCTTGAGCTCCACATATTGCTCAGGCTTCCTACTGTCTATGTCCTTCGTAGAACACGGGGTTGATATATCATTCTTGCCATATTGTTGACAAGTTGGAATACACTCTAGACAATTCCTTGACTCCAAGTATCGTGCCTTTCTTCCTATCAAGGACAGTGGCTTAAGACAGATAATACGTAATTGGACAGTAACAGACCCCCCAATCCAAGTCTCAGCCAAGAGACATATCTTACCCACGCCGCGTTGCAGCTGCCTGGTAACCCAAGAATAAACTTGACCCAGGAGGTACGGCAGACTACTCTAAGCCAGGACAGGAGGGAGAAATATTTCAGGCTTCTCATAATCCCGTCGCAACCTCGTCCCAGATCTGGTGAAGGAATGGTTTAGCTAAACTTTGTTGATGAATATATCGGCCAGTTGCTCCCGTTTTCGGCAGGGTAGGTACAAACGTGGGGCAAATGCTTACTGTATCCATCGTAACCTGATCGCTGGACCTAATGCTTGAATACTATGTAGCAAATCTCATGAGCTGGTGTGACCGACTCCCGGATAATCTACGGAGTACATCCGAACCTGCTGGCGATGTGCAGGAGAATGCCAAGCAGTGTAGACCGGAGTTAGCCGGCATGCATCGAGGCATTTTCCAGTGCCTCGCAAATTTTGAGACATGCAGTTCTGGGCAATAGCTCTGCAGTCTATTGATCCTACTATCGCATATGGTCGGTTGAGATGTCGAGGGTTCAAATCTTCTGGACAATCTGCATCGCCACTACCGGGTCTTGCTCCGTATCCAAATTAACGGTTTCTGAAAATGGGGTTGGATCTGCACCCGCTAATGATTTTGGTTCTGAATCATTGTCCCCCTGTCTTAGGCTGTAGAAAGTTCGCCCTGTGTCATTGTTTTGCCCAGAGCTCCATAGCCTTTTCGCTGTTCAAGAACACGTAACGCAGTTCACCTCATCATTATGACAACAGGTGCGGTATCCCATCCTCCCATCTTGCTGGCGGGGGATTTTCAGTGGCGTGAGGAGACAACAAGGATATTGATCAAAGATTGCCGCCCCATCTACCATGTTTAGGGCATTGCTCCGGACCAAGTTCAATATATGGAGCCAATGACGGACACTAGAATGAGACAATGTCTGTAATGTGGAGCAGCGGCTGTTCTTCTACCCGTTCAGAATCTCGTCTCTGCGAAACAACTGTCTCTCCTAAAATTAACGGCTCCTATTTCCCGATTGGTTGCTCCCTCGATTCCGAGGGCTTCAGAGCGTGGCAACTGAGGGCACAGCACCCCACGTGATGGACAAGACCCCAATGGCATCGCTAACTATGGGCCGATATGAAACTAAACTCGAGGGACTGCGGAGCGGACCGGCTAATTATAGCTTTAGGGTCGACTATTCTGCAGGATGACAACATGGCACCCATCGAACCGCAGTATTCTCCCGTTGTCCCTAAGATTTCAATCTCCAGAGCGGACAGTTAGCGGGTAATAGTTGCCATCGATGTCTTGGACGAGGGTTCATCGCCTTGACTAGGTTACCACTCTTAACATATAAAAGCCTTTGTCATTCCCCTTCTCCCTGCTATCATTCACTCATCAGTCAATCAATCCATCCAATCGTTCAAAACACCTTCGTTCTCTTTCAAACCCATTCGTTTACCGCCAACCTTTCAAAATGCAGTTCAAGAACCTTGCTCTCGCTGCCTCCGTCGTTGCTACTGCCGCCGCTGCCCCGGCTGCTGACAGCTGCTCCGCACCGGCTTCGACCCCGTCTTCTACCCCTGGCGCTGGCGCCACTCAATACTTCGGCGTCATCGCCATTCATTCTGGCAGCGGTGTCCAGAACGCTGGCTTCAGCGCCGCCCAGGGTAGCCTCATCGCTGGCCTCCAGAACAAGGGATCCAGCTGCCAGGAGACCAGCTTCTACATCAACGACGGTGTTCTGAACATCTACGACAACACCGCTCGTCCCCAGAAGGTCTACGTTGACCGCTCCGGCATGGGTACGTGAAGCCTTCCACCCATACCCCAACAATGTACACCAAAAGCTAACCATATCATAGGCCAGGGCAAGATTGGGTACACCGTTGGTGTCGAGCCCGCCCCCAAGAACGCCGAGCGCAAGGGCTGGGCCATCAAGGATGGCCACCTCCAGTTCGATGGATCCGACCTCATCGCCTGCCCCGCTGCCGACGGCTACAGCATCTGGGCCAACGCTGGTGTCGCCAACCCCGCTGGCAACAAGGATTGTGTTGGCATTGCTGCTCGCATCATGGAGACCAAGACCCCCAAGCCCTGCTGGGCCAACTAAATTTGTGCTTTAGCGTTTCGTTCTTTGGCGCGAGGACTTGTATAAAGAATTGATTTCTCCTTGTGCATCTTCCTTTTACTGAGCGGATTGTGAATACTTCTGTGGAACTACTTATTTATAATATATAAACCTTCCTTGAAGGGAAACAAATGATTCCAGTTTATTAAGCGTAATTAGTTTCTTTATGGCCTCATTTTTTGTAGACGACCACTACGTGATATGTCACGGTTCTCGGATTGAGGTGCGGGTTCATAGCTGAGCATTTATAGTCGCCCAGAGTGGTTACGTAGATGTGTTGATACTAGGGGGAACTCAGCCAGAGCTCGGTATTACATATCCAAGCAGATGGTGGTTCTTTAATCTTTCATGGTAGCGGGTTTGTGGATCTGGCACATTTTACGTTGCATCCGCAGATCTGCACCAGATTGTGTAATTGAGACCTAGAACATGGAAAACATTCTATTGACTCCAATTGTCTTTTAACACAAATGAGTGGACCAACTCCGTTATCATTACGTCAATAGTCAAGACCAATTCTAGCTTTCCGCATGGATGGATATGGTTCAGTCATCGACGGTTGCGGTCGCGGCACCGGGCGGATAAACCGTCAGATAACTTTAATTGACGTCTAGAATATACTCTGGAGTATACATGACAACGAGACATGCGTGTACATATGGCTTTCTTGTAGTGACACGAGAATCTCAACCGGAGAACACACATCTTGGCCACGAGTTGATCAGAATTGATGTGGCCCGCCCAAGCAGAAGGTTGCTCAGCCTACGAATTTCTTTTGTTTTAGGCACTAGAAAACCTGCGGACAGATATTGCTGCTTAATACGAAACAGGGTACAATACAAATGTAGACATCATGACTCTATCAGGACTGTATATTAGTAAAAACTGACTCTTGTGGCGATTGGAGTTGAGATTTAAAATTCAGTTGGTTTGAATCCCAACAAACCATTTACTACGTTTATTGCGTAACTCTTCCGTATGCAGTTAAATAAACTGCCACTATATGTTATTCTGTTCTTTATCCATGGAACTAAGGGTGTGGTATCAGTTCTATGATATAATTGACTCTGATATGACGGCCGGCATGACAACTAAGTATAAATACGGCAATGGTGACCATCCCATCTCGCATGAAGAAACGATGGGTTAAGTACAAATATCAAAGCAATTATCACTCAAGTTCAAACCGCAAAATCAAGTAGTGTTACGAACAATAATTCAAGATGAAGATCACAAACACACTTGGCCTTCTCTTCACTGTTCTCGCCACCTCTGCCTCCGCTACTCCTTTCTATTATGACTGGTCTGACAGTGTGACCATCCAGCTTTCCAACGACTGGTCTGGCGCAAATGCTAAAGCCCACGTCGAAACCGACGGCAAACCGCACCCAATCCAAGAGCTCTTCGACGGCTCAGATATTGAACAAGACGGCAAGATCTTTGCAACAAGCGTCCAGCTCATCAAATTTCACCATGATACGCTCTGTCGCGTAATTCAAAGCGACCCTCAGGTCAAAGTCACATTGGACGACGAACATACTTGGTCGTTCCTGGAGCGCGGGGCCTGGGTGGATGTACACCGTGGTGTGGTGGTCTGCATCGAAAAATAGTTAAATTATGAGTAAGGGTACATATTTCTGCAAGTGGAGGTGCCTATCATACAGCTATGCTTCTGTCAGAAGCAGTTGCTTGGATTGCACACGAAGATGGGATATTTCGCACTGTTTCTTTAGGTTATTGTTTTATTTGTATTCTTCCTAGGGTCAGGAACACGACCTAGCAAAACTTCATCTTGGATTCTTTAAAGATGTAGTCGAATAGTAGTGAGTATTGGTCGGTACTCCTAAGAGATCCAGCTGAAGAAGCTTGTGAGTAATGATTAATGACACATTGTAATCGATCAAAAAAGGCGACCGCAATAGTCTCTACGGGTGCATATAGTAAGCACAGTAAGCTGGGGTCACAATAGGATACAGCGTGCCTCGTAAGGTAGGAGTAGCAACAATGCCATATTTATCTTACTACGAGAAAGTAAGAGTAAAACCGAGAATCTCTATTCACAGACTCACCTGGAATCCCTAGCATGCAGCTCCAAAGTTATGTGTGGATTAGCATTTGTCAGAATAGCTCATGGCTAAAGATGGTGCAAAATCGCTACACTTCTATACATACCAGAGGAAAATCAGGAGTTTCTAGCTCCTCGGTTTATTGTGGCAATGTTCCGTATCCAATAATTACTTGAGTCATGCCATCCACAGATCTCTTCAAATCAGATGTGACTGTATGCCTGCCACCCCACGGCTGGTTAATTTCTCTTTTTCTAATGAGATCTTCAGGAGATCCCAAACAAGTCAAGATCATCTCGCCGCCCCGCACTGGCTACGAAAGGAGCTTCAAGGAGGCCTAAACTCTGTACATTCCGAGTCGAGAGTTTATTCTGCCTTTGTCAGTCTGAGGAGCATTAATTAAAAGCGCAGCCTCCCTCCGGTAATGGCTTTCGCTGCTAGCATGAGTGTATACTGGAACTCTACGACAGAGCTGGCCGATCGCGTAGGGCGGGAAGACACTGGCGTATTGCTCGAAGATAATTTTTTTTTTTTCAATCGATATGAAATAACGCTATTGAAGCATCGCTCCCCCTGGCCCTACGGAGTACAATTGACGCCCTTGCTTGGAGATGGAAGAGGTTACATCTCCACCAATCAACCCTCGCAAACCCTGTCAGGTGCGATGGAAGCCCTGACTTAGCCTTGTGTGGGGAGATGCCAGGGAATGTTACAAGGTGAGCTCAGCTCTGTGTTGACGGATGTAATTCTTTTCATAAGTAGGTAGATTAACTGGTGCGATGTCTGTAGGGCATTCTTTGTCCACATGACATAGTGACATCATCTACAAGTTACAATGTCCACAAAACCTATATGAACTATGGTGAAGAAGTGTAGATACATTGACTTGGATTCATTGAGGTATTGTTGTGTTTATTTTTTCACCCCACCCCCTTTATTTGATTATCTAAACAATCGGCGAAGCATCAGAGGGAAATGTTGCATTTTTCCAGGGGTCTTGGCATGTCGCAGAAAATTTCCCCAGATTCTGTTCACCAACAAGCAATTCCTTGGGCTCTTGACATCCGATTAAGCCTGGGGAGAATTTACCCATGGAAAAGATGTGAAACGAGGGGCCCATAGGAATTTGAGTGAGTCCTCAGAGCTTGCGTAGAAGGATTTCTACCTTCCTCCTAGTAACCTCGGTACTCCTGAATACCTGACTAGGGGTAATCTTATGGACAAGATTTGTTTCTAAAATAAAATAAAGGAAGAAACATGACAGAAACGTACGCAGGACGGAGTCCTCCAGAAACAAAACCCGCAGAGACCTTGTCCAAATGGCAGTGCCAATTGACTTCGGAATTGGATTGATCGAAAGCCGTTTTCAGTTGAGGAGCCCTTGTTTCAGAATGTCAATTTTAGATACATTTCTTATCCGCATTCCGTCTAGTGTGGGAGAGCCCCTTAAACAGTCCGTAGTTATTGGACCATTGCTCAGACGCTACTAAGATTAGACTCCCACCGTGTTTGGCGCTAATTAATTCTCGAATTGCCCTGCCTGCTTTCCTTCTCAGATCAGCCCCTGATCTTTCCTTTTAATCTTCCTTCTTCCCATGTTCTCGAACCGATCGTCAATCCCATCCACCCTGCATCCGCCCTCGAGATGCCTCCAATGGCATCATCCCTGTGGATTCGCGAGTGTCAGGATGACAACTCTGCAGCCTGCGAGAAGCCTGTGAGTAACTTCACTAAGAGCGGTGTCCCTGGCATCATCGTTGGGGTGTAAGTACAGTGGTGTTCCCGATTGTTATACTCCGAGGGAGAGACTGATCGTTTCCCTAGTTTATTCCTGATCGCGGTCGGAGTCTGCTGTTATTTCCTTTATCGCAATAAGAAGAGAGACGCCATAGAAGCAAAGGCGGCTCAAAAGTGGAATGACAACGACCTGTAGACTGCGGTCTTCCACCAGCTTACCCCGATAAATCCCCGGATAATCCCACCTTACGTCCTAATACCCCTGTTTCGACCACAACACTTTGTTTCCGTTCAGTGAATGGGAGTTGCTCCGGCAAGGGCAATCCACTAAGCGTTGCTGAGCATCGCAGAGGTGATCAAGAGTACATATGTCGGATTGAATACGCGTGCGTGTTGCTACGAGTGATGCCGATAATCGCCTGTCACCCGCGGGGAATAGCTGACACGTCATCCAACGGTCTTACTGTGACTGACACACAACTGCTGTCCTAATGAGAATATACACGAACTCGGCCCATGTGCCTATATGGGTGGTTTTTGGGAGGGAGTGAATACCTGGTGCAGCATCTTACAACCCAGCGGCGGATGCATGCCATCCACGGTCATCAATCATCTCCGGTTCCCTTGTTGATTCTGGTACTGTACTACATGTTTTCGGTTTGTCTTGCGTCCTTTGGAGCGTTTGAATTTATCTGTATATATATCACGTTGTCGACTTCAGGTGTTGTATGTAAACTGCATGGTTGATGCATAAAGAGAGTGACTAGGCAATGCAGTCGCTAAACGACCATAAGTTTCAGCCTGTCGGCTATGGGAGCCCGTGACAACGGTAAACCTACTCAGCATCGTCGGAAAATCTCCACTGAGTGGGTCAGGAAGATGGTTGCGGTGATTGAGTAAACAAGTTGAAGCATAAACTTAGAATCATTACCGCACCCAGTCGTGTTGCTGAGTATCGCCGCAAACGAGCGCTTTAGGTTTGAAGCCATCTCGGCAGGCGCAACTTGCAGAAGAAAGGGAAAGCTTGGCTCTGCTGGCTGATGACATGGCTGCAGGGCTTGGAGCTACAGCTCGATTGCCTATTTGACCTATCATATCTACATAAATAGTTCTGAACGGTAAACTTTGCTAGTCAGTGGGCTCATCAAAGGACAAAGCTCCGTTGCTCACCAGGACATTACATCTGGTATCGTACGGTAGAGCTTATATCTCCGATATACGACTGTTTCTTGCGTAAAGATTGCAGCCGAAAGAGCTCTCTATTCATGTTTTCCGACATACCAGATGGCAAGTAGAGCTTCGACACAATTGTTATCATTTTTATATTGACACGTCGAATTGGCCCACTGTGATGTCGTTCAGGTATATTTATTCTATATTTTAACCCAGTGTTATTTTCCATCTGGCTTCAATAATCTGCCGCGCAGTCAAGAGCCCAAATCCAAATCTAGACCTGACACCCAAACCATACTATGGGACTTGAGACATTCATACCTCCCGACGTTAACATAATCTCGCTTCGCTAATGAACACAACCATGTTTTGAATAATTACCTAACTGTATATCGCTGCTAGACTGAGTCATGAGTACCGCGTTTTTGTCTGCTTCACCAGGGTTTTTCATCACATATTCGCCCTTCAACGCGCAGAACACTATTCGCGTTCCCAATGCTACCTGGAATCGAGGTCGGCTTTTCTGGTCTACCTTTAGCCTTATGTGGCTGCCTAATCGATTCATCCGTCTTCTGACATACCGAAAGTTGCAGAATGCCTTCACATTTCAGCTGGCTGGCCTCTCACGAGTGGATCAATCCGACCTCTATGTCTATCTATAGCACCCACCGTATACAGAACACCTTCTGATAATATATGCTATGGGAAGCTGATTCATGAGCGAATGGGGTTGTAGTCTGCTGGATGGGATATCTTCCCTGGAGCCTGCTATTATATGGGCTTGTTTACAACAATGTGGTGTTCTTCATATTCAAACTATTGGTCTTGTATCCGCGGAGAAACGACGTTCTCTTCCGGAAGGTCTTTGGCGAAGAATAGGAAATGTACCACCGTAACACAGCGTGCTTAATCCCCGTGGCTTTCTAAGGAATTACTTGAGCATCTTGTGCTCATATTCGAGATTGGAGTGTGATTATATTAATTGCCTTGTCTTATTTCATTCAGTATCCAGCTATTCTCCGTGCTTTCAATCATTCCGTCGTGGATAGATGCTCTCAGTTCCTTGGCTTACGTTACGCCTTTTCGAGATACATGTTGCTGTGTGTCGATTATAATAACTCCGGTATGGGTAGTATGAACAACGGCCTCTCATTTTAGTTATGTAACCTGGATGTGAATTTAACTCGGCAGGCTCGGTACATGAAAACTGGATGCAGATGGTTGTTAGCGCCAGAGTCTAGCGGGGCAGATGTCTTACATGAGATGCTATCGTAAGAATTATGTGACTTCGCCAATATTCCGCTCATCCGAAGTGGGATATGAAAATACCCTGGTTGGCTAGATGTGGTTGGGGCGAATCCTGAGCAGAGTTGGGTACTTGGGTATACCAGCATGATAATCCTCCCCTCTTGACGCCGTAGAAAATCAATGTAACCTGACCAAGGTCGTTATGTAATTCTTAAGTAAATAGTCATTCACCAAGTCTGTATGCAGTCTATGCTGCGTAGGAGTAAAGGATAGAAGCCGTAGTATATCCATTTTGCCCAGAGTGACAATTTGAAACCTCGGTAGCCCTATAAGGAACGGGCTAACAATCTGATAAACCGTATTAATCAATCAACCGAAGCGGGGTCTATTTCCAGTTCCGGGGTAGTGCAGCGATAGTGCTAATGAGGGTCGTATCAATGACTCTAACATGGATAATTATTGGTAGCCACCGTTCGAAAACGAATCCCTGGTCTTGCCCATTGCCTCTAACTCATGGCCCCCCTCTTCTGTACCAACTTATCTTGCTCTTCGTCTGAGCTTCTCGCTGTTCAACGCCTGTCTAGGCCTAACGTTTCGAAACCATTTCCCCTGTATGAACGTCATGAGATGGTCTTTGGCTGTAGCAGTAGGATAATGCACGGTCCGAGATTCGAGTTAGTATCCGTGCATGAGGGAATAAATGCCTCCATCCTAGGCAGAAGAATTTCTTCGGGTCCACCAACATGGCTCTGATTGCCGGTTCTCCACGGAACCATCCCAATGCGGTAACCCGTGGACCAACCTCAGCCCTACAAAGCTTAGCCGAGTCTTGTTCGGCATAGGGCTGACCCGGCCATGGAAACAGCTTCTCACAGATTTGAATGATAATATTTGTAGAAAAGAGCGCACAAAAGCAGGGTAACGTTGCAAGGGGTGAGCGCTGTGTAAACGGCCAAGGCGTGTATATTCCATATAGCGCAGGAGAGGTCTAACCTGGCAGGGATCTCGCCCTTATCTGATTCCTTGTGGCAGGCAAAACATGCGATGATATGATGTCCCCACTCGGCCTATCTAATTTCGGGGGACTGAGACTAGAGCTGCCTGTTGTCCCACAAGGCTGGAGTCACCGGAATTTGACCGACAGATTGTGCGATGGACAGATCCTTTCCACCGAGAAGTTCCGATCGTTGGATTTTTCATCCCCTTTCCAGTTCTGCCACATGTTAAGATTAGATCTTATCTGATAAATATATCAATCATATCTGATCCGGCCGATGTCCCCGTTCCTGGTTCAAATCAAAACTTGAGCCATGGCCGTCGAGTGCAAGGAAGCGATTGCCAACGCACAGCCAGAGCCGGAGCTGGGGGATAAGTCAAACGCTACGGAGAAAGATGACAGTAAAGCGCTACCACTCCATCAACATCGGTTCGCTTTCGCTAATGATAAACATCACAGACTCTTCCGTCGGCGAGATTTTACGAGCAGCGGGCATTGACCCGGACGACGACGATCCAACAGAGCCCGTCCTGACGATGCGGATGTGGGTGCTGGGAATTGGATTCTGCATTGTTGTCAGCGGTCTGAACACGTTGTATACCTTGAGAAACCCATCCATCACCATCTCATCGGCGGTCGTACTTTTGCTGGCTTATCCTCTCGGGAAGCTTTGGGAGAAAGCCATCCCAAGTTGGAATGTTCCGCTTGGCGCGTGGTCGTTCAACCTCAACCCGGGCCCTTTTAATAAGAAGGTAAACACTTGCGAATCATATTGAAGATGTTGATACTGACCCGGGCTATACGAATAGGAGCACATCCTGGTATACGTCATGTCGAATTTAAGTATCTACGTTCGCCTCGGGGCGGATGTCTTGACCGAACAACAAATGTTCTTCGGCTATAAGGCTGGGTGGGGATTTCAGATCCTCATGACAATGGCAGGCTTCTTCGTTGGATTGTCGCTGGCGGGAATATTTCGATCGCTTGTCGTTTTACCTCATGAACTCGTGTGGCCGGGACTCCTGGGCACCTCAGCGCTCACATCGACGCTCCATGGATCAAAAGAGAAGGATGCTCAGGCAATGTGAGTGGGCCTAATGCTACCTGTGAAGCATCTAACCGAGTGCAGTGAAAGCTTCGGCTACACAACCTGGAAGATATCCCGTTATGCCTTTTTCAGCTTGGTCTTCTGCATCTCGTTCTGCTGGTACTGGTTTCCAGATTTCATCTTTCCTGCGCTGAGCTACTTTGCTTTCCCGTGCTGGATCGCCCCAAAGAACACAGTTGTGAACCAGCTGTTTGGGATGAAGAGCGGCATGGGTCTCTTGCCACTCACTTTCGATTGTGCGTGTGCCCATTCAGGTTTCGTGCCATAGCGCTGACAATCGTATAGGGAGTCAAATTTCCTATGTGGGATCTCCCCTCGTCGTCCCATCCTGGGCTATCATCAATGTCTTCGGAGCACTAGTGTTCTGGATCTGGATCGTCGCCGTTGCCTGTTACTATACTAATACATGGTACTCCGCATACCTTCCCTTCCAAAGTTCTTCCGGTATAAACCACCCGATAAAGTGTACAATATTTGCCTCAAAATATGGCTCTAACGGTCACACCAATAGTGTTCGACAATACAGGTAGCACATACAAGGCTGCGAAGATCGTGAACAAGGCCTCAAGATATCAGTTGGACGTGGCTAAATATGAAGCATACTCACCGGTATGAACTATCTAGAACAGGACCTGGCACCATCAAACGGTCTTGCTAACTACCATAGGTCTTCATGCCCGTGACCTATGCGTTAAATATGTTCGGCTTATCATTTGCAACCCTAACCTCGCTCGTGGTCTGGATGTTCCTCGAGAAGCGACAGGAGATTGGGGATGCTATGCGCCGCGTACGACAAAAATTCGCAAAGGGCAACATAAGAGAGCTTTTTGCCTCAGACCATTCGCCGAACGCGGAAGTGCCAATGGGGTGGTATCTTTGCACCACCGTCTTGGCGTTGTTTCTCGCGATCTTTTCCGTTGAATATTGGGATGTGGAGCTGCGTTGGTACGGTGCATTACTGGCGTGTGCTGTTGCTCTATTTTTCTTTTCTCCGGTAGGTGACTACCGCCTGTGGGTCAGACCTGTGCAGTATGAATCACTAACATTGCCTCCATAGCTTGCCTTGGTCTATGCAACAGCGAACCAGAAAATCAACATCGACATCTTCTGCCGAATTGTAGCCGGCTTTGTCTTCGAGGGCCGTGTTCTCGCCAACATCTGGTTCTTCAACCTCGGCTACGTGACCACAATCAAGGGTCTCTACTTCTGCCAGGATATGAAATTAGGAATCTACTTCAACGTTCGTGCCCCTTGTGAAAGCCATTCACGTTAAACTAACCTTTTCACTAGATCCCGCCACGAAAACTCTTCATCGCACAATGTGGAGGCATTATAGCCGGCACGTTAAGCAGTGTCTGCGTGCTCAACTGGGGCCTGGGCAACATCGAAGGCGTCTGCACAACCGACGCAGTGAATGGATTCAGCTGTCCGTTCTCCCGAACGCATTTCAACACGAGTCTGATCTGGGGTGCGATCGGACCGCGTCGCTTCTTCAACAATGAGATCGGATACCACTCGCTGCTATATTTCTTTATCATCGGCGCTGTGCTTCCCGTGGTGGTGTTCTTTGCTAGACAGCGGTATCCGAAGAACCTCATCTTACAGAAAGTTCACGTTCCCCTGTTCCTCGGCGGACTGAACTATCTCCCGCCTGCCACGGGCACGACATATGGAAGTTGGGCGCTTGTGGGGCTAGCCTTTGGGTGGATTGTGAGGAGGCGTCTGTATGCGTGGTGGTATAAGTATAACTTCGTACTGAGTGCTGCTCTGGATTCCTCTGTTTCCGTCGCTGGGGTGGTGATTTTCTTTGCTATCTTTTTCTCGGGGGCTTCATCGCATTTCAGTTGGTGGGGGACCAAGGTTTATAAGGTGAGTGTTATTTTAACTCTGATATTAGAATTTGGCGGACCCAGGGAACTGACAAGAAATAGGATACATGCGACTGGAAAGGCTGTTCATATCTCCCAATCCCGAATAGCGGGAAGTTTGCATGATAGTGCTGGGGGATACCGATGATTCCGGCTGTGCTGGAGCTCCTCTGATAGAAGCATACATACCAGGGGCTTTAATAGAATTGTTAAAGAAGAGACGGCTAGTTGTGGATAGAAGAGCAGATTATTGAAGTTGCATATTGTACATACAGCTGACTCAATTGAATTAATCATAATGACGGGATGTACATGTACACACGTCTTTTATTTTGTATTGATAAATATCTCAACCTTCCGCCACCGCTGCGTCGTAAGTGACCGTTAATGCCCCCAAGGAGGCGCGATAAAGTAGACAATACCGTGCCCTACTGAAGCGACGAGAGGCCCGACCTTGTGCAGAGAAATATGTTAGACATGCATGTATAAGTTCATCTCCAGTACGTACCCAGTGAATCCAATGGTATCCCGGATAGCTGGTGGCTACATACACACCAAAGCACCGGGCCGGGTTTAACGCTGCCATGTAGACAATGTGTCAGCGTATCCTTTCTGTTTAAATTGGCCAATAGTTGTGCGTCTATGGTATACTCACAAGCCCCAGCATAGCCAGCGCGGCTGAAGGATGAGCCCCAGCTCAGAACGCCTAGAGTCATACCGACTAGGAAGGGAGACAGCGCAGCGCCATAAATAGAACCCTGTCTTGGGTCCAGGCCAACACCGAAAGAGAGGAAAATCAGTACTAAGGAGAAGATAAATTCGAGCAAGAATGCCTCGTCTACAGGTACCAAACTGGTGTTCACTGAACAACCTCCTACGGTGAAGTCCCTGGACCCATAGGCGCTTCGAAGCATGAAGCCAGCCAAAGCACCGCCAAGGGTTTGACCGAGGAGGTAAATAACCATTCGAGGAAGTGATATTAAACGGGCGAAAAAGGTGGCCAGAGTAATGGTCGGGTTGAGATGGCTGCCACTGACGTTCGAAAAAGAGAAAATGAACAGAGTCAGGAACATCCAATTGCTAAGACCGCCGAATATTGGTCCCAAGAATGCCGCGGTAGAGTACACGCCGGCTGGTGTAGTCGGAGTGACATTCGCCGACGCGGAAGGTGGTCGTATGGCCATCCAAGAGGTTACGAAGACCATCATCATAGTACCTGGTGGGTTGAGTAAGCTTTCCCGTAATTGGAGGTTCAATGCCCGTCTTGATAGCGCCCACCCATGCATTCGACGAAGCCGAACTTCCAAAGGTCAATGTCCCAGAATCCGCGCAGGTCGAACCCTTCACGAACTGTCATCAGCGGCGCCGCATCGGGCGTCTTCTTCAAGAGGTCCGCATTGCTAGGATCATGGCGGTCGACTACAAGCGCTTGGTTGCCTCCGATCCTTCCGGCGAAGGGCTGTATAACGGGCATAGGACGTGGCATGTTGGCACTTTCTGGAAAGGTAGTGGTATCCATGATGGCAGGATACACGTCTTGTTGGAAGGATCAAAAACTTCTATTGTATTCCTGATCGCCGAATATTAGCCAACAAAGCGAGGTGTAAATTATGGATAGATTTAGTCTCGACGTGGTTGTAGTCAGCGATTCTCGGGCCCTAAATCTTGGATGACCTCACGACTGTCGGTACCGTTCACTCACCACGTCGACTGTTACAAAGAACCACGAAAGTGTTGCTATTTTTTGAAAGCTCAATCTCCTACCAGCTGAAGAGAGCACGACCTGCATTGTAAGTTAGTCTCAAGAACCCCTATCTCTAGCTATTATACGTGTCAAAAAATTAGCGGCGCCTGACACCGGTTAGGTCTAAAGTTTAAATTTGCTTAATTTGTTGTGGATCACGTAAGGATTAGATAAAGCTTAGATCGGGATGAATAATCACCTGAAATGCTCATATCAACCTCCTGTTGGACCAAGGGAGTTACATACTTCATATTAAACGCCATCGACTGATAGGTATAGTCCTGCAATTGACTATCCTATGTACACCCTATGCAGAGGGATCTTGACCGCTTGTTTCTATCACAGCCCCGTGGTGTGCCATTCATCGGACTTCGATCTATCATTTATGGTGATACAATCTTGGCCAATCCCCGTATTCATCTGGGCCACAGCTACCATCGACCAAGGAGAGCTATCGTAAGACGGGCCGAGATGAGGAAGGGGACGTGGTGGTGCGGCCATGGTCATGAATAATTGGGCTCTAGACACGACTTTATATGTTAATTTCTATAGCATGATTGCATCTTGTACACTTACATCTGATCTGTCGAGTAGATGCTTTCAAAATGACAACAAATGACACGTCGAAAGTACGTAGCGGTTGATATCTCCAAAAATGCCTAATAACGGTAAGCTAACACCTGTCCCGAGGCTTTGGCTTATGGTTTCTACGGCTGGTAGGGAGGGATGGCCATCTTGTTCTTGTGCTGGGAAGGGTGTTATTACGGGAGATCGTTGCAGACACTGTTCCCAAGCATATACAATTTATACGTAGTACTAAACAAACGATCATGCCGCCAGTCGAACCTTACATGGGTAGCCCTGGGCTGGATGTGCCGCTCCCTTGGCCACCAGATACGCCCTCTCGCCGAACATGGTCCGCACTGCTCCGGTCTCTGGATTCTCGCGATCCCACTCATACTGACTGTCAAAGTCGAACTCCCGTACCGCCATGGCCAGCGTAATCTTGATACCCAGAAATGCCATGTTCTGCCCTACACAGTCTCGCGCCCCGCGCTCGCCCGTCGGTGGATAAAGCTCGTGCCCGGGCTGGACAAGCCAGCGATCGGGAATAAAATTGTGCGGATAGGGCCAGTAACCTGTGTTTCGTTGGATAGCGGTATGTACAATCCAGACCGCGCAGCCGTCCACCGGGAAAGTCCTTCCATCAGGACTGTGGGTGTCAGTGAGAGAAACACCCGGACGGCCGAATCGGAGGCCATTCGCTGGCGGAAAGAGGCGGAGTGTCTCTTTAATAACGGCATGGGTATAAGGCATTTGGTTGATCATCTCGGGATGCTGTTTAATCTGCGTTGCAACGCTAGTCTTGGAACCAAAGATCTGCGCATGTTCCAGACGTATCTTGGCAAGAGTCTCGGGATGGTTTGAGAGAAGGTAGAGGCAGTAGATAATAGTCACAGCAGTGGAGTCGTGTCCGACGAAAAGAAAAAGGCGGATTTGTATAACGGCCCAGGACTTACACTCCGGGTCCAGGGTCGAGTTATAGGTTTGGCTCGTGGGTCGGGTCTTCATATACTCAGCAATGACGATGTCTATGATAGATTTACCCCGGGTCGTGGTCTGGTCATGCTGCAACCATTCCTGATAGCGCTTTTCAAGCTGCAGACCGATATAGCGATCCATGGTACGGCTATTACGCCATTGACGATACAGCCGGTAGAAGTTCCAGCGTCGAAAAGGGTTGTTCTCCCCTTCACGTCCGCATTCCAGGTCAATGGTGTCACGCATTGATGCAGCGATGGGGTTGTGTCCAGTCTGGTAGTTGAAGCGCGTATTCCTGTCGGGTCTGTCAGTGACTGTGTTCAAGCATCACGTCAGAAAAGAGCTTATTACAATGTGATATTACCAATGACATCCATCATATAATTACAGGCAAGCTGGTCCATCGAGGAGGTGTCGCCACTCTGGGTGAGTTCGCGGAGAATCCCGACATAGACCTCTGCTTCGTCCAGTATATAATCCACGTGGCCCAACGTCGCCGTCATGCTAAAAGCATGGTTGAACAGATCACGATCATGCTTCCACTCTGCCCCATTGGTCGTGAAGAAATTATTTCCGCCCGTCATGGGGTTGATGAATGGGGCCAGGAGATCGGTCGGTTTGGGCAAATTATAGGTCTGGCAGGCCTGCACGGCGAGAGGCGGGGTAGTAGTGACGAACATCGGGCACATAAATGGCCAGAGATCGATATAGAAGCCGTTTTGCAGGCCTGGGTGCTCCATCGAGAGCAGGGCAAATGACTGGGATTGTAAGGCATCACTGGGACACTTTCTGGCGAGACCGGGCATGAGTCGTAGATTTCCGAAGATAGGATCCCAGGGAGGCATTGGCTACTAATGGTTATTCAAATTCCATGGATAGTAGGGATAGTCACGTACCATCCCCTGTCGCCTGAGGAGATAAAAGCGCAGTCGCACCTTGATCATCTTGTAGAGGAATGAGGTGAGGCAGACCGCCGCCAAAGCGATGGCGATGCGGCCGCCGAGGTCTTCGCGCTGGATGTTAGGGACTTACATTAGGAGTAAGAAAGACAGAAGATGAGAAGAAGATGATAAGACCAAGACCAAGACCAAGACGACGACGGAGAAGAAGAAAAAGAAGAAGGACGGGGCATGTTAGGGGAGGGGAATTAGGAAAAACCGGCTGAATGGACAAACCAAGGTTGGCTGGTGGCTGAGAAGGGAACAAAGGCCCTAAGCACCGGCGTCTTGGGTGGCTAGGGGAATAGATTCATATAGGCCGTTTAGTGGCCGTTTCTAGGGCTTATGTCAAAGCAGGTGCAGGGATGATCGTATAATAAGATATCGGTATTAGGCTTGCGCCGAGACTCCGACTGCATCCGCAGGTACAGGGATATCGTTTAATATAGTTTCTTCCCTCGATTGCTCTTATTCTACAGTAGATACAGGACACGGCTCATAAAGGTATCAATTGGAACTATATTTGTCAACTAGTGCGCTGTATTATAGGACATGTAATTGCCATCCAACGCTCCACACAAAGTCAAATAAGAAAAATAAGCCGTATTTTGAGAGGATAGGAGAAGATTGACATGAGTTACGCATCAGTTTTGATGATATCCGCTGCTCTCTCTGCTACAGCATACACCGTAGACATGATGTTCGCTGCAGGAATCAGAGGAAAGATACTGGCATCACAGACACGCAAGTTCGTGGTTCCATACGCACGCATATTCTCATCTACCACCCCTCCTTTCTCCCGAGGAAGCATAGCCGCTGTACCACTGGAATGGTAGCTAGTAGTGGCTGTATCGCGAAGATACCTTTTTGCTGATTCAAGATCGGTGAGGAAAGCGTCAGGGTGATTCCGTGGCCCGTCGACTACTAGATATTCGGAAATAGGCTTCAGACCGTGGAGTCGTTCCACGTCTAATAGATTACGGGCCATGATATCAAAGTCTAATGGGTTTGAGAAGTAGCGAAGATCGATTATCGGGGGCCCATTTGGGTCCGAAGAGGCAATGTGCACTATTCCGCGAGAGAAAGGAAGACTTTGGGAGAGGCCCAGGCTCAGAAAGTTTCCAGGCAGAAGCTCCTGGCCAACGAAGCTCTTCCCGGTTTGATGAAGGTTTGCCTGAGCAAGGAACATAAACGTCGAGCAGGTAGGTGTATCCCGCTCCGCGTAAATGTCTCGGATCACTTTCTCCCGATCGTCTGGGCGGCCGAGGAAGCTATCGAGATGGGCCCGCTTAGCTTCCTGTTGCCCGTGATAGCCAATCATAGGCATGTAGGCACAGGATTGCACTCCTCCTATGGTCATAGGCCCTGCTTTGTGCTCTGCGTAGAGTTGCATCGCAGTCTGAATCGCCTCTGGTTCCTGTCGCAGCAGTGGATCACCAGTCATAACCCCCGGCTTCACCTCGAAGCTGATCCCACTCATGAGATGGTCCTGGAGATTCTCACCGACATTAGCGTTATCGATCACTACAGGGATACTGAACTGGTCGAGAATGGCTTTGCTTCCGATTCCAGACAGCTCGAGCAGCTTCGGAGTGTTGAGCGCGCCGGCAGTAAGGATAACCTCCTGCTTAGCTTTAATGACGACTGTTTGCCCTTGGACATTCGCTTCCACCCCGGTAGCTGTTGCCCTGGACTCTCCTTGGGAAAGAATTATCCGACGAGCGATCGCACCTGTGACAATACGGACGCTTGGTCGCTGCATGGCAGGCAGACCATACCCGGTGGCTGCATAACTCCGTGTCTTTGTTTCTGCATCGATGGCCGCGAGGTTGGAGTAACCGCCAATAGGCACTCCCGAGAAAGGATCAGCTGTGACTCCATATCCTATCTCTTGAAATGTGTCGACCCAGGCCTTGGAGAGTGGATCTTGTCGCACAGCGGGAAAAGAAACCTTGATCGGACCCGAGTCTCCATTGACCTTTGGGTCCACCCAGTGTATCCCGATATGGTCTCGGGTGGCTTCATCTGGAAGCTGTAGCGTGAAGGCTTTTTTATAGTACGGGGACAGAGTTTCCCAGGTCCAACTGGTGGCGCCCAGTTTCGCCCAGCCATCAATTCCCGCCTTCGTAGGTGCTACAAAGGCCTGGCCGTTGATGCCGGATGAGCCACCAAGCAGCTTGCCCTGAGTTTCCTTGATGACTCGGTCGCCTGAGGTAGCCTGATAGCAAAAATTAGCAGCTGTCTGATCGTCCGGTGTGACACGCGACGCTTGGGCAGACATACCTGCGGCGTGGTTTGAAACTGCCAATCCGCTTCAGACCCCATTAGAGTGGTCCAGAGGGCAGGGGTCTAAACTCGAGGGCCCTGGATGAGGTTCTTCCCAGCCTCAAGAACAATCACAGAGTGGGAGGCATTTCCCTCAGATAATCGAGCAGCGAGCACTAGTCCGGATGTCCCCCCTCCGACAATCACATAGTCTGCCTCTGAAGGCATGTCAAGCTGAGACGCCATGATTTCTGAGGTGGTGAGAGAAACCGAGTAAAGAAAATGAGAATACTTGCGTTCGACCTTTTGTCTAAGGGGGGAGCGTGGATGCTCCCTGATCCAACGGGCTGCGACCGCGGCATTTATAGGCTTTGCTAGTGCTTACTATGCTTGACTAGACTAGGGTTTGGTGCCTGCTACAAGGATCATTAGACTCACCTCCGATAGTCTCTGCTCGCTGCGCCCCCACCAACACAAGTCGCTTGACTCTTGTGGTTCCTATCAGTAAAAACCCTGGCTCTCTTCATTTGTACCTGTTTATTGCTGCTTCTATTCTGTGGGGGGCAACATCCACCATCAAGCTGTCCGTTTTAGCATTCTATGACACCAGCTTTCGCACCCGTCCGGTCCGGACCACAGATCTTCGTCTTCACTGCAGCAGTTGCACTGTGCAGGTTTATCATGACATCTGTTGAGCCGCGCGTTCAGTGTCGACCCTTGCCCTACGCATGGCTGACGAAGGTGGAATTGGGGCAGACGATGTCTCTCGCGCGTGCATAGTTAATCTGATCCAACTATGACCGTCAGGCTATCGCAATGGCTAATGTTGCAGGCTTGTTGGGGATTCCTATTTGTCTGCCTGAATCAAGCGTATATATGTGAGCGTAGTATAAGGCCAAAGGTTTTTATCCCACTCGTTTGCCGATAGTTAGGGCAGGTTAGTGACCAATAGCACCAAGATCGGCAATCCTGGTTCTTGTGGTCTCCCGTAGCCGGCCGCATATCATTTGTTTCTTCTTGCTCTTACTCGAGTTTGTGGCCAACATCGTTCACGCTCCCTTTATGGTTGATTGCCGCGGACCAATTTGACGAATTACAAAGCTGGTATTATGTGTTACGATGCTGCATTTGGACGGTCAACTTAACCAGGACCGTCTCCTGAGCTCGGGTGCTCGGTTGAGAACGAAAAGTGGATGTGCCGAATGTAAGGCCAACACCCCAACTTTGAGGAGCAGCGCATGTTAACAACATGTAGGTCGGCGGCGCCGAAAGAAGTGCGATGAGAAACGTCCCCGATGCGGAGGCTGTACTCGAAATGATTTTGAATGTCGATGGACTACCGACACCCAGACTGTGGACCGACGAAGGTATCGAAAAACGTCTGACTCCCGGCAGCGGATATGTTCCTCGGCTTCAGGAACAGCCACCACCAATGCAGACGACGGAGCTCACACAATGACCACGGTCACTGTGTCTGATGTCCGCCCAGGACGGTCTCTCCCGCCGCCTGTCAGCATGCCCGAGCCGTTTCACAAGAACGAGCATCTGCGGATATACCGGTTCTTCGCGCACTCCATGTCACCGAAACTTGTCCGGCAGACTTCGTTATCCAGGTATTCCCAAGACTTTCACATCGCCCGCCTGGCCCTTGCTCACCCTCCTCTCATGGGAGCCCTAATTGCTCTCACTGGAATGAAGATGTCATCGCAATCATCCAATCTCCAATCGCTGGCTCTACAAAGCTACCTATTTGCCATAACAAGCATAAAGACGGCTCTAATGGAAGGACGACATACCGGTACTGAGGATTGGCTTCTGGCCACGACCACCTTGTTGTGTCTTTTTGAAGTAGGCGCCCCCTTTCGAAACCCTTGCTGCCCTCCATGCCCCGGCTAAACACTCCAAAGAACTCTCGCTGCGATGCGATGCCTCAGGCCAGGTCTCATGTGCTGGCCTCAGGCCAGATGTTGTCCCTTCGCAGGCCTAAACCCCGAAACGCCTCGCAAGAGGCTATTGTCTTTGAACGCATTTGCGTAGAATCATTCCTGTATCACGCCGCTCTTCTCGCCCTGTTTGATCCTTCAGTCGACTGCCTGCCTCTTATCAAGGGCGATTTAAATCTGGAGGGCTATTTTTCCGACCCAGATCACCCAGACGACATCCCCCCAGGGACCCTGACGTCCACCCAGCCGGTTCTGGATGCGTCCTATAAGTTTTTTCTTCTGGTTCTTGATATTACAAAGCTGGCTCAATCGTCACCCCTGGCCACCACTGCTGAGTTTGAGACGTGGTCTCGATTGCAAGATATGGTGGTTCATTGGGAGAAGACGATCGACAACCAGCAAACGTCTAATTCAGAGAACCACGTCGGAAGACTCTATGCTGTGGCGATCCGAATTCTACTTGTACACGCAGATCCCAGGTGCTCCTTGACCGACTGGGTCCAGTCGATGGAATTGTATCTTCTACGAGGCCTGGAGATCATTACAGCATTGGTTGTTGACGAGTGGTTTTCGTTCTACTATCTGTGGCCGCTATTAGTCGTGGGCTCAGTGGCCGTCCTACATGAAGCGAAGCAGATCGTCCAAGCTAAGCTTTTCCAGGTAGCAAACACCCGACAAGGCGGGCCTATTTCTCTGGCACACTACCGCCTGCAGAAAGTCTGGAGAGCAGGTGCTCAGTATAGTGACTCTGATCGTGGACAGGTTATGGCAAGGCAGCTGCAGACCCTGCTCAAGGAGGACTGATAGCTCCAGGATCCTACTCCGAGATAATTAGGTTGTTTGTATGTGTGCATTACACCTTATGAGGCTTCAAAAGCAAAGACCTTTTCATCTAACTATGGGACACCGGTTCCAGGCTTATCTCATGGAAAGACACCCTTAGGAGGTCACAGATTGATCGTTGCTTTGATGGCGGTGCTTACAGTCGCCGCATCCTGGACCAACCTTTCGTCTGCCATCGGCCTGCCTATCAGATGGATGTGACAGGGTGCGCCGTCGATTTCCTCTGGCCGATCTACAGTCGTTAGATCAAGCGAAAACCAATCGAGAGGCGCAACTTACAGTCGGGTACATAAGTGACATTGCGCCTATACGCTTCGTCCGCTACCTTATCGGCCTTACCAAATGGAAGAACGCACGCCGGATACTAGTGTGTCGTTAGCGGGTCCCCCCATGAACTTGACGCAGAGAAGAGGCGGGGCGAATACTGACATTAACCAGGTTCCAGAGCACGGTATAAGTCGGACGACCGTAGGTATCGTGGGGAACCGATGTGCTTTGATATGCCGCGCCCAGCAACAGATCCAGTTGATTTTCAACAAAGAGCTTGCGTGCCTGGGCTGCGAACTGACCACGGGCGACATTCAAGTCAAATAGATCCCGCAATGTGGGCTCCTGTGTCGGCTCATTGAGGTCATATGTGAACTTGAGCGAGGGAATGAATGGTTCCCCCGCCTGAGTGATGTGGCGCAGGGCAGTGCGGTCCGGGTCCAGGCCGAAATACCGCAATGCCAGAGAACACGCACTGGACAAGGACGGAGCCTGTGCTGAGAGGTCAATGACCCGGTGGCCGGCTGCCGTCAGCGCCTTAACTGCGGCGTCGAGGGTCCGTCGCATCGGTGGATGGAGCGGGAGTGACGGGTCCTCGGGCAGCAGCCCAATTGTAAGCGTTTCCTTTGGCGGAGCAGGAGACCATGGAACGTCGAGTGCGAGGTCGTCCAGATCGGGGGGCCTCGAGTTGAGGACGACCCTGAGAAAGAGTTCTGCATCGCGTATCGAATGGCACAAGGGCCCGGCGGACGGGAAGATGCCCGTCATCCCAGGCCGCCCGGCCGACGTTTGACCCGCATATGGAACACGGCAAGCCGTGGGTTTGAATCCAAATACGCCGCAGCAGAGGGCAGGGATGCGGACGGAGCCGGCGATGTCTGTCCCAACACCGAGGATGGAGCCTCTCATCGCCACCAACGCCCCCTCTCCGCCACTACTCCCTCCAGCGGTTAGGCTCCGGCCGTGCGGGTTGAGAACACGACCGAAGACATTGTTATGCGAGTCAGGAGTCATCATCGTCTGGGGGATATTGGTCTTGACATATAGTACAGCCCCGGAGTTGTTCAGGATTTCAACCAACGCAGAACTCGTGGATGCGGGGGGCCGGTCGAGGAATCCGACGAACCCAAGCGTAGTCGGAACACCGGGGACATTGAACGACTCCTTGATGCTAATGGGCAGTCCATGCAGCGGACCTGTTGTTACCCCGGTTCGAGCAAAGACTTCGTCGAGCTGCTTCGCTCTGGCTAGGGCTTTGTCGAAGAACATCTCCGTCAAGCAGCAGGTCAACTGCTGCGCAATAGCGGCCCGCTTGCAGAATGCTGTTGTGACCTCGACGGAGCTGAAGCCTCCAGCAGCCAACTTTTCCAGTAGTCCTGTGGCATCGTAGTCCTCGGTGATGTGGATTTCTTTCTCGGTCAGGAGCCCACAGGTTCTGGGGACGTCGAGGACGTTCGCCGCCGAGTTGAGAAGCACAGCGGCTGGCAAAGTCCACTCTGGGGGAATTTCTGCTACTGTCTGAGTTTGCTTGCTCTTGGCCTTTTGCTCCCACGTTGTAGCCGTCATGTCGGATGGGGTGCCGGTTGCAGGTTGGAGCCTTGGATTTGGGGGGTTTGAACTTTAGAAACGAACTTGGGCAATGATGGTAGCACAGGTCCCTCTTGACTTGCATGTCAAGCATGTCGAGCGATTGCTTCCAGGGATTTATAGGGTCAGAACTGGGAAGCAGAACATGGCTGAGGTCCTAGCTAGGGCAACCGAGCTGTATGACCGGATCGGCCCATGGGCCAATCATATCGTTTTGCGCGGTCCCACTGTGCCTGATATGAATTAGCATGAATTAGCCTTCAACTACGGATCACTCGCAGTACACGAGGCCTGTCGGGATAGAGGAGATCCCCGTCGTCTGTAGAGTGTAAGATGGATCCCCGCATGCAGCGTGTTCATCTCGCCGCACACATGCTTGGGGGTCCACCACGTCTCCGACGGTACCTCGTTGAGGACAAGCATATAACGGCCATTTTCCAACGGGCTCAGCTGGTTTGCCCCCCGCACCTACATTTGAATTGCATTGTCGGCAGACTGTTCGCACTATGGAATACCGCCGGGATCAAGTCAAGCGCGTGATCAGTGAGTATCTCGCTGGTGTAGACGACTTGTTGCGACAAGTCAACCTCAACGTAAGCGCATTCTCCTGTTGCGGTCCCGCCAATCTCACATCCAAACTTCTTGCCCAGATTCACAGCAACCCCGAGCTTGCCTACGAGGAAAGGTACGCGCATGATACTATCAGTACATTTCTGGAAAACTTGGGCGTGCCGGTGATTCGCAGTGCGTACGGGTTAGCCACCTGCTTTGAGGCGACGGGTGGCTCGGGGGGACGCTGCGTCAACTTCAACGCCGAGCTCGATGCCTTGCCCGGGATCGGACATGCGTGCGGGCATAACCTCATTGCTACCGCGAGTGTGGCAGCCTTCCTCGCCCTGAGACACGCCCTCGCAGAATTTGCGGTTCCGGGTCGAGTTCAACTACTGGGGACCCCGGCCGAGGAGGATGGCGGCGGCAAGATCGATCTGTTGAAGCGCGGCGCGTATGAGAAGGCCGGCCTCTCATTGATGGTGTAAGTGACTGGTCACCCTGTCCTACCAAGTATCGTGTTCTGATCGAACAACGGTGCAGGCATCCTATGGCCCAATCCAGCTTTCGGGATCGCGCTGTCATTGGCGCTGCTGGCCAAAGGTCCATCGCTTGCGTCGATCTGGTGTGCACATATACCGGAGTGAGTGCCCATGCAGGCGCGAATCCTTGGGAGGGGGTGAATGCCCTGGATGCCTTTGTCACAGCGTACATGAACATCTCCGCTCTGCGCCAGCAGATACAACCACAGGAACGAATCCATGGGACGATTCTGGAGGCTCCGAAAATTACCAATGCGATACCGGAGAAGACAGTGGCAAAGTTCTCTGTCCGAAGCCCCACAATGAGTAGTCTGGCGGCTCTTAGTGACCGTGTACGTCACTGCTTACAGGCTGGAGCGCTTGCAACCGGGTGCCATGCGTCCTTCGAGGACACCCCCGCATACGCCGACCTCCTCGTAAACCCCCCTTTGTGTGCAGAGTACTGCCGGTCTATGCAAGAGCAAGGAGAGAGGCTGTTGCTGGAGGCGGAGGAGGTGATGACGGGATCAACCGACCAAGGGAATGTCAGCTATGCCCTCCCGGCGCTCCATGCGATCATTGGCATCCCGGTTTCCAACGGCGCCCAAAATCATACACACGAGTTCTGCGTAGCCTCGGGCGAGCCGGCTGCCTACCAGATCATTCTCAAAGCTGCAGCCGCGATGGCCATGACCGGCTGGGCCTTCTTGACGGACGACTCGTTCTCTGCGAAGGTCAAGGAGGCGCACGAGCAGGCCGTTAATTAGATAGGAGAGCAAACGTATAGATTCCGCTACTGCCGGACACCAATGAAAACCAGAAGCTCGCTTTAGCTTTGCTAGTTCGATCCACCCAAGATGACTATGCTCTGTAGCACCTACTGAACCAAGAGACCGCATGGCCAACGTCCCCCGCGCGGGGAGATAAGCCATACGGTGCGATCCTGAGCTCCGACCCCCCAGATTTTAGGCCTGCATCCGGGCCGGTCCAGTGGAGCCAGCCAGCAGAATGCAGCCTGTCATATCGATTAACGCGGTGGGGTCAGTGCTTACTTCCCCGGACTGTCCCCCGGGCTGCGCACCCCCGGTATTAGGCAGCGCGCTGGAAGCCGAACCCCCCGCACACTCGTATGAGGAACATCTTTGTGCTAGGGCCAAGTACTATCTATAAATGTAGCCGGTGTTCGCCAGTGCCGATTGGCCTTGTATATTCTTTGCATGCTTCGTGCATCCTGATCTCATACGATCTATACATTTGCTTCTCGCGATGGCTTCCGCCGCAGACTTTCCTGAGGATCGCAAGGAGACAAAAGACCAGCAACAGGGGGAGCAGCTATCAGTAGTGCAGATGGGAAATGTAGCGGATCTCGTAGCCTCCGAAGCACGGAAAGTCCGCTGGAAGATTGACTGTGTGCTGCTTCCGTTGCTAGGTGTTTGCTACATGCTCCAGTTCCTGGACAAGCAGACCCTAAGCTACGCATCCTTACTGGGGATCCTAGAAGACGTCCAGCTGGTGGACCGCCAGTTTTCGTGGACCGCGTCGATCTTCTACTTCGGCTTCATCTTCTGGTCCTATCCGACGGTGTATCTGTCGGTCCGATTGCCGATTGGGAAGTACCTCAGCTGCACCGTGTAGGTGGCCCTAGACCTATCTCAGCTCGCAGAATGCATGCTAACCCCCCTTTCCTGCTTTCAGAATCCTCTGGGCGGCCGTCCTCATGTGTCATGCGGCATGCCGCAGCTTCGCTAGCCTCATGGTCACTCGTTTTTTTCTGGGAGCGTTAGAAGCGTCCATCGCTCCGGGGTTCTCGCTGATCACGGGAAAATGGTATACACGCAAAGAGCAGCCACTCCGCTACGGACTCTGGTTCGCCGGATCTGCTGTAGCGAGTCTCTTTGGTGGCCTAGCCGCATATGGGATTGGGCACCTCAAGGGTGCTCTTGCCGCATGGCAATACCTGTTCCTTATATTTGGTGGGATCACCGCCTTCTGGGGTACGGTGATGGTCGTCCTTCTTCCAGACAGCACCAACAACGCCCTGTGGTTGCGAAAGGCCCAGCGACAAGTTGCAGCATACCGTGTGCTGGAACCCGCGCAGGAAGCCCGGGGCGGCGGCTACAAACCCTACCAGGTAGTGGAAGCTTTCAAGGACCCAGTGACTTGGTGCCTCTCGCTCTACTCATTCAGCGTCAATATCGCAAATGGCGGTTTGACTTCTTTCGGCTCTCTTGTGATCCAGGGATTTGGCTACGAGGGGATTCAAGCCCTACTCATCCAAATGCCGACCGGTGCAGCTCAGTTGGGCTTTATTATCGTTGGCGCCGTCCTATGCTCGTACTTCCGAGATCTGCGGACCATCGTCATCTTCTGTTTCGCCGTCATCAGCATGATAGGCATGGTGCTGATGTATGCGCTGGATGAGAACAATCAATCCGGCCGCTTGGCCGGATTTTGTCTCAGTCTCGCCTTTTCGGCCAGCATGCCCATCTCTTTGTCGCTGGTTACGAGCAATGTGGGCGGAATGACCAAGAAGGCCACCGTCAATGCATGTGTGCTGGTCATGTATTGTGTGGGAAATGTCGTCGGCCCACAGTTCTTCAACGTCCGGGACGCACCGAACTACCCCCAAGGCATCCGGGCCAGTCTGGCTGGGTTCTGTCTGGGGGCGTTTTTCATCGCATTGCTGCGGGTGTACCTGATGTGGGCGAACGCACGGCGTGGCCGGCAGCCGAATGGCGAAGAGAGCATGGTATCCGACCATGAGGATAAGACGGACTGGGAGATTCCTTCCTTCCGATATGTTTTGTGAACTAGCGAATTTGAGTCTATCATATGCAGGCAGCGGAGAGTGTAATGTATCGCGCAGTAGTACCTGATTATCTTCAGCTTCAAGGCAGAATGGATATATCCATCGGTGTCCGCTCTGGACCAACAATATTTACACCCCTAGTAGGACATGCAGGAAAAGAGGCCAGCCACCTCTGACATTCATCTTGACGTTGAAAGATAGAAGTCGCTCGATATGAAGATGCTCATATTTTCTACATCTTGTCCTGCAACGGTACATGAATTACGACGCAGTTGGCGATTATTTTATGCCTACGGTCGAGATAGATGTTAATGGTGAATACGGTAGCGTAGGATATCTCCCCTAATAAGTGGGGCGCTATTGAGGGATGGTTACTGGACGACTGTATATAAATACAAATATAAATATACTGGCCGACAGTACGCAGCAACGTATGTATCGTTTTATGCAGGGGCTGGACCACTACAAGTACCTCGTAAGCTCGGCAACTGCTTCTTCGCTGATAACCCAGTCCACCCAATCCCGTCTTCCTTTAGAATAGGCGGGGCACTCGGAGCACGTTGGATAATGTTGTGGTACGTTGGCTTTTCCTGATGGGGACGTTGTGAGCGCTTGTTCTTCTCTTCGCAGCTCCTTAGTCAAGCACAATGGATTCCAGAAGGCCCTTACGTTGAACCTCCTGAATTATCGTAGAATAGGATCAGATCCTTCTTCTAATATTAAATCTTTTTTCCCTGCTCACTTATACCCCATCGCTATAATAATTTATTGATAGGGCCCGGTCCCGCAATCTAGAGGTTTTACTACAAGGCATACTATTTTCCTGTAACTAAGAGGTCGAAGTTCTATCTTAAACTTACTCCACAATACTCTCAGTGGTGTCTCCAATACTTATTCTCTAGCATTGTAGACTGTGGCTTCAGTGAGATACTTGCTTAGTACCCGCTCGAATAGAAACAAATATTTCGGATATAGTGTTGATATAGAATACAGTGATTTATTGTCAGAAAATACTATTCTTTCGAAGACTGCAACCGCTAAATAGATAGTTAGTTATAAATTATAGACTCATAAATCTCTGTTATTGTCGAAGACAAACTCTGCAGACACAAGAAAACGAAAGCAGGACCATCTAGGATTCTGCCTTCTGACATGCCTATCAAACTGGTGACAGAGAGACTCCCTTGTATTATATTGTGCTAATACCTCCTTATATTATCTCGGGATAGGACTTGTTGTCTAGGTTCGATATTTAGCCCCCGTCACCTTCGACTGCAGCTTTCTCACTATCCCATAGTTTAAGCCCCGGTGAGACCCGCTGCATTGGTGCGATGGCCCGAACCGGAAAATAAATGTTTCAACCGCCACTAATTGTTGGACGCGGAGATACCAAAGGTTTTGTTGTGCGGATGTCAGCATAAGTTCTGGAAGGCGCAGTTGTACCTTATACCTAAGATAAAAAAAGCAAAAACAAAAAAAAGAAGAAACAAAGAAAAAAAAGAGAGATAAAAAAAGAGAGATAAAAAAAGAGAGATAAAAAAAGAAAAAAAAAAAGAAAAAACAAAACAAAACAGGGAAAAAGAGAAAAAGAAAGAAAGAAAGGAAAGAGCAGGTCAAGGGACTCCGGGATAAAGAAAGGACGAACAGGTGTCGCCAGACCAAAGTAGAGGCTTCCATGATACTTCCGGCCCCTGTTGGGACGGCGCTAAATTCGAACATGGTTTAATGGGTGTGAAAACACGGTCACTGTGCCGCAGTAAGTACGGGGGCTTAGATTTTAAAAGAAAAAGTACGGAAGCTTTGAAGAGTGAAGCAGCACTATTATCAAATGGGTGACTTGGTGTCGGCTTAGAAGGCTTACTCCCGCATGAGAGACTACTGCATGGCCCTGAGCATGCCGTCGCGTCGATGTTGTTTTTAACATCATGAAAGTAGCCATCGAGCGTGGGGACTGGCCATTTTAACTTCCATCAGAGACCACTAATCCTAATTCGATATCGCTCATGAAGGATTCCGAAAGCCGCATGGGGACTCTTGTTCGCTTCATTCACGCACCATGTAATACCCGACACCCCCGACAATGACAGTACTTCGATTTCAATGGCTTCTCTCGATTCAACTTGTGCCCCACCTGCTTGCATTGGCACCTGCTAGTCTATTTAACGGGACCGAATTGTTCGTCGGTTTACGTGGGGCCGAGAGGTAGTGTAGGAGTGTGTTGGAGTTTGTTATGTCAAGTGGAAGGCTGGAACCATGACCGATCGAAGGACAGGATTGATACTATTCTGATGACACCACTGGCAACAGGAATTGTCGTGTAAATCCATCAGATATACTTTCAGGGCAATGAATCCGTTCAATCCGTCGCTCCCCGAGGCCGCGAACTTTCTGCATTGTACTCCATGTCCGCATATGTCTGCCTATCGTACGGAGTAGGCACATTGCGCTATGATGCTCGGTCTGAAACAACGGTCGAGGGCCAAAGACCGCCTCTCAACACTAATTATGGAGCACCACTCATCACCCGGGAGATCATTCATCTGGATCTTCCCCGGCCACCGCTGTGGGGTGCAAATAAAATTAATTCAATACTGGACCCTGCCAATCCGTACCTTTTGGTCTTCGTTTCTTTTGATTTAACGGACAATGATATACATGCAGTAGTGGGGCTGGGTAGTCAAAGGTCATTCAGATCGCCCAAATGGGAAAAAAAGACGATAGTATTCTAACGAATAATCCCAGGAATAGTAGCGAGGACTCTCAACGGGGCGTCTGTTGAACTCAGGCGCTCCGACACCTTGGCTAGTGTAGGGTAAAGGCCGGGTTGCCCATGGCGGTCACTGTGTCCACACTATAACCGTCGCGTGACCAAAAGGTAAGTCATCATTTGATGAAGAGATTTTTTTTACTACAGAAAAATCTACATAGTTGGCACTAAGCCGCTTTTTGCAAGAAAACAGCAAGATGGGAGAAAAGAAAAGGAATGCAGTGGCGTAATCACCGAACCGCGGTGCAAGACTTCCACCATTTCGATACCAGAAAATGGTTGTACCAATGCAGATCCATGCACTCAGTCCTGCGGTTTCCAGATGGTGAATAAGACATGCATAAACGCAGCACCGGTTTTAGACAGGGGATCAAAACAGCACCGGCTGCAGGGTATGAGCATAGCAGGGATAACCCCTTTGGGTATGTCTGGATTGCAGTTCCTGCAGGCCATATGAGTCATCCGGACAGCCCCCGAGGAGGATGTGCAAAAACGGTGGGCCAAGTTTACGCTGATCTGGATCTTCCACAATAACCATCCTCCATAGGATGACAGTCTCCTGCAAAGCGCAACCAAATAAATTGCTAGCAATATTGGCGACACTGTCGAACCGAAATGAAAGAGCGAACATCCTTGGGCTAGAGGCCCCAACTCCTCTAGGTTTGCACGGCTACGTCGGGCGTCTGGCTTTATCCTCGGACTCGATGGATTCTTCCCGAGCGGAAGTTGCCGACTTGATGTATTTTCTTTTCTTTTCTTTGATCTTCTGATCTGCAGATGCCCTGGAAGTCGAAGTTGGGACTGCTGCAGGATCCCATCGTTCCGGGAAATTAACTATTCTGGCCAAGAGACTGTCAGTCTCTTCCCCTGTCCGGTGGTTGGACCAACTCCTGTACGCTGTCAACCCCGGTGGAATGGAATTTGCTGTACTTCTATCTTTGATGGTGTTATAATTTACCGTATTCAGGACTCCCATACAGATACGGCAGGTAGGATAGTCGGGCTATGTAATATACGGGTTATTAAATGGTAGTGTCCTAGAATCGACAGTTAAGAGAAGACATTAAGTTAAGCATCGCGTTGATTTAACTACCGCGACCAAGGAAGCTAACGAAGTGGGTTTGTATCCACGGTCGGATGTGGGGAGGAACTACGATCGATAGGCTCTATAACATGGCCATTTTGTCCGAACGAGCAATCGGTAGCAGAAAGGTTTATTTTCCCCGGGGCTCACTCCACAAGGGTTGAATACCTTCTCCCATGCTTTGATGAAACAACCTCGGAGAATGGAAAGGAGAGAAAAAATAAATGTGATAAAAATAAACTTCCATTAGTATTTGGTATCCTCCACGGACGCCAAGGGTACATCGTTCTGCTTTTAATTTATTTATCTTTTTTTTTTTCCCCTCTGATATCTTTATATCTTTTCGCGGGTTGTGGAGCCGTCTCTCAGTGTAGCGACGAAGGTCTATGATAGGATCGGGACCGCTGGTTCCAATTTCGCTTAGGTTCTTTGCCTGCCAAGGGAGCATTTTGGGGCGAAGAGTTCGGGTTACGAGTAGATCATACAGTAAACAAAAGTACTGTACTTTTTTCCGTTGCGAAGCCGTATTCCAGGTGAGGCGGAGTGCCACTTGATGACCAAACTGGCCCCCAACTCGCGCAATAAGCCCCAAGTCATCGAAGAACCGCAAAGGTACGGCCGAGTCGCACCCCAAAGTGGTCAGGGTCATCGGCCCACATTTCTTCGTGGTTCCTGCTGGTCTGACCCTAATACCAGCTTGCCGTGGAGATAATCACATAAATGTGTATTTCCCAATATGGCACCCGTTTTAAGAGGCCACCACTTTGGGGAATTGGATGAGAGAAAGCCTCTAAAGTTCGTAAACTCGAGGACGTGCAGGGATTACCGTATGGTCATACGAGGCTGACCGCTGCCGACGCCCGGCCAGCTTCTACATATCTGTGATTATGCGTATGTTTTTACTCTGTCGCCGACTCGGACCCATCGGATGCAAGGATAAGAAAGGACTGCTGGTACATACAAGTCCACGTGTGGGAAGCTTAAGCATGCGGACATATTCAGGAACGTTCCTTGAATTGGCACGCGCTGCGCAACCGCGACTTTATTCTGATCACCAACACACCTTGGTGCTGTGGAGCCCATTGTCGGATCTATCTAATAGGATCGAACATGATTGACCGCCCCTTAATCACCGCAGATTAATATGCGTGTCATGTTGGCGGAGAGGACCGCTCTTATTGGCCAAGTGGATGCGATGGCTCGGACGAAGACTAACATCCGAGTCCAGGATCTACCCTGTTCAGACCCCAGCCTCCTTCAAGGCCGATGGTATTGATTAATCCCATATTGACCTTTTCGGAAGACGCCCATTTGGACAACAGTGCCTGACATCTTCGCGCAAGACATGTACATACCATGTACATACCAGCCACAGATGTGAGACGGACCCGCCGCAGAACCAGGAACCTTTTACCCCCCCAGGAGATCATCTGTGAGTCCGGTGGCATTCCAGTGATGAGGGATTGATTGGCTCTCACTCAGTACCGGAAAGCTAATTTCAGCCAACCCACCCACTGACTCGGGTGCCTCCGAAAAAATTGACAACCCAGCCACGATTCCTAAACTACAAACCAATGGTCGGGGACACTGAGTGCAGGTCGTGTGTACGCTAGGGATTCACCTGCTGGCCAAGAAAACCACTATGGATTAAATATTACAAATAAACGTTGGGAGAAATACTGGCCTGGACAACGATGATCTCGTGTACGTTGAGTGGATTATGACAGGGAGGTAGATCATACTCACTTGCACATTTAGTTCCATTTCCCTTTCTTGTGAGTTGGGATCCCCACTATCTACTTACTCACCTGGCCTGTCGTTATCAGCAGTGGAGAGCTTAATGTCAGCCTCTCTAAGCGCACTAAGTAAACATAATAAACAATTCAAGCACTCCCTGTACAGAGTAGATTAAGCTGGCTAAGCAATTTCTTTAGACAATCTAACTAGTCAAAATAAAACATAAATACTTGATTTTATCTGAGTAAATGAACCCGGCAGCAGAAGAGTCAAATACGAAAGAAAGCCCATTAAAGCAGAGTGACAGACGTCGCTTCTAGCAAGCCACGACATTGTGCGACAGGCCTTTATCGCCATTGTCCATGGCGACCCCTGCAGATGGACAATGGGGTAACCCAAAATGCAGAATTGGTAGCCAAGGCAATAATATTAATAATGATAATAATATTACAGGAAAGGGTCACATGGTGGATCAAACCCTATCCAGTCCATATACTGACATCTCTTGTATTCAGCCTCCATCAGAACGGCTCCTCTGGCCCAATATGTTGCGGGCAAATTTAATTCAACGATCTAGTTGGCTGCTTTACTTTACTGACTCCACACAAGTTCTGAGGCTTTCATTTTGAGCGGGTTGGCAATGTGTGTCTCAATGATCATGTACTTCCACGTACCGTCACCTTATCACTCTTGATTGTCAGTACCGTCTTCTATTCGTCTATAATGTATTAAAGATAGTGGAGCCATACCGGTATATTACTACCTTCCCCATTCCTGTTCAGTGCAGCTGCACACCGACTTGTGGAAATCATCCTGGATCTGAGCACAGCTCCTGAGCAGCCGGATTCCCCTGTTCCATACAATCCCTACCGGAGTTGAGACACTGCCGCAACTTTGGGTTTCTGGATTTTCCATTTCCATTTCCATTTCCATTTTTATCTTTTATTTTTTTTTATGGAATTGTGGATGCCTACTGCCTCGCCATCGCCGCTTGCACCATTCCGATCCGTGTCGTCTGGCGGGACTTTTCACAAATCTACCATCCCAAAGATCCTCTCAACCACACTGAAACAAGAATTTCAAATTGGAGATGTGGACCAACAGTAAGTGCATCCAGTACGCTATTCCCAATCGCAGCTAGCGAGATGAGCCACCAAGGCAGCGAGCTACCATGACTAAGGGAGGCTGTACGCCTGGGAGACGTGTATATAAAGGGCTCTGGTCCAAAATTCTTTCTATCCATTGCCACCACATCATTCACACTCCATATACAGGCTACTACCTTGTCGAGAACCTCTGAAGCTATGGATTACTCGACCAACGAAATCCTTAATATATTTATTGCGCTGGCCAATCTTGTCACGAAAATCGCGAAGTTCTTTCTGAACCTGTTTGTTGTTCTGTACTGGCTGAAAAACAGTCCTTTTCATGCTCGTGAGTACTCTGAAATGGCTCATATCCGTACATACTGAGAATGGGTTTGCTTTCACTTTAGGTCCAGGAGAGGCTTGACAAATGATGCCGCACACCCGCCCGATACTGCACCCACACACCGACAAACTTCGAAATTGACGAAGAGTGCTTGGAGGGTGCGTTGTTACACGGCGGGCTTAGACCGGGGTTGCTGGCCCCGGCGGTTTCGAAGTCGACATGTCTTAAAGATGGGTTCCTGCTGTTGTGGTGATGCAATAATGGCCTCCGGCCTACCTCAAAGGATATATATTCAATGTCTTTTGAAAAGGTGGCATTGGATAGTGGCGGCCCTGCTCCTCATGATGGGCTACACTGGTTGTTCTATTCGCTATACTGTATCGAATGTGGCAGGGGGAAGATATTCATATGCAACCGTTAGGATTTGATGGGGTAGGTCACGTCGTCTGCTATGATGAGAAAAGTATTTTTGTATAATGGTTATTTTTATTTCTTTACATCTATGTATTATGTAGTCTTCAATCTCTTAAGATGAGATATGATTCAGAAGTCAAACAAGTTCTTATCTTCATCGTAGGCCAGTAAAGCGGGAAGAACTGCCTTTTGGATCATGGCTGGGGGACTATAGAGAAGTGCCACGCTGCGGTTCCCGGGTTCAAAGGCATGCCTCTTCATAATATCCTCGTTCACTTGTCCTTTAAGACCAGTCCAGCTTTCCCCCGGATGGGATAGCACCTGGTCCATCTCAATTTGATTCTTGTGCATTTTTGATAGATACTCAAGCTCGCCTTCCAGCAATACATCGTTCTCTGAGTTGTTGCCGTCGATTACTCTAAGTTTGGGTTTCTCAGTTTTGTCTCCCAGAGTTCGTGCAATAATCTGTCAATGATACTTTGTCAAAGGTACATGCCTTTTGGTAGTGGATCGCGCCCAATGGACCCTTGCCTTCGATCTCTTCCCCTTCCTGAAGACAGTCCAAAATATTGTTCATAGTCCGCCCGGCTGATTTCCATCGGGAAATACGTCTTGACCAAGAGGTCGAAAGTCCCGTCCTCTTCGCGATCCAAGACTGTTCTATTATATACCCTGTAGTAGAGCCTCAGCAACTCGAGTAGTGTGGGCCAAAAGAAGACAAACTTTCCCTGAGAATGACCTTTTAGTTTATCCCGTGCATAATCGTCATAGATACTTTCAAATTCTTCCGTGGTGTCCATATGTACAGCCCCAGCATGGGCCATAATCGCTCCTTTGCCACCAGCGTGCCAGCCCAAGACACCGGTAGCGTTGTATACATTCCCGTTTATCACAATCCAACAATAGCCTTCATTGTGGTGTTTCTCGACCCTGTTTCTGGTAAACCATTTCCCAAGAGCCGATGCCTTACGTCAAAAATCTTCGATTTCTTCTTCGATCGAGCCCTTAATCCAGCCATTGCTGCCCTTTCCTTGGTCTACGGAATGTCTGAAGAGCAGTGCGTGTCTTCGCTAGCGGGACCATCGTATATCTCAGGTTTAACCTGGTAGCAGCAGTGGCTCATCATCCTACGTTTAGGGTAGCACAGATACCAGGAGAATTACAAGGCTAGAATAATTCGATCGTCAAGTCCGCCAAGTTGATCTTCTCTTCTTGTGATGGCTTCACAATGACCCAGTTCAGCATCTGATGGGTGCACAGAGTTTTAGGATGGTGATATATGATTTTGGGAATTTCCGATTTGGAATCCGTGACAAAGCTTGGTAGCTGTCGGTTATGGCTTTACTAATGAGAAGTGCCAGCAACCAAGCATTCGCTGTACCCACTAGTTCAAGGTTCATCAATTTCCTCCGAGCCGTGTGCCGTATGCACGGTCCTTTCTATCACTAAAAGGATCCAAGGCCAATGACCTTCGCTGCAATGCATAGTGAAGGAAGACAATGCGAGATCGACATCCAGCAGAGACTAACCGCTTGATTGACCGACTCCAACATAATCGAGACATCATCGATGACTCCTTTAGCACCCCAGAGAAGGTTATGAAGAACTTGGCAGCCATGATGTAAAAGCTTAGCGACAGCAACGTGCTTAAATGGAGCCCCGGATACCCGAACCGACTGCAATCCACCCTGCGTCGGGTCAACCTAGCCATAGACTCTTGATATCGGTCGACTGTGCAACTTTTTGTAAAACTAATAATGGCTTGAAGATCTCTATTGACTACAGAGCTTGAATTAATAATACTCCAGTAAATCATGCTTATATCAGTACAATGGCGGGCCGGGTACCTAGCGCGATCCCTCTAGAGTCTAGACTGTCGTAAGACTTTTGAGTGGTGTTGAGCCTAGTTAAACTTTAGCATGGGGATTATTAAGTTGCTATAACACCTAACCAGTTATAAGCTCTATTTCCTATAATGGATTAGAGAGAGATGCCATTAATAATATCCCAGAGTGGCGTCAGACGGTGGCCATCTTATACCCCGCATTGGTAAGAAATGCCACCTTTCCTCTGTCTTTCTGTTCCGTGTTGTAAAGCACTGCACCGAACTAAAAATACGTATCGCCAGTAACTTTATCTTGATAATAAGCAAATCAGTTTGAAAATTTGAAGACAAAATAGAAATGCCGCTGCCATCCGCGAATCCTACGCTCCATTACCTCGATATCGGTAGCCTGGGCCGTGGAGAGGTTGTCCGGTGAGAGCAACCGTTCTGGAGAAAGAAGAGCAGTGTTCGCTTACAAGATGATCGATTAGACTGTTCTTGCACGACGCAGGAGTGGAGTTCAATGATGTCCGATATCCGTATGACGATACCTGGCCAGCGGCCAGCGCAGAACTCAGACAAAAAGGGTTATCAGTGACTGGCAAGGTACCGGTGCTTGAGTATGAAGGACAAATCCTCACACAGGTAATCCTATGGTGTATATAGTCGGAACCCTGCTAACAGTTCGACAGCATCTACCAATCCTGAGGTACCTAGCTAGAGAGCTTGGTGAATATGACGGAAATACGAGCCTGGAGAAGTATCTTCTGGATGCAGTTGCTGATGTGTATACCGACTGGCGAGTAAGCATGCCATCATGAACATGTCTACTAACGTATGTACCAATTTGCAGTCCAACTAATGGATGTGTTAGGCCCAATGGGTGAGCAACCTTGGCAATGTCACGGACAAATTCAAGAACGAGTATGTCCCGAACTATTACAACGTCCTAGCTACGTTTTATGCTCAGAAGGAGGGCCCTTATCTGCTGGGTGAGAGGATCACTTATACGGACTTTGTCGTCTACCAGTCTATCGACAACGATTCACAGACTGGAACATTGCCGGTAAGTTCCCTCCCTACCGAATCTTATACGCCCTCATCACTTACTTGTGGGGAATTGCAAGGCGTCTCTGCCGGAGCCTCTCACTAGGCTCAGAGCAGCGTTCGAAGCCCGGCCTAGAGTCGCACCGTATCTGGCGAGCCGCCGTGGCTAAAAAGTATGGCTGTCTGTTGTGCATAACATTTGTCTTCGCATTTCTGATTGGCAAATCGCAAGATCAAAGGAATGATGAAAGTGTTCTCCGTTATCTTCATATAGCATTCTGATCAGTAATTATACATTCTTTTGATTGAATTTATGTAGCCGCTGTAGTCCTGATATAGTACATTTGTGCTCTAGACCACCATTTTCAGTAGACCTTGACATGTGTAGTTCGCACGACTGTATGTCTAGTGAGTCCTCTTGATCCGTATTTCGTTCATCAACCAAACCAAGAGGAGCAGATTCCGTTAGATCCATTCTACCGTAATGATCCCATTATTTATTCCTGAATTCAGGCAAATCATAGACATTGGCTGGCAGATCCACCCCCAGGGGGGCCGTCAAAATTCCGAACTCAAATGTATATCCATTAGCCGAGTCACTCTGGCCGTAAAAGCCGACAACGACCTCATCTTCGGCGGGTTCGAGAGTGACGACCGACTCATCGTCCTCATCGTCCTCACTATTGCTTTCATAGTGGTTGAGATGGCCCCATTCATCTCCATTGCTCAGAGTCATACAGATGCCTGCCAAGCTCCTCCATCCGTCATCATTCCGGCATATCTTGACTTTGGTGATGGTCTCCCCGGCGGAGATGTCATGGCTTTCTGATGCGTGTCCACCAAACTGATGAGGATGGCTGGGACCGCAATTCGCGTGCGACCCATCAGCGTAGTAAACGACTGCCCCATCCATAGTGCATCCCACCCGAAGATCGATCGATGTTGCACGATGCAGCTGGCCATCTTGGCCGCGTCGGTGAAGGAGCATGGCCCACTTGATAAACTCATCGTCATGATTGCTTGCATTAAGATCCGCAGACCGAACGGATTGTTTGCGAAGAGCCACATTGCTGCCCGGGATGGTGATATAGGGTCTCTCCTTGAGCAGCTCCCATAGGTCCTTGACGACGCCCACCTTACCATTCATACCGATGGCAGTGATTTTCACCGGTTGGTTCTGATCGAACTCTGATCGAATATTGTCGATGGTAAGTAGCGTGCAAGCACTCTTCTGATAATCATCACCTATAAAATCATGGATGACGGGATCGTTTGCCCCATTCTCAAATTTCACTTGCGCAAGGCCTGCCATACAGGATACCTTGAGGCCTTCCTTGGGGTGTTGCCCCTCTGTATGCATAACATCTTCCTCATTCAAGCCGAAGTCAACATCAAATCTGACGCTGGCAACGCGAAGGTCCTTCGACATGGGTTCATCACCAGGAAGTGCAAAGTGCGGCAGCAACTTGAACTTGAGCGCATCTTGCAGATCCCATTTGGCATCGTTTTCTGCTGTGCCAATTGTCTCGTGCGCGGCGAAGTTCATGCCCCATGTTTGGCTGTATCCTCTCGCCATGATCCCCGTGGTATGTCCGGCGCCGAAAGCATGGCCCACCTCGTGCAGGAAGGCCCCTTGGCCGACAAAACAGGCGCCGCGCATGGTATCGCACTCACCGTTGTCATTGCCGACGGTGTCACCCGTGGGTGTCGTATCTGTCAGACAGGCAGGAACTTCTTCGAGGAAACGTGGCCAGGAGTAGGTGAGATGACTACCAAAGATGCCCAAGGAGATGCCATCGGGTTTGTGGCAACCCAGCGCGGCATGGCCCATGATCATGGATTGTTCGGTAGAGTAATGCGCGTCCAGAATCAAGCCGGCCACTACTGGACGGCAGCTTGACTCGAACGGGGGCCCTGACTTAGCGAGGGCCGCCTCGAAGTATCCATGCAAAGCGTCTCGATCCCGCCCTCGAGGATTTTGTTGGGCTACATTGGCATCCCTGAGCTCTGCGACCGTCTTATCCGACCGGATAATGTGGACTTTGGGAACAGCTCCCATATGCGTACTGGCGCCAGGGGTCGTTTGATGCCCCATTTGTATGGTCGTGTTGGCGGACCACTCCTCCTCCAGGCGAAATGAGCGTCTCCCCAATCCCTTTTGACGGAAGTCCTCGGCTGTAAGAGCCTGCCACATATATGCCGACATCCGGAGCTTAGCGATGGCCGCATCGATGGTGCTGTGGGCAGTTGAGATGACCCCGTACTTGGCTGGTGGGCAATCGATGAGCAGCGGCGAATCCTTCGCAACAAGCATCGCGAGATGGAGGGGAGGGAGTTGTAGCAGAGGGATATAGGTTACTGTGATCTCCAATGAAGCTGAGATTCCGCCGGCATGATGCAGCTTGAAGACGAGGGTATTGGTCCCCGGTGCAAGCATCACAAGCGCCTTCCATTGCCCTTTGTTCAACGGCCAGTGGTTGACTGTCTGTGCCTGGTTGAGCATGTTAGAAGATGAGACACACACGAAATTGGTATCCGCGGCATATTCAAACTCCTGGCACTCGCCATGGACCGCAACACAAGTTTGGTGCACTAGGTCACCATCATTGAGGTTAATAATTTTGAACGGGCTCCCTTCGATGGAGGTGGGCTTGATGCGACGTGTCGTGGACGCTGGGTCAGGGCTGAGTGAGCGTTTCGTCATTGTCACTACCTGTTGAAGAACTGTCGCCCTGCTGTGTGATAAGAAATAGAGAATGAATCAGTTACTCAAATAGAGACACGAATGGAAGATATAGGGCTGGTTCCTTAGGCATCTTTTAGGCAAACGGCCACGGCTGCCTGGAAATGTTGGCTACCTACAGGGAAGTGTGACTCATTAGCTCCCCTCACGTATTTGGCAGAACACACCAAAATATTGCAGGGATAATATAAATACATATACAAGTAGTTCGAATCCATCAGGGATATAGTAGAAACTGCAAATGTGTGAGATTCAAAGGGTTTGTAGATGTTTAACTCGAATGTCGAAGTGGAGCCCATCTAACTCATAACACAACGACAAACAAATATATTTTTCCATGTCCAAGTAATACACCAGATATTTTGAAGACTACTTAATTTCTTTGTGAGCAATTTATTTCATAATTCCCCTCTATAGACAGCCCTAGAACTGGCAACTGCTCGGAAATGAACATTTAAATCGAACAAAGCACTCTGAATAACTTTTTATATAAGCGATTTGGCATGCCTATGATGCCTTTTACACCTGCCTCTCCTTACTAATGGTAGTTTAGCAGTTATCAATGAATACTATTCTGTACTCGAGTATTGAGGTCAATTCCCATCTTCTGTGTATGAGCATGCTGTATATGCAGCAGACGCGCCGATGGCCAGCGCTAGCAGGGTGAAACAAGGAGAGAGAGCATGGCTGCAGGTGTCGTTGCACTGGGCTGATACTGAGAGAGACTAAACTCACACGACGATCCGGTGTACATATTGTGGGTGGCATCTTCGACCATACAGCTTTGTGCATTACAATGCGAGGGTTATATAGGAATATGGCGATACAGAGTCTGCGCCAACTCGTCACAGACGTGACAGACGGCTCGCAGTGGCCTGGAGAATGGTTCCAGAACCTGATATTCAAAAACAGATCGGCGGTGACCATTCCCAAAGGGTGGGGAGTTTGCGAGGTCCCACGCAGACTAATCAAGGCTGTGGTGGAGGGATCGACAGGGCGTCGATCTATCCGATCTCCCTCTTACATCCAGGCTTCGTAATCACGGCATTGACATTGTCCAATGGCCAAGTATGATTGACTTAGTGGTGTACCTTCAAGCTACCAGGGCTCATGCAGTGCTGCGTGCAATCGCGTAGGAGATTTACCATGTGTACGTACGCTCAGGAACAACCTTGGAACTCCTGCTGCTGACACGATCTCTGCATGTCTGCCTCAGCGTTTATAAACCGCAATACAGCACACTATCCCCAGGACATTCACTCTTATAATTGTTCTTCCTAAACAGCCATCATGAAATCCTCCTTCATACTCGCAGCTATGGCTACTTTCATCACGCTCGTCATCACCGCCAGTGCCACGTGTGACCCCACAGCCCTCAACACTACAACCTACTACTACCCTATCACCGAAGCCAACACGACCGTCTTTGACATCGCCCGCATCACAAGGCGCGGTGTGTGCGACATCGGCCGTCAGAGCCTCATGGCCGATGTCACCATCCGCCCCAACGTCGGCGAGACCTTCATCATACCCGGGGAGGTATGTTACCCCGACAACACCTCCTGCCTGTTATCCCGGAACGCAACGAATACCTGCATCGTCGGCGGGCCTCGCCTATACTATACCGTCAACGGGGATACGTACGAGAAAATCGCGCTGCGGCTCAATATCACCGTCGACGCGCTGATGGGCGATATGGGAATGGTTGGTGGGACGAAGGCGACGGATGAGTTGCCTGTTGGGCGGTTCATCAAAGTGCCGCTTTGTGAAAATACCACATGTGTGATCAAGCCGTATAGCTTTAGCTGGGGCGTGTATAAGGACTTGGCGGAGGAGTTTGGCACTACAGTCGGTCAGATTATGATGTTGAGCCCAACTTACAACTATAGCAGTTTGGCCTTTACTTCTGGGGGGACGTTTCCGCCGATTAACATTTTGATGAACTGTACGCAGCCGGGGAAGAATGTTACTGTGTTGGACTAAATGGAACTTTGGGTATGAACTTGTATTTGATTTGGGTTCATTCTTTGAATGAGTTGGAGTCGTGCCAGGGAAGAGTCTCTGGAACTAATGTACTAGTAAGGCGATATATAGTGTGTAAAGAAGGCGAGGATAATATAGTGTATCAGGCGCAGTATATCCTTAGGATAAGAAGTAAGACACGAACAACTTAATCAAGGGTTAAGGGGAAATAATGGGCAGGCAGCTTACTTGACTCAGCAGTGAGCAGACTGCAATAGTGCATCACAAAAGCCCTATGCCGGGCCAGTGCTCACCAGATGCACGATTCCCGGGTCGGTCGATAGGCTATTATGTAGAGTTGGAACATCAAGAACTGGGCCATGGAATTCATTATCAATTTATCGCTAGCTATTACAGAACATCCAAGATCATCCTCCCTAAGACAGCCACCATCCAACCTTAGTGATAGCCCCAATCAACAACACATGAATAGCTACCTCACTAGGAAAGGCAACTTAAAGACTAGGAGCCTCTGTAACAACTGCCGTCGTATATATGTATATCTGTACTCAATTCTCTACCATTGAGTCATACCCATACAAGGTTTGCTCTCGAGCCATAGTTACTGCCTTCAGTATATCACCGAAATCGTACAGCTCCCTTGGATCAGATCATTCGCTTGAGAGTTTCTAAGATAGTTACCACAGGCAGTTACTCTGGATCTTAAACTTTATCCCATTATGGGCACTGCTGACTTCCTTGGAAACATTCTTTGCCACCATCCCTTCAGATGATTTGCATCGGTAAGTTTATTTCCTCATAAACGTCCAGGAGGTAATACAAACGCGGTCATCAATTTTAAGACCTAAATCACAGGATGCGCTACTCCTTAGCATACTATCCAGTCCCAACCATACCTATTCGCTGATCAGAGGAAGTACCAGATGGCTCTCATACTCTCCACCCGTGTACACGGTGTGCTGCCCTTCAGTATCATCGATTGGGGCTGTTAGCCTCAACGATTCTGTTTCCGGGAGTGACATATCATGACCAGATATACGCAGGATCAAACCTTCACCGGCCTCGAAAACCATTCCCAGAGGCCATATTGGGATCAGAAGAGGAACAATCTCTCCAGGAGCGATCGGTTGGCTGCTGCGGTGGTCATACACAGGAACCTCATCTTCGCTGGCTCGGGGCTGTAGGCTCACGCGGTGTGAAGCTCGGAGCATACCCTGCTGCCCTAGATGCTTTGCGACATTAACATTTGGAACCATCGGCCGTGGCGCGGGCATCGGTGACCAGTTCAGAGACTCAAGAGGTTCTCCCGACGCAGAGATCTTGCGGATCTGCACCACGACATCAAAGTCATCCTTCACATTGCAAGACATGTATAGCTTCACAAAGGGACGTCCGCATAGCTCTGTATATTTGTCGAAGAAGAGCGTGAAATCCTGCATCATGACCTGAATTAACAAAGGGACAATGCTCAATGTTTCGCTGGAGACATACTGAGGAAGCAATCAATGAATGCCCTTCATGTGCAATACTGGTAAAATTCACAGGCTTGACTGTTCCCAAAGATTGAGTTGCAGCATCCAGATAGTAGCGACGGATGTGCTGCCGTGCTGGAGGCCACTGCTCTTCAGGGCGCTCGACAATTGTTTTCGCCATGCTACCATCGTACCCCAATAGGCTCAGGCGCACACGGGGCGTTTCCGCCTCCCAGCCGTTTTGGATGCCTTTAGCGTAGTAATCGTAGAAGCGCTGCAGGTCGTCTGTAGCTTCTGGTCTGTATAGGTCATGCCACTCTTGCGTAGAATGCACACGTAGCCATTTCTGAGACGTCGTTGCTGTTTCAAACGCTCTGATAGAGCCGTCGCAGTGTAGACCAGTGGAGTAGGAGGCTGTAAGATACATCGGAATGTCTTTGATATCTTCCGGTTTGATTCGCTTTTCCTCCCAGTATGCGTCAAACAATGGGTGGAACTTGACCATGGCGCCCATATTCTCTGCCTTTCCAGACCCTGAAGAAAATAGTTGGAAATCCACGGCATATATCACATTTTGGCGAGAGCTCTGAGGGTGATGGGTATAACACACCTGCAAGGCCACCGAGGATCAATTCACCAAACGCAGGTTTCGGGATACCCCCGCGGCATATCTGATGATCATAGAGGTCCGTCAATCCTTCCCATGGGGCAATAGCCTTAAGATTTGGATGCTGGAAACGCGACGCAAAGTTGAGCTGTGAAATAGCCAACCATGAGTTTCCCCTTCCAAACTGTCAGATAATTCCCAGAGTGGTATATACCATAATACTTACGCCATAACTACTGATCCGCTGCACCATGGCTGCCGGGCTATCCAGCTGATTGTATCATAGATATCGACTGCCTCCTAGTGGACCCATTAGCCATTGCATCTGCCATCCTCATAACATCTTGGACCTACCTGTTCGCCCCAGAACATGAGGTTACCCTCCGAATGACCCGCCCCTCTTGCGTCGACATCGACAACTGCATAGCCCCTGGAACACCACTCCGCTGGATTGGGACCCTTCACACAGTCAGTTGTCATTGTTATTTTTAACGGTGGCTAACGAGGCCTGGCGATAACTCACTTCAAAAGTCTCATATCCACTCAGATTCTGGTATGGAATACCGATCCGCCATGGCCCCATATTATCGTAGTTTAGAGTACTAGTCCCGACCTTCCCATATGGGCTCCAGGGTAGGATTGCAGGTACCTTGTCCGTTTCATCAAAGGGGCGAAATACATCTGCATAGAGCTTGACACCGTCACGCATGACGATTGCTTGGTCTTCTTCCCAGGTCACATCCACTGGGAATGCCTGATATCCAGGCTCCTTTACATGGCCCCTTGGAAGTCGAGTAACTCGCCCTGGATGGAAGCCCTTGTAGTTGAGTCCGGGATGACGGTCTGGTGGTGTCAATGCTGTGTAGACAGTGTCTGGAAATTGAGTTCTTAGCTTCTCTTCCACGGACATAATGGCGGTCTCCCGAGGAACGGCTTGACAAACTACAACTGGACAATTTGAAGCAGTGAGCTAGGAAGAACTGTATGACTATCCCGGGCCATAAGTGATTGGTATATATACATCTAGAGCAAGGCTGCCCAAGGCTGGCCTACTCCGGAGTACATAGTGCGTAAGAAGCCCCCACAACATTGTGGGGATAGAGTTGGTTATTAAGCGGAATCGGAAGTGATTGTAGATTCCGTAAGGATGCATAAATTCAAGTCCAGGGCAAATGTCCGCGATGCTCCGCACTTACTACGAACTTACTCCGTAATACATGGTCTATATATGACCAGAAACGCCGTCGATCTTGTCTTTCCTTCTTCCATAAGGCTATTTCTGTCATCTGTCTTCTTCCTGCTCGGTAATGCCAATCATGAGCCAGACCAACACAAATACCGGCTTATATGCCGATGACCAGGCGATTTTCCGAGTTCGCCGAGGTCTAGAATTTCCAGTGCCAGGAGATGGAGAACTCTTGATCGAGACACAGTTCTCGGGAGCAAACCCGGCTGATGTCAAACATGCCACTCTCCTGGGAATTTATCCGGCCGTGCTGGGCTACGACTTCTGTGGGAAAGTGCTGCAGGCACCGCCCCAGTCTTTCTTTAGCCCTGGCGATACTGTTGCTGGGTATACTCCTACCGGTCTCAACAGACCAGCACGATATGGGACCCATCAGCGATACCTAGTCTGCCCGGAAGAAATGACCTTTCATGTGCCGGCAAACCTTCCACCGCAACATGCAGCATGCCTCAGCGTTGTGACCATGACGGCTGCTGATACGCTGTACAACCTTTTCAAGTTTCCTCTGCCAGACACTGAAAACACAGAGAAGGCAAGAAGGCCATTGTTGATCTGGGGCGCATCAAGCAGTGTTGGTCTCTGCGCCGTGCAGTTCGCCCGTGCAAGCGGGATCCATCCGATCTTCGTCACCGCATCTCCAAAAAGACACTCACTTCTGCTGGAGCTCGGTGCAACAAAGTGTTTTGACTACAGATCCCCGGACATGGCTTCCCAAATCAAATCTGCATTAGAAGAGGGACAATGGGATTCCATCGACTATGCCTTCGACACGGTAGGAAGTTACGGAGAAACCGGCTCAGCAAAGCTTATGTCGGAGTGTGTTTCAGACCAGGCCAATCTTGTCTCTGTTGTCATTCAGCATGACCCTCGGTTCAAGATGCCCTTCGCTACACCCAACCATGACGTTACTATCCGGGTTCAGGGGGCTCCTCGGCCCATTACAATTCCAGCTCGACCTTCTGATTATGTGCGTGCACGACAGGCGTTACAATGGGCGGTTGCGAACTACGGTGCGGGATTCGAATTCCCATCTGTTGATGTGGTTAGTGGGACAGCGGAAACTGCGCTGGAGGAATTGCAGGCGATGGCTGATGGTACACGGGGATTTGGGAAGCTGGCTCTGGAGCATCCATTGCTGTAGGCATATACATGTGAGACTATCCGTCTATGAAATTGATATCTTGGCGGATGCTTGATGGAACCACTGTTGGTGTTAAGTTGTCAAAGGGACTTTGCCATGGTAGTTCAATATCCGCAACGCGTTTTGTATTTCCCAGATATGTCATTCAGCCAACGATTACTTGTCCTCATTACCGTGGTGGGCGAAGCACATATTGATGATGGTCATAGAAAATTTCAAGAATCTGCTACATGGCCTAATTCGTTTTCTTAATTGTTGGGAAGGGCGATATTAGACAGACTGTACCATGAACCAGCACTATTATTTATTGAAACTGCCATCGGTTCACCCTGTTCTAAATTACAAGAGCTCCTAGAACCACCACTGGCATCGACAGCTAGAAGCCAGTGGCCTACATGGATGGCATTCCAATCTCATAACAGGTGAAAACCGCGAGTCGTAGGTAACTCCGCCGAGCAACGATCCAACCCCCGGCGGACATTTCGGATACTGCAGGTTACCGTGGGCAACTGTGTTCGTCGATACCACGCAATACCCAATGCCATCAAGCTCGCTGGGCTTTCTTTCGTTCTGCAGGAGGAAGAGGTTGGTCTTCTGAGCCTGGCCGGTCGCATACCCCCTGTGATGGTGACTGTTGCCTCAAGAACACTGTATTCTTGGATAGTTTTGTCTTCCGTAGTATCCAAAGAATGATAAGCATAGTAGAAAATGCGACCAAACCCCCGACAACACTCCCCACTTCTGCACCGACTAGGATCGGAGACGGCCCCGAGGAGGCCTTCGACATGTTTGTAACACTTGATTGAGATGAATGAGACGTTGCAGCTTTCGTAGGCTTAAAGTTCAAACGCGTGATCATTTCGTCATCCTTGATCCATGGCATAGACACGGCAGAAACAACTGTTATACCAAACATTGAGACATCCGTGTAGGTTGAGATGGTGCGTACTGTAGCCGTTCCCCTCAGAGTAAAATTGGTACATTCAAATGCGGAAATGCCTATCTCAGGCCAAGTCCAGGGCAAGCAGTATGACCAGACATCCCTGGTGCAGAATATAGCGAACAGATCATCAGTTGACGACAACAAGGACGGAGTTTTGGATATATCGTGGTGGCCGTAACAGGTGCTATAAAATCCATCGCATGGTCCAACAGGGCCCTTGGCACAGCAGCCCATCATCCCTGGGTAGTCTGCATGCGATGTATGGAATCGGTAGTCGTAGTTGTTATCACAACCGTATGTCCCTAGATGAGAAATCATTGTCAATATACATTATGCGAGAGGCTAATTCCACCTCAACTCCGCTACTCACCTCTATCACCCCAGTAACCGCAGTCGCTCGGAGGCCCAAACCGGGTTTTATAACGACGACCAAAACCATGGCTGACAAGTGCAGTAACAGTGGGAAAGGGCGGGGTCAGCTCGATGCCGATAGCTTCTGTCGCTCGAAGAGTGAACAGGGTCATTGCTTGTACTCCACAGATAATGGCAAGTGCGGGATGCCACTGATCCTTATATATGCTGCGCATCTTGTGAGAAAGCACGGTTGACGACGCACTATGAGCCCAGTGTCTGTCGTGTACTGAGCCACTACATCCAGTGGTTATCAAGAATAGGTAATGATGAGACGAAAGCCTTTCTCACGACCAGGACGTGAAGGCCTGTTCAGATTGCCATGTATAATCCAACACGTTGAGGCTTATGAAAGGTGGAATTTGGCTTACTCGGTTGTCACACAACCAGCCGATCAGCCCCGCATAGAACCTCTTCCACTAGAACTCGGGTGTCTACCATTAAAGTTGGATTTACAACACGGAGAGACATCGGAGTAGATTCCATTTGCTGAAGTGATGCGCCGCATCATAGAGCACCTGATACATTGCCCTTACCTTGGACTGGCACTTGAGGGGTGCACCCACGCAGTGTAGAGGACTAGGAAAGCAATATCCCTGTTATTGTGTACCATTCTTCCGCTATTATCTCTTTTCTTGCCCAATCTGGTTTCCATGTAATAATATGTAGGGCTGCAAGGGTCGGGTGCTGTTCGGGGGAGAGATAACTCAATTTAAATACTTTCAGGAGGTATATATCAAATGAGAGAGAGTCAAATAACCAGTCCATAGGTGACTCTCAAATCATACACAGCGTTCGCACTCGAATGTAACGTAATCAATAAGCGAGGCTGTTTGGCGAAGTGGTACAAAATATTCAACCCCGTAGTCCGTAAAGCTGACCAATCAACCATTTACATTACAAGAGGTTTCAATATGCCTCATGTCTCAATGGACGGGTCCTGGCTCAGTTTAGAGTACCATGCCCTGCCGTTTTGCATCGGACTACGACATCTAAGTGAAGTGACGAGTTAATAAGCCTGAATTGGACATCTATTCTCGCTAATACGTGCGTTCCCAGGTTCATCAAAATAACCAGTGCGAATAGCCCTAGAATGTGTCCCGTTTGTGAAGTCCTGCTTTCACACACCTCTACAATGTCTTGTTCTAGAGGAATGGGAGGATACTTCACAAGTGTTCCTGATTGACGTGCCGCATAACAGACTACGTAACGGAGGGACATAGATGGTGGTCAACAGCCGAATGTAAGTTTATCATAACTAACTACACTGCCAAGATAAACTAAAAAATCTCTTTCATGATATAATGTATGTGCAGACGCGACGTTGGCTTTCATTATCATCATGTACCGCATACCCAGAGCACCCTCCACGGAATCCTCCCATTGTGCAATCCATCAAGTCAGTATTTAGGTGGCTGTGGCTTGATGTTCGTAAAGGCAGATAGCAATCGCATTTATTTCCGACATGATGGCTGCCATAGTAGGGAGATAGGGAACTAGAATCCAGCGACCTATGCGATGGGACACACCCGACTATCAGTTACAACTCTCGGCAAGCGGCACTCCACGAGCAGGAACCTCTATCGTCTGATTGACAGTAAGACGATAGGGTGGCTGAAGATCATTCGCAGCAATTATATGCTGCTTCGGTACATTGTACTTGGAGCTTATAGTATCCAGATCCTCTCCCTTCCGTACTGTATGGGACCCTCCGTCCCATAGTTTACCAGGGTCCAGGCTACCATCAGTAACCAGTTTGTACAGCGGACCACCGGGACATTCGGTATTGTAACCATCTCGGTGACCCTTAATCTCATCACCAGCGCCCGCGCGACGAAGATACGCGATCGAATCTTGCAGCCCTGTAATCTGCGCATCGCTAGGCTCCGTGACGCCTTGCTTTCCGAGAAAGGCGAGAACAGCATAATGATCCGAGTTCAGCTGGACATTTCCATTGGCACCGCTGCGATGGCCTTTTCCACGGCCATCAAAGACGTAGCCATGTTCACACACGGCAAGATTGTAGGCAATGTCAAAGTAGTCTTCAGGCGAGTCATCCATGTGTTCATTTTGCACAGATCTCATAAAGTCGTCGCACTCTGAGTGCTGCTTTCCACTGAACTGGGGCCCCAGATAGTGTACCTTCACACCCTTGGCATCCGTCATTGGTTTATAGGCTTCCTTTGGCGCGCGTGCCTTCCATTCTTCACGGGACACAAAGTTCATCGCCAAGACACCTGGGATCATCATGAGATACGACAGCATAACGAAGAAAGTCACGGGAGAGCGAACTGCCCTGTGAATCTCGATATGGGAAGCCATATTAGGTGAAACGGGAAGGGTTGTTGAGAGGACCAGTGATACTAGCGGAGTAGTTTCGAATGGCAATCATCCGAGTATTTATAGCATACCAAGTGTCCATGATGCCCATCATTTCCTCGTATATGCTTCTGCTCGCTCGTTAAATCCTTGGCATCTCATGTTTATACGGGAAGAATGTGTATGCCAAGTGGACAAAGTGGGCAGACTGTGCCGTGAAAAGTGGATAATCCTCGTATTGTTGTAGATCCCAGAACTCAATCCTCGGATTGACAGGTGAAGACCCTCTAGCGACTCGTGTTGGTCAATAATCAGTCCAACGAACTCTACCTCATTGCTGATGGTGTTGCAGAACATTCCACTAAACTTCGGTTCATACCGTCATCCCTCACATGGCATAGGGTAACAAATAGGATAGGGTTTGAACTCTGGTAAAAGACAGGAATGCACCAGTTTTGGTATATAGTCCCGAGCTAGAAGATCTTGTTGGGCTTCGTAGAAGCTCACTATCCGAGGCACCGTTTTCGGGCGCAATGGCTAGTCATTCCAAACAAGGCAATGTTCTGGAGCATTACCTGTTCCATATATGTAATCATGTGGCCATCCCTTGACCAGATTCAAGCATAGCCCGATCAGTCCTTGGCGTAGCCCTGTAGGGAGCTGGAGGCAAAATGCCGGAGATCTATCTAGCTGGAGAGCAGACAGATTGTGTACATTTGATTGCTGCTAAACGAATAACTACTTACGGCGAACATAGGTTGACTTGACCAATTATTTTTCAAGTAGTTCATACCACTCCGGAATATCCTTGATGAGGCTCCACATGAACTTCTCCAACCAAAGATCAATTGTAGATCGTGGACGAGTTCTTTTGGAGTGGTATAAGAATCATTCTCCAATTTCTCTTCCATGGTCAACAAATCCATTGGTGATGTGATCACATTGTAATAATCAGGAACTTCGTCTCTGTTCACCGGATTAAGGAAAGGCCACGCTTGTTTATGGTTTTGGATTTGATTCAGAAAACGTCGGAGTTCATTAAAATGGGGTCCATGCCGTGGTTCTCGCGCTAATGCATCCAATTCTGGAGACCAGCCAGTTTGCCGAATGCCAGGGATGGACAGTGGATCAATTGGAGTAACACCAGGGGTCCATTGCTGAGGTGGTGGATGGACTATGTGGCTTTTGCTTAAGAGTTGCATTTTGGCTCGGATAGCTGCCTTCTGTTTTAGCAACATACGACCAACTCCAAGATATCGTATTCGGGGAAGCATGGAGCATTGCATCAGTGTACCTTCTTCATAATCTTTGATATAACCCACCCAGACCGACTTGTCGAGGTAAGAAAGTGCATCATGGGAGAAGTAGCCTTGACATAGTCCTTGAAATGAGCCATAAGGTGTGCACCATAGCCTTTTACTTGCTGATCAGATGAGACCGCGCAAAACACAATTTCGGCGAACTTGCGATCTCAGAATTCTCGAAATGATATCCCACCAATGACCTCCAGGGGCCTTTTCACAATGGCCAAAGATTGATGGGTGCGGCCATACACAAGGCGCGTAATATAATCCTTCGGCATTTGGGGGAGTTGCTTCTGAAACAGGCATTTGAGTCCTGTGAGAATGATCGTACTCTCTTGGGAGCCGTCATTGTTGACAACTTGGAATTCGATCTCGCCGTTTCGCTCTTCTATAACCGCCGCCTTTACTCCAGCGTAGAGAAGTTAGAAGATTTCCTAACACTTGGCTCAGTACAGATTGTGGCATACCTTCTCGGGGAAAGCCACCCTATGGATTGTAGCTGGAGGCTTAAGAGCTGGGGTTGTACTGTCAGCGGCATCATCAATCTGTTTAATTCTTTTCGCGTCATGAGCCGTACGCGGTTCTTAAAAGGCTGTGCGCTTCGTAGTCGGGAGGAGATCTTGCCCACCGTCAGCTGGCGCCAATTGCTCTGGTTCATCCATCTACGTTGAATACTGGCGAACTTGGGCTATCAATATATAATGAGTAGGCTGATCCCGATCTTTTTCGATCTGCAATCATCGGCATCCCGTATATTGCGGGGGATTTGCGTGAGGTGCCTAGTCGCTTTGTTGTCTGAGCATCCCAAGCCCCTTAAACCATCCTAGGAAGATGTCGGGGCCTAACCCCTCTGATTGGCGTTCAGCCTTCCTTAGTCTTGACTTATCTAATCCTTAACCTGGCAAAAAGAATCGCTGGGATGTTGATATGGTTATAAAAACCAGTTGGAGGGAAAGAAACTATTGGGAAGCAGTGTTTCTTACCATGAAAACTGTTCTATATGACTATATCATACAGCAAACAGCGGCTTGCCTTGGTTTTGTATTGAAAGGGTTCAAAGGTTTCGCCTTTCTTTGACTTTTCTCACCCGAAATATATGTTTTAAACAGGTTCCATACAGTATTATTCCCCCTGGCGCAATGAAGCTAGGTGAAAGAATACCGTGAATATATGCGGATACTAGCCTAGTGGTAAGCAGTTACCCTAAGTTTACGAAGATCGCAGTAGCAATATTAATATGATAAGCACTTCAGTAATATTAAAGACCGAGGGAATAATCATTATTAACTCTAACTAATAGAATGATCGACTTGTGGTATGGTATATACAGCTCTTGTAAAATATTGCTGATATTTGAATCCACCAACGGTTATGTAACAGTTCTGGAACAGTCATACAACCATTTCAAACACAAATGAATCGCTTCGTAATATCCGAATCCTCCAATGTAATGTCGCCGGCGCGAGGGATATCTTGGAATTCACTACGACGGTAGAGGATGCTGCTGGTGGATTCGTGGGCAATGCTTACTCTTGTTTGCTTGGTATTTTGTGTACAGCGGAACTTAACCCTAAACCAGAGAGAAAGAGTAAAAGTGGCGCGTCAATAAATACTCCACCATTCATAACATACAGACTTGTTGACTTGGTGATTGTAAATAGGTTTCAGGTTGGTAATATTAGGTTTGGCTACTGCTTGAACATGGTCCCGATGAGACGAAATCACAAAATTCTATTCCTATTCTTCGTTGAGAAACAGCCCCTACAGCCCCCACACAGAAAAGCGATAGCTTAGTCTGTTCTCTGCTACCTAATTTGAACGGTATATCTAGACTGGCCTTGATGCCAATCCTATCGGGCTCGACTATAACCTGGAGAAATACACGCGTGGACAAGCCCCAACTGAGACGACTGGTTTGAGAAGAAACAATATAATATATTTACGCAGAGCACTTGTCAGGGACTGCATCCTTTGCTTGGGCCGACCATTTCTCGTAGTAATCGCTCGCAGCATGATCATCAAGCATCGCCGTCCACGTGCCCTGTAGATCGTGTCGAACAAGCTTCAGCTCGGTCGCACAGGATGGATTGCTCGGTGCTTTGACGGACTGTGCGTAGCCCAAGTCCAAGAGACCACTGCTGGTAGATGCGCTACCAGTAGTCTCGCCCTGCGACCAATGCAGACAGTCCTGGCAATGGAAGATCAACGAGAAACCAGTCGAGTTGGCAGTGGAGGAAATCGGCTTTACGGTCGCGTTGCCACTGTATACGCCAGGCATTGCGTATTCCGAGGTGAAACGTAGGGAGGTCCGCACGGTGTCGCCATCTGGGTACGCAACGAATAAAAGGGCGTCTGTCATGGAGCCACCCAAGGTGATACCGCACCAGCCATTTGCCGCGGACTCCTCGGTAGCTGCACAGTGCTGTTCTAGTTAGCTTGCGCTGCAGCATGTGGAAAATAGGATAAGTGAAGCTTACTAGGTATCCGATGAAATCAGTAGCGTCTGATTTAAGTGCATTGCTAGGCAATGCTACGCCGAACGTTAGGCCACCAGCCTTTGAGCTGGAGGGCACATTCCATGTATCAAAGGTGATTCCTGTAGCTGGTTCGTTGTAAACAACCGGCTCAGGTGCTTGTGCTTGGCAGCTGGGCAGGACTGGCGGAGTAATGTCAGATATCTCCCTAGGCAGTTGAACGGGGTTCTAGTATACATGTACTGACGGCCACGAAGGCTGAAAGAATGGCGGTTCTTAATGTCATGTTGGAATACCGGTATTATGTGACAGAATGGAAGACTGCGATCGGAGGTGGCCAGCTAAACATATTCATAGGGCCGCCGGTTGAAACACAATGACGTCTATTTCGACGATGCGCAACATTCCTGACGCGTCGACATTCCAATCATGAGCGAGTTATTAGTTATCATCATCGTTGCATGGGTACCGCGTGGACGCAAGGGGCTCCTTGTCTCCATGATAGAGTAGTCAGTATGGTAATTGAGGAGGTTGGTCGTGGTCTGTTGATTATCTTGATGGATATACCGAGCAAGAGACCGTTGGCGAAGCTGCTGCAAGGGTTGGCCCATTATTTCACTCAAAGAACGTATAATCAAGTCCACGTATAGAGTTTAGACTTGAATAGCCACACCTCTGGTTAATCAGACCAGGCTCTCCAACTAAGATACAAAGTACTAATGAGGATTGACAGCGATCTTCCTAAGTTGGATGTCAAAACATTCCGTTCAACTGCCCCAAAAGACTAAAATATATATTCAACCAACGTTCTCATATAGCCACCATTTGTTGAAAAGATTAGTAGTAATTTACTCCTAAGTTCAATATAGGCAGTATCAGACATACCAAAAATGAATGTTTAGTCTACTAGCCCTTTGCGTCAATAATAACCTGTACATGCTCCGTGCTAGGTCGGTAGTTGTCGAGATAGAATTTTTCAGATAGGAACAATTAATATTAGTCTTATTCACAATGTCCAGGACCCGGTATATTTATCTTTGTGAGAATGTCCAATACGTAGACTTTGATCTTGTAATTATTACAGGTACTTGATTGCTAGTCTTATGAATTCCACCTGAGTTGACAGGCCGACGGGATAGGAACCAGGGTATCAACATCCGAACAGAAACACAAGGTCTTTTACCTCCCACGCCGACTTTTGCTTATAAATGTTCGCTCGAGGTCAGATATTATGATAAGATTATGTATATGTTCCGGCTTGAGTGCCTTTTAAGACGTGCCCTGATATCCCTCGGAAAAACCGCCTGGTCGAGACATTCTAGTTTCTCCACATATCAACAATGCCAACTACTCGGGTGATTTTCACCAACCAGAATGGCGAACCGTACATTAACACAGTGGACGAAGTTTACAAGCCCCTCTCAATGAGGTTCCTGTGGCGGTTATACTCTCCGGCGTAAACCCGGCCGAACTTAACCATGCGAGGTTGCCTTCAACAACACTGTTGTGGGATACGACTTGTTTTGGAACTGTTATTAAGTCAAGAGAAGCCAGAGAAGAGGAATTCAAGCCAGGCGACCGCGTCCTTGTATTTGCAGTGCTGCTTGCTTCCTGGTTGGTACGCACACCGCTGCCGACGCCGTGTTCAATCAGCTCCGACTTTCCTTTGAAAACGAGAGCCAGCCTCTTTTGGTCTGGGGTGGCTCAAGTGCTGTTGGAACTGCAGCAATTTAGTTTGCGAATAACGTAGGATTCTACCCAATCCGTACCACCGCGTTTACAGAACCTGAGTTTCCAACCAAAACATGGGAGAGGCCAAAACAATAGGACGTGGCAATAACTACATGATGGGGCTACTCTGAATATCTTCGGGAAACTGTCTCCACATGGTCGGCCTGCACAAGACCCGAGATCCCAGCCTCATCAAGTGCTGATCTTCCTTCAGCCAATGAATTATGATATAGGTTGTCTACAAACCAAATTGTAGGCACGCTACAAATACTAATACATTGCACTAGCGGTATGATTTTTCACAAACTCTTCCAAGTTGTATCTAGTCAAGATAGCTAACTGGTCACCTCGTCCTCGGTGGAGCCGACAGGGGCAACAGTATGATCCATAATTCAGCTGCGTATCAGAGTACCCCGTACTCCGTACAGAGTATGTACCTGACGACACCGACTTGATCACTGTGGAGAAACTCTCCAGCGGAAGCGAGAAACTTTCTCTTGACCGATGGGTTTCGGTGGAATGAGCTGAATAGTGGGGTTCGATCGACACTCGGTTATCTAGAGGCTAGAAGTGGTCATAAAGAGACTTCCCAATTTAGTTTATTAGTTAACTAGTGAGTTAGTTAGTTAGTTAATCCACTAGATTACATGATTTCCGAATGTTGTTAGTTAGTTGTGACACTTATTTCTGATTCAGCTGTGTTACTGAGTACAACAAGAAGGAGCTATAGCACTTTCACCTCGAGAGGCAGAAGTGATAATAATGAACCAACAGGCCACTCTTCCAAACGAGCCTCTCTTTGCCCAGCTTCTCCACCTCTCCAAGCACACCCAGCATGTTGTCATCCACGATTCAGCCTCGGGCGTGGAAGCAAATGCGGCCCAGCTTCTGGCAAGTATGATGGCCATGCGGCAGTCGATATACGATTCGTTGCCAAAGACCGATTTCAACGAGAAAGGGCTTGTCGTGGGGCATATGCCGTCAATGTTGGTGATTGCACCAGGAAACTATGAGTATTTTGTCGCTGCATTTGCTACTCTCAGTCTTGGTGCGGCGGTGGTGCCCACTTGTAAGTATTCTCTGGACATGTATCCTTGTTCCAACGAGGAGTGTTTCTAATGGCACGAGAAAGCAATGGGCATAATGCCGGAGGAAGCGCACTATCTCCTACAAAGATGCACGTCTACTTGCATCCTAGCAGGTTCCCAATGCATGGACCGTGCCGAGGAGATTAAGATCTATGCGGCATCGCAAGGCCTGCAAGTCACTGTGGTCCCTATCACGACGGAGCAAACCCCGAGAGTCGTCCCTGTCATCGATGAAGCATTGACCATTCCGCCGGATCATCCCAGTATCATCCTCTTCACATCAGGCTCAACTGGCCCGCCGAAGGGAGCAGTCCACTCCCGGCGTCTTTTTCAGTCCTCGCCCAAGAATCCTTCAGGAGAGGTCTTTCTCAGTCACCGTCCGATTCACTGGGTTGCCGGCGCAATGCCTCCACTCAAGCAACTGCTGAACGGCTCTCGGGTCGAAACCCTCCAGCAAGTGGCAATGGACGACCTCGCCCAAGCCCTGTGGGAGCGTCTGCGCAAAGGTGACGTGACCATCGTCTCCTGCACACCGCCAGTGTGGTCGCGCATGGCCAAGTTCTTCCAGCAACATCTCCGCCAGCTCCCCAACGACGAACTCGGTCAATACGTCCGTGGGATCCAGAATCTGCGTGTTGCACGGGTTAGCGGCTCTGCTACAGCGCCTTCAGTTCTGCGCTTCTGGCGAGAGATGCTCGGCTGGCCGTTGAAAAATTGCTATGCGAGCACAGAACACGCCTCCCCAATTATGGAGACGGACAATCTGTCCGACATTGACCTCGAGGCAAGTTCTTTCTTTATCGTTTTCTTTTTTTGTGAAAACGCACTCTGATATCCTGACCTGCTGCTCATGGTTTTATTCCAGCGTTGCATCGGCAAGCCACGCCCCGGTGTCATGGTCAAACTCTCTGAAGGCGATTCCGGAGAGATTCTGGTAAAGAGTCCGTTTCTGTTCTCTGGGTATCTCGACGACGAGGAGGCAACCCGCGCCGCATTTGACGACCAAGGATTCCATAAGACAGGTGACTTCGCACATCGCGTTGGTGACCATTACGTCCTCGATGGTCGAGCTTCTACAGATTGTAAGCTACCAGCCACTAGTCAATCGGTACAAGTCTCCGCTGATAGATTCAACAGTCGCCCGTTACTATGGCTACAAAGTTCCCATCCAACTAGTTGAAATCCACCTCAACGAGCTCGCTTACATCCACGAAGGCTGTATTCTCCCCGTGCCCGACCCCCGAACTGCCGGCCGAGTAGCAGCGCTGGTCCGCTTCGTCGATGACAGCCCAGAAGCAGCAGGCAAGAAGAACCTGAACGCCATTCGGGCTGATCTGTCGGACAAGCTGGCTGCGTATCAGCTTCCCACGCTGCTACGCATTCTGCAGACCGGCGAAGAAATTCCAAAGGCAGCAGTCAGTGGTAAGTTTCTTCGGAAGCAGGCGGTTGGCCAATTCTTTCCTACTTGCCAGGACTTTGAATTGTTGTCTAACGTCGAGGTGTGGGATGAGAATACTGCACAGATGGGACCACGCAAGGCGTGGGATTGGGCTGGTTTAAGTAATAGTACTTCATAAGATATGGTATTGAAGGACACACATACAAACCCATTTATATATATTTATATCTCTACATTAATAGGAAGTCCGCCTTTCCCGATTCCTATACCCGATTCGTAGTCCGTCGCTGTCAGCGCACACCCAGCTTCCGCAAAGGCTCGACGCTCTCATCGATGGTCCTTTTTAGAAATGGAATGAGATCTGTGCCGCCAGTGCCTAGAAACCTTCGACTCGCAGCCTTGGTTCTAGGCGCAGGCTGTACTGCCCCCGAGTTATGACTACCGTCCACACTCCCTCTTCTTGCTTCTTTAATGATATAATCAGAGACTATGCGGAGGTGCTTCGCGCGTAACCTATTAAGCATCTGTAGACAGGACTCATAACCAGCCGCAAGATCCGGATGTGACCCTCGGCGGGCGTGGACATATTCTCGCACCCTCGCCACTCGGGATATATCTGCGAGAAACCTTCTATGTGGACCAGGCATGTATCCGCGCATTTCGTCGTGGAAGCTGTGCTGTGTCGTTCCTTCAGCCCCAGGCGCAGCAGGGTGTTTTACCCCGAGGACGATATCGAAAAACTGAATGAGAGAACTTTGGGCATTGCTTCCTCCGCGGTATGATTCCAGCTTCGGTGATCCCATTCTGTTGTTTGTGTTTGTTGTCCCAACATCAAAGTAAATGCCATCGGGGAGACCATACTGTTCCAAGCTCTTGGTCCCTGCCAGAAAGGGCCGTAAACGATGATAGAAGACGGCCGGCTGACACCGTTCGTACATCCGATCGAGAAGGTCTCCCAACTCTTGTAGAGTATCGCGCAATGCAGAAAGACACGTTATGAGTGTTTGAGTGTCTTCGACATGGGTCCCGGCAATTGCGCGCAACATGACTGGGATCATTGGTGCTCCTCGCGCCTCAATCCCGACGGAGATGAGGTAGAACCACTCCTCGTCGTGGTCTCCGGTAAATGTGGCTGTGGCGAGGAGATCTTCCGGGTTGTGGGTTGGTTCATCGGGTCGGATCAGTCGGTAGTTCCATAGACACAGGCCGGCGAAAGTTGCTATGGGCGGTACTTCGAGACGATCACAGATGGCCAAGAGTGGGATGGAGATACATGGGGGGATGATCTTCGCACGCAGGGTTAGTCCAGATATGCTATGCTATGGAGGAGTTGGCACCATTTACCGTCCGTGGCTGGCTTCCTCCCCAAATATACCCATGTAGTATAAACACCAGACAGACATACGCGCGTTTCCATTCCGGAGGGCTTGTCAACCATGACACTGCTAATATGGGTAGCTGTTCGATGTGGGAGCGTAGTTGTTGCTTCTTATGCAACACTGGTAGGCATGCAACCAGCTTCTCCCAGGGTGAGTAGTAAGGATGAGGAAGTCGTTCCAGGCAAGCTTCGGCGGGCAGAAACCCTAGCTCAGGGCTGATTCCATAGTCTGACAAATTGGGAATGCTATTACACTCCATGGTTCGCATGGGAGCTGCGAACATTGTATGATAGTAGTCACAAAAATTGGGCCTGTCCAGTTTTATTATGTGGTGTTTGGCCATGATAAACTGTCTGGCTTGGCCCGGGGAGCTGAAAATCTGAAGATTCAATCCGAACTCATCAAACGCTATCGGATCGCCGATGGATTAGATCGACCATGCTTGCCGTAACTCCGGAGCACTTCTGTCTACAGTATGAACGCTGCCCCAGAAGTCTCTGACCTGTCGGCTCCAGGTACGAAGTACACTCCGGTCTACCTCGCTCGGAAAAGATCGGTGCAAAATCGTATTCACAGAAGATACACCGCTTCGATCGTGTCGAGTAGTGGGGCTATCATATCCACTCATGACGATGCCGATAGCACAATCTGATAGCCGAAGCTGCGTGTGTAGCAGCGGCTGAATGGTGGCACTTAGACTCCCAGTCGGCGTTCTTGGCGTAGTTCCTGTTCAACTAGAGGCATATTTATGGTCCCACAGATCCACTATCGGCAGATCGTTCCTACTTCCAGGAACGTAACAATGATGATCTACTGAAATACTCATTATTTCTACTCGTAGTACAGAGTACTGCTAGTGCATTGTTTCTGTATTTTTTTTTTTTTTCTTTATGGATTGTCACCCTAGAGATAAAATCATATCTCTTGGTTCATTTTAGCAACAGCCCTCTTTACCCACAGTGTTATGTAAATATTCTATATAATTCAGCTCTGTCCAGAGATGGATACCTTCTTTCACCACTTTCTCAATCTGCCTTTGTCTGTGTGTTTGACCAGATAACTTGTGTCTACAATGCCATCAGCAACCAAGGACAACCATCCCTCCCACAATGAAACCAAATCGCAGAAATTCGCTGTACTAGAGTACAACGACGAAGAGCATGCCGAAAACCCGGAGGACCTCCAGATTGGTGAACATGGCTACAAATACCGCATTCTGGACGGTCGAGTGGTGCCTCCCTTTATCGGGCCCAAGCGCTACGAGATGACCCGACGGTTCAAAACAGAGCCAACGGATATCTGCTTTGTGTCGTGGCCACGATCCGGCTCCACATGGCTGTCATATATCCTTGTTCTTCTGACGGGCAGCGACAGTGACAAGGACAAATTGCGAAACTCCTTCCACTGGCTAGAAAGTGGATGGTTGTATCAGCGGACGGAAGAGGAAGTGCAGAACGCGCCTCGGCCGCGGATTTTTGCCTCGCACATGCCCTACGACATGGCGCTGGGAGGAGTCCCCGAGCAAAATCCATGCAAATACATTTACATTGCGCGCAATCCCAAGGACACGTGCGTGTCGTGCTTCCATTTCGACCGACAAAAAAGCTGGAGTGGGTATTATTCCGGCGAGTGGGACCACTGGCTGGAAATGTTTATGAACGGCCAGTGTCACCGTGGCGACTGGTTCGACCATGTTCTTAGCTGGTGGGAACATCGCCATGCCGACAATATCCTGTTTCTCACATATGAGGACTTGAAGAGGGACCCGGAGGCGGAGGTGTGTAAGATTGCGGCGTTTTTGGGGGTTGAAATAACGCCGGAAAGGCTGGACAGTATTAAGGGGAAAATCAGTTTTTCGGCCATGAAGGCCAGTGGGTTCACTGATTTGGGTGAAATTAAGGAGTTGAGCCACGGCGAGCATTTCCGTCGAGGGAAAAGTGGTTCGTGGAAGGACCAGTTTACGGTGGCGCAAAGTGAAGCCTTCGATTTGCTGTTCGAGAAGAAAATGGGCTCATCTGGACTGAGCTTCTGATTCCTTGTTTCATAGTCTATCATTGCCTTGTCGATCAATATAGCCATTGAACCCAGACCAAATCCCCAGTGACTTGGAGGTGCACCGTAGTGTGGCAGGATTTAACAACAACAGCCTGCAGGAGTTAGCCAGGCACCTTTGATCACCCTCTATGCTTTACTATTTGCTTTGTAACATGAGTGCACAGTGTACATATTGTCCCGTTGTTCTCCTGATCGAGTCAAGTTCAGTGTCGATCCTCGAATGAGTCCAACTTCTAGTAATCTCGGGGAATTCCCGAGTCCGGCGCAGTTCGTCTCCATTCTTGAGATTCGAAGGCCAAGTCAGTGCGCTAAATACCGCCGATCTGGAAGGTCCCCACAGAGTGGGGCTTCAGCTGAGGAGGATATGAATTGAGTACTACTAGTAGGAAGTAGATCTCGTGTAGCTGGACTATTTAGAAGCAATGCTATAGCGTATTTCGGTAAGGGGGCTGTACATGCAAGCAGTGCTATAAACACGCGTTTTGAACTCGTCTCAATTTCTTAGGTAATCCTAACATCAGCTAGTTAACTATAATAATAGCGTTAGCTAGCGAATGCCGCGTCCTTCTCCAGCCGGGCCATAGACCACGGTGGAAATTATTCGCTAAGCTACAGATCCTGCGTGCCCAAGTGATGTGGGGCCTCAAACAAGTCTGGACCTCGATTGATGTGAACATCGTCAACTATGTGAAAAGCATCTTCTCTCTGTTCGCTCCTCCTCCCGAAAGCCATCCAGCATCGGAAGTCCACCGGCGATTCCCCAATGACCCATTTTTCACGAGGCTGCTATCCACAGCAGCCCGTCACTCCAATCGGGTCGTGGTCAATGATCCAACGCGTCACGTACAAGCCGACTATACACAGTTGCTCCGGGATGTATCGGTCCTGCGGCAAACACTTTGCGAGAGCCTACCGGAATGTAAGGTGGATAGAAGTAAAGGGGTTGTTCGAGGCCAATCGGTGAGGATCTGTCTTTTGGCGCCAGTGAGTTATCACTGTATTGTTGCATTGCTGGCAATAGCGGCGATTGGGGCTGCTGCGGTTGTTCTGCGTAAGACAATTTCATATTGTTGACTTTACATGGCGGGATTGGCTGACATGGTCAATAGCAACGGGGTTAATCCCAGAGGAGGCACTGTATCTCTACAACAAGTGCGATGCAGCGTGCTTGCTGGTAGCACCCGAGATGGAAGATCTGGCAGTGAGCATTAGGAAGTATGCCAGCCAGACCGAAAAGGCTAGCGATAAGGACTCTGCGTTCATCAAGCAAATCGCAATTGAAGTCTATCAGAGCGTCCCAACCACGCACGACGCCGACTATTCGATTATGACAACCTTTAGCTTTCCATCGTCTCAACCTGCCCTGGTTCTCTTCACCTCGGGCAGCACTGGTCCCCCAAAAGGCGTCGTCCACACGCGAAAATTGCTTTACGGGTTGGCTGAATCCTGCGACGCCCTGGATACCGACGTCATCCTCATCCATCGTCCCGTATTCTGGGTGGCAGGTTCACGTCCGCTCCTGTCGATGCTGCCGAATGGCGTGCGGCTGGAGATTTTCGCTCCCGGATCACGGCCAGACCTCTTGTGGAAGCGGCTGCGTGACGGCGATATTACCATCCTCGCGTGTCAGCCGATCGTGTGGCAGGGGATGATGAAGGTCTTCGAGGAGAAAATTAGACTGCTTCCTCCTCAGATCGTACAGGAGTGTATGAGGGCAGCTGATGGGCTACGGATTGCTCAATGCACAGGTGGGATGCCAGGCGTAGCTGTGAAGCAGTTTTGGCAGGATCTTCGCAATGGCCGTGGCTTGGAGATTGTGTATAATACTACCGAGATTGGGTTACCACCGTTGCAAACATCTGGTGGGAGTCCAGCAGATGTGAGTATCTATTTCCATCTATCGAATCTAGACCGGGAGATTGACGACAGGCAGAAACGAGTAATCGGACAGCCGGTTCCAGGAGTCACAGTCAAACTGTCGCAGGGAGTCCATGGCGAATTGCTGGTCAAGAGCCCATACATTTTTTCCCAGTAAGGGGCTTCCCAAACTCTTGTGACCTGACTCTTGCTCATGTTACGCAATAGCTACATTGGTGATACCGATTCGACCATGGCCATGTTTGACGACGATGGCTTCATCAAGACTGGAGACCTAGCATATCTCGACTGCCAGGACTACGTAATTGATGGTCGGGCAAAAAGTGACGGTAAGCCCAATCCAATACTTAATTCCTTTTCCATTTTTCTAATCTAATATAGTCATCCGATTTTTCGGCTATAAAGTCCTAACTTCCGAAGTTGAGGAGCGACTCAGCGAGCTCGCATACATCTCCGAGGCATATGTCCTCCCAGTCATTGGCCCAGATACATTCTGTCGCGTTGCAGCAATTGTTCGTCTGCAACGAGACATTCTGCTGGTCAAAGACGGCAACAAGAACAACCTTTCGCTTAGGGCTTTACGTGAGGATCTCTCACGTTCCTTGTCGTTGTATAAACAGCCAAGTTTGCTGCGGGTTCTCAATAACGATGAGAGTGTACCAACGACGCGGACTCTCAAGTTTGATTTTGCTGAAGCTGTTAAGCAGTATTTTCCCCTTGGCATCGATTGGGATGAGAGGGTACAGGTTTGGGATGTGAGTGGGTTGCAGGAAGCGATGCCGGAAAAGGCGTGGGATTTGGCTGGGATGCGGGGTTAATGAGGACTTATAAGGAGACCATTTCTAGTCTTGGGTCTTTATGGCCAGGGACTATGTCATAGTAGAAATAGTTAATAGTACTTAAGCCTGTATAATAGACATTATACCCTCTTCAAGGGAGAATATTGGGATCTGGGTCCAGTCGGAACCAGGACGCAGGGTACACTATTTCATAATGACTTTTAACCAGATTATACGTTCATTTATCTAACCTCAGTCGTAGCTTCCCAGCCTCTCTCCTGTTTTTCTGCTGCTGTTCACCGTCACTTTTATATCCATTGTTCAAATGGCACACAAGAGGTAAGGAAGTGATAAATACTGTAGGGAAGGAAACTACAAAATCCACTCATGAGCCTAAAGACTATTCCATACTCTCAATCTGACCGGAACATGTCAGATTGAATCCCACAGGCACAACGACCGCAGCACAGCAGCTCTGCGGGAATATCGGCAGCCTTCCTCATGCGACTATTCCACATTCTGCAATCATCTCTTTCCAGCTGACGCAAGAGTGGCCATTCGGTCAAAGCTAGCATCGAGTATCTTCACGACATTTCCCCATGGATCAGCAGCATACAGACATATCACGTCCCTCACCGGGTGTACAGTGGACCCAATCCTCTTACCTCCTGCTTGAACTTCCAGTCCTGCGAGCATGGAATAGCAAACTAATTCTAGATTGCCAGAACCCGGCAACAAATCAGCTAGTCGCGAACATTCCCATCGCCGAGGAAATGACATCGACAAAGCAGTCGCAGCAGCCGAAAAGGCTCTGCCAGGATGGGCTAGGCTGCCTGCTCGCAAGAGGGCTGCCATCATTAGAAAGTTTGCCGCCCTTATGGATGAAAACAAACACAAGGTGAGTGAGGTATGTGGCAACAGCCCTAGCCAAGTGATCGACAGGTTACTAACATTCTCCCCCGTATCGATAGCTCGACTCGGTTTGTATGGGAAGCCTCTGCATGATGGCCTCGGTGATGTACAGGAAGCATACGATATCACCAACTACTTTGCCGGCCTCGTTGAGATCGCGGACGGAGAGACTTCATTGAACTCGCCAGACTCCCTTAATATCTCCATGCGACAGCCGTTTGGAGTAGTCGCTTCCATCACTCCCTGGAACTTTCCCACAATGATCGTATGTAACGTTTCCCTCCCCACCCCCAGACCTCCAAGTAACGAACATAACCATCCTACGTTTCCAGTGGTGCCATCATGTTGTACCTGCCTCTGGAGCTGGAAATGCAGTTATATTGAAGGTGTGAACCGAGCTCTCATCGGCAATTCTGAGTCAAAGGTGGCGAATTAGTCAACTAACTGTACACTGCTCGTCACAGACATCGGAAAAGGCCCCTCTGAGTGTAAGTCTCCTAGTGTCGAATTTCTAGACAAACTATCTGGACTCACAGCTGATGGGTCGCAGGAAGTTCTGCTCGCCCAGCTGGCATATCAAGCTGGGTTCCCCCCGGGAATTATCAATGTCGTGTCTGGTCCCGGCCAAACTGGAGCTCTGCTTTCTGCTCATATGCGTACCAGGTTGGTGCACGGCTTCGAGCTGTACAGTCAGACTCCAATTAACCAATCTTGCCATATAGAAAGATCAGCTTTACTGGGTCTACCTGAACAGGCCGTGCCATTATGCAGGCTGCTGCGAAGTCTAACCTGAAGACTGTCTCACTCGAGCTTGGGAGGAAGTCTCCAGTGTTGGCTTTTGATGATGCTAACTTAGAAGCGACGGCCGCGGCTTCTGTTAAGCCGATTACCTTCAGTAAGTCAGATGAACGCTTCCTACGAACCGTTCTAATTAAATCATCTTTCTCTGTCTAGATTCGGGCCAGGTTTGCACGGCATCCTCTCGCCTTTACGTGTAGAAGACCACCGCTGAGAAGTTCAAAAGCTGGTCTCACAGCTTATGTTGAACTTGCGCCTTAGGGACGCTCGGGCGTCGAGCACTCACATGGGCCCTCAAGCAGATAGCAAACAAGCGGCTGCCGTGGCAAGGTATCTAGAAGCGGGACTGCAGGACGGTCAGGCTCTGGTAGGTGGGAAGAGAGCCTTGAATGCGGGCTAAAACTATATCCATCCTACCGTTTTCTCTAATATGCCTGATAAGAGCGAACTTAACATGGAGGAGGTGTTTGGCCCTGTCTTGGTACTTCATGAGTTTGAGACCGAAGAAGAAGCAGTCCGGCGTGCGTACGATACTGAGTGTAGGTCGACCTGCCACACCCCATACATTGGTTCGAGAGTCCTGTGAAGTCTAACTAGTTTCTTACAGATGGCGTATATGCTTCAGTCTTCACGAAAGATGTCAGCAGGGCTTTGCGCGTGGTGCGTGCCCTTGAGGCTGGCAGGAACTGCACTTCGCCAGATGGCACCTATGAGCTACCATTCGGGGGTTGGAAAGCATCAGGCATCAGGTCCCAGAAAGGTAGCTCTGATATTTTTGAATTCACTCAGGGCAAATCAGTATATATCAATCACTCTATTTAGTGTACATTTGTCGTAATACTCTCTAGAATAGGCCATTGTGCTGCGACGGTTTAAATACTTTCTCTGTGATCTTGTCCTTCTTATCACGTTCTTCACCAATGGGTAAAGCGTAGCTACCTCGTACCGCTGTATTCTAGGCCATTCGCGCACGACTAGATATATCTGCGGTCACAGATAAACCACATATGTACATCTCTTCCAGGAAATAATCACGTCATAAAGAACTGAACCCCATGGTGATATTATCGCTGTCAACGGCATAGTTAATACCTTGCGCCCGTTACCCCTCTACATTGTCATATATACTTCCTGTGTTCACCTCTTGGGCTGAGTTGTCTTATTGAACTAGCTTGTGGTATGTATGCCACAAGTCGCAATTAGAGCATCCTTTGGTTTTACCCCAATGTCCTCGCGTCAACGTTGCATGGTGTAGAGTGCCATTGCCTCGCTCGCAGCTGGGAGACTAAATTACAAGGGCTCTCCTTGATAATGTTGACCATTGCATTCGCTATATAATGTGGTCAATGGCGGGGCAGTGAGCTATACCTGCCACTGTGACGGGTAAAAGGTCAGGACCGTGGAGATCATCATTCTCCTCTCGCCTGGCCTAATGCATTACGCCACAGAAATTTAGCCCAAACGCCCCCGTATGTAAGCATCGGATAAGCACATTTCCGATCCTCTACACTGAATGGGGAGCTCTTCAGGCCATTCATGACGACAATGGACTACTAAATTATAAAAGTCTTGCCGCTGCCAAGGATGGCCTTTCAGGGCTCTCAGTTGTTGGCTCTCTCTCGTCCACTGGAGAACCAGAAACATATGAATTGACATATCGTTTAACAACCCAGGCCTGTAGTACACCATGAGTCCCGAGACTGGACAATCCGATACGAGAACTTGACAGGTCAGGCTCGGGGTTGTGGGAATCGGCCGAATGGGCTGTCAACATGCACTGAATTTACTCAGAGCACCCTCCACCAAGCTTATATGCGCCTGCTCCTCCGGCCCAGATTGACATGGACTGGGGTGACAAGTACTTGGCTTCCTATGGCGTTTCCATCTGTTCGTCCTTCGAGGAGATGTTGAATGCCCAGGGACTGGAAGCGGTAGTCATATCTTCCGCTACGCCCTTTCACCAGCCTCAAACACCTGCGTGCATTAGAAGAGGCATCCACGTGCTCTGTGAGAAGCCAGTTGCTGAATCCAAGAAAAAAAGAAAAGAAAATAAAATAAACAAAAATAGCACGGCCCGTTTTCTACAGCGGATGGCTCGTACTTCCACGCACTATAACCAATAAGGGTGAACGATATTCCCGACAGTCTGTATATATCCAAGTGTAGTTGCAGAGACTCGTATTCACTTGCACGTACTGACACTTTGCTGCCATCCTAGGATTACTGGAGATACCATTCCATATTAGCCTGTCATTTGGGTTGCGTGATCTACCATCCCTTGTTGGGCTTCATTGTCACAATGCAGAATGGTCCTAACCTTTGTGAAGTTCCTTATAAAACCGTAAAGGTGCCGATAAGGATGCTGTAGCCAATGCTAGTACTAAAAGATGTATCTCGGGGGAGTATAATGTATAGTTTAATGAAGTATATTCTTACATTATTCTCATATTGTGAGTTCCGTACTGGAGATACATCTTGAACCGGAACCCAACTCGTTGATCATTTTAGTAGGGATTATTTTAAAACCTAGTATTGTATGATGGAAGCTATAGAGATGTCAGATTACAGTCAATATCTGCCTTCTTCACGTGGTAAAGTTTCTACCACATCATTCTAAAATTCCGACCCCTTGCAATCCCTATCATGTAAACAACACGGTAGAGAGACGAGGGCCTCAGACTCTCCCTTGACTTCCAAGCCCCTAGCCGCGAATGCTGACCCCCTTGGGTGCCGGCGAAAATGCCAGGGGAAAACCTTCTCTCGTTATTATTTAGGTGCATTTCTCTCGCCATACCTTCTAATTTATCAAATTCTGTGGAGCGACCGATTTTAAACCGCGATTCGCGCAAAAGCAATTTGCGTTTCATGATCTTGTTCTGGAGACAGCCGTTGTCGAAAGAACAGCATTCATTACCCATTAGATACTACATACAGAGATGAACTATGTGCGAGAGTGGCTCTTCGGAGCTAAGGGAAATGGAGATCTCATCAACGAGCTAAAGCGCCCGGTGAATGAGCCAGACATGTACCCAGTGCATACGGTAGATCACATTAAAGAGTGCCAAACGTTCGTGGCGATGATCATGCTTTTCAATGACGTGCTTGATGCCGACATGCTTAACGACTCCTTGTCAAGGTTACTTGAGATTGGTGACTGGAGGAAATTGGGAGGTCGACTAAAGAGAGGCGTAAGTACCGTATATGTATATACACATGACAAGTGAATGGGCGATGTTACTGATCTCTCCCCAGGTCGACGGCGGCCTTCAGATACAAGTCCCGCCAAAGTTTACGGCCGAACAACCAGCTATAACATACACACACATCTGTCTGACCCATATGAAGATCAGTGACCATCCGGTAGCCAAACGGCTTCCAACACGCACGGGTGACCCGTCCATACAGACCCTGCCAGAAAGTGCTGAATTCCGTACACTACAAGTTCGCGAGGACTTCCCAACGTCATTAGACGCCCTGATCGCAGCCGACCTGCCCCAGATCTCATTGCATGTCCACTCGTTCCGCGATGCCACGGTTGTCGGTTTTGCTTGGGCACACACAGCGATGGACGGTGTCGGTTGGGCAGCGTTGCTAAGGAGCTGGTCACTCGTCATGGCCGGTCAAGTGGAGAAGGTGCCTCTTGTAGCAGGAGCTCGTCATGATATCCTTTCTCATTTGCCTCCTAGCGACTCGGACCAGGAAAAGCTCTTCGACAGTCAAGGGCGTCTGCGCAACCTCCGGTTAGCCAAGTTTATCTGTCGGTCGGGATGGGAGAAGCTTACTGGCCCTGCCAAGGTCTTGCGAGCCATGTACATCCCCAAGGTGAAGTATGACATGTTAGTGAAGAGAATCAAAGACCAGGTCTCTCGAATTGCGACAGACGTTAACGACAAGCTTTACATAAGTGAAGTTGACGCGCTCATAGCCTGGATCACACGGCAAATAGCCTTGTCGCAGCCTAGGCCGAGGCCTGTGACAATCATGAGCATCATCAACTATCGTTTTCGGCTGAAGGATCTACTTCGGCTGGATGATGTATATTTGCAAAACCTGCTCATGCTCTCCTATACACTGTTGTCTGCGCAAGAAGCTCGCGGCGCGGTGGCACCGCTCGCTCTGAGCCACCGAGCGCAAGTCATGGAGCAAACAACAGAGCCACGAGTCGCTAGCTTTGTACAATGGGTCAGCAAGCATATTGACAAAGGCAAAAGTGCGATCCGTTTATGTGGCGAACCAGACTCCATCATGATTTGGTTAAACTCCTTTACCAAGGCCGAGATCATGAAAATGACTGACTTTGCTCCTGCGGTGTTGCGCCCAGGAGAGGGCGAGGAAACGCGAAGCAACCCTAGTGGCACGATGGTAAACTGGATCTTCAAAGACGTAAATGAACCGATGCCGTACATGGACGCGCTGCATATACTTGGAAAAGATCATAGTGGTGGAGCTTGGATTGAAGGATATTTATCGCTGGAGGTGTGGGACGCTCTTGAGCAACAGATGAAGCTATTGATAGAGCAAAGCTAATGGATACTTCTCATATTCAATTGAATTTTTTGTATTCTATTATTTCGAGCACCTGATTTTAAATGGTGGACGTTGTCTTTGCAATAGAGTGGCTACCGATTATCTATACGTTAATCACTGAGTCTACAGTGTTGATACTCAGAGGTCTAGATATATCTATCACCATTCATTCCTCTTTAAAAATGATACATTGTACGAAATCATGTAATATAAATTGGACTCCCGTCAATAGTACTTCATCCAACTGCGACTGCAAGAACTGGCATAGACTAGGAAAGTTACTTTCGATTGTCAGACGCCGAGTTTCACGGACCAAGGGCATACGTACGTCGTCGATTCTATACAGAAGTAAGAGCATTAAGTGAATATCCATTCCTGACCTGAAATATATAGATATATATATATATATATATATAAACAATTCTTGGTACGTCTCGCTTGACTGTGCAATAATTATGAACCGTTTGGTGCCGTGGCCTTGGTAGCTGTAGGCACAAGCTTCGATCTACTAGCAATCTTCTTCGTCACCTCGCTTATTGGGTCACTGCCCGTCAAGTCGAAGATGGTCAGTTCGCTCTTAAGCTCCATGGATAACCAGTTGCGCAATTCGACTGCTACCAGACTATCAACGCCGTATGCGTGGATCGGCTTGTCCGTATTAATATCGCTGGCGGGAACCGAGATGTGCTTGGCAATTTTACCAAGTAGGAGTTGCTGTGCCATATCGTTGGCCTCATCCATCGACTTGCATAGGGTGAGTTGGGTGGGAAGGTGGCTAGTATCGTCCTGGCCATCGCCAGCGGCTGCATCCTGCCTCTGGATGTCCATCTGCTGTAGATAGGAAAACGATGCCAGGGACCGTAGCCAGTAAAAGTCGGCGCTCTCGTCTGTTTGCTTGACGAGCTGCTGGAGGCCTCCACTACCTGCGCCGATGAGGATCTGCGCCGCCAAAGGTTCGTTGCCATCGACTGTACGTGAGAGCGCACATCGCAAGGCGTGCATAAATTGTTGCTCTTCAACGCTTGTCTGCAATTATCTTGTTATTACAAGCAAATAAAAGAATACCAAAGAGATGACACGTACCACCCGGACCTGACTTGTTCTCACTCGAGAGTCGTGGTGCTCTTCGACGTAGCCGATACCCTTCATCATGCCAATGTCAAGACTTTGGGCCGCGAGCCCTTTTTGTCGTCTGTAGTGCACTAGAGCATCCTGGAATGTATTTCCCGCGGCATAATTTCCCTGTGAGACAGAACCTATGATGCCGGCAAGGGATGAGAGAACTACGAAGAAGTCGAGATCCGTGGGAAGAAGGTCATGGAGGTTCCAGGTGCCTGGACCCTGTGTTAGTATTTTTTTGTATACACAGCCAAGATATTCTAACTCACCTTGAACCTTTGGTCTTGTGGCAGTCACCCATTGGTCATAACTCATCCTGTGGAAAAGACTATCCGCAAGCACCATGGCCCCCTGAATAACACCACGGATAGGCGGCATACTGCGAGAAATCTCTTGCAGTATATTCCTCAGCTGAACCTTGTCGGCAACATCGCCGGCATAAGCCTTAGCCTCTACCCCTGCCTCTTTCAACGTGTCCAGGACCTTTCTGGCCTCCGTTCGTGCATCTCCAGAGCGAGAAATGAACGCAATATAACGGGCCCCGTTCTCCGCCATGAAGGCGGCCTGAGCTCGGCCAAGGCCTCCAAGACCACCGACAAGTAAATATGTTGCGTCTGATTTGAGTCGCAAAGGTACTTCTGCCCTCGGCAGAATAGGCACACGCGACGTGGGTGTTGCTTGGAGGATCAGCTTACCAATGTGACTTCCTCGCTGCATCTCGCGGAATACGTTTTCCACTTCCGTGAAGTCACGAACAGTCATGGGCCGTATAAAGCCAATGGCACCTTGCTCAAAAAGCTTCAGTACCTTTGAAACTAGCTTCCGGCAACGGAGAGGTTCGTCAATCATCATGGCCTCCAGGTTCACGCCGGCAAAGACGGTGTTATTGACAAACGGCTTCATGTCGAGTCCGCTATTGCCAAGGATATCCTTTTTGCCTACTTCGATAAACCTACCGTATGGTGCAAGGCAGTCCCAGCTCAGGCGCAAAGCCTCTCCAGCCAGCGAGTTGACAACAACATCCACGCCACGACCTCCCGTTACGCGCTTGATACCTTTGGCAAACGAAAGATCACGCGAACTGAAGACCCGGTCCGGTTCGACGCCCAGAGCTACAACTGCCTGCTTCTTGGCAGAAGATCCAACGGTGCAGTATATCTCTGCTTCCAACATCTTGGCAATCTGGATAAGGGCTTGGCCCAAACCTAGGGTTTGGTGTGAGCGATCAATAGGTTATTTGCCAACCTGATGCGAGAAATATCTTACCTCCAGCAGCAGCGTGAATTAGAACAGACTCGCCCTTTTCAAGTCTCGCTACCTCGACAAGGGACCGGTAGGAAGTAGCATACGCAATTGGAATAGAAGCGCCTTCTTCAAACGACATATTGTCCGGCAGTCTCTGAATGACCGATTCATGAGCTCGGATATGAGTCCTCATTGCTCCAGGCCCGACAAAGAGCACACGGTCTCCGCAAGAGAACTCTGTCGTCTTGGAGCCTACACGGGTAACAATACCACAAGCTTCGTGGCCGATGTCGGGCCGTTGAATCTGGCCCATCGTGATCATAATATCCCTACTCTGGTGTCAGCTTGAATAGTAATGCCCTCGTCATGTTTAGTCACTCACAAGAAGTTCAACGCGCAGGCTTTGACTTCAATTTCAACCTCCTGCTCACCAAGAGGCTTCAGGCCTGCATCATCGTCCACAAAATGAAGGGTATCGAGCATGCCAGGATGCCCAATGGTCAGTTTCAGCGGCCGGCCAACTTGGCAAAGGTTCCCGATTTGCGCCTTCACGCCTGTAGTCTGGGTCGCGCATGCCAGACTATCATTCATAGCCTTATATGGCATATGGCGCGGAATGTGGAAGTGCCCTCCTCTCTCTTCTGTCTCCATTTCCTCGACTCGATCCTCTTCAGCAGCACCATCCCAGATAGTACATAGACGTCTGTACACTGCGGCACTTGTTGACTTTACATCGCTGTCCAGCAGACGAGACAAGTGCAGCTCGTAGAGTAAACGAGATGAGTCCTCCATTTTGACGCAACGCATAACTCCAGACATCAAGCGTTTTGCGGGATGGCCAGGGGCTTCCTCGGGGTCAGACCGTGTAACCCATAGGAGTTCTCGACTGTGAAGCATAAGATGTTTGGTATGTTCAAAGTTCTCTTTTGATATATCTTCAAAGAACGGGGCCTCGTAATCTAGCAGGGATATTACTGACTTTCCCCTTGCCTCGACTACTGCAGTGGCGAGATCCTTGACGGCTACCATGTTGCCGTGCTGCATGAAGCGGTGGCAGATATCTGAGGCAACCGTCTTGGTCGAGGTGCTGCAGCTAGCTGGGACTACAACTACAACATCCCTAAGGGAAGCCTTGCGTGGTTTCGTGCTGATAATGGTGGACAATCTGTAAGCGGTTGGATCGTCGTTGTCACCCAGAGATATGTCGGCGCCGGAGAAGCCAGCCTCCAGGAGCGACTCATGCCACTGAGACGGCCGTAGCAACGGCCCGTCTTGCCGGTCATCTTCGGCAGCCCACCACCCAGGCATGATTCCGAACACAAAGCTGGCCAGGTCATTGGGATTAGTATACTCGCCCATTATAAGGTTGCCACCAGCCTTGAGCAGTGTATGGCAGTGCTGCAGTGTCCTGTGGATGCTCTTCGTTGCGTGGAGTACCTGTCATAGTTAGCAATAGCCCAATATGCTAGTAATGGCACGTTTTCGTACATTAACAGCCAGCACGACATCATATGAGCCGGCCTCAAAGCCTTGCTCGATAGGATCTCGGTCAATGTCCAATACCTTGTACTCCACGCGTCCCTCCCAGTCTCTAAGTACGGTCTTTGCACTCTCGAACCATCCGGCTGAGATGTCGGTAAAAGTCCAGGAGGAGAAGAGAGGTGTCTCACTCCCATCTTGGCTCAGCCGCTGCAGGAGTGGTAGTGTGCTGGACGCAGTTCCCCCGCCGATTTCAATTACACGCAGGATCGGTTGCTTGTGCGCCTTGAGCTCGAACCATGTTTGCATATGCTCAGAATGTACTTGCAGTCCGTATGTGTCTTGGTATGCCTTGTCGAGCAAGTCATCCTGCCGCAGGGTCGCGATAGGGGTTGTCTCCTGTGCAAATATCGCACTCAGAGCGAGATACACACGTTGCGCAAGTTGTCCATCGACGGGGTATAGTTCAATGAAACTTTCAAAGTCAAGTGGTTCGAACGATGGACGACAGGTATTGCAGCTGTTAGCAATGTCAGGAGGTGTTATGACCCCTGTTGCCTTATACCCGCATCGCTTGTGCATCCACTCCGCGTATTTAAGGAGATGATGGGGCAAAGACGCATTGATACAGGGCCCGAGCTTCGCAAGTGCGAGCCTGCACATCTGTTTGATAAGATTGTCACTCATTGCGCAGAATTGGACCATGCCAACGTGATCATCCTCTATTCGACTCATCTTTCGTAGCATCTGGCCGTCAACTAGTTCCACGTCGGGCTTCCAAACGGGAGCAGCATATAGCTTTGAAGATAGCACATCTGACGATTCAGGCGTCTTGTGAGTGGATCCCAGTCCAGTCAATTTGAAATCATCAATGATGACGGCGGGCAGCGCGCTTTCCTCTTGTCTGTCTCTAATGAGCACAGACGTCTTCATTTCACGTATGCCTGTAATGGAGGACTCGACCAGGCCCTTCAGCGTGGCGCCATACCGGCGATCAACGCTATTCGAAATGAACAGATAGCCTGCACCGGTTGGGACCCAGACCTGGTTCTCAACAGTGTCTAACCTAGGAACTGCGATCATCATAGATTGAAAGAAGGCATCAAGCGTCGCGGGATGCATGACATAGTCGCTCTCCTTGAATGCCGGCATGCATGCGCGCGTGTCCGGAATCATGGTCTCAAACGCAACCGTTAATTCATGTTGGTGAATACTGCGCAAGCCCTGGAATGTTTTTCCTGTTGCAATTTAGTCAATTTCGCTGCACCACACGCATATAGTTTGAGGGCATTAATTACCAAAATGGAGTCCCTGCTCATCACAAAAGTTGTAGTGGCTGGATCTTGGCACCCTTTTGAGACACAATGCTCGTTTCGAATTCCATCGCTCATTGTATGCAAGAATCTCCTCGCGGGCTTCTTTCCCTCCGTCGACCTCGGTCACCTTGTTTGAGTATTGAATCCGCAGAAGTCCCGAGGCATGTTCGACGAAAGTATCGTTATCCTGGCATGAGTAGTAGGAAAACTCAAACCATGGCCCGGCACCGCTGCCTGATCCGACCTTTCTGCGCTTGAGGTTGGTATGGACCTCTACCCCAATATCATTGTTTGGGATGACCAGGGCCTTTGATACGGAAAGCTCGCGGAATTCAAAGCCTGATACATCGGCACTGGAGCCCTCGACGGCCGCGATTTGTCTGGCAGCTTCCACGGCGGAGCAGATCATGGCCGCTGCGGGAAAGACAATATCGCCGTGGATCTGGTGGTCCTGAAGCCAAGGCAAATCAGAAACACGCAAGTGGTTCTTCCATACTGGCTCAATGGCGTTGTATGATTCTAACAGTGATCCGATGAGGTCGTGTCTTGGAAACTGTGGTCGACGGTGGTTCCTAGACTGTCTGCTCTCATGCCAGTACGATGTTGAGTGGTTCCACTGATAGGTCGGCAGGTCTGTAAGAACACCAGCAGATTCTTGCACATTATTAACCTTTTCACATGTGTTAGACAGGCCTCCAAGTTTAAGCTTCAACTTCTTCATGGCACTCACCTTATCCAACTTGACCGGAACTCCCATGGTCCACAGCGTGCCAGCGGCCCCAACGGCTGTGAGTGAGGCATCCTTCGCGCGCACAAGGATAGAATTGTATGTCAAATTCTCCAAACCATCACGGTTCGCTTTATACTGCCTGATGGCACCAGCCAGCGTAGAGTGTGGACCGATCTCAAACAGCAGACTTGGCATTTTGGACTTGGCCTTGAGTTGCCTATTAGCAACATCTGCATACATCATGTCATCAAGGCCGTCTACGAATTGAACAGTTGAACACAGATTCTGAACCCAGTAGTCGGCAGTCAGCTCACACGTTGGTATTTGGCGGCCGTGAACAGTCGAATAGAATGCAACAGAGGGGACATGGGAAGGCGCTATCTCCTTGATGCTCTCTCTATAGTCCGCACTGACACTAAGCATCTGGGAGCTGTGGTAGGCATTCTCGACTTGTAGCAGGCGGCAAAATATTTTCTCTTGGTCAAAGGTTTCCTTGAGCTTCTCCAAGGCTGCCCTGTCACCAGCGAGGGTGATGCTTTCGGGACTGTTAACGCAGGCAATACCAACAACACCATCAGTATGAGCAATATAAGGCTGAACGTGTTCCAGTGATAACCCAACTGCCATCATACCGCCTCCAGGCCTACGGTCCTGCGCCATCTTGGATATGAGGCCGCGGTGATAAGCAATCTTCAGGCAGTCCTCCCGCGACAGTGCACCCGCCGCGTACGCAGCAGCCATCTCACCAGAAGAATGCCCGATTACTGCCATGGGCTTGATGTTCCAATGCGCTGCGAGATCCACCAGAGCAATCTGTAGTATCAGGCACAGTGGCTGTGAGTACTCTGCCTGCTTGACCTTGGAGTCGGCTTCAGATTTGGGCAGCATCAGCTCCGCCCAAGCGTCCCAGGCACAGCCCAGATCCATCAGACACGCCGCGGACCGTCGAACCGAGTCCGCAAACTCGGGGAAGCATACCAGCTCGCGGCCCATTCCGTACCACTGAGCTCCTTGTCCCGTGAAAATAAAGGCCACGTTGGGGTTCGTCGCAGCTTTCACGGGCGCTATAGTGTCGTCTCTCCATACAGACGACAGGTCCTGTGGAGAGGATGCAACAACAGCATGCCTCCATTGGAAAACAGATCGTCGCTCACTTAGTGTCCTAGCAAGGGGTTGTAGTGTGGCAGCTGTGTATCGGGATTCCACGTAGTCTGCGTGGGCATGGCGTTGTCGCGCCATAGCTGCTTGCTCGGGAGCTGACAGAGCAAAGACGCGGGGCTGGACCAAAGCAAGCTCTTGCTTCGTCCTTAGAAGTTTACCTCTCAGTCGAAGATAGTTGTATGCGTCGTCGAGAATTACATGAGCGTTGGTACCGCCAAATCCAAAGTTGTTGATTGAGCATCGTCGCACTTCACATTCCGGCCATGGTATCGAGGAAGTGGGCACGACCATGTTGTGAGAGTCAAGCATGAGCCGAGGGTTCACTGTCGCAAGGTTGAGATTGGGAGTAATTACACCCTTTTCAAGGCAGAGAACAGATTTGATGATAGCTGCCATACCAGCTGCCGCCTCCGTGTGCCCAACTCTTGACTTGACCGAACCACAGTAGAGCGGCTGGCTTCGGGCAGTAGCGATCGTGTGGGAAATTGCGCGAACCTCTGCACTATCACCAGCTTTCGTGCCGGTGCCGTGAAGCTCAACATACTGGGTGTCAGCAGGGTCGAGATTCGCCATGCGGTATGTGTTCACTATCAACCTCGCTTGGGCCTCCGCACTTGGCAGGGTAATACCAGCGGTCTACAAAATGAATTGTTAGCAACAATTTCGCTTATACACGCTCCAGGTTGTCTCCGTTTTACGCACCCTGCCGTCTGAGTTGAGGCCAGTGCCGCGTATCACAGCCCGGATGGGGTCACCGTCGCGCAACGCATCATCAATATGTTTCAAGACAATCATAGCTACCCCCTCTCCCCGCGCATACCCATCTGCTCGTGAGTCGAAGGAGAAGCAACGGCTGTTTGGGCTGAGAAATCCAAGGGCGTTGAGCCCACAATAGTCGTCCGGCTCCAAGATGAGATTTGCGCCTCCTACCAGCGCACAGCGGGTTGGACTGCTGTTAGACCGTATCGTCTCGCAGGCTATATGCAAGGCAGCCATAGAACTAGAGCATGCCGTGTCGCAAGTGACCGATGGGCCTCGCAGGTTGCTACCCAAAGTTACTATAAGTTCAGCGGATTGGCCGGTCACGATTAAGACTTACTAGAACCAACTGATGCGGTTCGAAAGGATGGAGAGCGCCGTGCCCGTCTTCGCATATTGTGGCGTAGTATGTATGTCTCTTGATACAATCGACTTGTAGTCTTCGGAGAACGCACCCACAAAGCAGGCGGCATCGGTGTTCGCGATGTGTGTGATGGGGATACCGGCACTCTCTAAGCTCTCGTACGCAAGTTCAAGAAGCAGGCGCTGTTGAGGATCGTAGGAACGGGCTTCGGAAGCAGAGCATGTAAAGAACGGGGCGTCCCATTTGGAAACGTCTTGCTCTAAGAAATAACCACCCTCGCAGACCTGGGCAGCTGTTGTCAGCAAAAAGGCGAGAACCTCCTTGGGTCTATTTTGGGCGCGGCGTTTTCATTACCATGCTTCCACTGCGATCTTTCGATGGGTGCCGAAATGCTTCTACATTGAAGCGTGAAGGAGGAACTTTGGTCCAAGCATCTTTTCCTTTTTGTAACATTTCATGAAAGGCCTCTGGTGACTTCGCGTCGCCGGCGAAGCGGCATGCCATGCCAATAATTGCGATGTCTCCAGAAGCCATTGTGATGGTTTTCTCAGCAATCCTGAGGCGAACTTGGCGACTCGAAAACAACAAGAAGGACGAAGGGGGGGATATAAAAGAAAAAGCAAAAGAAGGAAACAGGGAAGGAGCGAAAGAGCAAAAGAAAGAAAGAATATACTGAAGCCTGTCAAATGATCAGGTTTGAAGTAATAGGCTCTCCTGTAGAAGTCCACAGGAGCGCGCGGGTTGATTATGAGGTCGACTCGACAAGGAGTCTATGTCAAGCCCTGATTCCTAGCTCGTATTTCATGGACAAATGGGAGAACGTGAACAACCATAATAAACAGCTGCGAGAATTCTATTCAGCCGTGTTTATAAGGTTTGAATACCGATCGTCACGATGTCGGACGGTCGTCATTTAAAGCACTAAAGATAGCGTCTATCTTAACAGGTCGTCCAGCTTCTTGCGAGGAGACAGCGTTCAGTGATTGCTAATTACCGTGGCTATATGGAAAGGGTTTAACGCCAGCACCAGACCAAACTGAAAGGCTAATGGGCTGCGTCCGTCGGCGATAATTTCCGTCCCTTTAGGACGATGAACCTGGATACCCCTATAGAGCGGATACAAGGGATGAGACACATAACGGCCACAATGTTTGCTTCAAAGGGCTTTTAGCTTTCTATTCGTGTTAATAGTGTAAAGGTTTAGTACGTAATCCTGTTTGCCTCGTTTCAAGTGCCAGGAAGTATGTCGATCACATTCTTCTTGTTGTCAAAATATCCCAGTGGCTGAAAGGGAGGTTGGCGTTTTTGGGGCCTGATTCAACAAGCTTGGCGGGTTGCACCGCGTATTCTCCTTGCAGTTTGATACCATGGCCACGATTCATAGTCGCAAGGGCCCAACCGCCGGACGCAAGGGAGAATTCCACGCCTGATGGTTTTGTACGGTTCATTTCCGATTCCTAGAAGAGTCCTGGTCGCCCAAAGCCGCACTCAAACGGCATCAGTCGAGTACGATTTATTGCCTCGACCTCATTCCTCCTTTTCTCTGAGGAATAATTCGCGGCGCCCCTTAAGTATGACCATATCTACTGCTACTTGTTCATCTCACGGTGGCAGAACAACCCGCAAATCCTCTCGCGGCCAGGCGGACGACTACATATATCCGGTGCACCTACTAGACGGTGCGGAGTACCAACATTGCATCCTCACATTATTCATTAAATTCAACGATATCCTAGATGCTGGGAATATCAGAGACTCTCTCACAAGACTGCTAGAAATTGGCAATTGGAAAAAGTTGGGCGGCCGATTCAGAACGAAGATAGACGGCCAGAACCAAAGCAAAGCGCTCGAAATCCATGTACCTAGACAATACACTGCCGAACGTCCGGCGATCCAATTCGCCTATGAAGCATACGACTCAAGCATTTTCGAGCACCCTTTGGGCCGGCAGCTTCCACAAGCCTCAAACGATGGAGTGGCAATTAGCCCACCTCTTGACGAGCTTCGGCCATTCGGCCATGCCCCTGGGTTCCCCATGACTATGGCAGACCTGGTAGACAAGGACGCTCCACAGCTATGTTTCAAAGTTATCGGCTATACCGATGCGACAATTTTGGCCATCACATTTTCTCACTGCACATGGGACGTTTCAGGTCTGCAAGGCTTTCTGAAGTCGTTGGAGCTCGTGCTAGACGGACGAGAGGATGAAGTACCACCGATGCTGGGCGCACACACCGACATACTCCCAGAGCTGATTGGTCACTATGACAGCTCCTGTCCAGATCATGGATTGTTGAATATATCAAGGGAGTCAGAAGCTACAGGGCAGCTACAGGCGTCGAACACAGCCCTGGAGCAGCGCATAATCCGGGTTCCGTTGGGAAATATGGAACGGCTACATAACCGCGTGGCGATGGAGAGTCCAACGGAAGACGAAGAGGTTTTGTCCACATACCAACTGGACGAGCTCTTCTTGGCCTTGATTGTGCAGCAAATCGCCAGAGCGCAGCCCGAACCACGCGCGCTGAGGCTGCTCAACGTTTTCAACGCACGGCTGGTTGTGCCACGCCTAGCCAAAGCAAGGGGCATTTACAGCCAGAATCTGGTCCTCCTCACCCCTCAAACCTTGTCGAATGAGGTCGCGACAGGACCAATGGGGCCAATTGCGCTGGCGCAGCGAGAATGTTTCGCGCAATCTGCAGAGCCTGAAAGTATAACGAGGTCCCTTCATATGGTGTTAGGCGCTATTGAAGCCGAGCTTGATATTACGCGATTGACTGACTGCAGCGATGCAGAGTCGGTTCTTGTAAACAACTTGGTCCGCCTCTCCAACTACATTGACCTCGACCTCAGTTCAGCGGTCGTTCGCCAGGGCGAAATGTCGGCGACGAGAAGAAACGGACTGGGGACTGCCGACTCGTGCTATTTGACTCTGCCTCCCAACTCGTACGGCATGATGCGGGTTACCACCCTGGGAAGTTACAATGGCAATTCGTGCTGGATGATTGGGGAACTGCCCGCACGGGCTTGGGAGTTAATTTACGAAGCTTTGGACGAGCTGGAATGGTGATCATCGCAGGGTTTAATGAAATATGTATAGACTAATTTGAGAATAGAATTTGCCACTATTACGAGAAACAAGAATTGATGCAAGGAATGGCTACGCACTATAGGAACGGAGGTGGCTAGTCAAACTTGCCTCTAATAAGGAGGCCCGAGCACGGATGAAGGGATCCCTTTCGAACAAAACCAGTATAAGTTGAGGCTCAGTGTCAATTGACTACCCCTTGCAGTACAATATGTATAAACACATTGATGAAGGAGAAGCCATGCAGTGTCACACTCGGCGAAATCACATCTGAACTTAGATACTGGAGTAAACCTTCTACTTTGAAGCTTATTATTCATTATTTTCCGATCTAAGGTTTTGTGGGTTCGATGTAGGTATTGTAAACCAGGAATCTATCTTAACAACAAGGTGCCTATATACCTAGAAATCTAACATCTGGACTTCAACAGGTCAGCTAAGAGAATTTTGATTGATTGACAGATACTTGTATAGACTGTAAATACCATAAGTGCCCCATATGTAAGACCTATATACGTTAGACGCCTTTGTCCAATGTCAGCCTACTGTGAAACGACAACCAGATCGACTCGGTGGTTCGTTATCCTTTCGCTGAACTTCCATTGGCATCCTGGCAGCCCATTATGCACTAACACTATACAGCAGGTAAGTAGAACATCAAGGCAGCTCTGTGGGAATAAGGCATGACACATACGTATTGTCCACCATCGACCCTTAACATTATGCCCCTAAAGTCACGTGTAAGCCAACGGTAATACCATCTCGTCTGAGAGCATTGGGTAAAAGCGTACGTCTGGAAATCATTGAAGTACGGTGATGCAAGATACAGGCAACCCTTGGCGATGTCCAATGGTGTGACCATGCGCTGCACAGGAGCTTCTGTAGCTTGCACCTTCGCCATGTCAGCGCTGAACTCCTCGCCCACGAACTCGGATACTAGGGCTGTGTTGCCTAGAGATGGTGAGATGCCATTGACGCGGATCCCCCGATTTGAGTATTCCGCCGCAAGTCCTCGTGTGAGCAAGTCCACGGCCCCCTTGGTGGCGTTATAGTACAGCAAGCCGCTGGTCGGTTTGGATGTGACACACGAGGAAATATTGACAATGCTTCCGCGACTTTGCTTGAGAAAATGGGGCAAGACCGCATTGATGGAATGGTAGATACTCTTCACGTTAATATCAAAGATACCTTCTATGCGTTAGCATCCTCGCCCGAGTATTATCCATCATCTGATCTCCTCACGGTCATATTCTGCTTCAGTCACATCTAAAGAGTCTTTCCGACGATAGGTCCATCCCGCGTTATTCACCAGGATGTCCACTTTGCCGAATTGAGCCAGAGTCGTGTCCACTGCCGCTTGCCAGTCAACTGCCTTTGTTACATCGGCCTTGATAAAAGTGGCTACAAGGCCAGCTGTTGTGATATTTGCTGCCACCCTGCCACAGATAAGCCCAGAGCACTACAGTGTGATATCATCATAGTACATGCCTTTGCCCCCCTTCTTGGTTGATATCAAGAATGGCAACATTAGCGCCTTCCTCGGCAAAGAGGTGAGCAATGCCCTCCCCAAATCCTAAATCTGAGTCAGCGCGGTATAGATAGCGGTGATTACTGCCTATAGTCATAGTCATACCGCTACCACCACCAGTAACGAGGGCAACAAGACCGTCAAGAAGCTTTTGGGGAGCCATTGCGGTTACGAATCGAAAATAGAGGTGGAACTGTGAATAGTAACAGCAGGGTAGAACCTGGTTGTGATACGTGATGGATCTATTTATTTGCTAGCTGCCTCTTTTCGTTCAAGAGAGTCAATATGTGAAGCCTCGAAATATTAACCGGACGGTAGAAAGTTTCAGATACCTCACTGGAAGCTCTGAGTAGTCCGGGTATGTTTCAACACATATTCTTATCCGTATCATTGGGCATTTGGGAAGAGCAGATTGACGAACATGATGCGTTGCGGGGATGCTTATCGATCGCGGGGAGGTGGGTTAATGCCCCGGCTAAAGGGTACATCCGGACTGTGTTCACACACGGGGTCTCTAAGTTAGCGAATATTTATCTGGCTAGTCTTTGAAGAGTAGTGATGAGAGGAGAGATATTGTCTGTGTTTTGTTTTATTTCGCTATATTTTGTGCAGTTCAACTGTATGTTCCGTTAGGCTTTTGATTATATATTTTACCAAGAGGGAGAGAAAACTACAAGGACATCACCACAACACCAAGTCACCATGGGAGCAGACAACGTCACGACAATTCGCTGGGGGATTATGGGTAAGGATTGCTAAAGACCCTCCGACTGGATACATAGCACTTGCTTATCATAATTAGCAACGGGGGAGATTGCCAAACTCTTCGTCAAGGACCTCCTCATCGACCCGGCCACGCGTGGAACACACGATATTCGACATGTAGTAACTGCCGTGGCTTCCAGTTCTTCTAAAGAGTCCGCAGAGCTATTTATTCAGCAGAATATCACACTGGCAATGTCAAGAGATATCAGCTGCACGGCATACGGATCATACGAGGAGTTGGTCAAAGACGCCAACGTGGACGTGCTGTATATTGCAAGCCCGCACTCCCACCATTACCAAAACTGTATGCTAGCACTCGAAAACCCCAAGCCGATCCTTTGCGAGAAGCCCCTCACGGTGAATGCCAAACAGGCGAAGGTGCTCTACGAAACAGCCCAGCGTCAGAACCTCTTCTTGATGGAGGCGGTTTGGACGCGTTATTTCCCTCTCAGTACTGCGGTGCGCCAATACATCCGAGACGGCCTGATTGGTGAAGTGCTGCGCGTCTATGTAGACAATTCTACCGGGGTGGACATTTCCAATCTGAGCTCTACCCACAGGTACCTAGACAAGGAGCTAGCTGGAGGCGCTCTGTTGGACATTGGTATTTATCCTCTGATATGGGTCTTTCAGACACTATATCATACGCGAGAGAAACATCAGCGACAGAAGCCAAGCCAAGTCGTGAGTCTGCTCACATACGAAAAGGCTTCCCGTACCGACCAAATGGCATCGGTTATGGTGGAGTTCCCATCCTCGACACCATCGGGAACCTCTGTGGCCCACGGTATTATGTCTACCTCAATGATACTTTCGAATGACGCAGACGGAAAGGGGTCGTCAGGTACCGCAGTGCGCATACAGGGGCTGGAGGGGGAGATTCAGATCCTCGGCCCTGTTCACCGGCCGGAGTCCGTGAAGATTATCCGCAAAGGGGAATGCAGGACGGTCCATTTTGAGATTCCGGCTGGCGGCCATGGTATGTACTGGGAGGCTGATGAGGCCGGACGGTGTATTCGGGACGGCAAGATTCAGAGCGAAGTCATTCCGTGGGACGAGTCGGTGGCCATCATGGAGGTGGTGGATGAGATCCGGTCACAAGCGAATTATTCATACCCTGAGCAGATTGAATCGACGGAGTATCCCCTTAGTTTAAAGCAGAAGGCTCTGTGATGTCATTGGCAGAGGGCAAAAGATCACAAATTTAACATTTATTCAATTATTCCTTACTCCATGTTTTGTAAAAAATTGTGTTCGGCTAATAGAGAAGGTTACTTCAAATGGAGTCTTGTAGTTCACGCAGGTATTGGGCCAATTTCCTTTTCATAATATATGTTGGAGGCCGACGTCCGGTCCAGAACTCGAATTGGGCAGAGGCTACTTCAATAAAGATTTCCAAACCCGGTACACCAATCCAGCCTTGATGTGAGCAGATGCGACGAAGCTCCGGAGACGGTAAAGTACTGTTGTAGGCGAGCTCTAAGTAGACACCTCCAGTTGGACTCTTTAACCACGCCGTTGGCACCGACACGGCCGGTTCGAATTCGACCCTATTCTGTTCCAGAAGTGGTGCCGGCATAATGCGGTCTCCAGGGATCGGCGAGCAGTTCACGATTACTGTGGGTAAGCGTAATTTACTCGGCCAAGGGTCCTCCAGTGAATGGAAGATGGATATCGTCGCCCGCTTGCCCTGGGTTTGCTCGGTTTTATCAGTCGGGTCTCCGCTACTGCTGCGATACATCCCCTCGAAGTGATCCACGAGATCCATGGCGTGTTCGGGGGTTCTATTATAAATTAGTATATGCCGGATACCAGACTGGATCAGGGCGTAAACGGCTGCCCGCGCCATTCCACCGGCACCGATGATCAGTGCTGTAGATACTGGTGTGACGGCGTTTACTGGAGACAGATGGCGGAGAGCACAGGCTCTGATACCCTTCCAATCAGTATTTTCTCCATGAAGGGCAAGCACGGGGCCGGCTCGATTGCGTTGTTCAGCTATAGAGAGTTGGTGAGGTAGAGTACTGTCGGCTACGTTCTCTTGCCCCAAGTTCCGTATAGGCAAAACGGTGTTGACAGCTCCAATAAACTGAGCATCAGAGCTCATAGATTTCAAGTAAGGAATGATAGCCGTTTTGAATGGAGAAGAAAGCCCCAAGCTACCCAGGTCATCATCCCGCATTAAGCCCTTGAGGGCCTTAAATGTATCTGTTTGCAGAATAGAATAAACATGAGGCATGCCGTAGACATCAAACGCAGAGTTATGTAAAATCGGCGCGACACTGTATCGCACGTTCGATCCCATAACGAAGAATCGCAATGGCTCGCAATTGAATGAGGCAAAGAGTGCAGCCTGCACTTGAGGTATGGTGATTGTTCCTCGCTCTTTCTCAATCCCATCTGGGTGAGCAACCGGTGTCAGTAACTTATTGAAGCACTGTGACGGTCGGCCCAGGCGATTTGTGTTATATGCAGACACCGGTAGTGGGCCACTAGTGTTCATGCTGTGAGCAAAGCACTGAGCGGCGGCATTATCAGAAAGCGTAGTGGCGGGTTGAGTAAGTTACACAATATCACAGCTCATATCAACTGCCTTACGATACAACTCCAGTCGATGTTGTCCTGTCCAACCCCCTGTCCGCATTGAGTCCGAATCATAAAACCAGCCAACAATTTTGGAATGTCCCTTTTGGGCTGTGATGGCTTTTATTTGAGCTTCGTCTTGGCCCAGGTCGACCGTGACGAATTCAGCCCCGACCCTGAGGCCGAGCAGAATAATGTCAAGGTAATCTGGTTTGAGCGGGGAGGGTGAATATCCTGAGGTCGCATGGTATAATATGGGTTGTGTTGTATGCCTCCGGAGAAGTGCCAATTGGTCCACGACATATTCCCACCAATGATGACCAGTAGTATCCGTATCTAGATATCCCTGGACCAATAAATCAACCTGGACTTGGAGAACATCCGCGCAGCATGCTATCCAATCTAATTCGAAACCACAAACTTTGAAGTCACGAAAGGGGAGTTGAAGCGAGTAGGTGAAGATGTCCCAGTCTCTGCTAACGCCGATCTTCTCATCTCCCTCGTCATATACAATGCGCAGGAACCGCAAAAAGTCTGACTCAACGTGTTTGAGAGACAGAGACCGATTCGTAGGCCGTTCTGAAGATGGGATCAGGGCCTCGAAGAACGCCCCATGATCTGATTCGACCTCAGATCGCAGGCTTGGGTCGTCTCGATTGAAGAAAGTGAGGTTCGAACAAGACAAGTAAACCAGCTCCTGTTCGCGCAGAACTTTGATGACATCCCCTTGCCATTTGCTTTGTAGGTTGGCCTGGAGCACTTGCCTGTCTCGCATGACATGCACAATTGGAACTGTCGCAAGGTACTCTCGTAGTAGATCCTGGCCCGCCTGTGTCTGGACACAGGACGAACTACACACGATGATGCAGCGCCGCTGATTTTGTGCGAGAATGGTATTTAGCACTGTGACTTCTTGGGCACAGTAGGCATGGTGGCCATATTTCTCAATATACCCAGCGACTGAATACCCGGTTACTTTTTCGAACTGCAGCTTTTCGTCAATGACCTTCCACTTGAGGGCTCTGGAGGCTATCGTGGCCAGCGATGATTTTCCCGCGCATCGCATGCCAACTAAGACCAGGGACGCATCTTTCGCGAAGCTCGGCGGCATAGCGATCTCGCTCTACTATCGATGGCAAGCAGAGTAGGAAATAGCGGCGCACCAAGCCTCTTACAAGCTCCGGTTTGCTGGAAAGTATGACCAACCTTGTAAGCTTAGTGGGATAACGCCGTTCCCAAGTACAAATCTGGCAGGCTGCAAAGCCACCGGCCCCACATTCCCATACGACATCGATTTTGTTAATCTCTATTCTCTCCCGGAAAGACATTATTTCCGGCTACTGCCGCCACTTGTTCTCCAATGTCAACGCTCCACATCCAGAGAGTATAGTGAGATTATTCAAAGCCTTATACCGATTGCATAATGTAGGTTGGATAACAGAATTCGAGGTCTTTTCGCATGGTGGTGTACGTGGTGGCGCAAACCCAGCCGGCGTCGCGGCTAAACCATTTTCCCGCCCAACACGACGGGGTAATAGCGAGGGCCACGGACTTGAGAAATGTAAATCCCAGTCAAGGACGAAACATGGGATTCGGTGATGTTACCTGAGCCTTCGAGGTCCTTAGGAAGACACCACAAAGATAGAGGCTACTAGGTAGACATATGTGCGAGGGGGTCTGCATGTGCTCCAACTTCACCGAAATTGCGTCCAGGAAAGCAGCTTCCATCTCCTCATTATTGTATCGTTTGACTGATTATACAGGAGTCTCAATTCATTTTTATCCCCTTTGGCTCTGTGATCGACGTCTCACTACCAGGTTGCAGCCCTGTGGCCAAAATGTCTCTCTACAAAAAACTACCGACCCATGATGCCTCCGTCAATGTAGATGCTCTCCCCCGTTATGAAATCACTTGCACGGCTTGCAAGAAAGACAGCTAGACCGCGCAAGTCCTGTGGCTCTCCCCATCGGCCCATGGATGTTCTCGCTACAACCCTGGCGGAGAATTCCTCATCGGTGTGCAGATCCTCGCACATCTTGGTATGAATGAAACTAAGGATCCGGATGAGCTCGAGTCAATAGAGAAAACCAGGAGCAAGGACGATAGACTACTCACCCTGGACATATTGCGTTACACGTTATACCCCGGCCAGCCCACTCGTTACTAACAGCTCTTGTCAGATTCTGCACAGCAGCCTTGCTACTGCAATACGCCGAAATATTTGTCTGAGCAAGAAATGACGCGATGGAGGCAAAGTTGATGATCTTCCCCGGTCGCTTCAGGCGAAGCAGCTCTCGCCCAAATTCTTGAATGCATAGATATGTGCCTCGAAAATTGATGGACATCACCTTAGAGGAACATTAGAAATTGCATATTCCTGGTTAAAGTGAACGCAAGAGAGTACTTACATCATCCAGGTCCTGGACAGGCGTATCCTCGATCAGCATATGTCTGGTAATGCCGGCGCAGTTGACCAAGATGTCCGGAATAACGCCCGACTTCCGTATGGCAGCAAAGGTGTCATGGATAGACTGGTGATCTTTGAGATTGCACTCAAATACAGTGAAATGATGGTTCGTTGCCTCGATGGCACGACGTAGCTCCGGGCTCGACGGATCTCGGGGTATCTCGATAGAGATAATGTTGGCACCTGCCTCTGCCAGGGCTATGGAAATCTCCAGCCCAATTCCTCCTGTAGCACCCGTGATAACCACGGTTTTATCCTTCAGGGAGAATGATTCGAGAATAGAGCTAGGCATTTTGAGCTAAAAGCATGCAAGGTCCGTATGTGAGGAATTTGTGGGGGATTGAAAGGATAACGCTGGGCTTTAATAAGTCGTTTCCTACGCGGTATAGAAGCCAGTATACGGCTGAACAACCTTGTTTCAAGCACGATTATGCTTGTATAATGATTTGGCAACGAGTGCATCGCTCGTCAGTCAAGGTGATGGCGGAGACGAAATATCCGCCTTTACGAGTAAGAACTAAAAGCTCACATTCAAATCGGATGCATCCTTAACCGTGGGTCATGTTTCCACAATGGCACTCTCAATTCGCCCTGCTGAGAGAGTCTCGTATGATGTTGTTCCCTTTTGTTTTAACTTCGTATATCTTGTTAGTGGTGTTGGCATCAGGCAGGATAGATTGGACTGCTTATGTCCAAATGGCCAGGGGTACTTTTATGTGAACGGCAAATACTGGTTGCTGGTTGATATCGTATGTGGCTGAAGTTGTATACTTCCCAGTAGAACGAGGACACTCCTTATCATCATTATTATCGTCGAACTCATAGCCTACGTGTTTCTACATGCAGACGGGAAGGCTGATGAGAGCTTCAATAAAATTAAAATTCAAAACCGACACGCCCATAGGAACATGGCAATCCGGAGAGTCAAATCCACACTCGCTTCACTGCCCACACCACCTCCACATATCTGATTTCCACAATACGTGATATTACGCCAGCAGAACTACCCCCAAGAAGGACTTATTTGATAGTTGCCCTGGCCACCGCTGCGGCCTCCTCTTCCTGGACTAATCGTTCCGTCATCTCAAACACCGTCTCCATTTCAATGGCCTCCCCTGTCCAGAATTTCCATTGACATGAGAACTGAGAAGCAACCACTGTGTAGCCTTGTATGACCCTATAGCCGTGTTGGATTGCGAGTCTTAAGTTCCTCGTTATGGGTGGATGATAGCACATATCCAGCAAGATGCCTCTCGGTGAGGAGCTTCGCGATAGAAATTCGACCAAGATATCCCGTGCTTGGACTTCATCTGGGGTGACTGCATCGAAGTCCGGGATAGTAGACACAATGAAATAAGGCGCAGGCAGGGCTTTGGACTCCGCCACACTCCGGACATGAACTAACTCCGGGCGATACAAGTCACCTTGTCGCTGTATGTCATCGAATAAGTCTGTAACCTCCTGGCTATCTCGATTAACCACATAGATCTTATCGCATCTCAACTTCGCCCACAAGGCGTAGATTGCCGCGCGACTGGCGCCCCCTGCTCCGTACACCATGCCTGTCATACCGGGAGCGTGGCCGGGACTGTGCGGGAGGATAGAATCGTAGATGCCCACCCAGTCTGTATTTGTGCCGCATAATTGCCCATTTTCTGCGAGATAAACAAAATTGCATGCCCCCAGTATCTTTACCAGGTGGTCACAGTGATCGAGCTGAGGAATGATGGTTCTTTTGTGAGGCATTGTCACGATCCCACCGGCGAAATCGGGCGCCCGAAAGTACCGCATAACCTCGTCGACAGAGGCTAGCTGCAAGAACTCACATGTCCACGGAAGCCCGAGTGGCTTAGCTATGTATTCGTGAACTTTGGGGCCGATGGAACTGCCGCCGGGACCTCCAGCGATGTACAGGCGATCCCTAGTACCCAATCTGGCATGCATGATGGACGGCATGAGTGTAGTCGCTGTTTGTACAAGGCTTTAGGAGGTAGTGGAGGTAGAACTGTATTGCTTCTAGCTGTTTCTTCAGAGGTAAGTCGTGGTGGTCTTGAATATACGCTCGACCCTGATAAGATGTCTGTCTGCGTTCGCTCAACCTCGGCAAGCACGGGAAATGCATCAACCGACTGGCAACCACGTTTGTTCGAAATGAGATGGTGAATGTATTTACCCGACCATCTTTTGATCCTGGCAACAACGATTATACGAGAACATTGCAAGATAAATGTGTGGTTGTTCAAGTTCACTTCAGCGCGTTATCGTTCGGTACAGGCACCATGTCGTTCCAGCCAGCAATCGCTTCACCCTCACTCGGCCACCAGACGGTACATCCGATTACTTCAAGATTGGAAGTAGCAGTATCGCATGGTTTTAAGCTCAGAGACCACCTGGGTGAAGTGAGCGACAACACGATGATTCAGGCTGCCATCGACATCAACAGAATCTGCGACAGACTGAAGATCAAGCCCTGTGTTCTTCAACCATTTTGGTTCTACGAGGGCTTACTTGATCCTAAAGAACCTGCGGCTCGGATTTCCAAGTTACGGTTATGGATGCAGCTAGTCAAGATGCTCGGTATACGAATTGTTCAAGTTCCTACCAACTGGATGAAGAAAGGCACAACGGGTGACACTGATACCATTGTCAAGGATTTCCTGGAGATGGCCTCGATTGGGCTTGAGCAAGATCCACCTGTGTCTTTCGCATATGAGGTCGTAGCGTGGGGCACGCATATCGACACCTGGCAAGGGACTTGGGAGATTGTGAAGCGTGTCAACATGCCCAATTTCGGGCTTTGCTTGGATACCTACCACATTGCCGCGCGTGTCTGGGGAGATCCAACAGCCCCTGATTGCAAACAGCCCGGCGGTGACGAAGCCCTTAGGAAGTCGATGGAAGAACTAGCTACGACGGTTGACGTCAACAAGATCTTCTATGTACAATTGTCAGATGCGAAGCTACTGGATCAGCCACTTGTCCAGGGCCACCGTTTTTACGACGAGGAACAGCCGTCACGAATGTCTTGGTCGAGAAATGCTCGCCTGTTTCCTTGGGAGAAGGGCCAAAGCGCATGCCTCCCGCTTGAGCCCGTTGTTGATGCTATTTTTAATTCTTTGGGATTTGAAGGACTTGTTACAGTGGAGATGTTTTCAAAAGAACTGTTTCAAGACGACCCGAAGGTCCCGGACAGGTTTGCGACCAGGGCCAAGCAGAGCTGGTGTACGGCAATGCAAAAGATAAATAACCTATAGTAATTAATAGAAAACGTTGTTTTCGTTCGAAATGTTGTAATCCAGATACCTTGGAATAGAACCTAGGTATCGTAGATTGCAGTTAGAGAGTATATCTATCTGCCATTTTAGATCAGGTCAGTGTAGCAACCTGAACCCACCTAGCAAGATCGACGAACACATTGCTAAAGGAGATTCCCAGTATCACCAAGCGAATACAAAGACTATATGCTTTGGGTTGATATATGTCCTGCAGACTGTTGTCCTATATGACGAATCGTCAGGAGAATATATTATCTACGGTAGCAACTGACAACGGACTTGCGCGAAACGGAAAGCGATGAAGAGATGGAAAGTCTTGGGTCCCAATGGACATCAATGCTCAAGTGTTAAACCAGCAGGAAGATTGACACCTAAAGCCTAGTGTATGTCTATATAGGGCAACCACCGTAGTTTATCCGTACTATTAGTCGCAACATACCCGAACAGTCGGGAGATATCAATAGCCGTAGGAGTCCCACAATTTCAAGGGATTTGCTCCATACTCCACCTGAAACAAATAACCATCTCTAGCCTCCCTTTGGTGGATTTTAACCGTCACGAAACGTCTGCCGTATTTTCCCCGAGAATGCTATGTGATTATATCACGGAAAAGCTTTGTGTGCGATTTTCAATGCCGTCTTGTCCCGCGAGTTGGATCATCTGTCCGATATATAACTGCATATTCCGTATTTCAGCGTGCCGTAGCTGAGATGCCATAATTTCCTTGAGAGCCAATATATCACGCCGAGGACCTATGAGTGTCCATCGTCCTCCACATGAGACATACTCCAGGCTATTGCCAAGGAAAGCTGCATGATACGTAAGGTACACGGACATTCCACTCCACAACCAGGCCGGTAAATTATGGATGATGTTGTACCTTAGATTTCAACCGTGCGCCCATCCGGAATAATGTCCGAGGATGAGATTACAAATCCATATCAACCTCTGGTGACGTAGAAGGGTGTCTTTCCCCTGATATAAACATTGGCCAGTTTGGCTATCCAGTCCTTTCAAGCTTCTACCGGATTCATTCGTATACATAATACTACCGACGTCATGCCTCAGAATGGAAAATACGCCCTCGTCTTTGGGGCATCGGGAATTTCAGGATGGTCTCTCTTGAACCAATGTCTTAGCTACCCCACTTCCTCTTCATTTCGACGCGTAGTGGGTCTTTGTAACAGGCCTCTCAAAAAGGAAGACGCATATCTTCCTGACGACCCTAGATTGGACGTTGTTTCAGGAATCGACCTTACGCAATCCGTGTCGTCTGTCACCGACCAACTGAAAGCCAAGGTTGACGATGTGGAGTCCGTTGAGATTGTCTTTTTTTGCGGTAAGCCTCGTTTGTTTATGGGGTATTTCCATGATCACTAAGTTCTCACACTGCTAGCCTACATCGAGGCGGGTGATTTCCAATCCAGGCGGAAGGTTAATGCTACACTCATCCGGACTGCTATTGAGGCAATTAGTGGCATTGCTACCAACCTAGAGGCGGTCATCCTGCAAACAGGTGGGAAAGGTTACGGGCTGGAATTCTCAAATGAACTCGAGATTCCGCACCCACTTCGCGAATCTATGCCCCGTATCCCGGAGCCCTGGTACAGCAGTGTCTTCTACTATGACCAGTACGACATACTTTCTGAGCTATCCAAGAGTGAAAAGTGGACATTCTCAGAGATTCGACCGGACGGAATCGTTGGCTTTGTTCCCGGTACAAATGTAATGAACATAGCCCAAGGTATCGCGCTGTACCTGACCCTGTACCGCGAAGTCTATGGTCAAGGAGCGGAGGTCCCATTCCCTGGGACGCTTCACGGCTACCAATCTACACATAGCGATACTTTCCAGGACATTTTGTCTAAGATGGAAATTTACACTGCGCTGAACCGGGATAAACGTCCCAACGGGTCAGCGTTCAACGTTGCAGACGGTGATGTTGTCAGCTGGGAATATGTCTGGCCTGGTCTCTGTTCGTATTTTGGGCTGGTGGGAGTGAAGCCTCAGGGGGATCAGAAGAAAATCGAAGACTTTGTTCGTGAGAATCACGGCGTCTGGAATGATTTGGTTGAGAAACATGGATTAAGGAGAGGTTTGCTTGAGGCGCAGAATTGGCCATTCATTCAGTTCATGCTTGTTGACTTTGACTTTGATCGAGAGTACTCCCTTGATGCTGCCCGCTCGATTGGATTCACCGAACGTATTGATACCGTTCAGGGTTATCGTGTGGCGTTTGATCGAATGGCAGCTGCCAGGGTCATTCCTTCTTTCCACTGAGTCGTTTATGCCTTGACGGAAGACAGCTCTAGCGCACAAAATCATTCGATCAGCCCATGATGAAGGTTGCTCATTTACTCACGTGTCTACATGGTGACCCAATATTTCCTGGTGGTCATAATGACCATTTAGCGTAGTTAGATAGCACATTTTAGATCCTCTTCCAAATTCAAGGCTTTGAAGGCTACGACAATGGAATCTTCTGCTTACTTTGTAAGAGAACGAAATGAATCCGAACTCCACAAGTGTCCTTTTGGAAACAGCGAATTTGGCCTACTTAATGAAATTTCCTATATATTAGTAATTGCTGTTCATCTTCTTTACAGTATCCAAAAGGTGAGCCTTTAATAGCTCGGTATATCCTTCAGTGCTCTCAGTTAGTAAGCTCTTACTATCGGACAGAATGGCAAACATATCTTGCTTTCAATGTAGTATCGCTGGGCTTACTAAGAAGGTCCCCAATACAGGCTCACCTCCAAGGGCTCATGAGAACAAAAACAAGGTAGTATATGCGCGATTTAAGATGGCTATGCATAAGAACAGTAAAGAAACGGACATGCTATCGCGCAACTCAACCTCTATAACAATACATCAATGCAACTCTATTATGCCACTCCTTCATTGACACCAACAGCCTCAACTTCGGTCATTCCCCTTTATAAGTACTCGTTGACCATATTATCATGTGCATAATTCCTAGCCTAAGCAATAGCTACCGCAAGTGCCATTGCTGCACCACCCGCCGCCAAGTAGGCGTGTCCCGTGGGTAGACCCATTGCAGCATTCTCAGTGTTCGATGCACTTGCACTGGTAGATGACGCATCGGCAGATCCAGTAGCAGTGGCCTTGGCAGAAGCCGAGGCCGAGGCCGAAGATGAGGGTGTAACAGAGGCATCCGTTGCTGTGACGGTGAATGAAACTGTGGTAACAGGGACCATCGAGGAATCGACATCCGTTCCGAGGATTGATGTTCCATGGGTTGTCGTCCACGTTACATAGCAAGTGGCGCTCTTGGAGCCCATATCGCATCGCTCAAAAGTTTCGCTGGGGAGTTTTAAAGCCAATTAGACTACTTCACGGCGCAGAATACTAGGGATAGAATGTAGTTACCCTTCCCAATCCATCCGAAACGTCTTTGGGCCCGACACAAACGTCATATCACAGTTCATGAGGCGGTTACCGGTGGTCCTACTCACGCTACTGGTGGTGGTAGGGGTAGCACTTGCGGGGCAATTTGGTGAGTACGACGTCGTGGAACCATTCTATGTGTTCGTTGTGTTAGTATACCGCTAGTAGAGATATGGGTTTACATATGGACAGCTGCGAGAAATCATACAATGCCAACAACTCGGAACCTAATGTCCGCAAGCGCGTCCATCCCACTGCCATCGTCATCGTCACCTGGCACGGCCAGTTTGACAACATTGTCAGCGGCGACGGTCATAGCTGTGGCCAACAAGGCAAGACAGGAAAGTGTGAAACGCATTTTGGATATGAGGTAAACGTCGTATGGTACACTATAGAGACAATTGAATAGACAAAGGATGGTTGATTGAGAACCTTTGGAGGCACACTGGGGTTTATATACCAGTTTCTCGGCTAGATTCAGCTCGGCAGTGTCGGCTCTCCGCCGTGGCTGAGCTGGTTAAAGATGTGTAGTCATGAAAACGACATTATCCAGGATTGAGTGGTCTATCATGAACCGAGCCACGTTAATGCGTCCGGTTGAGGCTCTTTTTCGCCCCCAACATCCAAGAATCTTCATCGCACTAAAGGACTTCGTAAACGACATAACCAATGAGATGACAGAGTTAAATGAAATTTACATGGCTAAGCCCTCAGGTGAACCCACACTCAGCCTTGCCAGGTAAAAATATGACCAACGCTTGGTACCTGAGTTTATGGAAGGATTCGGACGTAGCCGACATTTTGACCGCCCCGAATTTCCTGTCTTGCACTATACTACGTAGCAAATGACCTAGAACCGTTAGAACTGCACTAATCGCCACTAACTGGGAAAGGAATGTCGGCAGGAGGCCCATGATTGGTTGGAGAGGATATGCGATTGTGTTTGGTAAACATAGGGCTGTGGGTTGGACGGCCTTAAGCTCTAGGGACATGGCTATCCAGGTCTAGTCGTACAATAATCTCATCCGTAGACAATTCTAAGAGTGATGTAAGATATTTGTACACTTCTATATATGATTCGCTGTTAGCAGATCAATAACTAACTGATCGGTCAATCCTCGGGCGAGATCCAGTGCAGTCTTTCCCTCATCATCAACGATCTTCGCATCTGCTCCATGATCCAGTAGGAGGCGGACAACTTCCTGTAGTCCACAAACCACAGCCAAGTGCAACGCCGTGGCACCTCTCATCGGCATGAATGAAGTGTACGGAGTCATTTGGTTATTCAAATCTTCGCCCGACCCAACAGCAGCTTCAACTAGCATCCGACAGATCTCATTAATGATTTGGTATGAGTCCCGACGATACCGATAGCTGAACAAAGCCGCGTGCAGTGCCGTCATCCCATCTCTCCCCTTGGTGGAGACCTGCGCACCATATTGGAGGAGTAACTCAACCCCGGGTACCGACCCGGCAGCAGCAAACTGATGAAGTGGCAGTCTCTCCAAAGGTCTAGGCGCCCCGCCGACAAATTCCGGAATGGTAACATAGGTGCAGTTGATATCCCCGCCTGCATTTCGATATGCGTGGAAGATCCGCTCTACGGTCGTCCAGCTGAACTTGGGCGACCCGGCAGCACACCCCAACGCAGATCTTCCGACGGCGTCATGAGGTAAAGGGTTCGCATCACGATCGAGAAGCATCATGACTATCTCCTCGTTTCCGTTCGCCGTGGCGAGCGTCAATGCCGATACACCGTGTATATCCCAACCGGACGGGTCAGCCCCGTTGTCAAGCAGAATACGGACGGATTCGACATCTCCTCTGGAGATTGCACGGTGAAGGATCATAACATTATCGGAAGGGCAGAATATATCTCCCGTTTTACCAACCTTTTCCCGAAGAATTTCGACAACCTTGCGGACGACGGTTGCAGAACAGAAGCCAGCAGCTAGGTTTAAGATGGTTAAACCCGTTCCCATGAGCCATTCAGTGACATCGGCACCTTGGCCGATCAGCCACAGGGCCATTTCCTCCTGGTTGAATTGTATAGCTGTGGCAAGAGGGCTGTATCCGTCATGGCACCTTTCAATATCTATGCCCTTGGAAATGAGTACCTTGACCACATCGATATTTCCACCCTGGGCAGCTAGATGGAGAAGACTCGACCTCGGCGCTCCACAACCCGATAACACGTCTTGAGATTGTGACTGGAGGTAACCTAGTATGATTTTCGAGTGCCATCGCGAGACGCATTCGGTCCAATGGAGAGATGGCACTTCAGCCTCTGAGGTATCCGATATAGTGCGAAAATCATCCACATCGGAATCAGGTTCATCATCCGGCTCAAGGGGCAGAGGTTCATGGACCACTTTGTTGTATAGACATGGCGTCACTAGTTGTGCAATTCCCGTCTGAGTGCGAATTAACGTGGCCAGACTACCACTGGGGAGAAAGCCAGCTACATGGAGGATGAGCTCCCGGGGAAGTGAACACAGCATGATACAGCGGTGCAGGCTTTGATATGCGTCAAGGTGAACATGGCATCCGAGATGGGCCGAAGACCGGAGTCGAATTTCTTAGTGCGGGTTAGTAGCCTGGACAAAGCGTGGGCTTATATTCATCCGTGTTATCTTCGAAGAAACGGTATTGGTTGCTATCTTCATCATGTTCTACATTGATTCGAGGCGTTGTCCTCGTCAACAGACTCGATGCTCAAGGATTGCTTGTTTTTTGAATGAACCTGCTGCCATTGGGCAAACAAATGCAATGCTGCCTGAGGCATTGTTGGTCACCTGATCGGATTCTGGCCGGAGTTTCGGTGGGAAGAAAACGTCCGATTCCGGGACAGCCTCGCGACGCTTGCCTCAGGCTAAAGTCTGCGCCAAGTTCTATCAGTCCTGAACTGATTACGTCCACATACTTGTCCCGTCCACATTGCTAGGTCTGCCTTCTCACTCTTCTGAAACCATTCTTCTCACTCTCACTCTCATGTTACTGTGACTTCGTCTAAATGGTACAATGATTAGATCAAAACTTGCACGTGGCGTCTATGCCATGAGCAGATACCCAGCACCAATTGTGCCAACCAGAGTCCACACGGAAGGTCTATATTTATGTCCTGCCCCCGACTCCGCAGTGGCTGTCGCGTCTTTGCCACTAGATTCTGTCTTTGTCGGTACAGCCTTGTTTGTGGCCGCAGCTGTGATAGGGCGTGGACTGTCGTGGATCGTCCAAGTGAAGGTGTTTCCGCTCACTGGGGTCGAAATCACACCACCAGTATTATGGAGAGTTTCCGTCCCATTTGCGGGCAGCTTCCCTGGGCCATGGAACTGTGTCTGGTTGCTAAAGCCCAGATCCGCTGTACAAGTGTCACGATCAAGGTATGGCCCGCACTGGTTCCAATCACTGTTCTCCAAGAGAGCCTGATAGACAAAGTCTGCGCCTAGTAGGGCAGGAATTGTTTTTGGGCATATGTCCCATATCCTTGATCAGAAATATTAGCACCGGGAGCTGTAGATTACGGCTCAATGTGTTGGTCACACGCACGAGGAGATATAAGAACTTTGGCCGCAACACCCACAGGTGAACGCATAGGCCATGGTCTGCTCGCTATCCGAATCCGGCGTTATGTTCTCGTAGCACTTGCGCATCGCATTTTCCGCCACCCTTTGTACCTCGGCGACTCTACCCAAATTACAGGAGCAGCCACCGGGGGCATTATCAGGAGGCGGGAAGAAGGGGACTGCCTCGATAGTCGTGTTCACACAGGAGTCAAGCAGGTCATAGGCAGTGTTTTGATACTCGCAAGAATATACCTGGCAGCCGATACGTTAGCAATAGATTGCACTGCTTGTTGTGATGATGATGGTTTGCGTACCTGATTCCAACAACTGGTTGCGGTACATTCTATGTAGTCCGTGTTCTTTACACACTCGCAGGCATTGATACAGTCTATTCCCAAGTCCGGACACTTCGATTGCACGCATGCAGGATCCCCATTGCAGGACTCCGTACAAGCTTTGTTTCCACCAGCGCAATTGTTATTGACGCAACTGGCAAAACCCTGGTCGGCATCCTGGTAACATGATTCGAATCCCGATGAGTCAACACAGTCGGACGACTGGAAATACCCCACTTGCTTGGCAACAGTTATAGTCGCGAAAGAGGATAAACAAATTCTGAGAGCGGTCGTTGGCTTCATGGTGAGGAGAGGATGTGTAGAGGCGTACGTGTGCGTTGGACGATATACCTTGGGGCTCGGCGGCTAATAAACCCCATCTTATGAAACTGCATAAGGGCATGATCGGATATACCCGCAAGGCTCACTCAAAAGATCCTAGGGTTCGTAAAGGGACTTTGCATTAGCTCGTCGTACTAGTCCCAGTCCCAACAACCCAAATGCCTTGGCATACATCTCCGGACCAATCTGGAGATAGTCTTCGTTTGAGTTCTCCAGGAGAGGACAGGCGATCTCAGGTTCCGAAAAGGCCCCACCCAGCTGGAAGCTGTTTCTCAGATGATAGAAGCCTAGCGTAACATCGGATCAAGGGATGCCGTTTATTATGAGTGGCGCAGTCCGTAGGAAATTGTCCCACCATAGGGCTCATCCCGCGACGAATACGAGATTTATTTGCGCCCTGTCTGCCAGTATTTCGGCCTAACTCCAATTCCGGAATGGCCTCTCAGATTGCCCTATCATTGTTGTCCCCTTTCTTCCGGTGTATGCCTCGCCTCCCCAATTGCTCATGGAATTTGCCTTGCTTCCAAACAATGAGCTAGTAGTCAGATTCTCCGAGGACCATACCTGTACTGAGAATCTCGCGATAAAGGGAGCCCTTCCTTGGCACTCCGCACTTAACCCATATTCTGGCACTAGGCGCCGCAATGCGGAGTTCCACTTCCTCCCAAGCTTCGTGCAACGCTTTTCAGGAGTCAATCTGATTCATGCCTACCTCAGCCTGTACAATGGTCTACATAATCCCCAGCGTCAGTCTTCAGGGCACAGCTAGCAAGGTTGAAGGTAGTTTATTTACACTGGGTACCACCGTTACCAAATTAACGCTCGCAGCAGGCCTGCAGTATCACATTCGGTTTCCCCGTCAGTTGATCTCCGTGTTATTTATTGCTCAGTGAGGTGATCTAATATGAAAATATTGCCCATGTCTTACCACATGGTGGCGTCCAGTCACTGGGCATGGTATCATTCCAATTGTTTCTTTCTTTTACGACCACATGTCACGTTGAAAATAAAGGGATGGAACAGCAGATCGTCTTGGCAATATATAAGAATCAGTTGCACAAACCTCCTGGCGACGATTGATACCACGAAGAAATAACGGCATGATTTTCTAAGGCTATGTGGCACCCGAATCGTCTATTCTGCTCCTTTGGGTCCTAAATTAATCCATAACCGATGCTGCTCGAGGGGAATTCTGAAAAATACCTTCATACTGAGACAGTCACTAATTTCATGACGGATGGATGTCCGTTGCCTTGCTCTGGCTACTGAAAATGCTCAACTGGCCTCACGCACCCAGTCTACATGACATGATTCTATCATAACAGTACATCATCCACCGAAACAGACCTATTATCCCGTTCAGCACGGTCGAGAGTTTCCATCAACTTCACCGTTCCTGGCATCCTTTGTCTCCGCATGGATCGCGCTCACGACAGGACTATGTGAAAGCAAAGGTCCAGTAACGACGCAAAGGGTTTGCACGCTTCGGGGTGATATCTAATGCCTGAAAATAAAGCCAGTACACATTTCTACGATATTTTATGGCATGGAGAAACCTTCATCATGACCAGGTAGTGTTCTTGTATTGGTCACCGAGTGTTGAGAATGCGAGGGTCTTGGGATAGAATCAGAGCAGCCAACGCAACCAGAGCAGCGCTTAAACCTTGAATTTGTGCTGAGCATGAAAATCAAGATTTTGTATTAGAAGGTTGACAAGAACACATATCCTTCTAGGAAATATTTGACGAGCGAAGCATTCGTGCCAATACAAAACGGCTTACTTATACCCTCTCAGAACACGTGTGGAGCCGTTCCCTAAAAGATTCCCCGCCCCTGCGCGTTTTTTGCGTTATTCCCCGGGAAGCGGCAACAACAGTTTAATAAACCCCTGGGCCGCCCTGATGACTGAGATTTTCATTCCCAAACTTTTGAAAGCGCATCTGCAGGATGAATAAATTGTCAGGTCGGATCCTCTTACCGTGGCAGCCCGTCCGTGCGTTCCGGCCGCCCCGTCACTTCCAGAACTTCTTTTCTAGCTTCGCTCCCGCGCAGGCCTGTCCTTCCAGTGAGAACAAGGACACTATCAAACCTCATAATGAACACTGCCACCCAGCAACCGTCTCGGTAACGGCTAACAAGCAGTCGCTATCACCGTGGCAACTCAGCTTTTGGAAATGCCGTCATACATGGAAACGCGCAGGGATCAACACACTTCGCTGCCTGGTCGGCTGTACGTTCGGTGACTTCTCCGCGCTATGGATGCTCCAGACATTCTATCCAGGGCTAGGGATGGGAACTATCATGGCCGCGTCTAGTAAGTTCTTGTTCCCCTATTCTCCGTAAGAGACAAGCCATGTCCATGGCTGCTGACGAAATGCAGTGGCGTCCGGAATCAGCACGTCGATCGTTCTTGAAACGGTCCTCCTCCGGCGCGGAGCTGACCAGCTCTCCTGGCCGATGGCACTTCGCACGGCAATGGGCATGAGTATGGTGTCGATGCTCGCAATGGAGGCGGCCGAGAATGTTGTTGACTATCACCTTACCGGCGGTGTCGTGGCTTTGGGTGACCCGAGCTTTTGGATGGCAGCTGGTGTGTCGATGACGGCTGGCTATCTGGCTCCGTTGCCGTACAACTACCTGCGCCTGAAGAAATATGGCAAGGCCTGTCATTGAAGACACCCTAGGATTCCATAGTGAGAGAAGCGAGTTGGGTGTACTGTGTATGGTCGCTATCAATTAATTCACCGTGTATTATTATGTGAGCATCGGGGCAAGGTTCAGAAATCATGATATTGTAGTTTCTACATTGCCAGTGTGGGCCGAAATAGGAATACATTCAATAGACTGCTCATCGGACGTTTTCCCCACCCGGAAAAAACACGAGAAACAATCTCAATCCAAATGACAGCAAACGAGTAGCAATTGGTACATTTCACTGTCCTCCGTGTGGACCCACTCAACCCGTTTAATCCGAGCTTGCGCTGCGGATACCGCGGATTCCGTTGACATTGCTCAACTACGCCGGATTCTTGAGATATGGGGTATGATCCTAGATTTTGGTGTAGAAGGCATACTTGTAGGCAGTCGAGATATCCGAGAGTCCGTGTGTGAAAACATCCGATGGGTATCTCTGGAGCTCCAACCACATTCTAGGCAAGACCAGGGACATACTTGACATAAGGATATATATTGCTGACGGCAATCTTTCAAAATGTCCTCATCAGATCGTCCACTCCCAAGAAAATTCAGTCACTTTACAACATATCATCCTCGCAATACCCTTTTTATACTTTTATTTAGCCACACGAAAACATCACATCCAAAATGGTTGGCTTTGACATGCGCGGTTTGACACCTGCTCCTGTGACACCGTTCACTGAATCGGGTGACGTCGATTACGAGGCCATCCAACGTCTGGGTAGCTGGCTTGGTAGCATCGACGGTGTGAAAGGGCTGGTTGTCTTGGGCCATGCAGGAGAGGGAACCTTCCTGACACCCAAGGAGCAAATATCAGTGATCAAGGCATTCGTCCAATCCGTCGACAATAAGATCCCCATTATTGCAGGAATTACAGGAGAGGGTACTGAAGTAGCTGCGCTCGAAGCGAAGCGCGCAAAGGACGCTGGTGCGTCGGCTGGCCTACTCTACCCATCTCATGGATGGTTGCGCTTCGGATACCAGGATGGCGCCCCTCAGGACCGCTATCGCCGAGTTTACGAAGTTAGTGGACTTCCTTTGATCCTCTTCCAGTACCCAGACAACACGAAGGCCACATACAACCTGAAAACAATGCTCGATATCTCGGCTCAACCCGGTGTCTTTGCCATGAAGAACGGTGTCCGCAATATGCGCCGCTGGGATACGGAGATTCCCGTGATCCGCCGCGAGCGACCCGAACTCCAGATCTTGAGCTGCCACGACGAGTATCTCTTGCATACGTCATTCGATGTGGACGGTTTCCTTGTTGGTTATGGCAATATCGCCCCGGAGCCATTGATTGAGTTGATCAAGGCTGGGAAGGCCAAGGATTACAAGAAGGCTCGCGAAATTCATGATCAGCTTCTACCAGTCACAAAGAGTGTCTATCACCGGGGATCTCATATGGAGGGCACGGTCGCCCTCAAACACGCCCTGGTTGCTCGTGGCATACTCAAGCATGCTACCGTTCGATCGCCTCTTTTGCCTCTTGAACCAGGAGCAGAGCAGGAGATTCATGCAGCTATGAGTGCTGCCAGTCTAAGCAGAGTTGTATAGATGCGGAGAGTGATAGTATCAAAGAAAGAGGTGCGGAAGCGAGGATAATGTACCTACATGTTTAGATATTGAGATACACAGTTTGACCGTTCAACCATTTCTCTCGATTGACCACCTGGGCTGTAAGGACTGCTGTAGGCCACTATAGTAATTTTGTATGAATCAAACTACTTCGCCCTATGTAATCCGTATTCCGTAATGATGTCTCAGCTATACAATATTACACCTGTTTCCAAAGGTAGTTACTGATGTCTTCTCTAGAATGTTGTAAATATTTACATTTCCGTATGATGGTTCGAGAACCGAGGTTTATCACTTGAGAAACCTAGATCAGAAATGTCCTCGCCTCAGGTAGGACATATGAAGATGGTCATTGTCAATCGGATCTTTCAGAGATAAATATGTGCCTTCTGGAGTTACCTTCAGGAAAAAGAATATAAAACAAGTACAATAATTTCCAAGCTTATCGCCTTAACATGACAACTAGCCCCGTGTGGAGTTTATCCTCCAGGTATCTTTTAAGAAGATGATAATGAGAACCCTCGCCTTTACTCCCCTTCTCCAAACGGCACAAATCTGAAGTATGAATACTCGAAACGTACATTAAGGGTACCATATCCAATCCACAGTAGGGACAATTATGGCACGGTAGAGGACTTAGCCGTCCATACATTAACCCTACCTCAATGGCGTGATCAATTCCCCAGGACTAGGGCAGTAATGGACCTCATTATTATGACCAATCGCAGTGCTCCTCTACATTGTATTGCTGGGACGAAAAAGTCACAAAGAACACTGGAACGACGAATAATAAGCGAGGTGTATCATCCGAAGACCCCACATAAAAGGGACGGCGTGGACAACGTGGGGAACTTTGACGTCCCCGGAATCTCCGCATTGCCACACATGTCTATATGAATCCGCGATTTCCGTGCCCACTATACCGCGTACCTCAGTCTCCTACACATCCTGACGGGCAGGATGGCTCCAGGAACCCCAAACCATGACACGGGCCCCACTGGCAGTGTGACACCTATCCTCTCTGCCCGTAAACACCGCCTTGACGATGCCTACGATGCGTCGGAGAATCGCCGGAAAGATCCCAAGGTCAGCCGCGCCTGCGACTCATGCAAAGCGAAGAAGATTCGATGCTCAGGAACAGCCCCATGTCAACACTGCAACAGGAGGAGCTTAACATGCACCTATGCCAGCAAATATTCGCGTGGTCGACCTCCTACACCTCCACCCCTATCGACATGCAGAGACCCGGCGACTGCCTCCACAGGCCGAATACCAGATGTGCAACACACAACTCAAAGAAGTATATCCAATATCAGTGCGGATGTACAGGTCAATGAGCAATCCCAGGTCAACATCGCTGAAGGGGCCAGTGGCTCCTCAGAGAACGTCGGAGATGGTGCTCCCTCGCGTGCATCGCCAGAGCTAGTTATCGAGGGACAGTATGTTGATCCAACCTCCGGTCTGACGTCCTTTCATCTTGCATGGCGCAAGATTTCTATGCAACAGAGAGACATTAAATCCCCAAGAACCAGTGAGGCGGAGATGAATCAGCCCTTAGTTTCTGCAGGAGACAGACCGTTTTACCAAGACGCACAAAATTCTGACCCGTTTCCCGATCCCTCCACAGCCCGTCATTTACTGTGTTTTTACTTTGAGTCTTGTGTGGTTACCTATAGAATATTTCACCGACAGACCGTGGAGGGTTGGCTGGAAGCTGTCTTGAACAATCGGCGAACAAATAGCCCAAGCACACACTGCCTCGGAGTTGCTAAATATAGCATTATCTTGACTATTTTGGCAATCGCTCAGTTTCGCATCTCAAAGAGCGAATCCAGCAACGACGAAGTATCAGCCCTGCGGTCAACAGACCCCTTATTTTGCGCGGCAATGCACCTCACCGATACAGAGAGGGGATTTCCACGGTTGGAGTCAGCCCAGGCCAGACTGATCCAAGTGCTATATCTTCTCCAGACATTTCGCGTGAATAGGGCTTGGTACGTATTCGGCAACGTTTATCAGATTGTGTCTTCGCTAGGTCTTCACCGGCGGCGCTCGAGGAAACAAAATGCTCCCTCAAATGGTCTTTCAAATTATATCAAGGCACAATGCGCCAAGCGTGTCTTCTGGGTCACGTATACCATTGACAAATATCTCAGCGTCGTTATGGGCCGACCACAGCTTCTACATGATGACGATATTAACCAAGACTTTCCGGACAGTGTTAATGACGAGGACATTGGGCCTGATGGCCTTGTAACTGTGGACGCTGCGGAGGATTGTCACATTGATTCCCTTATCTTTCATGCCAAGTACGCGTTGCTGGTCTGAATGAGGTCCCCACTGTGTTTGTTGGTCTTCTTCTAACGTCCCCCAGGATCGCGCATATCATCGGGCGCATATCCCGTCAGGTGTACTCAGTTGGCAATTCCGTTGGTGAGGGCCGGAAGGCGGCTGCATATCATATGGTTCACGAACTCCATGTTTGGCGGGCCAACCTCCCCTTGCACCTAGGCACAATTAAGCTGTCTACACTAATACCGAGCTTCCGGAGAGAAGCCACAGCACTTCAACTCGCCTACTCACATGCACTTATCCATGTTAATCGCCCGTTTCTCCTCGGCGATGTAGTTAGTTCTGATGATGAATCCGAGGTAAAAGACCGAATCACTGAATGTATATCCGCTGCGAAAGCGGCATTAGAACTAGTCAACACCATGGCGAAAGACACAAACTTGCTTCATTCCTTTTGGTGGACTCATTATGTGACCTTTTGCGCACTTGCGGTGGTATATATCTGGAATATACAGTGCAAGGCACGCAATGAGGAACATCTGGAGAATGAATCATCGTACGTGAAGCTATTTGATCTCGCTGAGAAGTGTCGGGCTCACTTAGCTTGGAATGGGTCACCAGCATCACCCGGGCGAAGGTACGCTGCTATCCTGGATGAACTGCGCCTGGAGGCACAACGTGAGACAGTCAGCAATACTATTATGGATCCAGGACCAGGAATAGCTGGGAGGGTGGACCACACTTCCAATTCTCAACTCAGCGTCTTCGATGGCTCCGGCCTAGCTGAAGTACCCTTTGAATGCATAGCCTCCACAGATAAGCCTGTGAATCCCGTTCCTAGCATGCTTGACACATGGCAAGCTGTCGACTGGCTGGACCTAGACGCCTCTGTATGTGCCCTATAATCGGCCAGACAAGATCAATCTATGCTAACAAACAGCTAGGCTTTCTACTCGGCTCTCGATGATCTAGGAATCTCACCAACGTGGTAATTCACCTCTGCATCATGATCTATCACAACGTAAGCTGGGAGTTGTTCATTTACATTTGCATTCATAGTAACTTATGTACATATAATTGTCCTGATTTCGTGCGGTAGAGTCGAGCATTAAACTCAGTAATCCACCTTTTCCCATACGTAGGGACGGATATCCGGGCCCCATATCGCGCGGATCCCATATCCTAACTTGATATATCCCGTTCTTGGCTCGGAGATGTCGGATTAGCAACCGAGACTCGATGCCGCCACGATGAACATCCGGATTCCACGGGGAAGAAATCACTCCCATAATCCGACAGAAATGGACTGGTCATACGGCTTGTTTTCTTCATCATGCACGTTGCAAAATAATCCTTCTGCTATGCCATTTCCAGGCTGCCAAGGTCTAGCTCCACTCTTTGAAGTATTTTACGTTTCGACTTCTTATATATCCTCTCCCCACGGGGTTCACTTCCCCAGAAATGTGGTACTAGCCTAGTTCTGAGGCGTTGTCGATCATTTGTCTTGGCTTGGTATTGTATATTCAACATGACTACAACTCGGACTTTTGACGAGGAAAATCTATCCTCTGAGAAGGAGGCTGTTATGCATCTTGAGCATCAGCCTCACGGCCTATCTTCTGCTGATGAAGAATTCCTCGCCAATTTCTCTGATGAGGCTAAGGCCCAAGTCCTGAAAAAGGTCTGATGTGCTTTCTTATATGCTATATGCAACAAAATGCTGATAGCACGTTATGCTTCCAGGTCGATGTGCGCAGCTTGGTCTCTCCGTGATCTTACTATGTAGTGAAATACTAAAATGCGCAGTGGCGGTTGATTCCGATGCTCGTTCTACTATATCTCATTGCATACATTGATAAAACTAATATTGGTATATGATATCCCTAAGTGTCCGTATCTTCGGTGTATCGCTGACTTGGCTAGGCAATGCTAAGATAGAAGGACTTCTTCCCGACTTGGGGATGAATGGCAATCAATACAACATTGCCTTGTCTGTCTTCTTCATTCCTTATGTGCTGGCAGGTGCGTCTATTCTCGTTCAAAAAAAAGGAAGCACTGCTCCTAACATGCAATACAAGAGGTTCCTAGTAACATAATCCTTAACCACTTCAAACGACCGTCTGTCTATCTGGGATCTCTGATCTTGGTTTGGGGCATAATCATGACCTGTACGGGGTTTGTTCAGAACTTTGGCTCTCTTGTTGGCATCCGATTCCTCCTTGGCCTATTCGAGTAGGCTTACCTCTGCTACATAACTGTTACACTGGGTCCTAACAAATGACAGGGCAGGGTTTCTTCCGGGCGCCGTGTTGATCATTTCCAAGTGGTATCTTCCCAGCGAAACCCAGACCCGCATCGCTATTTTATACACATCGGCTGCTTCGGGTGGAGCATTCTCCGGTCTTCTCGCTTTTGTAATTGCCAAGATGGATGGTACTGCTGGCTACGAAGGCTGGCGATGGGTGCGTCTCCAAAAACAGTCATTGACTATACGCTGCCGCACATCGGAGCTAATATGCTGTATCACCCCAGATATTCATTATTGAAGGTCTTGCTACCATCTGTCTGGCTTTCCTTACTTTCTTCTTGCTTGTTGACTCTCCTCAAAGGTCCTCGGGCTGGCTAGCACCCGATGAGATTCGGTTTCTGGAAGTCCGGCAACTTGCAAACAGCACTCAAGGAAGCCAGAAAAAAGGAGTCGCATGGGGAGCGTTGATCAGCGTTCTGACGGATTGGAAGATTTACCTACTAATCCTCGCCAACTGGTCCAACGCCGTACCCAATTACGCCCTCAAGTTCACCATGCCCCAGATCATCCAAAGCATGGGGTTCACATCCGCCAAAGCACAGCTACTAACCATTCCACCGTACGCCGTGGGCGCCTTCTCGGCGTATCTTTTCTCGGTTTTTGCCGATCGTTATACGTGGCGCATGCCTTTCATCATTATCCCCCAGCTATTGCAGGTCGTCGCATTCAGCATCTTATTCACCAAGGCAGCCGCCATAAGTGACAATATAGCATTGTGCTATTTTGGGGTCTGCCTGGCCTGCTTTGGGTAAGTATCATGTCTTTGAGTTACAGATCTGGCAGCTTAGTTTGGCTTAGCATGTATCCCATTCTACCGGGCGTGAACGTCTGGAACGTGTCCAATCTTCCCAACCCCACGAAGCGAGCGATTGGCATCGGCTACCTTGTCTGTATGGGTAATGCGGGAGGCATTATCGGCAGCTTTATCTATCAGGAGAAGGAGGCACCCCGTTATCCCACCGGCTACGGTAACTCCTTTGCCTTCGCGTCGGCGGGTTTGGTCGCATGTCTAGTACTCGAGTTCTGCCTCTATACGCTAAATCGAAAGAAGACCCAGCTCAGCGAAGTTGAGATCCGGGAACGATACACGGATGAGGAGTTGAACGAAATGGGAGAAAAAAGTCCCCTGTTCAAATATACACTTTGATCGGCGTTTCTGGGATGGTCGAGTGGGGTGAAACATATAGGTGGTATAGTTATGTAGCATTGAAATGTCTCACAAGAGACTTGTTCTCTAGTTTTTCGTTTTTTCCAGGGCCCTTTCGTATCGGGTTTCTCCGTCCCTATCTAGGCGTCATGCATTATTGGGGTTGTGGTTCGCTTCGACCCACCGAGCCAACCCTTGACAGCGGCAAGATTTTCTCAGCCACAGCCGCGTTACCTTTGAGATCGGATCTGGATCAATAATGAGTGATAACTACCCGTATATCAATGCAGGGGGTGCTACTACGCATCCCTTGGGAGGCAATCAACCCAACCAGTGCGGAAGGCCAGTATCAACCCCTAATAACAGCGACTTGTGATGGAAGAATATTCCGTAGAACCGAAGTGGACTCTCCACAATTACTGTAGCAGTGAAGAACTCAAATGGCTTACTGAAACTATTAAGTTCAGCCTCAATTGTCAGCGGCTACGTTCGGTTATGGCGCACCGGTGAAGCGGAAGAAACCATGGTACCATTGTGGGGATATGCAATAAAATGGGGTTTACGGGGCAGTAAGACATCTGGCCTCTTTCAAAATATGGGTATCCCACCAAGAATGAGACTGGGGTCCCCTGTTGTAGTCTCAAACTTGGGCTTGGATGGGTCACGGGTCCACGCACTATATTGTCCATCAGGACGATCATTGAACCGAATCTATAGATAGTACCCAGTACCATGCACCGATGGCATGATGTAACGACTTGAAGACAATGCTTATGTTCTCTGGCCGAGGCGATAATCCACATATGGGGTTTGCCACCTCAGCTGAGTAAAACACGAGGTTACATTCAGATCGTGACGAAAGGATATATAAGAGGTCACATTTCCGTCGAGCAAGAGAATATTCATCCAAACACAACAGCAACGAATTCTTCCATTATCATTCAAACAACCCCTCCACCAAACCTTTCATCACAATGCGTTTCCTTAGCATCTTCGCCGCCATCGTCGCCCTCACTCCCGCCGCGATGGCACAGGGCCAGAACCCCAAGAACTGCCTTGATGAATGCCATCCCTACAGCGCTGGCTGGGATAAGTACTGTGATGCTGAGCACCCGGTATGCTTCTCTTGTTGCTGACCACACATGTGATTAACTGACCGCTAACAATGCATCTAGGCTCTTTACCGTGAAGGCCCTGTACGTATACCTGTTACCCTCTCATCGAGGCTGAGATAGTGTGGTATAGTAAGTAGACAATTGTTCTGACAATGACTATAGGGCTGCTTCAAGTGCTGCGAGTCCGTTTAAGCGGATCAAATTGGGCTGGGACCAGAGTTTGGTAGTTTATTGGGTTAAGAGATTAGTTGGGGATTTGATATTTCGCAGTCAGCTGTTTTGAGAACATGTTGAGTGGAGTATTGTATATGTGTTGAGCGACTATCAAGATGTGCAATGCAAACCTTTATTTGCGTGTCATGCAATGCGTAGAAGTACTTGTAGTGATCTTGCCTCGTCTATGATATCTAGCTAGGCAATCAGGAAGTGCCCAAAGGAAGCGAGCGAAAAGGGAACACTGCCAAACAGCAATACGCTGTCTGGGTGCATCCAGTTTAAAAAATGAAGGAGCTTATTTACATTCTGCCCGTGTATAAATTCAATATTATGAATTAATAGCAATCGCCTAAATCGTACAAGGCATTCATTCTTACGCCATGACAAAGGCACTACTGCTTAGTCGCTGGGAAATTACCAGTGCCTAGGATATCGCCATCCTCTTCCTTCCCATCCCTTGCCCGGTCAATGCGGAATTGAGTCGTCTTGAATAATCTCGGCATAGTTGTTTCCTCGAACGATGTTCCCTGCGCAACCATCTTTGCCAGCTCCTTAGCCGCTAACCAGATGACCGGCATGCCGTGGCCATTGAATCCAGCGATGATAAACTGGCCCTCCTTGGCAGGCACTTCACCGATGTGGGGGTTCGAGTCATAGGAGTAGCCCATGACTCCAGTCCAAATCTTGTCCACTTTGGCCCCGGAGTTTTCCCACCCGCGATAGGTGCGTTGCATGTAGTCTGTATAATAGTCCTTTGCCGAGTCAATAAGAACACTGTCATCGACGTTGTTATACCATTGCTCACGGAAAGACCGGAACTTGGCGGCGGCGCCACCGACAATGATACTGCCGTCGGCTCGCGGGATCAAGTATGAAAGAGTGTTGTCTTCTGTTCGATTGATGTAGGAGTTGTTAAGAAGAGGTGCCGTGGTTCCCTCTGGCACCGTAATGCGACAGCAGATGCCCTTGCATGGAATAATATTTTTCTCATACTCTGGTAAAAGTCCCGCGACGTACGCATTGTTGGCATGGATCACGTTGCCCGCGTGCATTTTCCCTCGCGGCGTCTCAATCACATATCCGCCATTGGGATCAGGTGTAATTGAGGTCGCGGGGGTATATGTCTGAAGGTTGACCTTACCCGTTGCCAGAAGGGACTCAGTGAGGTGCATGATGAATTTATAAGGCCACACTGTGCCAGCCGTGTACGAAGCGCATGCGACAGCGCCTTTGACGCCACAAATCTGTGACATGTTAGCACAGATCATCTGACTACGATATAGTAACCACTTACACCTTCGACTTCCTTGCCCGTATAAAAAATTGCATCATTCATGTATTCAAAATTCTGCGCAACTACACTGTCGAAAGTTGCCTTGGCTTTGGCTGCGGCTTCTTCATTGCACCAGACGTCGATGGTCCTTGTCAAGGTAAAATCGCAATCTATCTTCTCTTCTTCGATCAGTTTCTTGAGCGCGGGCAGATGCGCAATCTCGAACTCGGCGATCTCAGCCCCTGCACGTGCACCAGCGCGATCGATGTATGTGGGAATATGACCGTAGAAATCAGGCCGCATATGACCTCCGTTGCGACCTGTTGCGCCCGAGCATACCCCCCGTGCTTCCAGGATTGTGATTGACTTGTTGAAATCCTTATGGTCCTTCACGATATGGTAGGCCGTGCTGATACCAGCGTAGCCCGCGCCAATTATAACAATGTCACTGTGCTCGGGCAGTTGTTCCGTCGAGCGATGGTTGCTCTTCGGGTGAGGCTGGGTTTGCCAGAAGCATTCCCCAGGATTGGGAACGGGAAAGCATCCTGCAGTCTGCGTGTGAGCTGCAGAGGCTGAGACACTCCCATTCGAGTCAGGTAGCTGCATATTTGCGGTTGATATATGACGTTATGGCCTCGATGACTTGGATAAGCTATGTATGGGAAAGTTGACACCGAGTTAAGTTATAAACAGGTTGATGCGTCCGTCTTATCTTATCGCTAATCGGCCTCGGTACGGTGTACGGTTTGTCAGGATCACTGAAAGCTCGCTACCGGACCGGAATTGCCTCAATTAAACCGGCGGATATCTCATCGTCGGTACGGCTCCACTGATGGCGCGCCGGCAGAGAATCTCCGGTTTATCAGTATATCAATTAATTTGCTTCTGGATCAAGCGACCCCCATACATGTCCAGCGTAGTAAACTTGCCGGCATCCATCCGGCTCCATTAGTTCTTATCTTAAAGATGTACGTGCACAAGTCCCGCCAATGAAGAAAATGGGATTTGATATTACCTTTGCATTAGCTTCTGCTAAGCGGGGGAAATAGCCCCATGGAGAACCTAAAGTGCACATAGATATACGAACAATTGTACAAAGATGGGAAGAGGTGACCCCCGGTCGAGCACACCATCTTCACCTCATGTTTAGCACTACAAGCAAGATGCCTCCCCATGCCGCAGAATACCCTTCGTTTGACGAAGTTGGTCCGACAACAATCGCAGAGAAAAAAGGCTTTCATGACAATATAGGATCGTACGATGTGGAGAACACGGCCGGCCAGCTGGAGGAGGTGCACGACTTCAAGCAAGGCCTCCACCAGCGGCATATTCAGATGATTGCGTTGGCTGGTACCATTGGAACTGGTCTTTTCCTGGGTTCTGGCCGAGCGATCGCGACAGCCGGGCCTCTTGGAGCCTTTCTCGGATACACCATCATTGGTCTCACAGTGTCGAGCGTTGTGTTCGGTGTTGGAGAAATGGGCGCCCTGGCCCCCCTCACCGGCGGTGCCATTCGATACCTGGAACTCTTCTGCGATCCTGCGCTATCATTTGCCATTGGGTGGAACCATGTGTACTCCTACGTTGTTTCAATCCCGTCCGAGATCGTGGCAGCGGCTGTTATTGTTCAGTTCTGGATTACGATCAACAATGCGATATGGATAACTGTGTTCGGCGTCCTCATGCTCATCACGGCACTCCTCTTTGTCCGTATCTACGGAGAGCTAGAGTTCGGCTTCTCCATGCTGAAGATCATGCTGGTCATTGGAATCAACATCATGGCATTAGTCATTACCTGTGGAGGAGGCCCCGACCGCAAGGCCATCGGATTCAGTTACTGGAAGAACCCTGGCCCTTTCGTCCAATACCTAGGCGTCGGTGGCTCACTAGGCCGATTCATGGGATTCTGGACTACATTCGACAATGCGCTCTACGCATACTCCGGCATTGACAATATTACAGTGGCTGCAGCCGAGACGCGCAACCCTCGGCAGGCGATCCCCCAAGCTGCGCGACGGATCTTCGTTCGAATCTTCCTCTTCTACATCCTGACAATATTCATGGTCGGCCTAGTCGTCCCATCCAACGACCCCAATCTACTCGGCTCAACCAGCACAGCGGCGCATTCACCCTTCGTCATCGCCGCCCGTAATGCTGGTATCTCAGCAGTGCCATCCATTATCAACGCCGTCGTCCTGACCTCCGCCTGGTCATCAGGCAATTCGAACATGCTCGGCGGCTCCCGGATCCTCTACGGCATGGCGTGCAACGGCCACGCCCCGAAGATCTTCAAGCGCATGAACCGTTTCGGCGTCCCCTACATCTCCGTGGCGCTGTACGGGCTCTTCATGGCGCTCGGGTACATGACTCTCTCCGACTCAGCAAGTACAGTCTTCACCTGGCTACAGGATATCGTCGCCATCTCAACACTCGTCAACTGGGTCTGCATCTGCATCGTATACCTGCGCTTCTACTACGGATGCAAGAAGCAAGGCATCGACCGCCATAAAGAACTCCCCTGGGCGGCACCGTTTCAGCCCTGGAGTACGTGGTTCTCCTTGATCCTACTCGTCATCCTTTTCTTTACGGGGGGCTATAAGACATTCATGCATGGTCACTGGGATACCGAGACATTTATCTCGTCGTACCTGAACGGGCCGCTGATTTTGGGTATTTACCTCGGGTATAAGTTCGTGAAGAAGACGAGGATTATTCCGTTGGAGGAGATTCCTATTCGGCCGTTTATTGAGAATTATCAAAATAATCCTGAGCCGGAGCCGAAGCCTAAGAAGGGGATAAAAAGGTTGAATATTTTGTGGTCTTGATTTGCTTTGATCTTGTTTGTCTTGTGGATAATTTTGTCTAGGAAGATACTGGTATACTGAAATGAAATGATAATTTATATTCAAATGAACATCATCATGAATCTTGGTATCGTATGATCATCTATACAGGACTATCATGTTATATTGTCACGACCATACCGTAGAATTCTCATCACAATGATGGTACCAGTGCAACAATCCCCATCATCCAGATGTTGTATTGTGTATTGCTTATCTTATCCGGGCCTTACCCATTATCTTATCTGGTCTTATCAGATCCATCACATGACATCCCCGCTCGGCACAACAAACCAATCACAACTTACCGGACCGGAACTGCCCGAACAGGTAAGCGAAATCCGGCGCAATGCAAAAGCCACCGACGATAACCAGAGAGAATGAAATGATAGCGGGGAAAGCTCTCGATAAGCTCAAGCACAGTAAACAATCTCCCTCCGTTATCGGTTGCACTGTCAAGCGCAGCCTCGATACACGGTATATACCACGTGGACAGCTCTTCCCGACGGTGAGACTAGTATTCCAAAGCTAATTGAGTATAAATAACATACTAAAGAGAACAACAGCACGGAAGCACGAAACCCCACCCACAACGACCAGTGGCAGCATCATAGCAGCCCCAGCATTCTACACCCACGTTATTGAAACATCAAGAAACAATGTCCCCCAAGAAACACGTTGTCTTCGACGTAGTCGGCACCTGCGTCTCCTTCGACGCCTTCTACAACTGCATTGACCGAGTCATCGGCGACAAACTGCGGGCGCAATGTATCACGCCCCATTTCTTTGGGTTCAGCTGGATGACCGCTGCCGAGCTGGAATTCACCTTCTTATCCATCTCAGAACGCTATAGGCCCTACAAAGACGTTATCACGGCGCTGTTCTATCGGACGTTACACATGGCGGGCGTGGAGGACCCGAGGTCGTTTGCCACGGAGGCTGAGAGGGACCAGTGTGTGCAGGGGTATTCGGAGTTGGAGCTTAGACCTGGTACCCGAGAGTGTTTTGCCAAGTTGAGAGAGGCGGGCTTCACGGTCTGGTGTCTTACGACTGGGGACACGAGACGTGTGAGAGGGTATTTTGAGCGCGCCGGGGTGGATATGCCGTTGGAGAACTTCATTAGTTGTGACTCGCAGGGGGTGGCTAAGCCGGCGCTGGCGGCGTATAGGCCTGCCATGGAGAGATTTGCGGAAGAGGATGTCAAGTGGTTTGCGGCGGCGCATATGTGGGATGTTTCGGCGGCGGTTAAGGTCGGATTCAGAGGGGCATATTGTACGGTGTATGAGAAGGAGTCGTGTGCGGAGATTTTTGACACACAGATGGAGGTGTTGGCTGATTCTTTGCCTAACATGGCAGACAAGATTATTGCAGCTTCAGGGTAGTATTTTTAGATGTTAATGATAATGAAAGAAATGGAGCCACAGTAACAAGTAAAAACTCAATACCATTATGCTTTCAATACATCAATATATCATGAGGTATAGACAAGTTGCTTTGCTCAACGTCGAGTCCTGGCGTCTTGGGACGCACGGTAGGGAAACATTTCTGCGAAGCCTCCGTGGCCATCGGCTTCAGATCGAAGCACTATGCCAGCCTCGGGCACAGCAAGAAATTGCTCAAGCACTTGCGTTTCCGACTGTGTCGGCCAGGCTGATGGCAGCGCCAGATTTCCGGTGCCAAAAATGGACAACTCATTGACTGGATCCCATGCATTGAGGGTGTCCATCTGCATATCTCTACGGGGCTCGTTGGACAATACACTTAAATTCGGAGGCTCCAAATAACTCAGTGGATTGGGATCAACGTTCACAGGCGGCATTGCAGAGCAAACTGATGCCGCAGCGGTGGTTGCAGGGATAGCAACATTCTCGCCCGCGTTCACGGCCCCACCACTCCTCCAGGATGATCCCCATCGCTTGAATGCATCGTAGTCTGACATCGTTGGTATTGTCTCCGAGGGGCCATCGCTCAGCTGTGCAGCTTGTGCTTCGGAATTCAAACGAGCAAGCGCTCGTTCCAGCGCCTCAATCAACGCCACCTCCGATCGAGCGGAGTCCCCAGAGGTAGCCATTTCCCGGATCATGTCCAGCCCATCCTGTAATGTCTTGTGATACTCTCCCGAGCGGTTCTGGATGGAATAGGCAATTAACACTAACAATGAAGCTCGGCATGAACTGTATTCAATGTAGGAAGCTCTGGCGAGACCTGGACCATTGTCTCGCAGCACCTGGCAAAGTCGAATCACCTCCGTTGCTGCCTGTGTGCAGTCCATGACGAGGCTTTGTGTACTAGACATCTGCTTTGGACTGGAGTTCTCGCCGTTGTCGCGTCCGGCACTTGTGAATTCTGGTCCAGCCGGGGAGCCTCGGGGCGATTGTGAGCTCTGGTCTCTGAGAAGGAACGGCCGTCCGATAAACATATTGACCAGACAATACTCGAGTCGTAGATGTATCGCACCACGACTTAGATTCTGTGGCTGGCTCAAGTCACCTGGTACATCTGTTGGTAATGACTGCCACCACTCCGTCATGGTGTCTTTCTTGTCCCGTAAACGCGCCAAGATATTTGGTATGCTTTTCTTTTCGCGGTGCCGCAGAAGCGACCTAAGCACAAGGTCAGCATCTTGCCGTATTAGGTCTAATAGCTATCTTCTACGCTTACAACTCATGGAAAAAGTTCTCGAGAAAATGGATAAGTCGGATAGATGTCACAGCACGTGGAACATTCCACGGGGGATCTTCAGCGTGCATCCCCTCGCGATACTCAGGAATATCTGTGTCGACGTCTGATCGCAGGACGGACAGAGGTCGCCCGTGGAATATGCAGATTTTTCTGTGAACTCGTGATTAGCTTTGTAAGCATTACATTAAGCGTCACGGTTACCTCTCAAGCGAATAGGCAGTCCACCAAACACGATTTCGAGTCTCAATCATATCTGGACTGAACACGTCACTGTTACACTTCCGGTGCATACCATTCTGCATAGCGAGTCGCACAGCGAGGTTAATATAGATATAGCCGAGGCCGGATGCATCGATTGGCAATGAGTAAAACCCGAAGAGTAGGCATGCCTGGACGCTTTCTAAGCAAGACGACTCAATAATTTCTGGCAACAGTCGAACCGCATTCTGATAGAAGCTGGTACCAATGTCATCTTCCGAAAACTCTCCATCACTCGTTGTATTATGAGTCGGCGAGTCCAGGTACGCATACTGTGTCCCAATGGCGAATACTGTAAGCATAATGCTTATGACAGCGGCACCCTTCCTACCAAAGCTGCTAGGGTCGTTATAAAGGACGTTGAGATTTTCGAAAAACCACCTCTTCCGGACGAAAAGGTAATGTGTTTCAGCATACTTGAAAAAGATGTTAGCCAGAAACCTGGCTATTTGTCGTGGGGGACAAGAGGAGATGGCGGCGGATAGGTGGCTATGGCCAGAACGCAGTTGTTGCGCTCGCCAGTACTCAAAGACTCGTTGATCAGCATTATGAATGTGCTGTTTCAGTCAGCTTTCGTCCCGGGCAACATTGAGAATGAGTACCTGAGCAACTGATCGCCGGGTTTGATGTTCAATCTGGTGTTTAATGCGCATAGAAAAATTCCAGTATGAGAATTCTCCAGAATAATCTACTCCACCTTAGCATTGTTACTATTCAAGCACTCTTAGAAGGGTACGAACGAGTAGTGGTATCTTCAACTGGGTCAATTGTACAAGCTTCATCATCTATAGAAAAACCATCCTCCTCTTCGGGTTCCAGAGGGCGTTCCCTGGGGTGCTCTTTGGTCGACGCGAGGGCATTTGCCATCTGGGAGAGATTGTCCGTATCAAGGGAAATTCCGTGCATTGTGTGTCTTAATATACGCTCCATATACCGTGAGCGCTCGGCTAGCTCTCGGACATCTGCCTGTATGGCAGGGGATCTGCTTCTAACAACTGGTCAGGGAACGTCTAAGTAGCATGGGTAGAGCTGAAATACACACCTAGGTATGTAGGCGCGGAACTCGCGCGCTCTTGATACGCGATTCTTAAACTCGCACGAACGATGGAAATGGGAGCATCTACTGCAGGGAATGCCACCTTCGCATTTCTCCTTCAAACGCCGGCATTCGTCGCAACTGCACGTTAGAACGTTAGTCTCGGTAATTTCAGGCAATGCTTCTAGCTTCATGCGGCAAGCTTACGCTCGCGCTGCGCGCTTTTTATCCGTCACCATTGCTTTATTCTCACACGGGGGGTAGGTTCTATTCCAAGCAACCTCAAGGAGTACGGTTGAGTCTTTCAATGCATATGGTTGCAATACAAGGAGAGAGGCACGCTGGCGAGGCAGGTCAGAGCCAGATCACGGGATGCGGGCACGGCGATAAGGCTCGGGGGGTCCACCAATCATAACCTGCCCCCTCCATCTGCCCTAATCGAATATGGTGTAGTATCCTAAATGGACTATGGAGACACTACTTTGCAGTGATAAAGTGGGGAAGATCTTCGTGAGGACTGCATAAATATTGGAGTCCGGAGTATGCGGCTCCATGTGTACGATGTAGACCACACGCAGTCGGGGTATGCAGAGGTAACAGCTGCCAGGTAGCGCTTCGAAAGGGAGAAAGGAATCGGAAGAGACATGTTAGCGCAGTGAAGATTTCACGGCACCGCGTGAATAACCTCGTTTCCGAAGAGCTCTAGACAAAGCACCTGTTGAAACCTTCAGATCAAGTTCTTGAATGACCTTCGTGTATCGCAACCGTTTCGTCCGGTCAGAGGATGATAAAAAAGTAATTATATCATCTACTTGGGAAGCAGTCAGTTTAGGTGTTTTGCCACGAGCCTTTTTAGGTGAATATGTTTGGGCCTGGCATGTATATTGCACCTGCCGATATGTTATATCGGGCAGGTGGTCGACGATTTTTTGATAGGTAAATCCCGCGTCCCGTAGAGTCAAGATACGTATTCGATTGTCTCGGTCGAGACGCGTCGAGTACTGACGGTCCGGAGTAGTAGGTCGAGCCGATTCGGCCATGGTGAATCAGTCTGTCGCAACTCGCCCGGTAGGTCAGCAAGCAGAGCCATGTTTTGAATAGCTTCACGCGTTTCGCTTGACGGGATTGTGCACTATACCCTTTAAGGCAGTCCTGCTTATGCTGACTAATCAGTATTGTTGGACTGTCTCTCATTTGCACGTTGGAAAAATAATACTGGTCTTGACATGAAAAGCTATACACACAGTGTAGTGAACAATTCTGTGGAGCTATACTTGCACACTGACTAAATGGGTGATTGTTCCTTGCTAAATTTGGCTTACAAATCGCTTAGTTGAGCCGGATCTAGGAAGTAGCAGGAGAACAACACGATTGAATATATCTGTGGAAGTATGGTATGTCATGTTTTTTTTATTTTTATTTTTTTTGAATTGTAGTAGATTTAGGTAGTACTATACTACCCAGACTGTTCAAGATCGTTGACATAGGAATCACCGTAATTCCGACATGTAAAAACTGATTGCTAAGTATATGTGCTGCAGAATAAGTAAGATAGTTGTCTCATTGCGGTTAACCATCAACAGGGAAATGAGGAGATGCATCACATGACCTAGGCTAATTAATGATGATGAGCCCTGCATCGCCCCGCCATTTGAACAGGTCATCGTGTCAATACTTTGCTTCCAGAAGTAAGGAGGAGAGTTCCTCAAAACAACCTGCGTCAATGGAGGCAGTCGGAGCTGAATCAGCAATTCGTGGGATTGCAACAACTGGAATTCAATGCTCTATCAAGCTTATAACTGTTGCTGGCCTGGTCAAGTCTGCACAAGATGAAATTACAGACGTTGCAAAAGATGTCTTGGTGAATGCTAGTATTTTACAGCAATTGGGCCAGCTCGCGAAGGATAGAATATCTCACGAACAAACTGCGCTGTACACCAATGCCAACAATGACAAATTGAAGATACCTGATTCAGTCACTACAGGCGATGCCGAAAGGAGCACTGAAACCCAACATGGAGTCTTCAATGCAGCTGGTCTAGCAGTAGTCCTGAAGCTAGCTACAGAATGCAATGATATTTTCAGCAGGTTGAATGAAGCCCTACAAGAGACTAGTAAAGCACTGAGCGCGAATACTGACGGTCAAACACGGATCAAAGCGACTCAGGCGGGAATGGTACACTGGCCACTTACCAAGCCGCAAATAGATGGCATGCAGGCTCGACTAAGAGATGCCAAAGGGACACTGATGCTCATGCTCCAGGTTGCTATGCTACGTTATTCGGAAACGCCGATAGAGGGGTAAGGCGTTTTGCTAGATTATGAGATATTGGTCTAACATTTGTGGGCAATGTAGGAATATATCTGGGGCAATACTAAGCCCATATTCGGAAGAAGAGCAGAACTTATTGAGGAGTTCTATCGTGGCCGCTAAGAAAGCCCGGCTATATATCTCAAGCGAACGAGGCCCTTCGTGTACTCAGGATGTGTCTGCTTTGGCAACAGAGAAGAGACCATTGGGGAATAGAATACAACTCGGGAGCATGGACCATAGAAGTGAGAGAGCACGACAAAACAACACCCTAGCGCAGAATAGTCAGCTAGAACAGGTGGTCGGCAGAAGGGATTTGCAGTGTGTTTTTCTGAACCACTAGGCACTTCTAATCCCAACAGACAGCTAACTATATATGGGTAGTACATCGGACGTTCAACTCACGAACCAGGCGATTTTCCGGGGCGGAGAAGAAGAAACACCGGCACTGCAAGTAACGTCTATTTTGCTGCAGTCTGTTAATACCGTACGCTAATTCCAGTAAAGCATGTTGAACATGCCGAGTATTACTGATGACAATATCAAACACCAAGGCGCATCCACAACCAACAATCGGTCTGAGCAAGATTATACTCGCACTAATAGACCCCCAATATCACCCGCCAATGAACCCCTGATGACCCAACTCAGTGTATATTTGGCTTCTCCCAAACTACAAATTGCTTATGGGAAAGTTCATGTCGAGTACCAAACTCGCCTGCTAAGAATCTCACGCACAGAGATTGACTCCCAGATTCAGCAGTGGAGAGATTCCTCCAACAGAACCGTGCTTGATCAGCTCCATTCTCTAACAGCTAATGAACAACAGGCACTGGATGCGATCAATTGCGGCCATAATTCTAAAGGCCTGTTGGCAGCTGGCACACTTGAGTGGATACAGTTCGGCGAGTACTTACCCGTCAATGGCGTGGAGCATATCATGGCAAGAAGCATCACCATTATAATCAGTTCGAAAGACCAGTATTCAACAGAGAAAGAAAAGCCAGAGCCAATCCGGGAAGAGGAGGATGCTCGGTATGGGAAGGAATCTAACACCTGGGTAAAAGTATTTTCCAAAGTTTATCTGCATCCCAGTGAATGTTTCTGATGTGGTTATTCAGGTTCATCGCAGCCACATCGTGCCAGACACGCTTATTGCCTATCGTTTACCTTTTGAATTCGACGAGGTATCTGTCCAATAATATCAGTCACTTGGTAGGATATGATTTCTAATATGTGGATTGTTAGGAGGATCCCGGATATATGATTATCAAGCAGTGGATTCCAGAAGACCTTCAAGAGGAATTATTTGCCCACACCCAGAATTTACGAAACGGAAGATTTATTGAACGTAAAGCCTCAACTTCAACTAAGCTAAAGGTTGATGATAGGGAGAGAGATCGAAGGTTCGGATCCCGATTTCTATCACGGCTCAAAAGGGGGTTGGAAGTGGCGGGTCTCTACCGGCTCTACCGGAGGCGGATTGAGGAGGAAGACTCACAGTCCGACACGAGCACCTCTCCAGAAAGGGTAGAGGGAGAGGCCAATTTTGATAGTATCTCGCATATTGCACGAGACGATAGTCGAATCTCTGTACTCGATTCTCGTGTCTTCGAGGAACATCGTAGCAGTTTCCCCCAGACTCAGAATGGAGTGGGAAACTGCGGTTCGATAAAAGATCACGAGTCCAGTGCAGTCCCATTAGAATTCTTATTGAATGATGGAGGCAAAGTGGGCCAAGAGGATGTGGAAGGAATTGTGGGTGATCTTTTGTACAAATATACTGCTGCATGAGAAATTTGGGCAGCTGTTGCCCAGATAATAGAGGACGACATTATCTACATTCTGTAAAGAGATCAGAAACGTAGTGAATGGAACTTCTGGTCAATAGTGAAACAACAGAAACCTGAATGTAAACGTGTGATTCTGATCGTACATAGCCTATCAAACTGCTCCATGAAGGGTATCCATATGTGTCTTTCAGCATAACCTCCTGAGTAACATTTGGTAGGTACTGGAGTATATCTAGTCACCTAGTATATGATATACCCTGGTAGGCTAGGCGTGGGAGTCGCGGTCGCCCCTGAGTCTTATAGGCGAACCATAGATATTCCCACTTGTATGCTAGGCTTCGATGATGTAAGCTAGCAAAAGGATCTGGAGCATTGTAATGGAAACACTAAGACTCAGCTGAGCCCTTCTGTTGTTGGTGTAGATTATAGCCTGAGCCCGTGGGGCACTCTTTGGAACGAAAACCCCGGATCCAAAATCTGGGTTGTTTCGGAAAGTGTCAAAATCTTGTGCTGGAGGCTGTGTATTTCATGACCCACATGTTCACATCACTAGGAATCAGGGGAAACACACGTGTGAATACGATGAATACGAGGGAAAATCATCTACCCCATATTCTTCACAAGGAGATCGACGCAACGGCACCAGTGTTTCTACTCAGAAGGGGAAAGGATCAGCTGCACGAATGCACATGCGTTTCTCGTGCTATCCAGATTGACCTGGTAATCTAACCCGTCCTCACCAAAACCTGTAGCTGATTCGATATGATCTGCTGTTATTTGAGCTAGGGATATGTGGGATTTCAAATTTATCCTTGTAGAAGGTGACAAAAACATAGATACGTTCCCAACGAAACATCGACCAGGGCCAATGCCGAGGCTATTGAGATGAAGTCACAGTCTGCCGTTGAACCTGTTGAGGGAGCCTTGCTATTATATAGGAGGAAAATAATAACTCCTGGTGACAAGATCGACTAGCTGCAGGGATCGGGTTGTTTTCGGAGATGCGATTGTGTTCGTGACCAGTAGACTCTATACTATATTTGAGCCCTATCCTAGCAGCCCCGCATTTTGAGTCCCTATTAATCTCGCTGCAGGATTGCTAGTTGCATAGCCTAATGCGCTTCATTAAACCAGCCTAGACAAACCTCGGCTGCTGACAATAGTTCGTACTCTACTCTGTGCTGTGTTGACACGCATGTGCCATACTGTTGTAAGCAAATCACACCCAGGATTGGGAAATGACTTGTTGTATCCCTACCTATCCAATCATCTTCATCGTGTTAAGATGATAGCCTGCTTTAAGTCACGGCATTGACATTCGAGGATGAAGTGATATATATAGACGGTATGTCCTCCACCTTTGGTGTGGAGGAACATCCCACATAACACAAGATGGCCAGGCTAAGCCTTTTGTTGGCGCCAATCCTCGCCGTGCTGCCGCTTGTTTCGGCCTTCCCAGCCCAATTGCCTGCACGGAGCTCAGCACCTGCGCTACCATTGGATGACCCTTTCTATATACCCCCTGAAGGCTTTGAGTCCTCTGCACCGGGGACAATCCTCCGCCATAGGACCCCCCCAAACCCAATTGCAGCGCTCGGCTTCGCAAAGGTCAACATTCAAGCCGCACATCAGATTCTGTACCGAACAAGCGACTCTTCTGGCAATGCTATTGCAACAGTCTCCACCATCCTGATTCCCCACAACGCCGATTACTCCAAGCTGCTCTCATACCAGGTAGCTGAAGATGCAGCGGATCCAAACTGTGCCCCATCCTATGCTCTCCAGCTTGAAGCAGCTCATGATGGTATTCTGGGCCTGGTAATCCCACAGGTGGAATTGCTGTTCTTCGGCGCTGCCCTCGACAAAGGCTGGGTGGTGACTGTCCCTGACCATCTTGGACCCAAGGCAGCTTTCCTGGCCAACAATCTCTCCGGCCAAGCCGTGTTGGACAACATCCGTGCTGCCTTGGCGTCCTCGAGCTTTACAAACATTACTTCGGATCCTACTATCGCGCTATGGGGCTACTCTGGTGGCAGCCTGGCCAGCGGATTTGCTGCAGAGCTACATCCCACTTATGCGCCTGAGCTGAACATCGTGGGAGCCGCATTGGGTGGTACCGTGCCAAAGATACGACCAGTCATTGACGCGGTTAATAAGGGACCGTTCGTGGGACTTGTCCCGGCCGGTATCCAGGGCCTGGCGAACGAGTACCCCGACATCCAGAAGCTTATTGACGATGGCCTTAACCCTTCCAAGAGGGCTGAGTTTAACAAAACCCAGAATCTGTGTCTTTCGGGAGACCTCATTCAGTACTTCGGCAAGGATATCTACGAATATGCAAACGACCGGGATATCTTCGATCAGCCGGCAGCTGTAAAAGTAATGAACGCCAACGCGATGGGACAGCACGTCCCCAAGATTCCCCTCTTGATCTACAAGTCAGTTGGGGATGAAATAAGTCCCGTTAATGACACCGATTCTCTTGTTGAAACCTACTGCAAGGGTGGAGCTAGTGTCGAGTACAAGCGTGATGAACTCTCCGAACATGCATCCCTTGAGATTACAGGGTCCGCCGATGGAATGCTCTGGCTTATGGATCGTATGAACAACAAGCCTGTCCAACAAGGGTGTACGACCTCTACTGCGGTCACTGGGCTTGCTGACCCCAGGGCCCTTCTAGCCTTGGGACAGGAGATCCTAACTCTCCTCAAGGCCATCCTATCGGGGCCGATCGGGCCTGGTGTGGTCGGTTAATTCTTCTGCGGGAGAGAGTAAAGCTGGCCCCCGGTCATCGTAGGAAAGGGGCACTGTTCAAAGCAGAGGCACGACCAATATGCGTCATACATTCGCATTTAAATGTTGGTTTATATTGGTAACTGTTGGGGTGTGATAATGTATCTATCACTACATGTCAATGATCATTTGCTTGAATTTCCTAATGCAGAATATGGAAGTATTCTCACAATTAATATCTTCCCAGTGTCAATATTCCATACCAGTAGCTCTGATCCAACCCTACACTAGATACGTGCGGCCAGGGTGCCCACCGTCTCCTTCAGAGGATGCTCATGTCGTTTAGTCCGACTCCGTACCTTCTCGCCGTCTGCCGGGCTAACATAGCGCGCCTCCACGGCCGGATTGTAGCCCAGCGCAGACTTCTGTCGGACCTCTGCATCCGAAAGAGTTGGATTACTCTGTCCGTCAGCCCGCTTGTACACGGTCACCACGACCGCACCACCAAGACCCAGATTATGTTGCAAAGCAACATCAGTCCCCTTAACCAAGCGGTTGGTAGCCCACCCCCGTAACTGCCAAGTGAGTTCTGCACATTGCGCCACGCCAGTAGCTCCAAGGGGGTGACCCTTTGAAATGAGTCCACCAGAAGGGTTGATGACCGGTCCGCGACCACCGTATGTGATATCGCCGCGGCGAACCATCTCATGGGCCTTACCCGGCTCCGCGAAGCCAAGCGCATCAAGAAGGAGAAGTTCGTTTGACGAAAAGCAGTCATGCAGTTCACACACCTTGACATCTTTCGGTGTGACGCCCGCTTCTGCCATGGCGCGCTCGGCTGCCTGCTTGCTCATCTGGAAGCCGACCAGATCGATCGCACTCCTCGAGTACACCTCCGGTCCGTCTGTCAGGAGCTGCTGTCCAGCGATGAGGATGGCCTGGGATTTGAGCTGGGGTCTGGCATCTAGGAACCGCTGCGAGACTATGACAGCGGCCGCGGCACCATCACTGGTCGGACTGCATTGCAACTTTGTCAACGGGGCAAAGATAGTGCCCGAGTTCTGGATCTGCTCAAGGGTGTACGGGGTCCGGAACTGTGCATATGGATTCCTTTGTGAATGTTCATGCGAGATACGGGCAATCTCTGCAAAGTCCTCGGCCTTCGCCCCATACCTGATACATATATTAGACTTGGTATATACTAATAGAATAAAGCGACAGACGACTCACTTAGTCATATATTCCCTCCCCGCATGCCCAAAATACTGCGCATTCCTCGGCGCCGGATCCTTGCCATACACCTCCTCCATCAGCCTCGTCGACGGCCCAACCGCACTAGGCCGATCATCCCAAACACTCTTAATGGACCCCGGTCGCATCTGCTCAAACCCGACGACGAGCACACAGTCCGCCGAGCCACCCTTCACCAGCGTCCGCGCCAGATGGAGACCAGCCGAGCCCGTCGCACAGTTATTGTTCGTGTTGTAAATGGGGATGCCTGTCATGCCGAACTGGTAGAAGACGCGCTGGCCGGAGGTGCTGTCTCCGTAGCAATAGCACGCAATGCCCGTTTGCACGTCGTCGTAGGTGATCTGGGCATCGAGCATGGCCTTGACGCCCGCTTCGTAGCCGAGTTCGGGGTATTCGCGCGTGCGCCGTGGCTTGAGGAATTGGGTCATTCCGACGCCTAGCACGTAGACGTTGTTTGTGTTGGTGGAGCTCATTTTGGTTCTTTGTGGGTCTGTATAATCCTTTATTGACCTGATCCCAATGCTGTGGGTGTGTACGCGATATATGTAGTTGAGGTTATGGTGTGGTTGATGGTGAGGGGAGCTCACCCATTACCCCGGACCGAGGTTCCGGTTTCCCCTCACCACAGAGTTCGCCCCTCATATGGGCCTCTGTGCCTGTCCAGCTGTCTTGATATAGCCTTTATGCCTTCTGTACCTTGATCGCCCCGAGGTAGCGTCGGTCTGGTGAAGTAGACGTGAGAAGGCTACTGCAGGACTAGCGTAGAGACCTGTCTGAGCGGATTCAATGCGGCTTTGTCGCCTACGTCAACATCTGGACATCAATGCGACCCACTAGTTCGAAAAGGCTATGTTTCGTACACTTTAAATAAGAATCGTATCTCATTGAGTAGTAAGACCGAGGAGAGATTAGAGGGGCTAATTATACGTATCGTACGCTGGACAAGTCCACCACCCATACCGAGTTCCTAATCAACTCAAGCCCGACCACATAACAGAGCTCATACAGCTACAATCCCACCAAATCCAAGTATGGTACTCACTCCACCTTTTCCCAAACAAACTGCGTACTATCCGGATCGCGCATCTGCATAACCAGTAACTGATAACTATCATTCGTCGACTTCAAGATCCGCGCCTGCGCCTTCTCAAAGTCCTCGCCGTCCAGCAGCACCGGCCGCATCCGATACTCGCGGAACAGCGCCGCCATGGCCGCTACGATCTCGACCTGCGCGAACTTGCGTCCGGCGCAGTTCTGCACGCCCGCCGACCAGGGGAAGTACGCTCCCGCCCGGGGTTCCATGATCTCTTCGCGCGCCAGCTGCTCCTCCCGTGTAGTGGCGGCGTCGCCGCTCGGTGTGGCGGTCTCGACCCACCGGCGGGGGTTCCAGGTGGTGGGCTCGTCGGGCCAGTACTTCGGGTGTGTCTGGGCGGCGAGCAGGCTGGGTAGGACCACGGTGCCCTTGGGGAGGACGATGGTGCGGTTGCTTTCAGGGAGGCGGAGGCTGGTTGTTGGGGGTGCGACGGATTTGGGCAGGGCGAGGATAGGTGGGTAGAGACGGACGGTTTCGAGCTGGTGGCGGATGAGTTAATATATTGGTTGGGGGATGGAAGGGTTGAGGTACTCACCACCACTGCTAGACAGCGCTTGAGTCGGGGGAAGGCCTCCTTATAATCCCATGTGTCACGGTCGGGGTTGGGGAAGACGGTGCGGATCTCCTCGGCGATCCAGTCCTGAATATGGGGGTATGCGGCAAGCAAGAAGAGGACGTAGGTCAGGGAACCGGCCGTCGTATCATGGCCGGCGAAGTTGATCACGTAGATGTTGCCCAGGATTTCGTCGATGGTCAGGACGGTCTTATTGCTCTTGGGATCGACCGTGGATTCGCGGACGAAGGAAGACATCAGCGTGCCGGTGCCTGGCTGCCCTTGATCGAGGAGCGCTTTCTCCGTGTTGAACATGTTGAGCATGTGCTGCTTGAAATCTTCGACGGCCTGACCGGCGCTACGACACCAGCTGGGAAAGATGGGTAGTTTGAGCACGGTGGGGGGAACCAACATGATGACAAACGTGTTGAGCATAACGGTCTTCAGCGACTGGGCATAGGAGCGGGGATCCTCCGACTGCGCTTCTTGGGCGCTCTGGAAGCGCGTTGACCGTTTGAAGCCGGTCGCTGCGAGAACATTGAGGGCCAGAGTGCGTGTGTCGGTTCCCAGTCCTCCCGAGGGTCCGGCCGTGGTTCGCGAGGCAAGCATGCTCCGCGCCTGGGTGAGGGCCTCGCGCCAGACGAAGCTGTTCAGGCTTTCGTTAAAGGGAGCGGCGACGATCTTGCGGTGGCGCTGCCAGTCCGCGCCCTCGGTCTGTGAACAAGTTAGATTTTATATTCGGTGGGAGGAGGATAGTCGACCAACCGTGGCAACATTTGGACCGAACACATTTAGCAGTGCTAGTGAGGTCAGCGAATAGCTCCCGGACAGTGAGAATCAAGCCATACTGAAGAGCTCAATTGGGCGCACAAAATCCGCGCGACGCGCGATGATGTCTGTAATGGCGTCCGCATCGCAGATGTAGACAAACACCTCGTTGGGGGTTGCGATCGCCCACGCATCGCCCATGCGCATATGCGACTGGGCCTTGTCGGTAAACTGCCAGGTGCGGCGGCCATAGTGAGTGATGCGACCGAATTCAAACGGGAGGAGCCCGAGAATAAAGAAGATGACCGGCTCGAGCAGGATCCAGAGCGGATTGACGGGACTGCAAGGAATGACGTGGTAAGGAATGCCGATTTTCTGGATGCGGCGGATGTTGCGGACGAGACAGACGACGCTGTACAGGGTCCAGCCCACGAGGGCCAGCGCGATGACAAGCAACATGGCCGGACAATCAAGGTGGCGGGGGGAAGATCGAGCAGGAGATAGAGAGCAAAAGGTAGAGAAAGAAGGGAAGAAAGGCTGGAGCGAAGGAACAAACAGAAAGAGAAAAAAATGCGCCAAGACGATGACCAGGCGATTGCCAGGCACGGAAGTCGGGAGTTGCGAAGTTGCTCATTTCACCAACGCCAGTGGTACGACAATCGGAGGTGAAACAATGAAGCCTGTCAGCACTAATGCAGCCCTAACATCTAATCCCTGCTTAGTCGGGGGGGCCAACGGAGGCGAAGCTGAGGCCTTGACAGCATCCAGCAACGATCGGCGCCTCAGTCGACGAGTAAGAGGACACGAATATCAGCAACAGCGGCAGAGCCTTTTGTTCCTCCTTCGAAACGCCAAGCGCGCATCAAAGCCTCCTAAGAATAACCCAAGCAAACGCCAAATCCCCCCCAAGGCAGACAAGCCGCAGCACGGACGGTCCAGTTGGGTTTCAGGGAGTCATGGGATGCGGGCCGGCCCTAGAGCAGGAATCGACCGCCAGTTCCTTTACATAATTAATTATACAGCAGCGTCGTCAGCTAATGTATGTACAATTCTCATTTCTCGTTATTCATGTCTAATTCTTATTCCCCTCCTTCCAATTCAACGTTACATGGAGATCATCTCCGGGAACCGGTCGGGAAATGCCCAAAGTGACCAGACTTTCGTCGCGCCGGGGGAAAGGCGCCTGCCAAGCCAGCTGTATGTCGTATCGATTGAGCATCAGTGCCGCCAATCCAAAGATCTCCAGCTCCACAAAGTATCGCCCCGGACAGTAGTGGCGACCCCCGCCGTACGGGAAGAATGTGGTTTGAGCCAGACCAGGCTTTTTCAGAAAGCGATCGGGATTGAACGATGCTGCATCTGACCCATAGGTGTCTGGATTATCATGCAGCTGGCAGGTTGGGATCACCGCGATACTGTTTTTTCGCAGTCGTTTACCCGCGATGGCGGTGTCGCGGACGACTTGTCGAACGATAACATCCCGTTTGGTCAGCCGGAGGACCTCGTGGTAGATCGACGAGAGTTGTGGGCATCGCTTAGCCAGATAGGTCCAGTCCAACTTGCCGTCTGGCCCGACCGCCGGCGCTGTCTCCTGGCGCACTATTTCCCGCAGTTGTGGGTCGTAGAGAATGTATGCAAGGACCCAGTATGCCGCTTTATAGGCATTGGCATCACCACTATTAGTCCCGTTATTAGCCTCACTTGCCATGCGATCGGAGCGACGGAGGTACTTACGCCCAGCAGATCATGACCAGCATGGCAGCCCGGTCATCCTCATGAATTCCGAGCTCGGCATATGTTTCTAGCAAAGTTCGAATGACGGGCATCTCGTCCGGTCGCGCCTCGGGTGGCAGCTGCAGGTAAGTCTTGAAGGCGGAGGTGTACTGGCGCAGCAGACGACTGACCTCCGTGGTGTCGACCAATCGAGACCGGTGGACGAGCTTCCAGAGTTCATCCGTGAAGGTCCGCATATCGACCGCCATGTCGGGGTCGATGGCCAGAAGCGCCCGGTCAAACAGGACGATCTGGTTGGCGTTGGCAATAAAGTCTGCGCAGATGTCATAGAGCGAGATGGCCTCGGTCTCCGAGCTGACCAGGGATGGATAGGCGCCCACGAGGCGGTCCCACGAGAGCAGTTCATCGAGAGCTCCTTGGTATCGCTCCAAGAGCATATTTAGCGTCGGGCCCGGAACCAGGTCGTGCTTGAACAGGTCTTGCGTCAAGTGGATGAGATTCTTTCCCTTCGGGTTCACTCGGGTGGGTGTGTTGCGCTGCCACAACGTATGCAGACGTTCAGGCGCGCAACCGAAGGCTAACAGTGCTCGGTCGAGGAATCCGTCGGTAGTCATCGCTTGCACGTCGGCGAAGAATGGACGAGTGTCTGCCGGCGAGGTGATCACGTAGTATCGATCTCCGGCGATGATCATGCTGAATGGCTGCAGTGTCCCGAAGCGCTTTCTACAAAAGTGATTAGCGTTGTGCATCAATTGGGTCGTTCACAGGTGGGGACTTATGCACGCACAGGGCCATTCTGATGAGTTGGTGCGAATCCTTGAAAAAGGCACCCGCATGTCCTAAGGAATATGCACGTCAGCAACTTCTCTCCGAAAAGCCAATTGCTTCTAGAATTTACCAAAGTCTGCTGGGCGTTAGCGATGGTTCTCCAACTCCTTCCCAGAGGGACCTTACAAGGAATCCAGTATGGTAGCTCGACTGGCTCGTTCGGCCGGAAAAGTGGCAGGATCGTAAATCTCCAGATCCGCCAGAAGATCCAGGTCGCCAGCACCGTGAACCCTACGCGCATCCAGATAGTGCTGGAGGCCCAGTACATCTGGGCCCCGGAAGCGAGTGTGGCTATCAAATCTTGAAGCATCTTCGCAGGGTGTGCGTTGTGACTTCCTGTGTGCCCTTGTGCTGCGGACCCCAGCTCCCACGAGGGGGGCTGGTCGTGTTTATACCCTCATGGGCAAGGCACATGCTGGCCACGCATTCCACGTAGTCATGGTAGACATTGTAAAGAGGAGGGGTTGCAGCGGCCCCCAATTGATTAACTTCAACGACTAGAGGGCCAGGTGGAGTCAGCGCTAAAGGCATGATAACATCTATGACAGTTGTATCATGTCAGAAATTGCAGGCGTAGCAAGTCGGAGAGGGCGAGGGAATTCGTGCGACACCGTTCCATTCGCCAGAGATACAGGGTAATAGGATCCACAGGGAACCCTAGTCGTGCGGAGAATGGCGCACTAATTTTATACAAATTATAACGCTCTCAGCCTTGCACATCTGTCACTGGCATGTGCCTGAGTAACAGGCATCGGCACGACAAGATAATTGACGTGAGCCGTCGGAGAGCGGAGGTCAGCAAGACTCTTGCATTGGCATGGTTGGCTAGTCCGAGATTTTGCTGACCTCAGGCCATAATTAGTACAGAGATTTGCGGCAGAGTGCGCCTTGTGTCGCATCACACTAGAGCCGATGTGCCGTCACTGCCATGATTTTCAACCCGGCCAGACACTAATCAAGAGTGGATCGTCCGTTTCCCCGAATGGAGCCAGACCACGAACCGTGGACGCTAGACTAGTCCGTGCATGAGCACTTGGCAACGACTATTGGACATCCCCCTGCAATTGTAATTTCCGCGGCATGGACATGGCTCACGGTAAGCGGAGCCAGGTGGGGGCTATGTATATAACTCCAGTAATATCATAGTTTATCGACATGGATATAGCAAACAGCAGGGGTTCCCAACGCGGGAAACCCAACCCTGGAATACCACCAAAGGGGGTAAATGCCCAATGGAACGTATGTATTGTAGCTAGGATCAGAGTCTTTCACCACGTAAAACAAAATGCGGCCGTTGTCGCCTTCATGGCGACTGCACTCCCATCCACCTTCCTCGCTAGCCACGGAAAACATCTCCTATGATGGATGCCGAAAAATCCGCGGTTGTGGAGACATCCGCCGTGTCAGCAAAATCGCCAGATAGCTATCTCTCTGGTTGGCAGCTGGCTGCGGTCATTTTCTCGCTCTTTCTTGGGGTGTTTGTGGTCTCCTTGGATACGAGCATCATCGGAGTCGTGATTCCGTCCATCTCGTCTCATTTCCATGCTCTGGACGACGCTGCCTGGTATGGCAGTTCGTACCTACTTACAATTACGGCCTTCCAGCCGCTGATGGGAACCATGTACAAGTTCTTCAAAGTGGAGCTCGTCTTCCAGATCTGCCTTGTGGTGTTTGAAGGTTCGTGAAGCATGGACAATTCGGGGGCCAGTGCTCATTTAACGTTATCACGATCTAGTGGGCTCCATTCTGTGCGCCGCCGCCACAAACTCGCCCATGTTCATCGTCGGTCGGGCCGTTGCCGGTACGGGGGCTGCTGGCATTCTCCAAGGCGCCCTCAGCATCATCGCTATCACGGTTGTCTTGGAGAAGCGACCGTTGTATCAGGGTATCGTGATCAGCGTCTTTGTAATTTCCGTCTGCGTTGGACCTGTATTGGGTGGCGCGTTTACCACTCATGGTATCTGGCGCTGGTGCTTCTGGATGTATGTATATCGATGTCTCTATCTATATCTTATACTAGAAACCGCGCGCCGAAGGCTCTACTGACTGCGACTAGTAATGTTCCCATCGGCGGAGTGACTCTGATTCTCCTTTTGTTCGTCCTCCGGATCCGAAATGCCGCCAACGACAACCGATCTCTGCCACTAAAGGAGAAATTGAAACATATGGATCCTATCGGCTGTATAGTCTTCATCGGCGCGGTCTGCTGTCTTCTTTTGGCCCTCCAATGGGGAGGCCAGACGAAGCCCTGGCGCTCCGCCACCATTATAGGGCTTTTCGTCGGTTTTGGTCTCCTGTCGATCTTGTTTGTTGGCATTCAAGTTTGGCGAAAAGAACGGGCGTTGATTCCACTACGCGTCCTCCGACAGCGGTCGATATGGACGAGCGGGGGAGTGCTCTTTTGCCTGGGCTCAGCCACCTATACTGTGAGTCCTATGCGAACCCCCGCGGACGCCGCTAACCGTCCTTCAGGTTACCTACTACATGCCGTATTACTTTCAAGCCGTGCAGGGTGCAGACGCAGTCCACAGCGGAGTAGACCTCATCGCTGTGTTCATCCCTCAGATGCTGGCAGTGATTGTGACATCTGCCCTTGTCACCCAATGGGGGTATTATGTATGTTGACGGCCTCGCTCCAGCTCCAGAACCGATTCCAGCTTACAAAGAGATATGCATAGGTCCCGTACATGATCGTTGGCGAGTTGATCTGTATCGCTGGAACTGTAATGCTTACCAGGCTGAAGGTGGAGTCGTCCACTGTATATTGGGCAGCCGCTTTGGTTGTGCATGGGCTGGGGATGGGATTAGCAATGCAGCTGCCTTATACTGCTGTGAATGTAGTCTTACAGTAAGTACATAAGCACCTAATCACCTATCTAAAGCTGACTATAGTCGCAGTGAGGACGACGTCCCGACCGGAAATGGTACGTATTTCCCAATCTTCCCGGCCCGTCTGCCACTAACCACTTTGTTAAGCCATCGCCGTGTTTGTCTGGCAACTGGGAGGGTAGGTCTATTATTCAGCCTCCCCATGTTTACAGATCCGCTCATAACTCGTACTAGGGCCCTAGCAATAGCCATCTCCCAAACAATTTCGTTAAACAACATTCTGCGAGAGGTGCCCCGACAGATCCCCGAACTTTCGCCGGAGCGAGTGATGGCCTGGGGCGCGTCGAATCTGCAGGCACTCGCCCCCACTGCCGACGCGTTAATCGAGCTTCGCAGCATCTGGTGCACATCTGTGTCGCATGTCATGATCTTTGCACTCGCCTGCATCTGTGCATCTGTCCTCTTTACTGCTGGGATGGAGCGGCTGAATGCAAAGGAGGTCGCAAATCAACGACGAGAGGCCGGCGGGGAGGCCGGCCAGGTGGGTGTTGGTCTGGCATAGTAGTCCTGTAGTAGAGTAAGCCGAGATGCAGTCCATCCGCATGTCTCGATAATAGTCTAGGAATACACGAGGGAACCCATGTCCCACCAATCAGACATATGCAGTTAATTGACTGTCGAGCAATGATAGCGAGTGGTCTGATCATCTGGCGTATATGAGTAGAGAGGTAATTTCTTATCCCTGCGAGCCCAGTGGGTCGTCGCTTGAAGAAACCAGGCTTTCCCCTGTAGGGTATATACATCGCCATTATGTCCAACCTTGATAGCAAGAAAAACCACGCGCGCCAAGCGAGTACTTGCTCAGTGCAGGATGGATTAGATTAGGATCGGGCCGCCGATCCTGACCGGAAAGAAGGAAAAATGGCGACACTTAGCCCTAAAGTAGCGTATCTGCAAACCCCGCCCCATGGCAAACTGTCAGCCTGACGAATCTCTCGCTTATATTGAGATACCCACTCGTGGCTTAGTGCTTACTTCATGCATTTTAAAATAGCAATGTTACAACCGCTCGAGCGGGGTTGCGCGGCGATGTTACTCGTCAAGGTTGGTCAGATAGAAATCACTTTTGCAACCGCCCCCAAACATCGCTTCCAAGGCATGGTCAGTTTCCTCAGGCCGTACATAATGCCTGTCTATAGTGCTGCACAGCGTACAGCCCCCTCCGTCCCGATGTATTCCCTGGGGGGATTGGATCTTCCTCCTTCACCCCGTCAGCCCCCTAATGCCGTTCCACAGGCCAGACATATCTAACCCGGCCCCGCCCTCTTCACGGACATCCACAGTCCAAGCAACATCCATCTAATGCTGCGGGGCTGCATAGGCTGCTCGTCATTCTTTTTATGTGAATAACACATCAGGCGTTGCTGTGTTACAACACCTTTGTTGTCTGCATTCCACCATGACAAACTACCAGACAGACACTCCTGCCAAGGTGACAGGGCCGGTCTTCATCGTAAGTCAGATTGACCGGCTCATGTGCGCTTCAGTCTGACTAACCTACCCATGTGTTGAGCTGTAGGGCGTCCTTTGGGGTGCAACCGGGCTGTCGTTTCTGTTCGTTTTGGCGCGCACGCTCGCTCGTATCTATGCCTTCCGACGTCTCTGGCTCGACGATGCCTTCGCCATCGGCGCATGGCTGATGCTGCTGGTCCAGGCGATCACTTGGCAGACCCAGGTGGATTCGATGTACCTTCTCTTTCAGTTAGATGCTGGCAAGCTCATGCCGACGCCCGAGATCCTGAATCGCCTGGCACAACTGGAGCGGGCCGAGTGCGCCATTCTGATCCTGTTCTACTCGTCTTTGTGGTCGATCAAAACCTCGTTCCTGATCTTCTTCCGTCGCATCGGAGGTACGGATCGCTCGTGGATCATCTGGTTCTGGTGTGTGGTTGGCTTTGTCGCTGCGGCGTATTTCGTCTGCATAGGGGACATTCAGTATCCCTGTCTACTGAGAGATCAAGCCTATATCCTGGGTATGTTCATGAGCACAAACGCTTTCAGCTCCTTCTGTAGACTGGGCTAACTCGTGGACTTTTCCCTACAGAAAACTGCCCGAAAAAAGCAGCCGTTCTGTTCCAATACAATACATTCATCATCAACCTCGTGTTGGATGTCCTCACTGATCTCACCAGTATAGTCTCACCCCCATAACCCATACCAATTAACTTACTGACCTTGAACTCCCAAAACAGTCATCAGCCTCCCAATCACCCTGTTATGGAACGTCCGACTTCCCATCCGCCACAAGATGATTCTGATGAGTATCCTCTCGTTGGCGGTGCTCATCATCATCGTGGCGATCGTGCGAGTCGCTGTCGTTGCCACAAAGGAGAAGAACTCCGACATGTCCTGGCTGTGGATGTGGAGTTTTATCGAAGCCACCGTCGGTATGTATCTTTTGAGGATTCCCGATCATGATTACACCAAGCGCATACTAACGAAAACCCAACCAGCCAATATCATCGCATGCGTTGGCTCCTTCCGCCAGCTCTTCGTGAAACAGGACAAGAATCGCGCTTCAGCGTATCCAGGACGTTTTCATGCAGAGTACCCATCCGTGGATGCTAAGCCGGGGTTCCAGCGTGTTCGCACCCGGTCGGAGGGCAGCTCCGATCTCCATCTTAATTCCTATGATAGTCACCGCGAGCTCACCCCTGTTGTATAATGGCTCATGTCGTCGGTGTTAAATTTTAGCGTGTCTCGTAATTTTCTTATACCCCCTGTATATCACGTTTGGTTATACGATGCAATGTTTTTATGTTAAAAATGATATTGTTCCAAGTTCTGTGTCGCAATGTGTCAACGCCCGATGATCTTGCGGAGTTGAGTGTTTCAAATAGGAGTATTATCACTGCCACATAACCTGGCAGCGTCCGATACTAGATTGAGTGATCGGTATAGTTATTTCGTCGCCTTCCTCTTGTCCCAGATTTGAATTGGTTGAAGTTCATGAATTCGGGGGATTCCAATGCCACATTCCACGTCCCTTCCTTTGATTCGTGCCCGTCAATGTGCATTACGTTCGCTGCACAATTATTTTAGATTTATGGAAACGACTGCACAAATAGGTGGATATTTGAAAGTCGGGGCGAACTGTGGGGTGATAGAGAATTTCACCTTCTCACGATTTTCTCTTAGGGTGTTGGATGTGAAAACATATATTTCAAACTACTGAGTACTCTGGAGATCATTCCAAGTCTTGCTCTACCATCTTACCAGCCTTGAGTACCTCAATTCCAATAATACTTTTATGCAGTACTTGTTCTTTTGTTCATTTCGTTGAATTTATATATATATTTTTTCCCTGTCACTGTTTCTGTGTACATGTCTTCTAGTCTCTCTAAAATGATCTAGCCACGTGCCTCGATGCTCGCTGTGATACGCGGAACCTCGGAACCCTAAATTGGAAAGCCAAGTTTTTCTTTTCTTCACGATAGCCTCGAATAATTGGCTCTGCGCTGCGATCCCCACTATGGCGAATAAACTCGCTAACCACCCACAGATAACCTCGCATAGCTCTGGAACCCAGTGGACCCCAGCAAGGGAGGAGAGAAAGCCCATGAGACAGATCCGCAGAGAAAAAAAAAATAAAAATGGGGGACCGCCAGGAATCACCCCCGTCATCAAGTTTCAACATACCACCCAGCATAAACTAAGATAAGATGCAGTCCCCCATAGCCACGGAACGATTACTGGCGACAACAGATCACATTATCAGATCGCAGCAGAACCTAAGCGATCGTCAACAGCCATGGATCCACCCTCGATTAATCCAGAGCGTGGACCCGATCAAGGGCCGCCAGCTCCGAGTGTCCCAACCCGTGCGAAAGGGTGAATTATTGCTTGTGGACCTGCCCTATGCGCTCATACCAGTCGTGGACCATCCGGAACAAAGTGAAGACATTCGCTGTAGCAATCCTGCGTGTCATAGACGTGTTGCTCGGACCGTAGAGCGCGTATCTTGCCCGACCCGATGCTCGGCCGATGTGGTCTGGTGCAACCAATCCTGTCGGGAAGCCGACACTCTCCGCCATGGGTTCGAATGCACCTGGTTAAAGAAATATGCGACCTCCATACGCTCGAAATGGGGCGAGTATGACTTCGGCATGTTGTGGTTAATCGTGCGCATCCTTGCCAGCCGGCATGTGGAATTTCACAATACACCCTCAAGCGACAAAACCGGTCCCTGTGATGTGAACCCCAGTTCGTTCGAAACGGGTTGGAATGCTATCCGATCGTTCTGCGGGTCGCAAGAGACCTGGGCTCACTCCCAAGTGCGACATTGGGCCCTGTTGGTCAAGAAGTATCTTGGGAGCAGTCCATCCCTGCCACATGGCATGACTTCCAGCGAGGTGCTGGATTTAATCTGTCAGGAAGAGGCCAATTCGTTTGGCCTGTACCCGAGGGAGACCGGAGCGTTTCCAATCCCGGAGCCTGCAGTCGATCGCGGGGAGCAGTTCGGGGCTGGAGTATACCCGACTGCAGCTCTGGCGAATCACTCTTGCTCTCCGAATGTCTGATCTATTTATGTTCCAATCCTATGTATGCTCGTCTGCTAACCTTTGATGCAGATAATACACAAACCGGATAATCAAAGTCGGATGGTCTTTGTCGCTTCAAAGGACATCGCCACGGGTGAGGAGTGCTGTATATCGTACTTCGATCTGTCGAAGAAGGTCGAGCTCCAAGATCGAAGGGAACACCTTCAAGGGTCGTTCCGCTTTGTTTGCAAGTGCGACAGATGTGTCTCGGAGGAACCTCCTGAGGAGGAGGTGCAATGGGACGAGTTTCCGTCCATGGAGGATTTCTAGACTAGAGATGGCGTTTGGGACGCACATCAACGAGATTCAATGAGATATAGATGTACATAATCAAATATTAAATATCGCAAAAAAGGACTAGAATCCTTCGTGAGCCATTGGACGCAAGCTCATGACTCTAGATGATTAGCTACGGCACTTCGTCCTTGCAAGCAAGAGTTCCTGCTCATATAAAATGTGCCCCGCGTGCTCCGATTAAATTCCCCGCCTCGTCTGTTAACCTTCATTGATTCATATGGTGAGCATCAAAGAACTCTCTGTGTCAGTACAGGTGAAGTAGACGAAGCTATGTAAAAGCTGGTTTGAACCTCGTCCTTCTTCCTGCTTGTCTTTCACTTGTATACCAAATATGCGCGCCTTGGTTCAAAGTATGGTTGCTTCCTGTTGTCATATGGGTAGATCTAACGTCAGTCCCGCTAACTTGGGTATCCTGGTTGCCGATACTTAGGATCGCCTTCCGCTACTTACTGCCGGGACTTATACGTCCTCCGGTAATCTGGAATGGTCGATGTTTGTTGATCGGGAAGGTACTGGGGATGCCACGCGTCGTACTGTGATGGTCTCTGGTTATTCATCAGCCTCCGACTTGTCGTCCTCTTAGTCACGGACATATATCGCTGTTAAACCCCCCCCTTGGCCTTCCTATTTATGCTGGCGGTGGGAAGAGATTCCGCATAAAAACCAAAGATCTAGTCAAATAAGTGAAGCAAGGGTGGGAGCATGCACTATACATGCTACCTGAAGAGACAAAGCAAAGCAAGAATGTGAACTAAAAAGGGCTCAGAAGATTGGAAAGCAGATTTTCCACCACCAATTCATTGCGATAGCCCTCAAATACCTCGTCGACGACATCAGCAAGCCAACGGATCACGCTTCGGACGGTGTAATGCGCCTTAGTATACTCCCAATACTCAGGAAACCAGCCTGCAATTTCCCAATCGATAATACCCGTGATCTTTCCGTTCTCTGCGAGAATATTCCTTGGGTTCAGGTCACCAGGAGTAAACACTATGTCGTGGCGAATATTATGCGATTTTGCAGCACGTCTCCGAATTTCGTCCCAAAAAGGATCAGTTAAATACTTGTTGAAATCGGCTTCAGTCTTGAACCGTAGCTCTTATCGCTGACTATCGGGAATTCGCCAGTCCAAGATACCGCCACCTTGCGAATTGCAAATTTGAAATTCTGTTATCGTGTTCGGTATTTTCCGCAGTTCAGAAATATATCTTTTCAAGTCAGTTACGGCGTGCTTCACTTGTTCATCAGTCATGGTATGCAGCATTTGACCGATGGGGCGTCCAGGAACACAGGTCATGAGCAAGAAGGAAAAATGAGGAGTTTCCACGACATCGATTGCTCGTGGTGCAGGAATTTGAGTCAATTGTTTTACCATGTGGAGAGTGCGAGCTTCAACATGGTATTTTGGTGCCAAGACTGGGGATCCTCTTCGTAAATACAAGCCGAATGGTAGTTTAAAGACGGTCATCGAAAGGGAGGGCCCGTAAAGACGAGAACCAATCCAGAGTAATCCATCATAAATGGATGCTCGAACAAAAGATGGCAATGCGATCCAGAGCTTTCGGAAAAGGGGGAAAAATGGCGGTGCCAACGAAGGCAGACTTGATTCTCTTCCTATACACTATTAGAATCCAGTTGACGATAAAGGCTTTCGGCCTTACTGCTAGCATCATCAAGTGACGTGTTCATATACTTCTCTGTCTCCATCCACGCTAAGGACTTTGCAAAACGTGCGTGAATACCAATGAGTTCTTCGTTGAGAATTGGGGTTAGCTGAGGAGACCTATTCTCAAGGTGTATTTCGTTCATTGGCAAAGAAAGGCGACCGCAATGTTGGGGTTTAAACCAGTTGGTATTGATGTAGTACTCGGGTACGTCAACATCAATGAAAATTGCATTCTCTAGTGAAGGGTAACTTATAGTCTGCTTTTGAGTCGTATCGGGATGGTTTGCCCGGCTTTTGACGATTAAAAACACCTCCCCTTCCTTCACGGCATCAAAGGCCTGCGTAGACAACATCCAGAGATTATCAAGTCTTTCTGGTAGCTTACAGTGGGGCCCCTCAAAATGCGAACGAACAATCTCCAATCGCTCCCTAGATAAAAAGGCGCTCAACATCTCAGATAGAGCAGCCTCGCGTATTAGTTAGCTAGGTCGGTATTCTATTAATATCATACGTACTCCTTCTGACAAATCTGGATCTGCAAAAACATGAGGCGAAAGCAGGTGAACATATTTTATGTTGTGATCCAAGTGCGACTTGAACGGTGTACGCGTCAGACAACACCGACCTCCATCCCTTTCATAGAGAAGCTTCTTCGTCTCAGTGGACAGTGAGGTTGCTAATGTCGGCCGAACTAAACCTCAGATTCAAAGATCAATCACCACTCAATCAGCGTCGGACATTCCCACTGAGGATGTCTACGTACACTTGTCGGTAAGGAGTTTCCATTCTGACAGAAACTGTGCCTTGGAGCCGTTTTCCATAGATGTCACGCGAAGAAAGTATCGCGCTGCTTCTTGGGGATCAAGCGCATCGTTGATGAAAGAGCCTAATATAGACCGATCTGGATGAGGCACGTCTGCGATGGCAAGCAAGGCTTTGTATTGGGGTGATGTTTTGTCTTGGAAAAAAAGCTGGGATGCTGACCCTCGAATATTCCAGGGAGTGGCCATAGCAAAGTGTTTGATGAAAAGAGTATCTTGAATTGGAACAGTGCGTTCAAAGCATACTTGCGCAATCACCTTGGACTTCTTTGGGCTCTGAACTTCAGATCATTCCTGGACGTATGTTTTGTTTGGCCCTCGAATGGATGGGTCATGTGACACCATCAGCAATTGAAATCGCTGGCGAAACTATCCATGTAATTGGTTGCAACCCGTCTTTTTTGAAGTAGGCCAGCGGTCGATAACTCCCAGAAGATACGTACGTTTTGCACGTTCCTTCCGCCCTTTGGTTAAGCCATTGATTGGTTGGCAGAACTTTATAATTAAGGGACATTTCTCTCAGGCCGCAGGAAATTGAAAAACATAGTACCCGCTGTACGGTGTGCAGATCTCCGAGTTTAAACATCATATTGGAGAAACATGGAGCCCAAATCCAAAATCTCGTGGCGATGGCCCAAAAGGCTCAGCCCCATGTGCAATTCCGTCATGTGGAATCTCCTGATTGGTTCCACATTTGACCGATATTAGATCGCCCGGGGGTGAATGTCAACACTCGCAGGGAAGGCAAAATTTTCCTCCGATAGCCAATGAGAACTATTCTTCGCAAGGCTAAAACTGGCTCCAGTTCATCATCGTTGGCTAGTAGTCTGTACATGAAAATAACTATCATTAGGCATGGCCAGAGCCAGTATGAAGATATAAATGTCGTCATGAAACCCACTCAGAGATCTCAGCGGGCTCATTCCCTTTCTACGGACCTTGACAAAGCCTCTGAGAGACTGCTCTCCCTCTCATTCCTTTTGTACCCTTTTTCCTTGGGATATTACTGCAGACGGCATCCCTTGAGGATGGCATGGTTTCCAGCGGATCCTAACTGGGATAGATTCTACCTGCTACCAGGGATCGAACAAGAGCTGGATCTCGAAAGCATCCTCCGTGACATACCACAACCCGCCAGCCAACAGCATGCAATGCCCAGTTACCCCCAACGCGATCTTCCGACGGTGGATGCGACATCCCCGGATCCACATCTTACCTTAATTGCTCGATCGACCAATGACAACCCTGGCCTCAGCAATCAAGCCACGATCAGCCGAAATAGCCCGTTCCACCAAGCGACCGAGATAATGGTTCCGTATGCTGAGCAGTCGTCGGAACAATTGGGGCACCCTGGAGCAACCCCAAGTGCTAGTAGAACCCGAACCCCTCGAAGACCACTTCAACGACAGTAAGTCCTATGGCATGTTTATAGTTATCTCTGGCGAATCTGGTTTCATAATCTAACAAGATTCTTAACTCAGGGGTAACAGGACCACTCCTTTCCGATGTGGCTGGAAAGACTGCACGTACAACGGTACTTTCGGACGGAAGGCCGAGTTGATGCGACATATCGATCTCCTGCATGTGTCGCCGCATTCATTTGACTGCCCGCTGCGGGGATGTAAGAGGGTCTTTAATCGGTGGGATAATCTGTCGGATCATATGCGCCGTGCACATCACATCCAGGGGTAGTGTATGGTGGGAGGCTGTTCATTCTGTTGGTACAGCTGCGCACATAACTAGTTATAGCATTTAGGGAATCAAGCGATTAGCATTTCATTTGTACCGCCAATGATCCTATATTCTCCTGTATGTTGAATATTCTTGGCTGGCTGTTTAACAAAAGGAAAACTAATTCTCGGGAATCTTATGATCCTGCGCATTAACGCCCGCATTCCAACGGTATTTCGCAGCTGGATGATCGGTTGGTGGCCCACTTTGTCCCGGCTTCCCGTAAAGGTTCTCCCGATATGTGCCCTTGTTGACCGCATACTCCTCCCAGAATAGCCCACGACGGCGAAGTTCCGGAATTAGAAGTTCGATAATATCCTTGAACGAACCGGGCTTGACAGCGTATGCCTGTGGACAGTTAGTAGGATACGTCAATCTTGGAACCGGGTATGCCCCGAACTTACAAGATTGAATCCATCAACGTCCGCTTCTTCCACCCATCGCTCCATCTCGTCCGCTACTTGCTGGGGTGTCCCAACTGGGGTTGCCCCCAAGCCGCCCACAGTGATATGCTGCCCGACGGTGGACTTAGTCCATTTATCGACGCCGGGTGTGGCCTTGGACCACCCTTCGACAGCGGAACTGTAAAGCAGTTAGACATACCACCATCGCGAGGCTGTTTTTCTGTGTACATACCGGATAGCATTACTCTCTACATGGCGCAGCTCCTCATCATCGCCATACGTATCCAGGTTAATGCCAGTCCACCCACCAAATAGAGCTAACGCCCCATCGATCGACCCCAAACTGCGATAATATTTGAATTTCTCCTGAGCCTCTTCCTCCGTCCGACCAAGGACAGGGCAAAGAAGAGCCAGGAATTTGATACTCTGCGGATCGCGCCCGAACTGCGTCTTCGCCAACTCGCGGATTTCCGCTACGTTCTTCGCCACGACGACGGGGCTATGTCCGGCGACAAAGATCGCTTCGGCGTGTTGAGCCGCGAAGGCCTTTCCGGACTTTGAGGTGCCGGCTTGTAGAATGACAGGTGTCCGCTGGGGGCTGGGTTGGCAGATATGTGGACCGGGGACGCTAAAGTATTTTCCCACATGGTTGATTTCTCGGACTCGGGATGGATCGGTGTAGATTCCCCGTTCTCGGTCAAGGACGACGGCGTCGGATCTCCAGGATGATTCCCAAAGTTTGTATGCCACTTTGATGTATTCTTCGGCGATCGCGTAGCGGTCGTCGTGCTATCCATGGTTAGAATGAACTGCCTTTCCCAGATGGGGATATGGATGCTACCTGTGGTTGCTGAGTATGACCGAGGTTTCGGGCAGCAGAGTCAAGGTATCCAGTCACGATCTATGGATCAATCTATATTAGATATGGCCGAAGTAATACGCAATCCCACTCACATTCCAACCAACTCTATGAAATCGTATTAGTGACGGTCAACAATCGAAATTCTTCACTGGCAACTTACCGTCCCTTAGTCAAATGATCAATAGTCGAAAGCCGTCTAGCCAAGTGATATGGCTGCTCATAAGTTGTCGTGACAGTCACCCCGAACCCTATATTCTGCGTGACAGCCGCCATAGCAGGCACCACAGCCAAGGGCTCATTAACCGGCCACTGGGCTCCAGAAACTATCGCCGGCTCCAGGTTTCTGGGCCCTTTGTATACATCATAACCTCCTATTGGTTTCTCAGCGTATCATTCACCTGGAGGTTCATGGACGACATACCAAGAACATCTGCAATGAAGATGCCGTGGAATTTGGCCGATTCTAGGAGTTTCGCTAATTCGATCCAGTGGTCAATGTCGTTGAAACGATAGGATTCATCCTCGGGGTGGCGCCATAGACCTGGGGATTGGTGGCCGCTGCCTATACTGGTGGTTAGCGGTACTTATGGCATCGCTTGGTGACGTCGAAGTTGGCCGTACACATCTCAACGAAGGCATTGAGGATAAGTGACTTGCGCGGGCGACTGGGTGGTGATGGGTCATTAGTCGCAGTCATATTGAAGGAGGGGCACAGCGTTTCAACTGTGATGATAAACTGGAGTGTTAAAGAAGTCCAGTGTTTGGAGAGGTGAGAGCCCTATGTCATTGAATTCCACTTGCCCTTACGTATAGAAAGCGATAGAGCAACAAGAGATGAAAGCCAATAACACGAACCGTCACCCGGTGAATATTAATATTAGCCAGCAGAATTCACCCGAGATTTCCCCTCGTTGTTGCTATTCAGTGGGATCGAGGGGTTGTTGTGCTGCATAGCATCAAAGTGGGTCGCGATGACACCATGCGGGATGTGAGAGGACAACCATACAAATTGGCCATCACGTCGTTTTAAGCTTAGATCACAATTTCCCTGTCCATACTCTGTTCCTGATAATGGTCGGGTTATTGCCAGGAAGGGAGATCCAAAATTTGGTCGCTAGGCCTTCCTATACCGAGAGGATTCGCCGTCGCTCGTCACCAAAAACAAGCATCACGCAATCCAGTACGGAGTACCTGATCATGTCCTAATATGAAACTAAACGTAAATATGAACATGGAAAAAAGAGAAAACTAAAACACGATGTTTTCAGCATTAGATACCTGTTAGCATGGCCCATGAAGTGGCCTCAATACTTTCAGAGTGATACATCATTCAAGGTATGGCGCGTGAAAAGTGACTCTGATTTCCGTTATATAGCCACACCATAAGCATCAAACCGGATATGTGCAATTAACATTATTTTAACTTTCCATGGATACCAGACTATCGGTTTCTTGAACCATATATTGAGTCATGTACCCTGCTCAAAGCCCATCAGCTAAATGGATGGGCCAATCCCATCAACCGTAAAGCCAAATCACCTCATATACCGACTGTATCATATCATTAACCCTCTCATAGTCCCCGATATCTCCAAGGGTGCCGATCATGTAACCACCTTGGGGTTTGGGGAACATATCCATTTAAGCGAGTTACAGCCATCGAGGGGTTAGGAAAGGATATGGAAATACTTATTGCACACGGCGCTCATTGGAGTAAGCTTTATTTTGGCTAGAGACTCCCTGTCATACTCTTGCCTTCTCGAATAGCGGCCGTCTTACGGATCCAAAGACCCTGTTCTTGTTGGCTCCATCCAACGGCGACTATGGCAGACCTGACAGCCAGAAGTGACAATGGCTCGGTTCAACCACCCTTGTCGCAGGCGGTTGGATATGTCGTCGTAGTGGTCATTGGCCTAATCATCGCTTTGGGTATGTTCATTCCTATACGCCTTTCGACTGCGCGCCTATTTCTGGTGTACTAACTTCATCTTAGCGATGATGCTTATCACGAAAGTCCTGAAGAAAACAACGGGAGAAGACAATAAGAAGACAGAAATGTAGGGTTCGGTTGGTATGAATTCTATTTTATCTGGCTGATAACATCAGGTTCATGACCGCGAATCGAACTGTTCGGACTGGCTTAACCGCATCCGCCGTGATTTCAGTATGTCTCTTCCCGAATGAAAGTCGAATTATGGAGCCCTAACGAAAGCACACGCAGTCATGGCTTTGGACAACAGCAATGCTGGGCTCATCATTTGTCGGATACGACTATGGCGTAGCGGGCCCATTCTGGTTTGCTGCTGGATGCAGTCCGATGATTGTGTTTTTTGCACTCATTGGAATATCGTGCAAGCGCAAAATTCCAGAGGCACACACTTCCCTCGAAGTGGTCAGAATCCGATATGGTCGGTTCATTCCACCGATTTGGCTCCTAGCTATGCTGACTCTGTCAGGTCGGACCGCCCATATTGTCTTTATGACACTCTGCCTCGTCAACAATATTTTTGCCTGTGCGAACATGCTCCTCGGAGCGGCGGCTGTCATATCCGCTGTGTAAGTGCTGTTCTTAGTGCACGGTCAGCATGGTCTAACACTAACACTTGGACAAGAACTGGTATGCACATTATCGCTGCCACATTCCTGCTGCCAGTTGGTGTGACTGTCTATACTTTTGTTGGTGGCATCAAGGCGACGTGAGTAAAAGAGTAACCACCCTAGGGGATTAAGTCTTATATAGTGCGCAGATTCTTGACCGACTACTTCCACACCGCAATAATCCTTATCATTGCATGCTACTTCTCTATCAAAGCGTTCACCATCGACGAGGTCGGCTCGATCGGCAAGTTGTACGAGCTGGTTCAAGCTGCTGCCCAAAGACACCCTGTTTCAGGCAACCATGATGGGACATACTTGACAATGACATCGAAAGGAGTAGGTTGCTCGTATTTTGCAACGACAGTGACGCTCACACTATCTCTAGGCGATGCTCTTCGGGATCCTGCACATTTGCTCCAACTTTGGCCTCGTGATTGTAGGTGCAACCACCCATCTATTTTCCGGGTGCTTCTAACTCTCCCAGATGGATACAAGTTATTTCATCAAAGCATTTTCCGCCGCCCCCTCTTCGGTAGTCCCAGGATACACAATCGGCGGCATCGCGTACTTCGCCATTCCGTGGGCACTGGGAACTATCATGAGCTCCGTAGCCATCGGACTCGAAAATCAACCGTCCTTCCCCACATATCCCAGGGTGTGTATATCCCAAGCGTAACATACTACCCCATACTAATCATCACATACAGAGAATGACTCCAAGCGAGGTCAGTGGAGGACTCGTACTGCCATACGCCGCCATGACGATCGCAGGCAAAGGCGGAGCAGCCGCGATTCTCCTGATTACATTCATGGCCGTGACATCCACCCTTTCGGCACAGGTAATTGCAGTCAGCTCCATTCTCAGCTTCGACGTGTATCGCGAGTATTTCAACCGAAGTGCATCCGATCGTGATATCATTCGTGCCAGTCACTTTGGTGTGATTTTCTTCGCCGCATTCTCCGCCGGGTTTAGTACCATGCTGAATTATGTCGGGATCGATCTGGGTTGGACTCTATATATGCTTGGTAAACTTTTACACACCATACACTCTATCTTAAAATGGCACATATAACATACGCTAATTCACTTCCAGGCGTCGTTACATGCCCTGGCATCTTCCCAATGGCATTCACCATCCTCTGGCGCCGCCAGAGCACAGCCGCTGCTATTCTCTCCCCCATTCTTGGGATGGCAACCGGGATTGGTGTCTGGCTTGGAACCGCGCAGCATTTCTACGGCTCTGTTTCTGTTTCTGCGACAGGACAGATACTCCCATGCGTGTATGGGACCGTCGCATCTGCGTTCTCGCCCATTGTGTATTCCGTCGTGATCACGGTAGTTCGCCCACAGAACTACAATTGGAATGACTTTAAAAAGGAGAAGCTTGCCCTAGAACGGCTGGAAAGCGATTTGACAACCGTGCACAGCCATGAGAAAGGTCCCCGACCGGAAAGCAGACTAGAAGAAAGTCGTCGGCAGTCCTCCGCGTTTGATCCGCAGGAACTGAAGCGATGGGGGCGCATTGCCGCGTTCTGGTCTATCGCGACTTTCCTCGGCCATTGGGTTATTTGGCCGTTGCCCATGTATGGGTCTAATTATGTCTTTGGCAAGGGGGTACGTATCTTTCTCTGGAAACTCTAGCCTGCTTTCTAAGCTGACTTTGTAGTTCTTTTCTGCCTGGGTGGTTGTCGCTATTATCTGGCTTTGGTTGACTATGCTGGTGGCTATCTTTTACCCGATCTTTGATGGGGGTATCCAGCAGATCAAACAGGTCTATCGAGGGCTACGTGCAGGTGATGAGACGAAGAAAGGTGTCGGAAATGAGACCTCATCGTCTACTTCGATAAGCGACACAACACCAGAGGAGGTGAAGAGAGAAGACCGGAACTAGTATTCTCTTCCTTACTCATAAAATAGTCTAATCCATTCCAAGGACCACATTCAACCTCTCTACACCCCCTGAACCAAAGCACACTCACCCCCCAACCTCATCCCCCTTCTGCCTCACCAACCTGGCAACCTCCTTCGCCGTATCAGTCCCCAAAGCCTCAAACCCCTTGATAACACCCTCCCGATCCCCCCGTTTCCTCTCCTGACTCATCTTCACCTTGCCCTCAATCCTGTCAATCTCCACACTCAACCCCACAATATTCCTCTTCAAGACCCGTAAATACCCCTCCGGCGCCTCATCCACCCTCCATGCCTCCTCCCCCTCAAACCCCATAACCTGGCCCTCACAGTGCGCCGACAAGTCCCGCAGCTGCGCATCCAGAAACGCCCCCGTCGCTTGTTCCTCTGGATCAAAATACACAGTTGCAGTGCCATACACCTGCACCGTACTATAATTCCACGTGGGAGCCACTTTGCCCGTGACCGGTTTCGTCTCCGTGTAGAATTTGGGCGTCACGTAGTGGTGATGCGGGGAGGTGAAGAGGATCATGACTTCTTGGGATAAACATGAGCCGGACGGGGAGTTGGAGGTTGTGAGGGAGGCGGTTATGGCTTTGGATTGCGGGTTTTGGCGGGCGATGTGGCCGCGTAGTCTTGCTTTGGTGGTTCCATTGGCCTGGTTCGGGGGGTCGAGGATCCAGGGGATGTGGGTGGATTGGAGGAGCGGGTAGAGGTCGGACGGGATGGCGGTTGTGAGGACGCCTAGGGGATTGGCGCGGATGAAGTCGTAGAGTGCTTCTGTTTCTGTCTCGGCGTATACTGGTTGGCTGTACATTTTGGAGGCCTTTAGGGGTTGAATTGGTTGCTCTCTCCAGAGTCCAGTATTGTTGATTGATGCACGGTGATAGCCGATAAGATGATCCGATAAGATAAGCTCGCCCACTGCCTCGGTTATGTCGGTTTCATGTCCGATCTGATCTCCGCTGGTTACAATTTCCCTTTCTCTGGCTGGATTTTGTCTATTTCAGGGCATCAAATTCTAGTTGAGCTCTCTCTACAATGCTGTATGTAAAATGGATGTCAGTCCATAGTAAATCCTGAATACCCGTGCTGGGAGACACACCTTCATCTCGTGGGTGACTGCAAGGTGTGAATATATATCCGCATGATCTACAGGCCCCTACCTGAAGTTCCTTATGGATACTTCTCTCCATGAATGTAGTCCAAGGAATGACGATCTGTAAAATCAACCCACATATCTCGATTTATTCTGGTCGACTGGATATGCATCTCAATTATGCTATTCACTAACTATAGCCATGATCACTGCAGCAGACATTGAACTTTTAATTTGGGCCGCGTGATTGCAATCTGCCTGTCACATCTGCTCATAATGATGCAGTAGTAAAATGACTATTTTCGTAAGATTGTTTACTTGATAAGCATTACAAGTTGAGTACTAAATGAAAACGTCAAAGAGAACCAATTGAATCCCCAGTCTTGTTTCAGGACGCGTCCCTGGTTTACTTTTCACCCTCATTAACACCACGTACCACCACATTACTAGACCTACTGCGCTATTCTGGTTAATATATCTTGAATCCCACAAACCCCAAATATCGTACGCGGATGCCTCCCAGCACTAACGCCTTTCACCTGTCCCGTTTGCCAACGCGATTGCGTCGGAGATCTTCTCGGCCAGCATGTCTGCGAATAGTTGTTAACTCAAACAACAAGCGATGCTACATGGTGACTTACAAACAACGGACTGCGGGTGTCCTGGAGGAAGAAGTGGGAATGCACTCGCATCAACAACGCGCAAGCCATCAACGCCAAACACCCTTGCCTGTGAATCTACCACTGCCATTTCATCCTGCGCGGTCCCCATCTTGCAAGTGCAAGCGGCATGCCAGATGGTCATCATATTATTTTTGATAAACTCCAGGATCTCGGCATCGGACTGTACGCGATTTCCTGGATAGTATTCACTTCCGATCAGTATGGGCGTCATGACACCGCTCGCAAAGGCCTGCCGTATTCGCTTGAATGTCGCAATTGCTACCTCCTGGTCTGTTTCAGTGGATAGCCAGTTTGGGTTGATTGTTGGAAGGTCGACAGTGTCTGCCGACCGGATTGTTACGTTACCCCGGGATGTTGGAGCGACTAGGACACCGACTATTGATGCGTAGTCATAGCCATCCCTGGGTTGAAGTAAGAGAGGTTTGGAAACATCACCGACATATGCTGCCGCAGATACATACTGTATGGGTGCTAGTTAGTCCAGTATCCTTGAAGACATGTCGTATGTGCGACATAGGAGAGGGAAGGGGGAAATTTACATGCCTCCGCTTCTGGCCAGTCTCTGGGAAAGCGTGCTAGATCTTCAATAGTTTTCCTGGAGAAGTTTGCCCGTAAGCTATTGGGAATCTTTTCCCATGCGAGATAATCTGTGAGAGGGCTAGTAAAGGGTCCTTGTTGGAAGATAACAGCATTGACCGCTTGCGTGAGGAGGTTTAAAAGATTCGCCAACAACGTTGGCACCGTTGGCACACGAACCCGGTACGAAGGGGCGAAGAATGGATGATCCCACATATTCTGACCGACCCCAGGACGGTCAGCCAAAACAGGGATTCCATGACCTTCGAGTGTCTTTGCCGGGCCAATACCAGACACCATAAGCAGTTGCGGTGATTGAAATGCACCCGCAGAGATGATGACCTCCTTGTTGGCATGCAGCGTGAACTCGCCGAGTTTACCCTTCGCTAGAACACCTGTGGCACGTTTCTGCGAGTTGAACAAGATCCTCTTTGCCAATACATAAGTATAAATAGTCAGCCAAGGAGGTTTTGTTTCAAGGAATGAGCGTTCGGCACTGCTCCTTTTTTGGTCCAGCGGTCGGATCGTGCTTGTGCAATACTGGGCCCCCAACAAAGACCCAAGGTTAAACTCATCCCGGTCCTCGATTCCAATGCTGTGCATTGCGAGTCTCATCCACGAGGAGAATGGCATAGCGTAGTTAGAGTACGACGCGTGCAATGGCCCTCCGTGGGGATCGTAGGCGGCTGGATCGAACGACGGAGTCGAATTGGGAAATCGAGTCTGCTGGTTGGGAGGCGTAAAGTGGACACTCCGTTTGAAATAGGGCAAGACGCGGTCGAAGGTGTAGCTGCTATCACCTACAGCAGCTGCCCACTGCTTCATGGTACCTCGAGTGGGTCTATTGATCGACCAAACGATTAGGATATTTGAACATTCCAATGTGTATTGTTGTCACCAGTGAGAGTGGAGCATACCGTTGATAAATCATGAAGTTTAACGCCGACCTGCACCACTGTTTAGTGAGTTAGCAAGGTAGCAAGCGCATCGAAGGACATACGATCCACCGAGACATTTTCCTCGGGCATAGCGGATAGCTCGATTGTTTACCCCTGGCTGGTTGTGGGTTACAAAGCCCCAATCAGTGGGAAACTTGTTCCGCGAATCTGATCCAACCGGAATCAAGCATGCTAAAGGAATAGCAGAAAGTGATTGGTACTCGTAGAACCCCCCAGCCTCGATCAATGCAACGGTATAGGACTTTTGTGCTAGGCGAGTAGCCACGACGATGCCTGCGGTACCACCCCCGACGACAACATAGTCAAACCGCCCGTCGGCGAGCAAGGTATCAGATACCGCTAGCTGATCGCTCAATGCCGGAGCGGCAAGTGTATGAATCAGGCACCAGTGTAGAGCAATCAATAGCAAGACTATCTGACGGAGCATGTTGATGGGTGAGTATACACAACGTAGTACCGGTTAGAGAATTTGGTAATGGAAGATGTAGGACTTGGTATTTTAGCTGTTGCAGGAGAAGGCAGACGAAGGTGAAGAGGCATAGCCGGTGATGGGGATTTTATGGCAGCTCATCGGACCTTTAGTGTAACACCCTCCTTCCTCTTTTGTAAAAATTCGCTTTTAATCCCGTGCTTGCCAGTTGAACAGAAACCCCCCGAAGTCACCAAAAGAGGTAAATATAGCTTTCAGGGCATTTGCATTGGTGTCGTTGTCCGTCTGTGGTAGGTATGTTCGACCGACACTGCAGTGTTCAAGGTATACCAACGCCAACGCATGTTCTGCGGATTGTCGAGGACCACATCCTTCTCCGGCTTTTTCTTTTCTCTTTGTGCAGAGACATTGGCCTTGTTAATACAGGACGTTGTGAGACAGAAGGTACACGTTGCCTGGGACGATTATCGTGCGTGTCGGTACTGGTGCAGGACGTAGCTGACTGGAGGACAGCATAAGCCAGTATAAGTTGTGACTACCCCATCATCAGGGTCTACTTACGGTTTAAAGTCAAGATATGGGAACTTTCTGCACGTGCGGCCCTTGGCCTCTTCTACAAAGGCATGAGTAAGAATACGAGCGCAGGCATTTCACCGTCTAACTTGCCCCCAAGGCATAGTGCGTCTACCTTGCAACCTGAGAACCAACCCTCAAGAGGTAGGAGAGTGCTTTGGTCAAATATGTGTAGATGCCTTAGAGCTCATACTGTCGACTGATTTTAGTCAGGCGGAATCAAGGCCACCAAAGATATCAGCACAAGTTCAAGTCGCGGAAAACTCGTGGTAGAGAAACGGTATCGAGGAGGGTGGACAGAAAGGAACGCGCAACGAGAACGTTCCGGATAGATACTTCAGCATAGGACAATGCAGTGCTCGTGTTGGATCCTCATTCAGTAATCTTATGTGTGTCTGTACTGGTCGCCACGTTCTGAATCCATGTACGGGGTAAGCATTCATGTGCTTCGATATCTCCCAGGCTACTAGATGGCAGACGTGATCATGTCAAACCCTTGGCCGAGGCTTTAGTGACATCACAGATCGATATTAAGAAGGTATCAGCGGCGATTCTTTGTTGAAGACCATGTGAATACGATGCCTCGCCCGTGGCCAGTTCAAAACTGGACAACCTGGCCACTGCAGATTACTGATCTTCATCACAGTGTCATCATGGGGGATGATGCATGACAGCGATACCGAGTCGTAGTGTACATCCAAATTGTTACTTTATACCAGATGGGATGCAATTATGCCAGGAGTCGAGAGCGTTAAGAAGGAATAAGTTCTTAAGTTCTGCATACAGTTCAATGCCAGCCAGTCTATAATGATCCAAAAGTGAAGCTCGGCATGGTAGGGCTACGCAAACAGGGTTACCAGTAGTAGTATCTAATATGGAAAAAAAAAAAAAAAAAAAAAAAAAAAAAAAAAAAAAAAAAAAAAAAAAAAAAAAAAAAAAAAAAAAAAAAAAGAGAAAAGAGAAAAGTTCATCCGGAAGCGATAGGAAATCTTAATCCTTGGGCTTTTCCTTTTCCATCTAATGTTACCAGTATAGATATCGTTGTGTTGTTGTTGCACAAGACTCGAGGTGAAACACGCAGATCGGCGATATTTCTGCCTGGGATATACACGCTTATGTTGCAACTCCGGCACATGTTTATGACTATCGGACATTATGCTGAAGCCTGACAAGAATGTTGAGAAAGCTGTGACTGATGCATTATAAGGAGGGTTACCCGAGAGTATATCAAATCGCAATGCTTACCCAAAATGGTTATCCGCTTGATTGAGGTTGACAACACTTGGCGGCGGCGAAAAAGAAAATAATACTAACTAATAATAATAACGAGGGACTGGCAGCATAGTCAGGGGCCAGATCATTAGTCTAGCAAATTCGCAACTTTTACTCGTCTCGGCAATGTGCAAATGTGGAGCGCGATCGTCGCCCGTTTCCCGGTTTCGGAAATTTGGCCACAGACTGAAGGTCCACTTCACCATACATGGAGCAGGATTGTCCTGATGATAGGGTAACGTTTCCTCTTGTCAGAGTACAATTGCACAAGAGAACAGTCACGACAGCAGTAAATAATTAGAAGTGATAAGTCACATTGCGTTCACCATAGCCGCACCGTATGGGTGTCTATTCAACTGTTCTGCAACGAGCCCAAGCCATGTTTCTTAGCCCCACCACAAAGTATGGAACGGATCAGGGGTTGGACTAACGGTTACATGGCACTCGAATCTTGGTCGCGGGGTATTCAATACATACAGTGTCTGGCACTCTCTGCATGCGCCGTGGATCTTGGTGCGATTCATCACGGACTACAGAGCTTTGGACAAGGGTCTAGTGTGCCTTAGAAGAAAGCTAGGCACCGTCCAGAAGACCCTAATGGAAGATCGCAGCGGCCTAAAAGCCAAACCATCAGGCCATCCCCAACACTCCGAACGTCCGAGGCACTTGATGCGGGGAGAACTAGTGACTGACATCATGTGGATGATGAACGGGCTCATGAAACAGTCACAGTGGGCCACGGCAGAAGATATTCTCTGGCGAACTGCTTTCCTTCTGTAGGTTAGTCGCTCGCTAAGGCCGAACTAAACTTCTTGAACTGGCTACTGGGGCCAACGAGTGGCCCCTTTCTGGGCCTGATCTGCGGTGGGCACGCCCCCCATTCCCTTGTCAACCCAGAGTACAATCTCATTCACATGCCGACTGTCTGGATCGACCGAAGATCTAGCGTGCAAGACGGGCCTTAGCTGGGATTAAATAGCAACGCCTCCCCCCCCCTCCCCATGGGGTGCAACTCCCTCTCCAACGGATCATAACATCGCAGAAACAGTCCTCATGAGTGGCCACCTGAATCCGAAGGACTCGATGAAGTCCACATGGCGACGGGCAGATCGCGCCGAGTGGACCATCTTCCACTGGTTCTATGAGATCACCAACATCCATCATGTCGCTTTGGATAAAGACGTGCCCGTCCACGATAAGCAAGAGAAGGTGCCTTACATGCCGGAATGGCATTTGCACCGCTGGGTGCTAACCCACTCCTTCATTCCTCTCGCCATCCATCACGTTTATACGTCTTATACCGGTCACAACTTAAGCCCCCTCGCTGCCTTCGTCTTCTATAGCCTGGCTTTTAAAGCCATCGCCATTCATGAGATACACGTTCTTCGTCGGCTGGGCCATGTCCTAGGATTCCTCGATGGCGACCAACACGAGCGGGATGGAGTGCCGGATGTGGGCGTGGCGAAGGTCGCCCACTCACTGATCTCAACATCCACCTTTCGCCCGATGTTCACCGTATTCCTCAGCTATCGTGCCAGCCAAACTCCTTCGTCCATGAACTGGCTTTGGCTTCCCCTCGAGGCCGGGCTGTACGGCATCATTCTCGACTTTTGGTTCTATTGGTATCACCGCTTGATGCACGAAATCAACGGTCTCTGGAAATACCATCGGACTCACCATCTGACAAAGCACCCTAACCCGCTCTTGACGCTGTACGCCGATTCTGAACAGGAGTTCTTCGATATAGCCGGCATTCCGCTCATGACCTACTTCACCATGAAGTTCATGGGCTTCCCGATGGGTTTTTACGAGTGGTGGATCTGTCACCAGTATGTTGTTTTCGCCGAGATCGCAGGGCACAGCGGCCTCCGCCTCCACACAGTACCGCCCAATACTCTCACTTGGCTCCTTCGGATCTTCAATGCTGAGCTGGTCATTGAAGACCATGATATCCACCACCGCCGGGGATGGAAGAAGAGCGCAAATTACGGCAAACAAACCCGTCTGTGGGATCGTATCTTCGGCACCTGCGGAGACCGCATCGAAAGCTACCAGGATAATATCGATTACGATCAACAAATTCCTATGCCGTGGTTCTGATTGGGCAAACGCCGAAGGATATGACATTTACGGAGAATATGCGAATCATTGGGCGGAATATATCAAACATCAGGGGGATGGATATGGTTGAATCGCGTGTTTGGTTGGCCTGATCGATGGAATAAAGTACTGCTGTATATACCCTTTTGCTTTCACTTACTGTACGGATCCTACGAGACTGCCTGCCGGGGTAGACAGAAATATATAATGACCATGACGAATATAGTACTAGAGAATTATAACAGAATTGCTATTGAGTCCTTGGTGCTACAGAGAACTTAGTATGCCATCTTTATAGAACCATACCTCACGACTTTACCTTGTACTACATTTAAAACGAGAGATCGGCTTTCCATCACCAGGAGGCACCCGCAAGAGTCGAATATGACCAGCATCGTCCGGAATCAGCCCTGGTTTTGCCTCGAACAGGCAACACCGGTGCATCATGTGACCAGTGATGCCAACAATGTCGATGAGCATCGTCATGACCCAGCGAGGCTCTTGCTGGACGTATGAGCAGAGACGAGAATACGAGGTCGAAGTCTTGGCTCGCAAATGCCGCCTTCGCCGTTTTCTTCTTGGCAGCGCTCCGTACCACCAAATCGGGTAGTGTCGACACCTGGGTGCCTGAGGCTGTGTCAACGTGTGTTCGCCCGACACCAACCCCCAGTGCCTTCGATTGAGGCTGAGTAAAGCCCTACAGGGTGGATACCTCAGCTTCTGGTTGCCTTATTTGCACATAGTATGCTCATTGGAGGAACTGGACTCAGCCCTGCCCGGAGTGGGTAACACCGTGGCAGCCATGGATGTAATCTATCACCCTCTTGGCCCTTACCCAAAGTGGCCCTATCCAGCGCTTTCCATCTGTCTGATGTAGTTGAAAGATCTCACTATATAAGGAGATGTAACCCTGGTCGAGGAGATATTCTTTCACACAATCTACAACAAACAACAATCAGTATTTTCCAGCCACATCGACAATGGCTTGGAAATCCACCTTTCTTCTGGCCTCTCTCCTGGTTGGCTCTTATGCCACACCGGTTGCACTTCCGAACCACGCCCGCTCCGAAAGGATAGCCTGGGGTCGTTGTCAAGAGGATACCGTCACTGCGCCAGCTCAATGCGGTAACCTGACTGTGCCGTTGGACTACACCGAACCCGAGTCCGACAAAACGCTCCAGCTCCAACTACTCAAAGTTCCAGCTATCCGTGAACCGAAGAAGGGAAGCATTTTGTTCAACTTCGGTGGACCGGGGCTGGAGGCAAGACTTACTCTGTTTGCACAGGGTGAAGTACTACAAGCGTAAGATGCCAGTGTCGTGATAACAAGGGTAGCGAGGATTGAAAGATGCTGACGGATGCCCAGTTTGACCGGTGGTCACTATGACCTGATTGCTCATGATCCGAGGTATGTTTGCATGGCATGCTCGTCATGCGTCTCATAGATAGACTGACGGAAAATTGCATTCTAGAGGAGCGGCCAACACCCTCACTGCGTACTGTTCTAGAAACGAAACAGAGCGGCTCGCAGTTAGTGTGGAATCTCGATTTAGCGACTTCCCAAACGCCTCCGACACGATGGCACTAGGAAGGCAGTGGGCTGGCAGTGGATTGTTTGCCAAGGTTTGCGCTGAGGGAGAGCTGAAAGAAAATGGACAATACATGAGCACGGCATTCACGGCAAGGGATTTGATGCAGATCGTGGATGCAGTCACTGACGATGGTCTGCTGAAGTATTGGGGTGAGCGATTTCATTGAAAGACACACTACCTGGTCAAAGGCTAATCGGTATACTCCAGGTTTCTCATATGGCACGGTGTTGGGATCTACTGTTGCCGCGATGTTCCCGGACCGGGTGGATAAGCTCATTATTGACGGTGTTATGAATCCACACCAATACTTCAATTCATAGTATGATTCCACAGCCTCCTTTTGTGCGTGGGTGATACTAACTGGGCTTCCCACGTACAGTGACACCGAAGTGTGGGCCGATGTAGACAAGGTCTTCACCAGCTTTTTCCAGCAGTGCTTCCAGACACCGGAACAATGTGCCCTTGCCGGACGAAATGAGACCGCCGAACACCTCGAGAAAAGCATCTACCAGTTGCTAGATGATGTTAAACGCGAACCAATCGTCTATGAACACTCCATCATTGACCACAGCATCATCAAAACTTTCATTCGATTCTCTCTATACAGCCCTAACAACTATCCTACTCTGGCGGCTGCGTTTAACTTCTTATTGGACCGGAATATGTCGAATTTCATGGAGCTGCTTGAAGCCCAACTGAGCGGTGGATTACTGGCCGCGGCGGCGAGCAACGATGCGGCATTCGCCATTCCCTGCTCCGAGAAGAGAACCGGAGTACATACATTGGAGGAGATACTGCCTTATATCGATCTCAATCCACCATCGAGTAAGCTATTGGGAGAAGTAGGAAACTCCATCGCCATGACGTGCACTCAGTGGCAGATCGACGCCAAAGAACGCTACGTGGGTAATTTTGAGTCGAAGACAAAAAATCCTATTATGGTTATCGGCAACACTTACGACTCTGCCACTCCACTTGTGTCGGCCCGGAACATCAGTGCTAGCTTCGAGGGCAGTGTCTTGTTGGAGCATGGCGGCTGGGGTGTAAGTCATTTTATTATTTGCTATGTCTGTGCTGTGGCTGGACTAACATGCTATTGTAGCACGCTTCTTTGGCTCATGGGTCTTCATGCACGTCCAAGATAGTCCGGGATTACTGGACCAACGGTAGTCTTCCTGCTGCTGGGACAAAGTGCGAGCCGGATTATCCCCCTTTCGAACCTGGCTCATTGAAAGATGTTCTGGTTAAGATTGGCTTCTTGGATAAGGAATAAGTCTTGTCATCAGCGCTACAGGTGAATTCTCATTGCTCATATATTGTGTTGAATATTCTTTTGACCCTTTGGATTTTGGCATATAGCGTTAGAAATTTATGTACCCATGTTAGGCTCGATAGCTTTATTTATTTAAATATTACCTAGAATTAGAGTTCACATTCAACCATCTTTATTTCGTGTGTCCACGTCTACAACAACGATCTAATAATCTTTAGCCCCATTGATGAATCGACGATGGGGATAATATCAGAGTACTTGGGAAGGCTGTGCGGTTGGTGTTGGGTCACTTTCTTCTAGGCTACCAGTGTCCAGTGGAGTAAGGTTACAATGCTCAAACGATGGTGCTGTAGAGATCTTAAGAGGATATCGTGTTACGGTGTTAGAGAGTTCAGTGATCCTATCTCATAAAGATCATCACCGTCCATGTCTGCGTTCCATCATATTGATATGCTTCTCTCAGAACTCTAATGGAATTTCCGAGTCTGCTTCATTTAGTTTGTTATTGAGACCTTCTTGTGCAATAGTACTCACTCGCGGTTTCCTGCACAGCATATGCCCATTTCTATCTCCCTTCCCCCAGCAGAGTGTATAAATTGACAAAATACTCTTATATAGTGGATACGTTGCAATCTCGAAGGCCACGGTGTCACTGAGCCTACTAGATAGAGAGAAGTTTATGGCTACATAATATATGCTGCACATGTGTCATACTGCGAGAGCCCTGTTGGCAGATGCGTGGCAATAAGGCATTAGATAGTGTTCTGTTAGCGGGGCGCCATATGCAAGTTGACTGCGCCGCATTGTCCTTTGACTCCTTTCTCTACGCGAAATGCCCACATCTCTTTATCTCAAAAACCATCCCTCATACCAGTAAAAGGGTGACCACCATGGATGACTTGGTATACGAGCTAGATCCGAAAGGTGACATTTTCCTCATTCTGGATAACGTGTCTACGGATTTTCCCTACAACCTACGAGATATTACCACTGTGGCGGGGTGGCCGGATGGACTCCGTAACCCCCCAGCTCCAACAAGCGATAGGAATAAAACCATCAAGCAAGAAGATGATGGAAGTTCAGGCGACGCTGTTGATTCAGCCAAGACCCCTAAGTCTCCCCCACAGCGCCGTCTACAGATTCGTGCATCGTCAAAACATCTGACATTGGCCTGCCCACAATTCCAACGCACGCTACAAAACGGATTTCAGGAGGGAACCGAGCTCAGGGCCACCGGCTGTCTAAGGTTCCCTGTGCGAGATTGGGAGGCAGTACCCTTCTTGGTCCTGATGTTAATCATCCATCATCGAACACGACTGGTGCCTTGGCAAGTGTCCTTAGACAGGCTGGTGGAGATCGCGCAGTTGGTCGATTACTATGAGTGTCATGAGGCAGTGGAACCGTTCTCGAATTCATGGCTCATTCATCTGAAGATCAGATCTTTGAGCCCCCCTTATTATACCCCTTCATCGGATGATGAGGCCAGGAAATGGATTTCTGTATCTTGGGTATTTAACGAGGCCAAGGCATTCCAAGAATCCTCCAAGTACTTGGAGTCCAAGAGCACAAGTATGATTAGCTTCAGTGGACTCCCTGTTCCCGGCACGATACAAGGTGAGCTTCACCTAATTTCTGAAGTACCTTACCACTTACAATATCCTTCTCAACTCCAGATGAGATCAACCGTTCCCGGCGAGCGCTGATGACAAAAGTCGTGGAGTGTATGCATAGTCTTTCCTCACAACTACGGGACGGCCCAGAACGATGTTCTGAGCTGTGTGATTGTGCGCTCCTAGGCGTGCTGACAAAAGGAATGCATCGAGCTGGAATTCTATCGCTGAATTCATTCTCAAGCTTTGAGGGGATCAGCTTCACCCAATTGGCACACGAGTGTCGCAACATCAAAACTCCGAGTAATATGAGGCATATCTGCAGGAATCCACTTAGTCCGTGCAGCATATCCAAACAAGTCGAACCCCTGCTACAGAATATAGAGAAGCTCAATGTCGGGTTGAAAAAATTACAATTCGTCAAGGATCCCTTCCTCCTTAATTGGAATACCAGACTCATCAAATCAACAGTGAAACTGCCTTCTTAGGTCCAATTTCACCTTCCATCTTACCGGCCTAACGCTCGATGGCTGATAAGACCACTTAATCCAATCTCTTCACTCCATCCAGATGGTGGATCTCAGTCTGCACCTGATAACATTGACTTAGCCATTCTTATAATGAAGGCAACTGCACGTTATGTGTACTATTCGATATTCTTATGTAGCGTGTTCAAAGCAGCTCTTGATGAACGCGATGGTATATTACGGAATGAACAGGCCATTCCAAGCTCATTGTTAGATAACAGGACATGGAATGACTGGCTCAAGCACAAGTAAAAGCAATTTCCAGATTCCTGCGTGTTAAGTTGACTAAATCAAGAATAAAGCATCACCTTCCCAGCACCCGAAACAGTAATCCTTTCTGAATGACCTTGACAAGGGGCAACTGACGCTCCACACTATGGTTCAGACCTCGTATCTTGAGGGAAAGAGAGGACCGGCTCGGTCTACGTCACGGCTCTGTTTCCCATGTTACGAGTACATTCATCCAACTTATCTTGGAGTTCCTGTATGACGTGGCCGGGCTTCTTCTCCTTCTTCGCCGTTTTCAGGCAACGTTTGAGACCTTCTTTTCTCACTTCATTGTTGGACGGTGGAATATATTCGCGACGACCGCAATTATGAGGCTTAGAGCATGGCTCGAACTTTGAGGCTAAATACCATTCGTGCCTTCGCTCCTGGAATGACTCGTGTTCTTTGCACATGTTGATGGCAAAGAAGGTTTTTGTGTTGTGCAATCGGGGTGAGAAAAGAGATCAAAGAGGATTCCGAGGGTTGAACTGATGGCTAAGACCAATATCTATTGCTCTAGCAGACGGTAGAATATCGTTGGAAGTTTATATATTCAATCAATCACATTGGGTGGCAGTTTAGCACTGGGGCCTTCCAGGACAATGGTTATATGCCGGGCATGTTCCCCCCCTGCGGAGCGCTAAGATATGAGGTTTCCTTTCAAAGACAACAAGTGTCCGTGGTCCCCCTTGAAAGGAGGGGATCTCCCATTGTCGTGTTAGGTATACTCCTAATTGCCCACTTATTCAGGACTGAACCATTTTCGTACAATCTTCTACCTACTACGAAGGCAATTTCCTCGTCAACGTGTGCCTACAACGCAGAGTTTGAATGGGAATTCACCGTAGAGTTATGGAAGGAGAACGGCTCCTGCACGAGGTCATTATCCGGCTCACTATGTTGTGAAAGGAGTAGGCCGTCGCATGCTAACGACCCAAGCAATGCCCCCATCAGAGACACTCTTCTCCACTCTTAATCTGGTAATCAGCAAGTTCTTCTGAGTTGGAAGGAAGCTTTTCTAAATGAACGGGAGGGTTTAGCCGTTCCTGTGCAGGCAGGCCAGACTGGGATGTATGCTTGCTGGTGGCGAGTGAGAAGATGAAGGAATACACCCTGCTTTTTGGCCTTCAGAGACCCAGGGCCCGAAGTGAAAGAGAGGGAATTGGATCTTTTCACAACCTTCAGTGTTCTACTAGCAATTTCAAGATTGACGATAGAAAAACGCTTGGAATAGCTGTAGAAGGCACATAAATATTGAGCTGTGATCTTCTGATATATGACGAGGAAAAGTTGATTTTATCTATACTCTCCAGCTCGGATTCTGGAATTGCTCTCCTCTGAGCATTTAAGTTGTATCTTCGCTTTTCTCCGGTAGACTTGGACTAGGAGGATTGTTTTTGTGGGGTTACCGCAACCCCTTCCTGTACTCATATCTTCTAAATCGGTGACACCTGGTAGGTTTGAATGGTCATTTCGATGAGAGATAAATCCGCAGCCGCGCGTTGGACAGCAGTAACAGCTGTTCTGGGACTACCCCAACAGTAAATAGTAATTTCCGTTAAGCATATAAGGTCTGTTGCCGTTGGTAGTGAGACCCACTCTATGGCGCGATATCTCGCCGGTTGGGAGTGATATAAAAGTAGGCTACTTGATGATAGGATCAGACTTGTACGGAAATCGATTGGTTTGATGCATCCTATATTCAGAGACGTGTCCTGGGTCAATCCAAAAGGCTACGAGAACATGTTCCCAGGGCCTACTAGCGAAGTAGTAACCACAGTAAGGAAGTGCTTCGAATCAACTTGAAAACGCAGAGGAGCGAGCAAAGTTCTCCGTTAAATACTCAGAAACCCTAGATACGCAGAGTTGGAAATATCCATAGAATCAACCCACATGCCGAATGAGCCACCAGCTAGGTTGCCATTAGAAAGCTTCATCTTAGGCAAGATACAAACATTACTATGAAATGCGCATCCCAGGTTCCTGACTCCGCTGAAGACACCACGGGTCCGCTAGTCGCACTCAAAGACTCAATTCTTTGGCGGCGCGTCTGACGCCCGTTGCATCTTAAACCGCTTCCCCAGCTGGTTCACATGATCATGGGTACATAACTTAGCAGTCTGGTGTGTGGCCCATAAGGGCCATTCGAGTATCTCCACAAACAAAGCAATATCGGCGGGAGAGATCTCAAATAGAGTGCCAGATATAAACTAGACGTATGGTGTCCGTCTTTCATCGAGATTCTAACATTAGGGGAATGAGCCTTGTACCCCGCGCATGATACAATTGCCATACGCGTTGTAAAACTTTTCCTCGTAACATTCGTATCGAAACATGCGACTCCATAGCACAGTGTCGGTGATGGTCTGACAATAGGGCCGTCGTTGGTTGCGTTTTTGGTTCCCCTTCGCGGTCAGCTGTACCTCGTAAGCTCTCATTTTGGAAATACCGAGATGCTGTGCGACATGGTCATCGAAAGAGCCCTGCGTGGAGAGTACAACGTAGCGATCCGCATCTGGACCACATTGCGGTGGGGTAGTATAAAGACCCTCGGGTGGCGAAGGGGGGCTGACGGATTTCGTCCTATTATAGGCGACGATGAATAAATGCTCAGCATGCTCCGTGGCCTGCCTGAATCGAAACACCAGTAGGATTCGTGTTGCAACGTTCGGTCGTCGCATTTATGAACGCTCGCATGACCTATAACAAGCTCCAACCGGGCCTTTATGGTATAGACGACATCATTCCATTCCATTACCCCGGCTCCCAACAGTTTCTTCGCTGCCAGAATGAGCTGAAGCCCAGGCACTGGGGGTATCGTTCTGGTTGGGCCTGAAGGCTCACAGGGACAGCAAAATTGTCAGTGAGAAAGGTCCAGTGATTAGTCCTTGCATCAGACAGGCACCCCGAGAAGTCAGGGCTTTAAAGGCCACCATCAAGTATATAATAGCAAGCAGATCGCAGATATACTAAATCAAACTGACTATAAGGAATGGCTGCTCTAGAAAGCTATATGATTCAGAGTTAGAAACGGACTCTTCGAGGGTGGATGAAGGGTCTTTATACCCCTAAGGTCACGATAAATTATACAAAGAGAAGAGTCAAGCGTCTGCGATGAATGAAAGGGAACAAAGAGATCGATTCCAGTTACTGTTCACTGTGAATATTCTAGGCACAAGTTCTGGCTGCGGTGCAAGAGATTTCATCTGTATTTTCACAAATACCCTCGGTCACACTGCAATGATCGGGAAAGAAAAAGTGGGTTTGCAAGGTAGTCAGTGAACAATTGCCAACTTCTCCTGTAATGCTGAATGAGAAATGCTATGCCTATATATTCTCCATAAACCGGCAAGGCAATGAAGTGGCTTGCAGTACCAGGCCGACTATTGTGTACATTCTTCCCTTCAAGCTTAGGAAATTCCCCCACAGGTTACAGGAATAATTTGCTGATGTCGATGTACTTTGACCACACGACCCTTCTGTGCATTGTTTCGGCTCAGATTTGTATACAATGCGTGGATGTCTCTCTTTGTAGAAGGATGTTCGAGGCCTACTCGAAGACACCGGTGCATTGCTTCGTCAGTCTTTCGCGACTCTTTGATAAGCCATTCACAGAGGGTACGCCATACTGTTGCCTGTTTGTCAGAGTGAATGGATCATTAACTATCATACCTAATAATGCAATAATAAGGCTAGTCACTCTGTCATAAAGAATTGTCCAGACACCAGCAGTTGTGTCAACCATCCCAACCGGGCAGCCTGCCAAACTCTTTTGGTTATAATACGTAATTCTGAAATTCTGACGTTCTTTTTCAACTCTAGTGAATGAAAGGCGAAATGAGTGATCTACTCTTGTAACCGAGGTACCATAAAGTCTGACCTTGGGACGATATGACAGCCTTAGAACGCCATTTAACCGTCATAGATAATATCCACAAAAGGTCTAGTTGTCATGATATCGACAGACTAACTCACCTTTATGACCGAAACAATCGTATTGATCCTTAGATATATTCCACCGCCATTAACTCGTTCGTTACGCCAGGAACCAGGCATGTCCATCATCGTCGCCACGTTTGACCCAGCCGACTGTGACCCTTCCAGGTGTGTGTTGTGCCTCCGGAAGATCCGCCGTCGAGAAAGTGCTCCTCTTTGGAAATGTACCTTTCGCATTAGTAAGTAGTTTCTAATGTGTGTATCGGCAAACTACTTACTACATAATATGCGACAGTATGGGAAACTACTGGTGAAATTGAGCTATCTGGGGTTGGTCTGCGGAGCGTACAGGACCAATTCAACAGGTTTAGGGTACCACGCGACCAGCGCAAGCGATGGGATACAGTGGGCGATGGCTATATAACATTGCCCTTACCGTGGAGGTGTACAGACAATCTGGTGTTCTTTCATGAGTTATGTTGGGAACGGTTGGAAGATCACTTCAATCCTGGCGAGATTAAATTAGGCACACTTCGGTGGATACTATTACGTCCTCTACGTCGCGGTAGGGGCTCCCTTCGCTATGTTTCAAGAGGAGTTCGTGACCTACCAACGGAGCCACTGTTTTATCAGCCCTCCCTTGAGCAGTTGCTACGACGGGGAGTTCGGATACCAGATCGCACACCAGAGGTGGCAACCCAATTTGCCCGCGGGCGAAATGCCACCGATCTGTTCACAGTTCTGCCTTTCGAGATCAAAGGGATAATCGCAGAGCAACTAAACACCCGTGACATCCTAACACTTCGGACAGTTTCGCGTGCGATGGAAGGAGTCTTCTTCAGTTCTAGATTCTGGCGGACACGGTTCGAGGTCAATGGCGAACGGGGCTTTCTGTATCGTGCTGTAAGGGAGTCTTCTAGAGGAACAGGTGATAGCATCGACTGGCAACATCTGTATCACAGCACGTCCATGCTGCCTTGGAACGACCAGTTTGATAAGATGCTGAGAATGTGGGAGACCTTCCGGTGGATACGAGACGCATGCCTCAGCGAGAATAGAGGACAGACACCCCCCTTGGACTTTCAAGGTAGAGCCTTGCAGCACTATCACAACACACGCTGGGAGGGAACAAAGGTTGAAACCGTGATATACCTCCCAAGCTCGCAACGATCGGAGTATCTATACTAGCTAATGGTGAAGATATAGTTATCACTGGACTGGAGTTCTACAGCGAAGATGGGCCCAGCAAGTCCCTCGGCTATAAGACCCCAGGTGCCAAAACGCGAACAGAAACGGAGATGGCCTCGCGAATTCAACATCGACATCTAAGCGGCTATTCATCTATGAGTGGAAACATGGATCCCCACCCGTTACAGGATTTCTATCGGCCACCAGGCTTTCATGTATTGATGGATGCAAGATCATTGGGAGGGTTTGAGATAACAAGGACACCAAACGGCATCTCTGATCTTTGCCTGCACCGTCGGGGCCAGCCAATACATTCCGGAGATCATCACCGGACCCTGCAGATGGCCAAATTGATATCAGTAGTTGCTACGTCTAGCATATGTGTATGTTGATCTTTCTCTTCTTGTTCTTCTTTCTTTTCTTCTTACTCCCTCCTGAATCACCGCATGATTTACTTGCAGGTCGCGGCAATCGCTGACAAGTCCCGAATACGACAGGCTCGAAGAATATTGGATCTCGGCATTAGGGGTCATCATCGTTAACAAAACCCCAGGCACCTTGGTTATCCTATTTGATGACAAAAATGAACCGAGAAGTTCCATACTCCCCTATAAGTCTATTGAATATGCCCAGACTGTAGTCTCATCTCGTGAGCCTAATCAAAACACCGTACACAACGTAAGTTCATGTGTAGAGACGTCGTTATGGGCTGACCACTTCTGGCATGCATGAACCTCGGGATAAGTGCAGCTTCTCCGGTTAGCGCCCAAGAGAACACCAGATCCACCTATGACTATGCATATCGCTCGCAATCGCTCCACCAAGCAAACCCCTCATCATACAGCCAAGGTGAGGGGAACTCACTCCAACTCATGATATAAAGCTTTCGCACCAACCCCCTAGCCCTTAAAACCCAAACCCCCGTTCTAAGCTTCCATCGCCAATCGATACATTCGACGCAATGACCATCCAATCCTGGCACGAAAAAGCCCTCGCCAAACAAGCCACCGCGGCATCCAAAATCCCCCCCGAATGGCGCCTCCCTGAATCGATCCAGGCCCAACTCACCTCCGACCCAGGTCGAAACTGTCTCGACATCCCAGCCCAAAGCGGCCTCCTCACAGCCCGCGAACTCGCCATCACCGCGACAGAAGACGCCACAGCTCTCCTCGCCAAAATCGCCAACAGAGAATACGCCGCAGTGGAAGTCACAACGGCCTTCAGTAAACGCGCAGCAATAGCGCAGCAACTCACCAGCTGTCTCACGGAGACATTCTTCGATGTGGCCCTCACCCGCGCCAAAGCGCTCGATGAGCATCTCGCCTCAACCGGCAAGACAGTCGGGCCTCTGCACGGTCTACCCATCAGCCTCAAAGATGGGTTCAATGTAGCCGGCATCCCGTCGACGTTGGGCTTCGTCTCCTTCATCGATAACCCGGTCCCGACGACTAACTCCCCCCTCGTCGATATCCTCCTCGCCGCTGGCGCCGTGATCTACGTGAAGACGAATATTCCGCAGACATTAATGATCGCCGAGTCGCATAACAATGTCTTCGGGCGGGTGTTGAACCCACACCGACTCAATCTGGCAGCAGGGGGTAGTTCAGGCGGCGAAGGAGCGTTGGTCGCGCTGCGGGGGTCGCTGTTAGGCGTGGGCACTGATATCGGGGGCTCGATCCGTATCCCCGCGTTATGCTGTGGGGTGATTGGGTTTAAGCCGAGTGCAGGGAGAGTTCCATTTGTGGGACAGACGAGTCCAGCCAGACCTGGTCTTGTGGGGATAACGCCCGTCGCTGGCCCGTTGTGCCATTCTGTTCGCGATGCGGACTTGTTCTTCAAAGTCGTCGCCGACTCACAGCCCGAGGATGTCGATGACCAGGTGCATGGGCTTCCGTGGTCGAGTCCTACTGAGCCGCTTAAGTCGTCGCTGACGATCGGTCTTCTTCCTGAGGACCCGGTGAGGCCATATCACCCTAACATCCAGCGCACACTCTCGATTGCAGTGAAGAAGCTGGCCGCCGCGGGCCATCAGATTGTCGATTTAACCGGGAAATGCCCCTCAGTCAAAGAGATAAGCGACCTCGCCATGCAGTTCTTCCAGATGGATCCTGACCGGACAGCGCTGGGCCACCTCGCAGCCAGCGGGGAGCCATGGGTCCCATCTTTGAAATACACGTTTGATCCGAACGGACCAGGTCCGGAGCCGACATTGCGACAGTTGTATGACCTGAACGTTCAAAAGGCGGGTGCTACCGCGGCAATAAGAAAGGTTTTCCTGGATAATGAGCTTGACGTGATACTGGCACCGGGCCATCAGAGTGTTGCGCCTGTGCATGATACGTTCGGGTTGCCGATCTATACGATGCTGGCGAATTTGGTTGATGTATGTTCTTCGTCTGTGTATTTGAGGGTATCTGGTTCTGATTTTTGCAGTATCCGGCATGTATTATTCCCTTCGGGACGGCTGATGAGGCGGCTGATGCCGAGTTCGTTCGTGATATCGAATACATTCCTAAGTGTAAGTGATCCCCTTCACATATCTGAGAACAATCGTACTGATGAGATACAGATACCCCGAAAGAGGTCGAAGGCGCTCCATGCCATGTCCAGCTCATTGGAAGACGATTGAAAGATGAACTGTTGGTGCAGCATAGTAAGGTTGTCGAGGGTGTGCTGAAGGGTAAGTGAGAGACATCAATGCCGGAGTAGAGACCAGTTGTATTGAACACCATCAATTCGCACATACCTATTCTCTCAGCGATACTTTAGATACGAGATGATGAGGACAAACCAGTGCGAAGCAATTTAATCCATATACATGGGGGGTCAAAAGTCTGACTACACTAGCGCGTTTCCGCCGACGCGTCAAAAAATTGTACTTTCTTCAACTATCTACCTCACCACCATTATGAGGTCTTTTGGAACCGAAATTAGTGGAAATAGAAGGCTAAATCAAGAGCTTTCTACTGAGACGCGCGCGGCAATTATATCTGGTCTAGAGAATAATATATCGCCTACTCAACTTGCAAAGCAATTTAACGTCTGTCGCTCTACTATTTACTCAAC